GAGCCCCTGAAGTCGATCTCCTTAACGAGCAGCGTCGTGATTGGGATCTGAACTTCCGGAGTACCCATCCCGACCTATACAAGCACACGACGACCGGAAATTAGCAACTGGTCCGAGCAACCGAAGAACAGTCTCAAGGAAGGAACTTTTAGCGCACCTGGACGAACCGCCCGCCGTGCTTGGCGACGTAGATACCCGTCTGGATGGACACCTCCGCGCCCGACGCGTCGACGATGAGGTCGACGGCCTTCAGGCCGCGCTCCTCCAGTCCAAGCTGCGTCTGCATCTGCTTCGCGTTGCGCCTCGAGTACTCGATGCGCGACTCGCCCTCCTGGAACTGCGGGGGGAGGTACGTGTCCGTCGCCGCGTACGACTTGGCGAACTCGAGGCGGGAGGGCACGATGTCGACCGCGATGACGCGCGCAGCGCCAAGGGCGCGTGCGACGGCCATGCAGAGGAGACCGACGGGCCCTGCACCGAAGACAGCGACAGTCTCGGCGGGCTTGATGCTGGCGATGTTTGCGACAGCATGTATCGCGACGGAGAGAGGCTCCATCTGGGGGAAAAGGGAAGATACGGTCGTCATATTGTGGGTTTGAAGAGGTGTTCAGCGACTCACCATGGCACCATCCTCAAGAGTGAGGTGGTCCGGTAGCTTATAGCAGAGATCAGCAGGAATAGGGTAGTATCGCGCAAGGGTGCCGTCATGGGGAGGCGTCGCTGCGAAGACGATGTCCGGACAGAGCTGGGCGTCGTTTGTTAGCGAACTTCAGAGACGTATAGCGTTCAGTACCGGGATGTACCTCGTAGCGGCCACGCTTGCAGGCATCGCACTTGCGGCAAGTCGCACCGGGCTCCATCGCGACGCGGTCCCCGGGCTTCAGGTCGGTGACCTTGCTACCAACTGCGCGTACATCAAGTAGTTAGCACAAGCAATGTCCTGCGATGTTGTGTTTGCGGACCTTTGTGCACAATACCAGCAGACTCGTGACCAAGAACCTGCACACACAATTGATTATCGGAAAAAACGACGTCATAAACTGAAGACGCTAACCATGGGCTTTTCGACGACGTAGTCGCCGATGCGACCTGCGACGAGAAAGTGGACGTCGGATCCACAAATACCTTTGTACTACAGTTAGCATACGATGACTATCGCGGCAGATGGCACGGACGTACCGGTCTTCTTCACGGCAATGAGAACCTCATCATCCTTGACTTGGTGAAGCTATGAGCGCTACAATCGACATCGTGCATCGGGAAACGACCTACTATCGGGGATAGGCTTCTCTTCAAACACAACGTCGTCGACCTTCTTGAGCACAAATGAGGGGTTATTGGACATGGCTGAAGAAGCAGGGGGGAGAAGGGGGACTCTCAGAAGACAAGAGGGATATTTGAGGAAGGAGAACGCTTGCCCGGTCCGGGAGCGAGGGCGTATGGATCTCGCTCATATGATTGGGGTGAAGGGGGCGGAAGAACGATGAAGTCGTCGATGGCGGCGATAGAGAGCGGTGGATGTACTCTGAATTGCGTTATGCGCTCGTCACGAATACTGGTCAGGTGGGCAGATGGCACAAGTTCGCGAACGCATCCGTTCAGCCCACGACCCTGCTCATCCTCTCAGAGTTACCGCCTTGTGTCGTGTATGATGGTCGAAGGCGGAGTCGCGTTTCGGCTACAACAGTGGGGGCCGCTGCCTGCTTGATATCAACCGTATTCGCCTTCGCCTCTTTGGGACTCGCAGAAATGCAACGTACTATTGCTGATAAGTAGGCAAGAGAGGCCTAGGACTGAACACGGACATTGAAGACGTTACAGAGTATGTAGCCTGGCCAGGGAACCCACACGTCGGAGTCGATTCGAATCACTGCCCAGAGAGGATCATCGATGCTACGCGGACGTGCGCGTATGACACGTTTCCTCGCTACTATAGTGCTTCTCATTCACGAGATCGTGCAATGGACATCGGCCATCGCAAGCTTGAGATTGGGACCGACCATGGCTGCGTTCGAGACAGTTGGCGAGCTACTTATCAGTGTTCATGGGTGAGGTATATTCGAGTTTGTTTGGGCAGATAACGACGGTCGTGCGTATGTCTGGGAACGTTCGAGCCCCCCGTGGACGCTATTCGCTCGGTTGGACTTAGCGGCCTCGCAGAGGACGCGTTGCAGTCTCAGACGAAGGCGTATACATCGCACGATATCGATCGACCGCATATTTTCTTGATTGGGCACCATCCAGGCCGTTTGGGTAAATGCCGAACGCTCGCGCCATTCTGCTAAAATTCCTCAAATACCCTCATCCTCTTGGCCTGTTCGCCCCATCCCTCTTCTTCTCCCACCATCTCCCTACCACGCTTCCGTCCGATTGCTATGGTCCTCTCCAGTGTCCTTGGGTTTCCTCGCATCGGTATGATTTTGGTGGAACGCTTTCGGCTCATCAGCACTCGGTATTGACTGGTCCATGTAGGTGCGAACCGTGAGGTTAAGAAGGCTGTCGAGGCCTACTGGGGTGGCAAGCTCTCTGCCGACGAGCTCACCAAGGCTGCCGCCGATGTCAAGAAGGCTAGCTGGACCAGCCTCAAGGAGCGTGGTGTGAACCTCATCCCTAGGTACGTCCCCTCCACCTACTTTCGTCTCTCTCACGTCCAGAAGGATTGATGGACAATCTACTTCAGCGGTGACTTCACCCTCTACGACCACATTCTTGACCACTCCGCTGCATTCAACGTCATCCCCAAGCGTTACTTGGGCAAGGGGCTTTCTCCTCTTGATGTCTACTTCGCTATGGGCCGTGGCCGTCAGGCGGACGGTGTCGATGTCCCCGCTAGTGAGATGAAGAAATGGTACGTTATCGCTTCGTTCTGCGACTGTTTGATTTTGATTAGCAGAATGCCGTGAATCTGATCATCGTGGATCTCGGCAGGTTCGACTCGAACTACCACTTCGTCGTTCCTGAGTTTTCCGAGGAGACTGAGTTCAAGCTGAACTTCAACAAGGCTCTCGAGGAGTACCGCGAAGCGAAGGATCTTGGCATTGAGACTCGCCCCGTCGTCGTCGGTCCCATCACCTTCCTCGCCCTCGGCAAGAACGCCAAGGAGGCTAGCGCCGGCTTCCAGCCCATCTCCCTCCTCCCCAAGCTCATCCCGATCTACAAGCAGCTTCTGGCCGCTCTCAAGGACGCGGGTGCCGAATCTGTCCAGATCGATGAGCCCTTCCTCGTTCTCGACCAGGCTGCTCTCTACGAGAAGCAGTACGCGTCGGCCTATGCTGAGCTCGCGCCTGTGTCCCCCAAGCTCATTATCGCGAGCTACTATGGCCGCCTCGACTCTAACGTCACCTTTGTTGCGAAGCTCCCTGTCGCCGGTCTGCACATCGATCTCGATCGTGCCCCGGGCCAGCTCGAGGAGGTCATCGCTGCCGTCAAGCCCACGAACCTGATCCTCTCCCTCGGTGTTGTCTCTGGCCGGAACATTTGGAAGACTGACTTCCAGGCTGCCATCAAGCTCGGCCAGAAGGCTATCGACGCCCTCGGCCAGGACCGCGTCATTATCGCATCCTCCTCGTCTCTCCTTCACACTCCGGTCACTCTTGCCGCGGAGAATAAGCTCACCCCTGAGCAGAAGGACTGGTTCTCATTCGCTCTCGAGAAAGCTTCCGAGATTGCTGTTATTGCCGCGTCTCTCTCTGGCTCTCAGGACGCTAAGGTTGCCGAAGCTGTGGAGGCGAACCGTGTCTCCATCGCCAAGCGCCGTGAGTTTGAGCGTAACTCGGATGCCAGCGTCCGCAGCCGCGTCGCTGCTATCACTCCCGACCAGTTCGAGCGCAAGAGCCCCTTCTCGGTCCGCAAGGAGATTCAACAGAAGCAGCTTCAGCTTCCCAAGTTCCCTACGACGACCATCGGTTCTTTCCCCCAGACCAAGGAGATTCGTCAGGCTCGCGCCAAGCTCAACAAGAAGGAGATCACCGTGGCTGAGTACGAGAAATTCATCGAGAAGGAGATAGAGAACGTCGTTCGTTTCCAGGAGCGCATCGGCCTTGACCTCCTTGTCCACGGTGAGCCCGAGCGCAACGACATGGTTCAATACTTCGGCGAGCAGTTCGAGGGCTTCGTCTTTACCCAGAACGGCTGGGTGCAGTCGTACGGCTCTCGCTACGTCCGTCCGCCCATCATCGTCTCGGACGTCAGCCGCCCGAAGCCGATCACTGTTCGTTGGAGTAGCTACGCTCAGAGCCTTACCAGCAAGCCTATGAAGGGTATGCTTACCGGGCCCGTTACCATCCTCAACTGGTCGTTCCCTCGTGCCGATGTCTCTCGTGAGCTCCAGTGCAAGCAGCTCGCGCTCGCTCTGCGCGACGAGGTCATCGACCTTGAGAAGGCTGGCATCAAGGCCGTCCAGGTTGACGAGCCCGCTCTCCGCGAGGGCCTCCCTCTACGCAAGGCCGACTGGCAGGCGTACCTCGACTGGGCCCTCCCGTCGTTCAAGCTCGCGACCGCTGGTGTCACTGACGCGCTCCAGACCCACTCGCACTTCTGCTACTCCGACTTCGACGACATCTTCCCTTCGATCCAGGCGCTGGATGCGGACGTCATCTCCATCGAGGCGTCGAAGAGCGACCTCAAGCTCCTCAACACCTTCAAGCACTACGGCTACTCGAACCAGATCGGCCCTGGCGTCTACGACATCCACTCGCCCCGTGTGCCGTCCGAGGAGGAGATCAAGGAGCGCATCGCGGCGATGCTCGGCACCCTCCCCGCCGACCTCCTCGTCATCAACCCCGACTGCGGCCTGAAGACCCGCGGCTGGTCCGAGACCGAGGCCTCGCTCGTCAACCTCGTCAACGCCGCGCGCTGGGCCCGCCAGACGTACGCGTAGGCGGGCGACGCAGTCCTTGCGCTTCAACAGCGCCCGCGTTACGGTCCTACCCCAGTAACTTATCAGCGCACTCTCAACGAGGTGTCCTGCAATATCTCGGCCCAATTGTTGTGCAGTCGTGTGGATGATAAGCAGAAAACGTGTAGCCGTGTGGGTGCCGGTGCCGCTCCCGCGGCCGTTATAGCCACCGCCGACGTCAAGGGTGACGCTCCCGCTCCGTCTTTGTTCGTCGCTTCTCCGCGGCGGGGCATTCGGGCGGGCGCGTCTGTTGGCGTGGCTAGCCGCGTGAAGGCACCTTGGGACCAGGGTACGTCCCGCAACGGCGGGGGCTCTGGGCCTCATTGGTTTCTATGATGGACGGTTTGGTGGTGGTGTATTTGGGCGGATTTCAACAATCCTCAAAAGTGCTTTCAACGGCACTCATGTATAGTAGTCACGATGACGAGCATCATGTATCCGTAACGCATTGCGATCTCACGGTGGTTCATGAACACCTTCAGGCGAGCGAGTGCGTGAAAGCATTAACAACTGTCATAAGAAGTCGTGTGTATGCAAGAAGTCGTAAATGTAAAAATGGTGCAGTGTGTTGGTGTGATGTGAACCAGAAAAGGTCGAGTCAAAGCTCGTGTAAACGGAGGTAAGTACATTGAGAGTACAGACAGACACGAAGAACGGCGAAGCCCAAACCCGCAAGATACACAAGATGATGTTAGATCAAAGTACAGCAACAAACCCGCGAAAGCCAGCAGGTATCGTCGGCCCCTATGGTACATTCTAGCGGTTATGGATGTCTTCGGCGAGCGGCACCACCATCTCCTCGGAGAACATCAAGGAAGCGGAGGACGGCTTGCGCTCCCTCGCCTGCGGCGCCTCCTCCGGGATGGTCGCCGTCTGGCCTCCACCCGCAGCATAGTCGACGGCGGCAGGGGCCAAGTTCGTCTCAGACGCGGCCGGCGAGGCGACCTTCGACGACGTCTGCGCCCCCTCGAGTGCCCGTGGAGGTTGCTGCACGCCCTCCTCTGTGGCGCTGAGCGATGCTGAACCGGAGCGCTCTTCACGGTGGCTCTTGGCGTCGGTCTCCATGTCGAGCGCGAGGCGCAGCCGGTCCTCGACTTGCTGCGTCCGCCGGGTCTTGCGCCCGCCCCAGTAGATGAGCACCCCAGCGGCGATGCCTGCGAGCTAACGGTGCGTGTGTGCGTCAGCCAAGCCCTTCCACGGACACCACGAGCGATCTGTACGCACGAAGGATAGTGGCAGTGTGGTGCCCGTCGTCCAAGCTGGCCGCTGGAAGCTGATGGGTAGATGTGAGTAATGGTCGTGATGCGCGATCGCGACCGCAAGGCCCTTACCGATCGAGACCCCACATCGTGCCGCTCAGGAGGCACTGGAAAAAGGAGTTCAGGTCGTTGCATATGCATATCCAGAGCGCGAGTCTGCTAGCACGTCAGTAGGAAGAATACCGAGGATTCGCATGGGAATCTTACGCGATAGGAAAGGCCTATGGAGAGCAGGAGGGAGTTAATATCAAGGCGTCGGACAACTAGGAACTACTCACTCTATGGGTCTGCGTGCCATGCGGTCGATACCACGTCTGAGACTTCATGAACTGGTGTTGCTCTATACTCTTGGTTAGCCTAGAAGGGCAGTGCGCGTCACGCAAGGTGCTTACGATAATGCAAGTCGATTTGCTCCTTGTCGCTCAAAACTTGGACGTAATTCTTGTCGTAGACAGGGTCTGGTAAATCGTCTGGATCGTACAGGTCGAGCAAGCCGGCCTTCTGCCGCAGTTGAAGGATCTTGCGCTGGTAGTACCAGATCTTGCAAATTCCTGGTGCGGAAATTAATCCGGAATAGAACTGAAGTGTAGTCATGTACTCACGATATGTATCCATGACTCGGAATGGAATAAATCCAATACTCGTCACCGTGAAGAGACCTAAACCTAGATTCAGCTTATCTCCTCCCCCGCTGCAGCGCAGTGATACATACCGGTCTCCACTTGCTGACAAAGCTCGACCCAATAGCCCTGTTGAAGGTCGTTGTGCACATCCCAGAGTGGTATGAGGAAAACGACAATGCCGCATCCCCAGAATACTACACGCGGCACGGTCAGTCAAGTCCTACGAAGTGATGATGCGCTGTGTGAGACTCACCGACGTTGAATCCGTAGATGGCGGTGACGATCTAGGGGGTGCGTAAGCATAACGAAGGAAAAACAGGCAAAGAAGAGTCCACTCACTCCCAATGCTGTTCGAGTAGCATCACTTTAGCACGAATTGACTGATACAAGTTGATTGGATATTACTTACGAGTCTTCAGAAAGGACCACACGCCAGCCATTATCCTCCGAAATTTGTCGCGTTTGTTGAGCACGTCATGGACGTGCTCGTCCAGGGCATCTTCATGGAGGTTCTCTTCCTCCGTGGTGGCGGTGCCCTTCTCCACATCATTTTGTTTCTTCTTCTTTCTCTTGGGCCGTGGAAGGACGATGACGGGTTTTCTTGAGTAGAAGGACAACGGAGGACTGCAAACGATGACGTGAGGGCATGATCTCGGATGATATTATTCATAAGACTCACACCACGATTGCATTGGCGGCATTAGTCAGAGTGGACACGGTAGAAACCTGAGGATCTGCCGACCAAGACGATGTCAGAGAAGAAGGACGTTCTGGAATCGCACAGTCGCGTACCTATAACATCCAGATGCTCTACAATGTCATCGTGGTGGTGTTCATCCTCGGAGTCCGACCTGTCATAGTCGTCGCCCTCAATCTGTCGGAGGGCGAGGTTTATCTGACTGCCCTCCAAGTCGCCATGGCCATTGTTGGGTACCCGAAGCTCGGCCTGCTGTCCCTCCGCAAAGTATCCGTCCGGTGGGTGTCGCAGCGAATGATGGGAACGCTGGTGGAGTGTGCTTGATGTGCCGTTCACCCGACGCGAAGGACCCGCTACAAAACCCTCAGGAATGGACGACACGGAAGGGCGGTGGGGCAGCTGCCTGGAGTTCAGCATGATATGGCTAGAGACCTTGCTAGGTGCGCGAGGCCTCCAGGATGGCGCGGGGACGGTCTTGGTACTCCTGCTGGACCATGACCGCTGGCGCACGATTGGAGGAGGCCTCAACATCATCTCAATCTCCTGCTGCTGGTCGGAAGGGGGAGGGGGAGGGGCGGCGGACAGGGACCGGGAACGCGGTCTGCCATTGCTGTAGGAGGCGTCATCGAGAGTGCGGTAGCCCTTCTTGACGCGAACGGAGGGCATGAGTGGGAGGTGGCCCAGGAGGTTGAGGAACGGGATGGAAGGGCGAGACGAGAGAAAGCACGAGCACAGGGGTCATCGGGGCAATGGCAGCGATGGCAATGGGTGGTGCACATTGCGGACAGTCTCGGCCCACACCCGGACCTGGCCTATGATCTCATCCTCCCCGTCTCAGATCCGCCCAACAGCCGCCCATGCTGACTCGTAATATCCCTCTTGTCCACCACAGACGAACCCGGAAGAGCACATTCCAGGCTCATCGACCTCGTTTTGCGGACAAGCTTCTGGCTCTTCATCTCTCTTCGCAGCCTCAAGTTCTGAGAGCAATCTGTGCGTCCCTGTCAGAGTTCCCACGAATCTGATCCGGTGTCATCAACCCCATTCTGTCAACACTGGCCCGGCCCAAGTGCTTATCGCACTGATGAAACGAACGCGAGCGAGGATAAGAAGATTAGGTCGCAATCCAGTATTCCTATATCATACAGTACATCTAGCATATCCACCGCCTGTTATTGCCGTCCATCCGAAGTAGATACCGACTCCACGCTGGCTGTCTGGGACGTCTGAGACGATGACGCAGTCTGGAAGCAAACATGGTATCTATCAGCCTCAGCCGGGCCACGAGGATCAATGACGTACGCTCGTAATGCTTCCACTCGCCTCTGAGGTATCTGTGCTGTCGTTTCCATGGCGGTGTTTGCGCCGGAAGAGGCTCATCGCCCGTTTGCGCACCCCGCCCTCCCGCTTTGGCTGCATCGTGGCGTCCCGAAGCGCCTCGGGCTCGCTCGTAAGGAACGAAGGATCCGTGAGGATAGCGGTGGATTTGTCACCGGACTTCCGGGGCCCGTCCAAGTCGCCGGCGGCCGTCGGCCGTTTGGCCCTCAGCAGCTTCGGCGTGCTGGGCCGGCTCGGTCGGTCCGTCAGATGAGTGTCCTTTTTCGCGATCCACTTCGTCTTGGTGATCAGCTCGCGCGCGACAGGCAGTACCGGTACCAGTGGCTGCTGGAAAGCCACCTTGACCCAGCCGCGCCAGTTCCGGCCGGAGGGGATGAACTGTTCAACTAGCTCCTCGAACTGGTGTATATGCAAGTTAGCTAGGGGGACTCAGGCTAGCCAACGCAACTTACACTCCACGTCCGATTACGATACTCCAGGTCGCGAGTCCGTATTCGCGCATCGCGGCACAAGAACGAGTCCTCCTTCGCGATGCTTAACAAGAGATGCAAGCTGTAAAACCATGTTCAATGTCAGGAGCTTCTGCGTGAACGCGGCATCGCAAAGACAACGCACCTCGCGATCTTGACCCGGACGAACGTCTTCTGCGACGCCCTCGTCTTCATCTCCATCGCGTCGTCGGTCTCCTTGCTCCGCAGCTTGTCCTTAGACTGGTGTGCCGACTTCGTCGTGCCCATCGACGCCGCCTTCGTCATCCCCCATCCGTCCGTCGAGTTAGTCCGCAGGTTCACGCTCGAGTTCGCCCTCAGGTTCCCGCTCGAGTTCATGCGCTGGATCCTCGGCACCTGCAGCGAGTCCTGGCGCTCCTTCCGCAGATCCGTGAACGAGCGCGAGGTGCCCAGTCTCCGCAGGGCCGGCGGGGGCGCGAGCCTGTTCAGGTCCAGAGACTTGCGGGTCGGGTAGAGATCGAAGGAAGCGGATCGCGGGGAGGTGGTGTACGTGACCGCGGGGAGACCCTTGGGCCTCTTCTCGTCGACGTCGTCGTCGTCTGGAACGGCGAAGGACTCGGTCTCCGTCGGGCTCTGGGGGCGGTCCCGGCGTGAAGGCCAGACGTAGCACATGATCTTCCGCCCGACGCGGGTGTCGATCTGAAGGCGCATGGGGTGAAGTGAGAGCTCGAAGTCCTCGTAGATCGTTATACCCCCGACGGGAGGTAGTACGGTCCAGTGAGCCAGCAAGAAGAGCTTGCGCTATGACGGGAGCGATAATTCAGCGAAGCGCATATGCGAGGCGTGAGCCGCGACGTACCTTTACGAGAGGATGCGTAGACGGCTCGTCGTACTTTGAAAGGATCTCTGTCCACTCTGCATCTGCAGCGCCATCGAACGCCTGCAAGTCGCCCACGGCCAAGTTGTTCACCGTCGAACTGTCGTGCCTGCTGAGCCAGTAGTAGTCCGTCACCCGGATAGCAACTTTGGCCAGGAGCTGGTCGTGTTGGTCGAGCATACGCCACGACAGCTCTTCGGACGATGCGTGGAGCAGCAGCGCAGACTTCTGATCGGACTCGCTGCTCGCTTTGTCCTGGGCAAGTTTAATGGCATCGAAGATCAAGTTGAGTTCCTCGATCAGCAGGAGGATGTGGGCGTCGATCTTGAGAAGCTCGACGCGGCCGGGGTTGCCTAATCCACGCAGTTTCTGCTCGGCGTCGACCTTGGTCTCCAGGGCTTGGCGGAGCCGGTGCTGCATCCCCGCTACGACGTCGGCTGCAGAGGTGAAGTTCGTAAAGTCATAGCTGAACAAGAGGTTCTCGAGCTTCTCCGCACGCGTCTTGTGGGCGGCATCGGTGAAGAGCAGGAGTTTCGTGACAATGTTGGAGATGGCCTGGAAGTGACGATCGTTTGCTGAGACGGTGAATCTGGGAACGTGAACTCGGATGAGATCCTGTCAAGACATCAGGGCATCAGCGGTGCTCTATTAGGACGTATAATAGGAACGCATACCGTCTGATTCTGCAGGTGAGCGTGCTTGTGCTCAACGGATTTTGCGACCGCAGTAGTATCGTTCCGCAAGCGCAGGCGATTGAACTTGTCATACTGGAACGTGGCGTCTGTTTGTGGGACAAGGCGATCAAAGTCGCTGTTGTCTGCCCGCAGGTCGACGAGGACTTCTAGCGGAACGTAGTCCTTGCCAGAGGTATTCGTCGCAGAAGGAGAAAACGTCTGCAGTCCTGTCAGCCACGCAAAGTTCCTGCAGGAGGTATGTGCGCCGTAAGTCCTCCGAACACGTAGTAGTCAATGAAACTTCACCTGTTCATGATCTTGCCGCTGACGGGATCGTTGACGTTGGCGTCGTCCATGATGGCAAACGTCTTCAACTTCCCCTGTACCGCAGCAAGAACGCACACAGACTCGCGATCATCATTGCTACGAAGGACGATTTGCGGCTTGAGCAGTAAACAGAAGTGTCCCTTCCTCACAGACACTCCCTCGGCCCAACCGTAGAGAGGATCTACAGTAGGAGAGAGCTTAGACACTGTTTGAGGCGCGAATTCAACAGGGGTGTCCCCAGCGCTGTCGCCTGTCAAGAACGTCTTGATCTTTGCTGCCGCTGCATGTGCGCTTAAGGAAGGTCCGGAATGCTTATCCGTCTCGCGTTGGAACTCGGCAAAAGATGCTTGTGCTTGGTCGCGAATGAACTTCACAGCACTTTGACACCCCAATCAGCACTGCTTGAGACCCAAAACACTAGCATGGCACGAACCGCTGAGCCATATGATATTCGAAGCCTCTCCGTGATCGAGAGCAGTAATAGTATTGCATCATGATCTGAGTACGCTTTCAATCAACCGAAAAAAGTACGGTTTAAGCCACTCACATCTCGGATCGCATTGTCCATGATGATATGCGGATTGTGCATCTGGTATACGTTGTCAAACTCGGCCCATTCCTCAGGAGTGACCAGATCGGTAGGCATGTAGTAGCTCGAGTTCCTGTTGCGAGCCGCCGTAGCCTGAGCCGCCTTGTCGATATTACGGAGTTGTGTCTTGTAACTTTCAAGGAGCGAGATCATCCTCGGTAGATCGCTCCCAGCGCGCCTCTGCGACACTGTAAGCAACGAACGTACGGTGCGGGACCTTTAGGACCACTCACAGCATCACCATTCTCGTGAGAGTCATTGTCGTGAGAATGTGCACTAGCATGATCGTGTAGTCCGTCAGGTTGTTGGCGAGCCTTCTCATGCAGCCGGTCGATCCGTTCGGAAACCAGATCCATCTGCACCTGCGACACAGCTACTAGCAATTCAGACAATGGAACACCCCTGATTGCTCAAGACTCACAAGGTTCCTTGCCGATGAAGCACACGTGGGTGTCTTCAGCACCGAATTTGCTGCGGGAGGCCGAAGTGGCTTTGCGATCAGGAGCACCAGAATCCTCTTGCTTGAAGTAGGTGAAACGGGGACATGAGACAGCAGGGAGGAGATGCACATCCGGAACCGAGGTTCTCTCCGTCTTGACGAAGGCGAAGTCATCCATGTCCACCCAACTCGAGTGCAGAGGGATAGACGGTAGATCATTTCGTGTGCGGTAATTACTGACCAGGGGAGAGTACTCGATAGGAGTACACTGTTTCAGCGGGTCCGAGAACACAGCCAACATGGCACGCAGATCGAGGCCTTTGAGTACGACCTCAATGGCGTAGAACGGCTTGTGATGAATGGTCTTCGTCCCACCATGCGTAACCTCTGTTCTTTCCGTGTCCCGCTGATGCAAATCCGCATGGAACTCGTTGATCAGCGCCTTTACACCAACATAAGGGGTCACTCCGTCGGCCCAAGCATCTTGCGAGTCGTCTACGTAGACGTGCGAGATGAACACTTTAGGAACCGAGACAAGATACTTGAGGGTAGAGAGATGTTGCCCGAACTTGGGAGAGATAGGTCGTTTCCGAGGATACAGCTTGCCTTGTCGCACGGGAAGTGACAGGGCTCCATTGAACAGATGCCACCAGGACCAGAAGTGCTCAAAGACGGTCGGGGAGAGATGGAGATTGTTCGGCTGAATATGCGCGGTCTTGCGCAACCCGGAGGTCAATGATATCGACATATGAATGAAGTCGGAACGGAACCCGTTGTACGAGTCGTTTTGAGACTGAGTTTTGCCGTCAGTCAGCGCATTCTTTCATGCCTAGCAACAACATACCTTGATCACTGGTATTTGATCTTTCCACTCTAGTTTGACATCATAGTGAGGCTTGAAGTGGTACATACGACACTGGCGGTCGAAGGGTTTCCCACTGCAATTACCACATTCGGGTCCGCAAGTCCGCTCAAGGACAAATCTAACACCGAAGCAAGTGCCAGAACGGAACTTCGCACAGATTATCGGAGCTGGTCTGGCAGTATCATCCTTGGTACTCGGTTTCTTGGTCCCATCACCATACGTGTCTTTGGTGCTGGACAGGGCTTGAAACTCATCACACACTGCGAGGTTTAACGAGGACGTACTTTGGTATGATGATCGACATGGAATCGCTGATGACTTGAATGAGTTCCGAGGCACCATTAGGCTGTCCGATGAGTAGCTGAGGGCTGCCTTTCCAACAAAAGGCAAAACCTGCTCCGTGACCATCTAGCTGGAATGGATCACGCGAGCCTACATTAGGTTATAACGTCAGCGCGTTTCGCTAAAATGTTGATTGATAGGTCACATACCCTTCATGTGGAGGTGGACTTCACCCCTGAACAGAACCTTCACCCGCCAGTGCAAGATCAATCTCAACTGCAGCAGGTTAGGTTAGTTGAGTGTGACGAACTTTCGTACGTGAACCTACCTTGTCCCAGAAGCCGATAGCAGGTGAGCTATCACGAGGCGCGTGCGACAACGTATCGAGCACTCTCATGAGGTCTTGAGTCGCGGGCTGGTAGCTGACACCCCACGAGAAGTCCGTGGTACCATCCGTCAGTACACGAATGGTTGGCCGCGCATACGTCTTGACAGGCATGAGCGTTTTCGGTATCCTCAAAGAGATCGGCGCTGCGCCATGCATCCCGCTATGGGCTTTAACGATCTCGCACGGAACCCACTCTACAGAGTTCTCTGTGCCTATCTCCTCCGCAATGACGAGCTCCGTGTCGAAGTCCAGTGCCGGTGTGTGACCCTTAGAATGAGGGGGTATATGAAGCAGTGGAAGGGGGTATGAGCGGAATGCGAGACGCAAGGATGTAACCGTGAAGTGGATGTGCATGGGGACAAGCAGGGAGTATTGGGTGTCGCGGGGCAAGCCATTACCGACTTCATGGAGGTAGTCAGGGATAGCGCTGTAAGGGAAAGAGGGTGGGGTGATAGCGAGCGAGAGCTGATTAAAAGCGAGTCGAACGAGTGGCGGAACGGGGAGTACGCTGTTAACAGTGACCATATCATGTTTGAGGGCGGTAGGGATACGGAGAGAACCTATGGGATTCTGCCAGTGCGCTTCTTCGCGCTCAGTCTGTTTGGAGAACGCTTGGTCCATTGCCGCTCTCCACGCTGTGGTATGAACCTGGTCAAGCCGATTTCGCGCATCGGTGATCGATACAGTGTGTTTCGATGAGAACTGGAAGTCAGAGTCGCTGCGCAACGTAGACACTGATGAAGGCTTGGGCGAGGTGATCGTCTCCACCTTGGCCTGGAAGGCCTCCTCGCGCTCTCGCCGCACCTTGGCAGCGTTGAACCCGGTCCTCCAGATTAAAGCCATCCTGGCCTCGTGTTCGTCGTCAGCGGCTTCCACGACAAGCCGTCCAAGCTCGATGCGGATGTCCGGGAGTTGCTTCGCATCTTCCGCAGGGGGAGGCGGAGGATCCTCGTACCTGCCAGAGCGCACTAGGCGCACAAGATGCTTGACACTCTTGATGGTGAGGTTGAGGTCCAAGATCAAGTCGGCCAGAACGAAGTCGAACGGTATCCGCAAACGGCCGCTGTCTCCCTTAACTCTGATTAGGACGGGTTTGACGCCTGGGTTTACCTCAACTTTCCATCGTGGTAGTCTCATCAGCTCCTCCCACTCTTCCTGCTCATGACCCTCGTGACGAGCAGTAACGTTCACAGCAGTGAGGATATGATCCCATCTCACGGTAACATTGCGATCAGGTCCGATATCGCACTCCAGCGCAGAGAGCCGTAGGAACATCTTGCCCAAGAGGGGGAAGCGCCAGAGTAGCTGCAGCTGCTGGTGTCGAACTTGCAAATGCAAACGAAGCGTCGAAGATGCACCAGGAGCGGCAGCGGCAGATCTCGGGGGTGAAGGAAGGAGCGTCTGGACAGTGTGGGCTGCGAGGAGGGCATTGTACACTTGACTGAGGTTCATCTTGACCCGGACCTTCGGAATGGTGATCTCGACATGGCAATCGTCCATAGACTTCGGAAGAGGAACGCCGTTGGGTCGTTGACCAGATATAACAGCATGGATGTCGCAATTATCGACATGCAGGAACTCCAGCGAGCGATGATGGACACTTTGATCTCCGAGGCCATATGGGTCGTCGGCGGCGAAGGGTGTGGCGAAGGCGTCTCGCAGGACTATGTCCCACAAGGACACTTGGATCAAGGCACGTGCGGTGTCGAAGGCTGCAGGCGTACTATGCTCGCGGACGACATGTAAGATCAGCTCCTTGGGTAGCGAGAGCTCCGACCGCTGCTGATCGCGCGAAAAGACGGCCGACAACCGCGAGCAATGATGCTTTTGCAGCGCATTGTAGGTGATCGAAATGCCCATGCGTGACGCAATCCCGCGCGATATATTGAGGGTGTCATCTGGAGCAAGGTCAGGCGAAGTCAAGAATACGCTAAACCGACCAATCGCAATGGAGACATCGACACCAAAGGGGAGCTCGTCCAGGACGCGACGGGAAGGCTTCGGTGTCTTCGGCTTCGGATTGCCATTCAGGCGGGACAAAATACGAGCCAGTGACTTGATCACATCTGGTTGCCAGAGCTCAACAGAGACGGCGTCCGTGGCAATCTGACAGTGGGTGTATATGGTTGCGGTATCCACAGACACGATGCCTGCCGCTTCATCCGCGAACTCGCCGAGGCCGTGTCCCGTCCCACCAGCGTGCACCGCATCCACCTGCAGGAGGGTCTCGCTAGGGTACGACGGAGCGGGGAAGTCCTGGGGATGCGCTCCTCGCGCATGAGCGTCGGGTCCAAACCACATCTTGGTGTACAATGGGTTCAAGGTGAGGCCGTAGCGGAACTCCATGTCAAGGCCGGTAAAGTCTCGTTCGACATTGCCGTAACGATGGTCTGGGCGAGCGGTGAAGTGAGACTGCAGCGAAGCAGCGATGCCGTCTGTCCGTGCTTCTAAGACGAATGGGTCCTGGTCGGACTCGCTAGTAGGCGAAATAAGACGCAAAGAGACCTCGCCTACATGAACGCCGAAAGAGACACGAGGCATCGGGCTGAGCATCGGAGGAAGGAGGGACTGGCCGTGGACGGTCTTCTCTATCGATCGTTCTTTACCAATAAGACCCTCCAATATGTCTAATCGCTCTGTCACCTCCACAGTAGCCAGAGAGAGATTGGAAACGAGGAGATGAGCATTGGGATCTCCGGCAAGAAGAGCGGGACCTGCAGTGACCCACGGTGAGGGCCACTGGGAAAGCAGCGAGTGCCATTTGAAAGAGTCCAGAGTGGTTATCCGCAGGTGCTCCATGAGCTCGCCAATACCGTTCCTGTCGAGAGTAAGCTTCTTCGCCTCGAGAACCACCGAGTAGGCGTCAGCTGTGGGCTCAGTACTGGTAACAGTCTTGATACCAAGCCATTCCTTATGCACGTCGTTGCTTTCAGGGTGGCTGAGGCCAGCACGCAAGTTGATCTGCTGTATTGTTCCGTACAGAACTGCGCCGCCGGCTCCGTTCGCCGCTTGTGGTTGCATGCTTGCAGTCAGCTGAGGAATGTTGACCTCCACGGACTTGATATACACAATGTACATCATAGGTTTCTGTGGACACGCAAGATCAGCATATACCTGTTTCACCAAGGCATCGTACTCACACCGCCCGCACGTGAGCGCGTCTTCAAGTCCCGACTCTGTTTAGCAGCCCGTCTCCAACGCATGGAAGCCTAGCGACCATATAAATTCCTGATTACACACACAAACTAGGCCACTCACAGAAAGCGCTCCCATGAGAGGGGAGGAGGGGGACAGCGGAGACCTCCAGGCTGCCCGATTGCCAGTGGATGGTTGGGAAGTTGCAGACAGGGGAGCAGACGACGCCTCGTTCATGCCCGTTCCTCGGATCACGTCGCCCCCACCTCCCTCCTGTGCCTCACGGCGTTGCTTCATCGTCTTCAGCAACTTCTGCACCACGTCCAGCTGAATGTTAATCTTTCCGAGGTCAAGAGACATCTCCACGCTGCGGGGTTGCACGCCCTGCTGAGGGTTGAGACGTCCTGATAGGGACCATTGTACTGAAGGCACATCCAAGAAGTAGTGCCCTCGGTGCGAACCTGAACCCTCGTTAGCGGACACACTCTAAAATAGGCCCCTTGCGACTCACCAGCAAACATCTCGCTGCTCTTGTCCGCATGCCCACTGATCGCGTTCACCTGAAGTGTGATAGAGGCAGAGACTTGGGTCGCGCCCCAGGCTCGGTCCCACGTCCTCCGGAAGCTCCCCTTCAGCCTCGCATTCCAATCCGCGACACTCGCGAACCTCCTATGTCCAGTCGGTACCTTCGTGCTGTCCACGGAGACCACGCTGGGCAGGTACGCGAGCGAGACTGCGGAATGCAGCTTTGCATGGCCCACGGACCACCGCACCCCAGCGATGGACGAATGCGAGACCGTCGCGTGTTCGAGCTCAAAGTCCAGTCCATTCGTCAGGGTCGGGAGCGCGGAGATAGCAAGGCGGAGCGTGGTGACGACGAACGTCCGTATCGTGGGACGGACGTGGGGTTCCACGTAGTTGTAGAGGGAGGATAGCAGGGCACATACGATCATCCATAGACGGCGGGCAAGGCGCGAAGGCGTCGGACGCGGCTTGCGTACCTTGTGTCGGATGGAGCTTCGGATGGTAGAAACACTATCCAGTTCGAGAGACAGCCCTTGCACTTGGAAGGAGAAGCGGGTCGCATATCCCGAGGATGGCCGGTGGTACGAGATCCCTATGCGTTCGACCCTCCATGTCCCATGGCCGGCCTTGAAGTATACGCCGCGGATGGAGCGCAAACTGATGCTTCGGACACGAAGGCGAGTCGAGACGAGGCTCACTACCGCCGGTCCTATGTACGTCCGGAGGAGGAGAGAGACGGTAAGGATGCGGACCGCCCATACCAGGAGCGTGGCCCAAAGCGAGAGATCGTCAAGAGAGCGTAAAAGTAGAGCATGAAGGACGAAGTCTGTGCCCGAGTAGCTCTGCATGGATTGCCGAAGGACGGAATGCTTCCGGGCGGTCTAGCCACTAGGGATTAACGGACGACAGTCTAGCACGAAGTCGGTGGAGTTGTGTGGTAGTTCGAAGGAGTGTGAGCGTTGTTAGCCACGATGTGCGCGCATGTAAGTCGGCGTAAGTCTTGTTTTGAAGGCCGCGAAGGTTTGCAGGCCACGTCGATGAGGACAGTGCATAGATTTGTTCGAGCGGCGAAGGGAGGGCTTACGGCAGTGACACCAGCGACGACACCCAGCGCGCGTATGTCCGAGCGCATAGGAGCACGGCCCGCCCACGTGGCTTCTACCCCAACCGCTTCGTCCCGTCTCAGGTCTGTGCAGCAGTCGCATATCTAAGGCTTTTCCGACACTTGCTTAACTATCGAAACATCTTAAATATATATCATGTGTCGCACCATGAGAAATACGCACACAATGGCAAAAAAAACTCGCATTTCGATAGCATCGCGACGAACAAAGCACAGAGGTATACACACACTATCCGCTATAGACCGAAGGCACAGAGGTATACACACACTATCCGCTATAGACCGAAGGCGTTCATGACCACCCTTCCTCCGGATCAAGGTCCAAAACGCTGGGGATGGCATGAGTGTGTTTTGCATTGCACCATGAAATTGTGCGTGACTCACCATTCTTCTGACTCTCGTCTGGCTGGTGCATACGCGGAGAAAGTGAAGGTGTTACCCACAAACCTCCCTGGATTGAAGACATGGCAGCCTTCGTAGGTCATCTGGTACCTCTCGTATTTGTCGGCCAGAACAACCTGCGAGCAAGACGTCAGATAATACTCAGCTCAGAGAACACCTGAATTCCCTACAGCAGTCGGAAGGGGGTAAAGCCGGAGGGCATGGTCTAATTCAGACAGGGTAGGCTGTATGGACGTCGTTACCGGCATCAGATGGCTTTGGTCTAGGATTGTTTGGACAAGCTGAAGACAACCGCATTTGCTTAGTATTCAGTTGTCGAGTGAAAAGCAATGCTCACATAGCGCTCGAGATCGTCATTTTTGACGTCCGGTTTCACACCGACTAAGTTTCTGAGCATTCTCGACATGAGGTCCTCCCGGAATATAACGATCTCCTGCTCGAAGAACTTGATCCGACATGGGTTACTTGCAAAGTGGACGTTGGGCACGCGCGACTTCAAGCGGGACACGAAGGAGGAAAGTATAGGTCTGCGAGGCAGAACGGAGTTGATGGTGACGTCCAGCGGCCCAGGAACCAGAACGAAGTGCGTCGTCCGGGTCAGCAGAGGGTAACTCGTAATGAGGTCAGCCAGAGCCTCGAAGTTGTCTGCACGGGCGTAAGAAGCGATGTCAACACAAACCATATGATTCCTCACCTTGATATTTACGGAGTTCACGACCGTTCCCTTGCGGAATGCCGACGCTAGTGAAGTTCCCGCAAAGCACAATCACTTTGGGTATGAAGCTGTTCTCCATACAGTTATCGAACATCTTGCGGAGCCCCAAAAGGGTGTCTGGTTTATCAAGCCACACATCGGAGAGTACAAAGAAACGCAGGTCCGGCAGCTCTAGTTGAACCCGACTGGCGAATTGTTTCTGTACTAGCGTCAGTGTTGTGAGCAAAGGTCGTGTCACTGGCTGCTCACGTCTTCAAGCAGCGTCGTCGCGCCGCGACCAAGGAAGTCAATGTGTCCGTATATCGACCGCGCGGCTTCTCGGCTTTCGCAAGGCGGATGACCGATAGCGATGACGAGCAGTGTGGCGTCTTCCGTGTAATCGCCCTCCACCAAGGCGAAACATCCTTCGGTGAACAGCCCTTCACTTGGTTGCTCCTAGTGATAACCATCAGTACCGGCCACTGACCTTTGCGAATGCCCTCACTAGTTGCGAAAAGTCGAGCTCGACGGCACCATCTTGGTCCTCAAGACAAAGCTTACCCTCCTTCGAATGCGTGAGCATCCCAAAGAGTAGGAACCGGTCTCCAGCACGTCCAAGAAGTTGTTTCGTTGATTTAAGCTGTAGAGGAGCGTTGTGAGTTCACGCTGATGGATACGAAGGACTTCAAGCCGTACCGTCAATAAGTTCTGGCGATCCTTAGAAGGCAATGTCGATGGTGAGAAGTGGTCGTTCCGCAGTACGCATTGTTTTATGACATTCAAACGGTTGCGAGCGGCGAAGACTCTTGAATCAGCCGAACCTGACGCGGTCAGGGTACCCTGCGCTCTAGAAAATGATGTTAGAAAACGAAGATGCATAGGTTCAGCTTGATGCGACACCTTTCGAAGGTGCTGCGCTCCACAGACCAGTTCCACAGAGGCATCTCGTATGCATCTATGAAGAAGAGATGACTATCGGAGTCGAGTTGAGAGTGGCCTTCATCCTCGTTATTATCACCGTTCTGGAACGTTTCGTATACTCGTTGCAAGACATCGAGCGATACCTTCATCTGCGCGTCTCAAGCGAGTATCAGTCGTGACCTCTTTGTATTATATACATGTACCTACCATCTTGCTTGTTGTACTCTTGTGCCATCCATTCTATAGAGTATTCGACCTCCTCGTCTGCTATGTCATGTCGGTCGAGCAGGTCTTCCAGGAACTCCAGAGATTCGGGTCCGAGCGAATGGCCATATTTACGGAAAACCTAGTCAACGTCAGCATATAATCTAAATGGTACTAGACAGGCTGATGACCTTTATGATGACATGCCGACGATCAGCCATGTCTACCGACCACTCAGACTAGCGAGCACAAGTGAGGAAGTCGTCTGGCTGTGAACGCGGTGGCTCGACGAGGGTGTGTTTCCTGCCTTTGCTGCAAAGCTAGAGAGCCCACGAGTATTTTGAGACCGCGTGGAGGTGAGCGTAGTAGTAGAGACGCGTCGTAGACGCGTCCGAGTCGACGCGACAATGCGAAACACCAGCGTGACCGACAGCCACATAACGCGACGCGTCAAGCTGCCAAATCGGGACCACACTCCGAGGGGCCCGCCGCTTCCGGGCCGCAGTGGACTGTCTTGAGCACACGCGCCACAGCTACCTTCGCTATACGTGCTGCTCTCCTACGACCGACTCATTTCTGCACTAGTTCTGCCTTGCACACTGTAGATTCACAGCAAGAACGTCTCACCCTGCTCAGCATACGACACTATGTTCTCGACGCTCGAGATGGACCTGAGACCTGGCTCTGGTCTCTGGATGTTCGAGATAGGTCAGCATTGGGTACGGAACCCTATGTCATATCGTTCCTAACGATACACCAGGGACCTCGCTCTGGAACGTACTCGATATCTTGCGCAGCGCACAACACTTCTTTCCCCAAGTCGACGTCAAGTACGATCCCGACACCCCCACTACCCCCATCATCCTCCACCTCCGCCCGCACTTGGACCTGCTGTTCACCGGGTACCAGCAGCGCTTACACACAATTGCCGTGCGAAAGCTCCGGGACCCAAGTCCACCCCTCACACTCTCATACAAGAAAGCGGTGCTGTCATCTAATGAGGAGGTCCTCAGGAGAGTGGGAGTCAGCCGGATCTTCGGGCCTACATACCCAGGGGACGACTTGCGGTATCCGGGAGTGTCCTTCAGCTTCGAGGAGGATGGAAGGGGAGAGAGCTTGAAGGGTCCGGTTCCCCTCCCGGACGACAGGCTGCAGGAAGTGAAGCGAGTCATTATATCCCAGAAGAGCGCGGATGGCGAGCAGCGGGACGCTCTCGATGAGGTGGCGGAGTGTCCAGTTATGGCGGGTGAGCTGTGCCGGGCCATTGTGAAGGTGGCTAGACTTCATCCGCCCGTGTTAGATGGCATTTGACCTTATGACAGATTCACGAAGGCGTCACGCTCTATTTCTACCCCACGGGTTCGGAGCCAATACCAGTCCTTCTGGGATTGAGTACAGCGCAAGACCTCATGTGTGATTTAGGACCACCGATCAGGACATACTACAAGGAGGATGACAGAATGACCATCCATAGGTCCGGCCCCGAGTCTGATGCCGATGGTGATTGTGAGTGGCACCCGACATGGACGGTTTATGACATTGACACGTCCCACCCAGACTTCTACAACTACCAACAACATGGCATCGATTTTCTCATATCGGGCTCCACTCACACCGTCAAGAAGATTATCCTGCACACGAACGTGGTCAGTGACATCGTCCTGAAAGCAACTGTAGATTGCTTGACCTCTGTCTCTAGCCGGGGACCCCCCTCTTCCAACGGTACAAGCGCTGTCCTTGGGAGATACAGGGCCGTCCAGAGGACGACGAAGACGGTGCGTTCTTCCGCACAAGTTTCATTCCCCCACTGAATATCTGCTATCAGAGTCTCCGCCACGGAAACGGTTCTATGAGCGAGTCAGTACCCTTTCTCGATCAGCGCAGTTAGTTTGACGCGAACTGTAACTAGGTGGAGGAGATCCAACATTTCATTGCTCCAGGCGAGGCCCCGCCCTCCATGATCCTGAACAGAACAGACGACGAGGATGGGCTGCGACTTCCAAGCTCAACGACTCGTAAGTTCGGCGTGCCAATTTCTATCTCGAGGACCGCCAATTCACCTTCGTCTCAGGGTTATTCGGATACGACGGTATCATTCTAGAAGCCACAGATTCGGCCCAGGTTGTAGCAGTCATGTTGTTCTAGTATACAGATTTGCAACAGAAAGGACCATTGTTGTACAACATATCCATGGGACACTATCCGCCCACTACGGATCACCATCCTTACATATGCCATGTATACCCCTTATATCAGGGCAAGCGCATTCCGTTCATTGCTTGAATATCTCCGGCCAGACTGTTCGCAGCTCGTCGAGCTTAGTGATCACCGCGATGCCGTCATCGGCTACGCTGTCTTGGCTGTCGCTCCCGATGTACTTCGGCTTCCCGCCTTCTACGTGCAACAGCCCGCGCTCGCAGAAGTGGACGCAATGATCCCAGCCGAGCGCGCGCGCCGCTTTGACATTATTGAGGCTGTCGTCGATGAAATAACATTGAGATGGATCGGTCACCCCCGCGATCTTCATTGCCTGTACGTTCGTTCGTCCATCACTTCGCATCGTAACAGTCGACCATGTCAGCCCGCTTACATTCTGAAAGAACTCGGGTTCCGGTTTACAGTTGAAATCGGGATTTGAGTAGTCGCAGAAGACAACGTTCTCGACGAGATCATCCACTCCGAGTATGCGAAGAACGCGATTGGCATGCTTCATAGCGTCCGAAGACTAGTTAGCATGCGCGAGGTCGAACCGCTCGAGATGCACGCACGGTATAGTAGGCGTTCGTCAGTCCCCACACTCGAACCTTTGTGCGATCTATGTCTTCCAGCAGTTTGCGAAGCACAGGATCCGGTTTGAGTAGCTCTTCCAAAGGAAGAGATCCGTCGCACTTGCGATCAAAATCGAGAGGATCTGAAGTGGATACAAATAAATAGGCCGGCGCAACGTGCACGTGTAGCAGGCAAACAAGCCTACCAATCTGGTGATGTCTTACCAGGCCTCGGATTGCCAGCCCGTACTGAGAGTAATATCGATGGTGAAGCTTTGACGCTTCGTCGTCGGGGAGGCCCAGCCCGACGAAGTACGCTGCAGCATATCGGGTCAGCATCCTGTGATTGACGTCATTAAGGTGTGGCCATACCATGTATGCGCTCTCCCATTGCATGTGAGATCCCCGCACTAGCAGAGTATAGGGTGTTATCTATGTCCAACCAGACTATGCTGCGCTCATCCTCTGCAAGTATCGTGCAGAATTCAGCAAGCGTTCCGTACGCCGGTTTGAAATAATCTGTGCACTAACGCTGTTCGGAGGCACCCATGTTTCTGATGTGTTCTTTGGTCTACTATACGTCTGTAGTATGAGCTCCTGACTGAGGGAATATATCCCGTGTCAATTCAGTGGGTCGAGTTGAACGCGACAGGCTAAGCTTTGGATGGCGCCGTTAGGTGTAGACGCCCATTTGAGGGAGCGCCTAATTGCTACATTGGGAGAGCTAGGCGCCGGATGTGCAAGTGCGTCTCCCAAAAGTGTCCGACGGAATCAACAAGGCCCACCGACTTCAAGACCAACATCAGCGCCGTGAGTACAATTCTTTGCTGTTCGAACCTCTGGATGGACGTCCTAGGTGCTCTGGGCGGCATGTGGGAGGTTTCAAGGGTGAATTTGCGATGGATTGGGGCTGGATTGAGCGGCGTGCGGATGGATGTACCCAGGATTGGCACGGTGAACCTCTGCTCTCGCTCCTCGTGCTTACACTCCTCCTCTGCACTCGTAGATGGCCCGCAGCAAGGAAATCGCCCCCGGCGTCGGCCGCCTCTCCCGCTCTGCCGTCTATGCCCGCCGTGGTCTCTTCAAGGGCCAGAAAAAAACCGAGAAGCCCGCTGCGGCTGAGACCCCCGCGACGAAGGAGGTGTCCGTCGGCGGCGAGAAGAACGGCTCGACGCGTATCGTTCCGACCAAGAAGGCGCCCCGCTTCTACCCCGCGGAGGACGTCCGCCAACCCAAGAAGAGTCGGAAATCCCCCAAGCCCGCGAAGCTCCGCTCCTCCATCACTCCCGGTACCGTCCTCATTCTCCTCGCGGGTCGCTTCCGGGGGAAGCGTGTAGTGTTCTTGAAGCAGTTGGCGAGTGGGTTGTTGTTGGTCACCGGTCCCTACAAAGTGAACGGTGTTCCCCTCCGGAGGGTGAACCAGGCGTACGTGATCGCCACCTCTACCAAGCTCGACCTTGGTGACTTCAAGGTGCGCTCCTCGACCCAGAGAGGGTCAGCCGTCCTGGCGTCTCACTCAGATTTTGACGTGATATTCTAGGTTGACGAGAAAATCAACGACGCATACTTCGCGAAGCCTGCGACCAAGGGCTCCCGCTCCGCAGAGGAGGAGTTCTTCTCGGAGGGCAAGCCTAAGGAGAAGACTCCTTTCCCCGAGTCGAAGGCGGCTGACCAGAAGGCGGTCGATGGCGCCGTCATCGCTGCCATCAAGAAGACCGAGTACTTGGAGAAGTACGTCAAGGCGACCTTCGGCCTCTCAAAGGGCCAGTTCCCTCACCAGCTCAATTTCTAATCGGGTAGAGGGATTCTTTGGAGAGGTGGTGGGCAGACTGCTGGAGTCTTCAGCGAGGGGAGTTTAGCGGTCGCTGCAGCTATGACTATGATATGCCCTATAGCACACGCATGACACATATACGCACTTTGATATGCTAGTCTCTGGGCATTGTAAAACCTGACGATTGGGCTGGAATGCGCTCGCGGATAGTGTGAATCTGGCCCCAAACATGCATCTGGACGGGGCCCTGACGTTCGGGAATTGACGCGCCCATGTTCGCGGGCGCTTGATAGCGGCACGTCGCAGAATGCTTTCCACCAGGACTGCTCTGGCAACTTTACGACCAGCTCTGCGTCCTGTTCGCTGTGGTCCACGACATCTCCCGCCTCGCAGAACATTCATTGCGTCAACTATACAAAGCTTGTCAGATGGCTTTCTGGACCTGGCAATCGCGCTACCTTACCCTTCAGGCTGGCCACCATACTCCTGTACCATAATCCTAGTCACCGTTGTGACACGGCTCGCATTCACTGTGCCATTCTCCGTTTGGGTATGTGTATGCATACACGAGATGCCTTATCTGTGTCTGACGTGTCCATCCCAGGCCAAGAATCGACAATGGCGTGCAGAGACCATCGTCATTCCTCAACTGAAGAGTGAAATGTCTGCCATTCACAAACAGGTGCAGCGAGACATGAAACGGGATGGCTTCCGAGGGGACAAAGATGCGGTCATCGCGGAAATTAACAAGCGGACCCGACCCATAGTGAGTGTACGGACGTCGAATCCGTCGAACCTGCGCTCATGCCGTCTTGCAGGCAACCACCCGCCGAAAGGAGCTGCTCGCGCAGCACAACGCCTCCCCCATGCCGACCATTATCGTACCCGTCGTCACGCAGCTCCCCCTGTTCATCGGCACGAGCATGGTGCTCTCGCACGCGTCGACCGCGCCGACGGTCCTCGACTCCGAGTCGTTCTTCACGCTCACCTCGCTCGCGCACGCGGACCCCACTGCAACCCTCCCGATCCTCCTCGGCGTCATCACGCTCGCGAACGTCGAGAGCTCACGCTGGTTCGTCGGCGCGGAGGTGCTCCAGCGCGAGGCGCAGGTCGCCAAGTGGACGGCGGAGCGGCGCGCGCGGGGCGAGCAGATCCTCGAACCGCGTAAGATCCACCAGAGTGCGCTCAGAGTGCTCTCCGTCGGCCGGATCCTGATCGCGGCGATGGTTCCGGGGGTGAGTCGCGGCTGCGTCCTCCACGGTGCTGGTGCTTGCTGACCGCGTTGTGTGCGCTTGTGTTCTCCGTTTGCAGAGCGTCCAGCTATACTGGGTGACGTCCGCGACGTTCGGCCTGATCCAGTCTTGGATCTTGGACTATTGGGATATGAGACGACGCAAAGATGTTGGGCCGCCTCCGACGACCGGACCAAAACAGGCGTAGTCGGTGTGACGAAGACGTTACCGGAGTCCATCGGGCCCAGAATGGGAGCTGGTACTGGTACAGGCAATGTGAGTACTGTTTCTCGTCTCCTGACCTCCGATTGTTGCTCGGATGACAAAAAAGTGGTATGTGACGGAACCACGGTATGTTCTTACGGAACTTGTGGTTCCAGATGATTCCTCCTTGATCTAATATGACGAGCGAAGACGGCGTATCTCCCTGAGAATGATGCGACCAACTAATTCAATCCCTTGTACAGGTTCTATTTGTGCATGTCTCCGAGCTGCATCCGTACGGTAGGTTTACCAGGCATTGTAGAGTATACTAGATCGGATCCATATAATCACCACCGAGAAGTCCGAGCAATCACGCCTTCCTGTGCGCCTGTCCATCACGTCTATCGACGTATCTCCCGACTCCCATATGCCATGCAACCCGCGGTATCAGCAGACTGAAACCGGTAAGGAATGTGAGCCAGAGGAGGCTGCTCCATTCCCAAAAGTGCCATCGGTTGTCGCCCAGTGCCCACCATGTGATGATGATGTGGACGACGTCGGCGAAGAGGAGGGGCGTGAACAGTGCGCCGACGATCTTCTCCTGCAGTACAGGATGCGCAAAGAGGTATTTGCGGGCAGCGCCGAGCACGAAGACGTTGATGAGGCCGAGCAGGCCGACGGTGTGGGCGAGCTGGATCATGGTGACTTGGGTGGCTTTAGCTAGCGGACCCGGAGGTGCGCTGCCTGACGGCCAGGGGGCCTGAGCGTCGTGGATCTTGCGAAAACCGGTGTTGGTACATGGATGAAGAGAGAAGGCTCAGGCTGCGCACCGTTTTGGGGTCGGCCATGGCTCCCGCGAATCCCATGATGGCTAACAGTGGCTCATAGAGACCAAAGAGTACCCAATAAATCCAAGGGAGTGCAGTAGTGGGGCGATCGTCGTAGGCGGGCGACATGGCTATAGGTCTGAGGAGGTAAAGAGCGTAGGGGTGTGCGGGTAGCAAGGATATATAGATGTATGTTGAGGCTGAGTGGGCTGAGTGGGGGAAAGGAAGGGAAGGACCTGGAGTCAGGGAATGGCGGCTGGTATAGGAGAATGGTAGACCGATTTCATACTCCTCTGACGAGGAATTGCGGCAGAGGCCATCTGGGGGCGGTTGTGCGGGCTCCGGTTTTAGCTTCTGACCGGCGGCACACCGCTGCTATCAGCAGAGACCAGAAGGACGACGATATTCGCCAGCCAGTCCCTGCCCAGCGCCTCGGTACTCTCGGCCCCGAGAACAGACAGCTACGCTAATTATGCCATAATGCGCGCTCCGGCGGCAGTGCTTTAGCCTGCCCTGAACACGCCGCCTTATGAGCGTCCCAGCGGTCCATCCGCTTCTTCAACTTACATACACGGTCCATTTCTTACCCAGGCAACCTACACGCTCATAGACGTCGAGTTGCTAAATGGCAGGACCAAGAAGGATACCGAGAAGATGGAGGTTATAATGGTTGTACTTTTGTCGTCTGACGTTGGTGGATTATGACCTTCGCACCTCCTGACATTCCTTAATATCAGTCTCAACGCACTGCATATGTACATGCGACAGGAACCCGAGTGTGTCGCCGAATTCATGATGGTCGTTATCTAGTGTACTGTGAGATCGTGTCAGCCGCTCGAGAATGCTGTCTCAAACAGTACCTGACGTGTTGTTCTCGAGCTCGTCTCTCTGCAATGTACCTTTGCTCGAGATACGTGTTACGTGCAAAGCTGCATGGAGACCGAGAATACTTGAGACCCACTGGACAATGTGCGTAGGATAGGCTCAGGGTTGGACGTTTCCTCGCTGGGAGAGACAGGCCTTCGAGGCGACGGCACGCCTCAACGCCCAGTCGTCTTCCTCCGAAGGAGATGAAGGATCTTCCGCACCGAAAAGACACAAGCCATGCCAAATAGCCTCCTCGCCGTGTCGTGCACAAGTCGTACGGAAAGTTTGTCGGACCGTGACTCCTCCTCCATCTTGTACGCCGAAGGGTTGCGGCAGCGGGTGTAAGGTCCGTATGCGTACGGGGCCGCGCATTACTCGGTGTTCATCCTATTCTCTTCTGGTGTTCTCTCCCAGTTGCCATAGAATCACAGGAAAGTATTAGTACATCAAGAACATCGCTCGAGCCTGGAAGCTCATAAACGCCCATTGGCACCGGCGGGAGAATCGCTATTTCTGGCGCTTCGATGCTTGCGGCTCGACACTCCTACGTTCGATGTAACTCCCGACTTCTCTCGCAGTCACCGTCTGCAATGCTCCTCGCTGCTGCTGCCTGACGCTTCGACCCTCTCTACGCAGCGTAGACGAAATCTCCATGTCCAGGGCCGTCAACGTTCCACTTGCGTCTGACAACCGAGAGGAGCCCTTCGCCGAGGCCCGAAATGCAGAAGACGGCCAAGCGCAATCCCGTCAGGCCAGCACCGTCGAGAAGGTGCTCAGCTCGGGAGAGCCGTCACAGGACAATGACAGCCCTCCCCCACGCCGCAGCGATGTAGGCAACGTCCTCGCGCGACACTCTTCGGTCAGGGACGCAGACTCTCTTGCGTCGATCGACCGGCCTCCGAGCGAGGAGGAGAACCTCCCGCCATCGAAGATATACGAGCCGCTGTCGTTCCCGGTGCTTGCGCTGCTGATGCCCGCGTCGATATTTGGGGTGCTAGCCAGGCTGGGACTACAGGCCATCACTGCTTACGACGGCAAAGAGATATTCCCGCTTGCTTGGGTGCAAGGGGCTGGCTGTCTTGTGATGGGATTCGCGCTAGGGCTGAAGGAGCCTATAGGGCAGTTGTACGTAGGATTGCAGCTATTCCACTTTGTAGAGTCGTTGACCATGTCTTCCTCGTAGTTATGGACCACTATACACTGCTATCACGACCGGCTTCTGTGGGTCGCTGACCACTTTCTCGGGGTGGCAAGTCGATATTTTCGAGTCCTGGATTAACGGCACTGCCTCCCACCGGGACTGGCTCCGAGACGTAAGTGTTGACCTCACCATATGTATTCCCGACATGCACTGAGACCTCGTTGGTAGGCCATAGACGGCGCCGGGAAGACCGTATTCACCTTCGCCATCTCCCTATCCGCCATCTCCTTCGGCGCCCACCTCTCCAAGCTACTCCTGCCCTACGTCCACACCCCCCGGACGCCGTCACGACCGGTCCGCTACACCCTCTCCGCGCTCGCAGTGCTCGTCTACGCCGCGGCGTACCCCGCCTACTTCCGCATGTCGCCCCGCTTCCGGCATGAAGCGACCGCCGCGCTCCTCTTCTCCTTCCCGGGCACGCTCTCGCGCTACCTGCTCTCGCTCTCGCTCAACCCGCGCCTCAAGCTCTTCCCCCTCGGCACGTTCGCTGCGAACATGGTCGGCACCGCGCTCCTCGGCACGTTCCAGGTGCTCCGGAGCATCCGGCATCCAGGGCCGCTCAGCGCGAACGCCTGCAACGTCCTCCAAGGGCTCGCCGACGGGTACTGTGGGTGCCTGACGACCGTCAGCACGTTCGCGGCGGAGGTCGATGCCTTGCCTCCGCGTCGGGCGTGGTTGTATGCCGTCCTTAGTTGGCTGACGGGCCAGGTTCTCCTCGCTATCATCCTAGGGCCGTCCATCGGAGTGGGACATGTCAGCAGAGAGATTACCTGTCGGTTCTGAAGAATAGATCACCCTATCAATTTAGAGATATAGCGCATCCGTTCACAACATGACCTGGAGGCGTTCAGCCAGCGAGGGGCGGCACGCGACACAAACTATGGAAAGAGGTGTGCAAATGTAATGTATTTTATGTTGCGACTAGACACGATGCGAATACCCCAGAAAGTAATATACAAGTCGTCGGTGTTTGGTGACTACAGAATGGCCGCGAGCCCATCCGCGAAGGCTGTGGCCAGCCCTACGTACGCGAATCCGAATAATCGAACCAATAATCAAAGCGGCAAGAAATGATGTGGACTGGTAGGCAAGAACGATGCGAGATAAAGCAACAGAATGCGAAGTGAACCAAGTATGTGGTGGATGAGGCTGGACGGCGCAAGACGGAACCAAAAAGACATCGCGGCGGGACTGCAGGCTAGGTATGTATGCAGCAGGGGAGCAGTATGGCGGTATGTGAACGGATAAATAAACGAAGCACTGTGCAGATGCGTACGGTGCGAGGGAAAATTAGGATATATGCAGGACTGCTTGCAAGCGTAAAGTAACAGAACGCCGCTATGACCGGTGAGAAGGTGCCAAGGGCTATGCGGAAGGACCCATAAGATGTGGGAGTATGCGTACGGGTACTGCGACGGCAGTGCGCAAGTTTGCACAGCCGTCGGAACAGCGTGGCAGAGGAGTAGGAGGAAAGGCCAAGGGCGTGGTCGTCTAAGTGTCATTACGGTGGTGTCGTCATTAGTTGTAGCGTCGTGGATATGGCGTAGAATCCATTGCGGTGCGATGCATAGCAATAGCGTGAAAGTCTATTTGCAGGAAAGCAACCAGATGATATGCAACAGATTAACCCGTCAGAACTGCTGGGGAGGCACGACAGCGGGGCTGGTACCTCGCAGCGTAAACCAGGATAGGTCTCCCGTTCGACAGACACGAACGGCATTCGCGTGAACGGGCGCCGCTAGATGAGCCATCAAGGCCATTCACAGCGGTAGGCTTTCCTTCTCCCTGACAAGGATCTCGAGCTCCCTTGCATCCCTAGCTATGGCACGCGACCGGGATCCGGAGCGGATTCGGCTCCTCCACTCCTTGACCCACGCCCAACGCTCTTCCGTGGCCTGCTGTTCCTCGGGCGTCTCTTTTGACAGCCATGCCCGTAGCCGGTTCCGGCCGAGGATAGGTGCGAGGGAGAGGAATGACAGGACGGCCAGCTTCATGACGATTTCGGGTGACGTCAAGATAGACTGCACCGATTGTGAGGTGGGGCGGGGGTTCGTCGCCAAGGTCTGGAGAATATCGCCTATCTGGCAGGTCACGGCTGTCCACGGCAGGGATCCAATCAAGGCACCGAGGAAGCAATCCCAGACGGCGACTCCACAGACACCACATGCTATGTTTATGCCCGACCAAGGGACGACGCCGATGAGCCGGAGGACAGACAATCGTACCCATGCGGGGGAGCTGTTGTCCTTGGAGGAGTCCCCACCTTCCAGCACAGAGCGCGTCATCGCCAGCGGGCGGGGGAAGAACTGCGTCAGGAACGGTCCGAGCGGAGCGGCGAGGGCACTGGCTGACAGCGACCCCAGGGTGGTGAGGAATGTCAGGAGTACGATGGAGAGCGCCGCCGGGAAGAGCGCTCCTGCGAGCACGTTCTGCATAGCATTAACGTCAATTGTGAGCGCATAGGACACAACGTTGCATACGTACCGCTAACACGCTCCCAGGTATAGACCAACTGTGCATCCAAATAGTGACTACGGAGATGACGCCTACGACATGCGCAATGGAGAAAAGGCCGCTCTGCGTATAGCCATGCAATTCTCTGCCGAGCTGCGCGAGATCGGGCAAGGTCCGCGGCCAAGCCGAAGTGATGGGAAGAGTCGACATGCAGAACACGACCAGCGCGCTCGATAATGGGAACATAATCAGCACGAGAAGCACCGGCGTGTGGACCTGTAAGATGCGAACAGCGACGACGCGAGAACAATCAACCAAGCATCACGCGAGCGACTCGGGAGAAGACGCACTGATGGATGCCCTTCCCACAGACGCCCCTTCGCCTTCGCTTGTGGCTTCTCCGGGAATGAGACGTCCCCAAAGTACGACCGCGTTGGGGATGAGGACATGGGGAGGATGGACGAGTCATCCGTGCTCGCGCGACTGTGAAGAGGGGATGATGGGGTCGACGGAAAGCTTTGCTCGGCGGAGAGATGGAGCGTGTGCGCCCAGCGGCTGACCATAGATACCAATTTCGACGGCGGCGAGGGTATCTCTCGTGGAGACCGTAGCGGAGGGATGGAGAGGGAGAGCGGGGGGAAGTCGCGTGCGCTCCGGGGGGTAGGAGGGATGGGCGACAGACCGGGCTCACCGGTAGATGGTCGGTCAACAAGAGAGCTTGACCGCCGGCGACCGAGAGAGGCAAGCGTCAGCGGTGGGCGCACATTCGTAGACGATGCGCGGTGCCTGTTGGGCGGCGGGACGGGAGGACAGAGGGAGGAGGCCATGGCCAGACAGAGGAGGAAAGGGGATGAGAGCGAGGCTGACGGGCGGGTTATACATATGAGCGCTGTCGTCGTACAGCGGCCTTCTTTGATTTTTCTCTGCTGTCCCCAGTAGCCGACATCATCCCCATGCCGAATCCGGCCATTCCCTCCCGGCCCGACCCGGCCAACATTTGTGCTTACGTCCCTATGCTTGCCATCCGCGCCCGGATCCCCTTCCGCCTCGACCTGCCTGCCCAGCCCGCTCCGGGTGCTCTGCAACGCTCCAGCGGCAGCAACATCTCGTGCGCCGCCTAGATTGTGCTAATCAATGGACGCTGTAACACCACCATCATGGTGAATGTCAAACACAAGATCTGTCCCCACCCGCTGCTTCCAAGAATGCAAGTCTCGACTGAACGCGCGGACTCCGAGTGGCATGCACGGCGCCACTACCAAGGCCGAGCTCCCGGGCAATCGCTTATGTGTAAGCGGGGCAGCCTAACAGCACAAGGAAAGCCGCCTCCCTCTGACCAGGTTCTCCGACCGTCCTTGACGGGCGGGCTGCCACGAGGTTACGGCTGACTCCTCTTGCTGAGAAATGCGACTAAAGCCCGTGTGAGTGCCGCCGCCGGTCATGACATAACATCGGACCCTCAGATACCTACATCGGGTCTCTCTCAGTTGCGTATAACCTCGTGAACCATACAGATCGCTTCGAGTTACGAGATACGAGCGCCGAACATGCCACAATGTTACAGCAGCCAAAAGAGTTCATCGGAGATGGGCATGGGGTTCCAGCATTGATATGTATAGCATACACTTAGAACGACAACGAATGCATAGCGTCATGAAAAATCGACCAGCCCAATCTGCCTCATAGCACCTAAGGTGGTAGGGGCAATCACGATGCTCCACCTAGCACCACCTCAGTGCGCCCTCCTGCTCTCTTGGATGATGTTGCCGAGCTCCTCCAGCTTGCGCTTTGAGCGCAGGAGAGTACCGAGCTGTGAGATCGATGGGCAAATAAACGAGCGATCCAATGTGCGCCGAAGGACACTACTTACACGCTTCTTCGTGAGCTTACGCGCCTTCTTGTCCTATATATCCCATCGTGAGCCTCACAAGCGCCATGCGAATATCAGTGCAGAATCTAAGCGGACGCACCTTGGAGTTCCTCAGCAACTCCATAACCCGACGCTCGTATGGCGAGAATCCGACAACCTCCCGGACGATAGAGCGCACGAACTTGGTGCGTGCAGACTGAATCCCCTTGCGCTGGCTGGGGCGGACCGTCTTGGGGATGGGGGTCGTGGGGTGGCCCTTGTTAAGGCCGTAACGGAGGTCTGAATAATAGCAACAACGCGAAACACGATACGCTCGTCAGCAATGGGTCAAAGGTTCAGTATGCTGAAGACGCACTGTTGCGGGCCATTTTTTGATGTCTTGAGGCTGGTGGTTGCTGCTGAGGACTGTGGCCGACAGAAAGGTAGTTTCCCTACACGTGACGCTCCTTGGGTGGCTGATTGCCACTGTATAGTTACATGCCATATCGAGTCCTTTTACTCCCACGGACCCTAAAGCAGGACGATGGGCACTCATCATCCCTTCCCATGGACTCTCGTGTGTTCCGCTGCGATTATTGAACTACGTAAGTTTGGAAGGTATATGCGAGAAAAAAGGTGGATATGGCTCAGCATAGATGAACCATTGGGTACGAGAGAACCACCCATCCAAGAACGCGCCCGAGCACCACCTGAGTGCGTCCGACCCCGCTGACTTACTTCGACTGTGCGGTGCGTCTAGCTACTACTCGTCGTGGCCCGCACGCAAGTGGGTGAAGGCAGACAATGCAACAAGTTGTCTGGGCGCCCTGGCAGCAATAGTACTGGGAGCTAATAGCGTAGTTGTAACTCGGGACATAGACTTATTCTAAGGGCGGAATGATAGGACAAAGACACTGGAGAAGTGAAAGTTCGACGGCATAAGTAAACGAAGTCCATCAGCAGACCTGCGCTCTGATACCGGAGCCTCTTGGCACCCATTGGCGCACAACCCGTAGCTTCCCGCTCGGGGGAAGAGGGGAAACGCCGCCGAACTTGGCATCCGACTTTGCGTCTTCGCCGGGTGTTGGAGGTGGTCCGCTAGATGCCGGTGAGGATGGAGGGTTGGTCGGCGTGGGCGACCTAGGCGAGGTGTCAGCAGTGGAATGAGACACTGCTCGCCCCTTCATCGCTGAATCGCCCGCCTCCTCTTCCTCCTCTTCCTCCTCATCTTCGTCGTCATCTGCAGCGTCCTGTTACTCGTTTCAGCATGCTTAATCCTGTTTCAGGCGCAATGACGTTCCCACCGGATCGAAGTCCTCCATCGGTCGGTCCTGGTCAACATGTTCCTCGTCGTCGTCGTAGCGGTCGTCGTCGTCAATCCAACGGCCTCGCCAATCGACTAGGTCGAGCTCCTCGGTATTTTCGGGACGCAGCCTCATCCACTGCATGCGCGGACCGCTCTTCGCTCTCTCGCTGACACGGAAACCGTAGATCTTCGGAATGTAGACCTTCCCTGCCGCACGCTTCTGCCCACCGTATGGATTAGGATTGACGAATGGAGGCTGGTTGGAGGAAGAGCTTGCGGATGAGCGCGGGGATGTGGATGACGGGGAAGTGGGCTTCCAGAACGGGGCGGGTGCAAGCTCTCGGTAGCTCTGGAAGAAGAGATGCGCGAAGGTCGTACCGAAGAATGCACCTGGCAGCATATGAGTATCTATTGCGTACGATCAGCGATCGAGACGTACCATCGACGCCTTGGAAACGGCTGCTAGGCGGGGTATAGATGTCGTTGCAGTTAGGACAAAAGAGCTTCACCGTGTCCAATCCCGGCAAATCAGAACGTCCGCAGGGCACGACGTTGCAGCCATTGCAATAGACTCGAGGACAAGAGCCAAACACACCAGCTTCGTATTTGTCGACCTGGAGACAGGAGACACAAGACGTCACGAGCTGTTCATAGTCCCGTTATAGCATAACCACTCACCATAGCCTGCAACCCTGCCCTCGTCAAGATGTATCGCTGGTGGCAAAGGCCATACAACAGCTCAGCTGACGCCTCAACAATAGAGACGTCAGGGATTTTCGACGTGTCCTCGTCTAATACCAGCAAATTATGGGGTGCGCTGTGGGGTGACAATGTGGTTGACCGTACCAGGCTCCATATCCAGCACCATCTCCATCGCCTCCTTCCAGAATGGCACCATGGCATTCAGACCAGTCAGGTTAAAATCGTCTTCAATGAAGTCTTCGGCGACTTCGGAGAAGTACTCGTGACCAGGGAGAGAGCAGAACCAACTGATCCATGTTAGGGTTGAAGTAGGAGTAGAAGAGCCTGGGAGGCGGTCCCAAGTGAGTCGTTCGTGTGCAGCGTGAGCAGCACAGGTGAGCGATAGGTCAATATATTGGGATGATGCTTAGTTCGATGAGAGACACTTCACGCACTGTATCCCTCCTCTTCCTGTTGAGCGTCTTCCATCTCCTCGTCGCCCTCGCCGGTGCCGCTGATCGCCTCTTCGTCTTGCAAGGTTTGCTCACCGGTAGGTAAGTTGTTGTAGTCTGCTCGTCGGGACATGACGGGTTGAATGCGCAGTTAGGTAGAGGGAAGAGATAGCGAAGGTCGTCGTAACGATCGTACTTGCATGGCGGCCACGAGGTCGAAGCGCCTCTTTCCATATCTAGCAAGAAGGTCGTAGCCGAAAGGCAGTTGTCAACCACAGAGCCAGATAGCGAGGAACATCCCTATGCGTTGCATTATCATTATTGTAGATGTAGTGTAGGCGCATATCCACAGTCAAGACATCCACCTCGGCATGTACTAATGATACACTCAATATACGGATACAAGGAAAGACACGCGTTAAGTAACGTAATGAAGGAGCGACGATGTATGATGCGTGGTATCTGCATAACAAAAGAGCGTCGAACGATGTTGAGAAATCGAGGGGTATAGCGAAATAATGTACTAGCGACTGGGTATCTCTTCGGTATTGCCTCCACGACGCAGGTTTCGTCTATGAGGGGTAGAAGACTTCATGTACAATCCTACTGAGCGCCTCGTCCCTCCTAACGCTGAAGCCTCCTGAGTGCGGACAAAGTCCTTCATCGCGGGCCATGTCTCGTGCGCAAGCTATCTTCACCAGAAGCTTTAGCCCAACCGCCTGAGCTTCTGAAAGGGACAGAGAGTTCGGTCGCGCGATAAGATCGATGAATGGCTGAACAATGTCCTCTTCGGGAAGGCGGAACCGCATCCAGAACAGAATCTTGGGGATAGGGCTGATGTAGGACATACGCAGATTCCCGAGCGCTTTATCCCTAAGACAATCTATCTGCCAACGGTCGGCCTGCTCGAATATAGACATCCACTCCTCAACGGTGGTGATCTTGCAATCTCCCAGGACGCTGCACACGAGTGGCATGATTAGAGGATGCGATCGCAATGTGGCACAAAGCACTCACGGAGGGTACAACAGAGAGAGTAGCCGCGTGAAATCATCAGCTTCGATTCCCTCGAGAGTGATGGGATTCTCTTCGGAGAGGCCTTCGATGGACCCTTCGGGCTGAGGTAGCATGAACATTTCCCGGAAAACGGGGGAGTGCCGCTCGAGTAATGAACGATGAACTTTGTAGAGGGTCCCTTGACACTATAAGGAAGCTACCAACTCGGCTTTGTCAATTGGAGTGGCTAGGTGACTGACCTCCAAAACGACATTTCCATCATCGAAACAGTAGTCGCTGTGCCTACATTTGCCGGCTGCTGGCATGTCTGCAGGAGTGTTCCCGGCCGAACGCTTTGGGAGATTGCGAAGTGGCCTGCCGACTTGGACCATGGATGTGACCAATTCTCTAGGAGCAGAGATCCTGGAGGTCATCAGGGAGTTCGCAGATGAGTGAAGACCAAGAGTCCCGACGGCAGTTGAGGCTCGGAGATATTGTGCTGGCCACTTGGAAGGATGTGTTGCACTGTGCGGCAGTTCTTGAGGTAGAGTGGCAGCTCAGCCAAATTTTCCAAACTCGGCGATGCGGTATTGATGAATGAGTGAGTGTTGGGAAATATATGCTGTGGCTCAAAATGGAGGAAGGAGGGAAAGTGGCTTCAGCCACAGAACGGACTCGAACGCTGGAAGCGGCGGACGCGAAGATGCACGTGAGCGCGTCACATCAGGAACGTTGCGCGTCTCTAGTCTACTCGCCGTCTCTTCTTCCACATCCATTACCACCAGGCGTAAGATAAACCCCTCGTTCTGGCCATGAGCGGCAGCTCCTTGCGACAGAGGCTCTTTCCATTTTCCGGTACACAGAACTTCCAAGAGCGATCTCAGGCTCTCAAAGCCGACTCGACTCACTTGGAGTTGGGCCGTGATGGCCGGCATCTGTTGTCAGAAGCTCCTGGCCATGGTCAACAACAACGCGACCAAGTTGTTAGCCCAGAGACGATGCACTCTGCGCTTGGGAACCATGATACGCTCAACTCCTTGCAACGTGCACGTCAAAGCGACTCGCAGCGCAGCCGTCTCATTCTAGGCTCCAGATATCTGTCTCCGAAGGCCGATGACAGCTCTGACGATGCGCACCCATATCCTCGCCCTGGGTCGGTTATGTCAATGGTCCCCCAAACTTCTCTTACTCTAGTGTCGCCCCGCGGATTTCCTGGCAACCAATGCAGTATCCCTAGAGAGAGTCCACCGCAAGCACCGCAGACCACGTCCAATGTCTCTCATTCGCGCCCGTTCTCTGAGAAGCGGCCTGCAAAGAGTCTCCGTCAACGGTTGGACCCAGGTGCGCCCCACTTCGGATCGTAAATATCAATGCTCTCACCACCGTTTGAGAAGAATCACCAGGGCCCTCGGTGCGAGGAAAAGCGATTTCAGCCGTGGATCCAGAGCATTATAGACTCACAGCACCACGAGAGGATGTGGCCCCTCGTATCTACTCTCGGAGCGCATCAGTGTTGAGTTCCGTTCATGGCCGACAAGATGACGACATCTCCTCCATCATGATGCGAGGAGCGACGGACCTACGGAACACCAAGTTTGAAATCGAAGACTTGGTGCGGATTCGTTGAAAATCATGCGCATATATGCAGTGCCAACTTTTTTCTCAGCGACGAGAAATTGTGCTCTTGCACTCCCAAATCGAGTCTAGCGGTAAAGAAAAGGACGAGCTATCTCAACGACTCAAGGCTGTCAAGGATGCAGCGAAACAAAGCTTGCAGGCTAGCTCCAAGAGGTATTGTATTTGCTCTTCATCGTCCACTGCTGTTGACTGTACATATGCTAGTCTCGAGGCTGTTCGCACAGCTATGGGTGACCTGAAGACTCGATCTGAGGAGTCTTTTGGCGCTATTACAAACCTTCGCGCTTCTATTCCTGATGTGCAAGAACTTCGCAACTCTGTCTCTTCGATGATCGAGAGTGAGTGGTATCTGAGCTTAGACTGTGTTGATTAACCAAGGAGCGTCCAGGCATACAACCTCATCTCGAACCGGGTAAACAATGGGCGGAGTCGACAGAGCTGAAAAACGTCATGAAGACGCTAGAACTCGAGTGCTCAAGAAGTAAGTTCATTTCATCTTCACGAGAGAGTGTGAAGAAAGTAAGCCTGTGTAGGTCAACAGGTTGTCGATCTCCTGCGCGATCGGTTGCAATCTGTCGGAGGAGAGCTCGTGGAAGCAAAAGGTCGCATAGCGGAACTTGAGGCGGCTCAAAGCGACGATCGCGCCGCACTTCGCAAAGCAAATGACATAATACGTGGCACAAGTGAGTGAACAAATACGATTGTCCTACTGCTCTCGCTCTCATCTGACGTCCGAGTAGCCGGAGAAACATCCGGCTTAGCAGCGTCTCTGAAGGAGCAACAGAACAAGCTGTGCGAAGTTCTTGCGGCTTCCGCCGAATATGAAGCGAAATTACAGACTACGCAAGAGAGGTATATATCCTGCAGGCATCTGACGTGCTCGTGGCGCTGACCTCACCGTCCTAGACTCGTTGAACTGCAAGAACTTGTCGCACGAAAAGACGCCGAACTCCAGACCCTCCAGACGGTCCAGCACGAGTAAGCACCTATCTACAAGAGATCCTGTGTACTTCCAACACCTTCTAGAAATGCAAGGCTTCTTGAGATTGTTGCGGAGAAGGATGCCTGCGTCGCTTCCCTTCGCGACATTCAGCCTGAGTAAGGAATTCTCTGGAAACTTGTAACGCCGCACGTTGACATTGGGTGTTAGGGTTGACCGCCTTAAGGATGTCGTCGTCAAGAATGAGGCACACGCAGCTGCATTGAGGGCTGCAAACTCGGAGAAAGACTCGCAGATGACAGATCTCGGATCAAGGTACGAGTTCTTGCCTGTTCCTATAGTCCCCCAAATTACTGATAACAAGCGACAGGCTGAAGCGTTCAGAAGGCGAGAATGCGGAGCTCAACAAGACTATCCAGGAACTGAAGAGCGAATTAGGAGCGAGCAACGCTCATGGACAGGCAGTTTCGAAGGACAACGAGAGGTTGCTGAAGGAGAAAGGCGCCCTGACAGATAAAATCAATGATTTGGAGTCAGCTCTTGGCCGTATGCGTCAAGAGCTCGCCGATCGTACTGATAAGTACGTCCTATTCATCTTCTTGGTGCATTTACCCATACTCTTCGAGTTAGGTTACAGCAAGCGAATATACGCCGCCAGGTGAGCTCGACTGTGGCATAGTTTCGCTCTGTCAATTGAGCTCGCAATTCGCGTAGTCTCTCGAAGAACGATTCGAAGATCAAGCAATCACCTTGCGGCTGACCCGGGAGTCCGCTGGTGATGCTCAGGTGCTCATTCTTCTCACCACAGGATGCGAGAAGCTGATGCGTCTCAGGAACGATTACTGTCCGCGGAGGCGGTGCATGCCGTGAGTGCCCTTCACGACGACGGGTCGATTGTACTGACGTGACCATGTAGAAGGCCCTAGCGGAGGTCAAAGCCAAGCTCGAATCGGACGTCTCGGTCTTGCAGGAGCAAAAGCTTGGCCTGCAGACTACGATGGATGTTATGGACGTAGCACTCAAACGTCAGGAAGCGTCTTTGTCCGCCATACAAGAAGAGCACGCCGATCGGCTTAAGCAGCAGGAGTCGACATTTGCTTCACGTCTCGAGATGGAAGAGAAACGTCTGCAGCAGCTGGCAGAAGACCTCCGAGAAGCTCGCTCTCGAGCCACTTCAGCTGAAGATCGCAAGCTTTCGCTTGACAATGAGATACGAGCCCTCCGAGAACAGCTTCACCAGGCGCAACTGCCATGTCCGGAAATCGAAACCGAACTTCGAAGACTCAGATCCCTGGTTGCCACCTTGGAAGCTGCAGAGATGAAGAATATCTTACGAGCCAAGACCCTGGACGCTCGCTATCGTGTGGGAGATCTAGTACGTTGTTTGTGCGAACGCGCTTTGCGCGTCGACTGAACCATACCAGAACGACGAAGAGAAGGTCTTCATTCAAACGCTCATTCAGACCTCGCAAGCCATACATGAACAGGAACTCGTGGCCAGCCGCAATGAGCTTCGTCGCGTGCGTGCTCGCGTCCTTGGCTCGCCTTAATGCTTATCATGATGTAGCGAGACAATGCGCTCAAGGAGATGCGTGCCAAAGCCCACCGTCTTGAAATCACGCTAGCAAAGCACCTCAATGACAAGGTATGCTGATCCCAGATGTCTGTACAATATCATATTGCTCACGGATCACACAATAGAAGGCCGTACCCATCCCAACACCAGTGGACCATTCTATGATCGACCCTACCTCATGGATGTCTTCCGCGCAGAGCAGCTCTCCCGCGCAAGCCCCTGATAGGGATGGACTGGTATGTCCTGCAGTCTACACTTCGTGAGATGACCTGGTGTGAACCCATCACGTCCGCATAGCAACCTACCAACGTTGACATTACGATATCAACGAAACGAACCCCAGCAGTACTGCATACTGATCGTCGCGCAGCTGCTCCAGATAGCGCGTCCGTGCATGTTACCTCAGGAAGAGATCTCCCTGCTCAGAGTCCAGCGCCTCAGGGTTTCCAGAAGACGACGCCTCCTGACCCTGCAATCAACAAGAATGCGAACAAGCCCTACTTTAGCAGGCTGGCCACTGACTGTTCTGACGAGATTCTTGACTTTGACGATGACGTGCTGTCAATGCGGAAACCGACGCCACCTTCTTCTCTCGGTAAGCGACGCAAGTCCAAGTCCCCGTTCAAGACCGCGGACGAACTTCAGGCACCGACACCCTTCAAACGCTTGGTAAATTTACCGCTCTGCCTAATGACTGGTTCTCAAGTTGCTACAGAGATCTACCGTCCGGAAGACGGAGATGGGAGGAAACCAGACCGTCATGACCGCTCCGAAGAAGGTACGTGGGAGTCCTTCACGGACGTTGGGTTCACACCGCACAGCGCCGTAGTCTCTCCAAGCCAGTGGTTCCAAGCCCAAAGCTCGGAAGCGACGCTAAGTCCGGCGTCGCAATGCACTTCGACATTCTCTTGTGTCTCTTCGATCGAGACTCTAGCGTTGGTTCTCTGGTCTGCTGCTGGCTGGCGCTTCTCAGTCTCGAATACACAAGCTCTAATAAAGTTTCGTCGCTCGCTCGGCATGTCTGGGCAATCCCTGAATAAGGAGTCTACTTGGCGGAATGATGTACTTGTCGCTGGAGAAACCTAAAATAATACAAGGCGATAACAACGTATCTAAGCATGGTATTGCGCATCTCTGCGGTCGGGCTCTGACGACATTCGCTCGCCCGGCCAGTGACAAGGAGATCAAAGGTCCCGTTTTTAGATAGGCAAATCACAGTTCAGCGATTCCGTGCGCTTTGATGTTGCCCTCGCCGAGTTTGCAACCCCTGTGTTGTATGTCTTCCAGAGTATCAATAGCTGTCGCTGCGAGTCGTACAGGCACTAGTCTAGAATTCGCTAGTAGACTGCCTTCTTTGTGCGTTCTGCCGAATGGTCTATCTGAACTGTACCAGAAAATGATTTACATGATCATAGCAACACTTGGGTGGTCGTAAGGTCCGCCTTCCGCGTAGACGGAGAAAAATTAACATGAGTCGGCCCAGGGTCGAACTGAGGACCTTCTGTGTGTTAGACAGATGCGATAACCAACTACGCCACCGACCCGTTACGTAATGTCTTACCAATTATATAAGATTCCACATCTCGGTGACCTACAGCTGCCTACACAGTACACTACAAATATATGCCCTCATTTTCACCGTCTATGTTTTCACCGTCTATGTTTTCACCGTCTATGTTTTCACCGTCTATGGAGGCAGTGGATGGACCCTCTGTGCGAGGGTTTCCGGATCGTATAGTACCTGGAGGAGCTGCAGCATTCGAGGTTTCCATTGCCGTTGTACCGAGCTGGACACGAAGGTCGTAGTGGGCACTCATGGGTACCCCTTTCTCGGCCAGGGCAATCCGTAACATGCTGATCCGTTCATTCTGGGAACCACTATACAACTAATTAGCAGATGCAAGCTGCAGATGCAAAATTACTATCGCACATGACTACCTCATTCTCCTCGAACGCTTCTAACAATTCTAAGTCGCCGGGTGTAATCGACAGGGCGTCTTTCAGTTCATCCTGGGTCCTCTGAAGATGCGCAATAGAGTTCTGGAGACGCGAAATTTCTAGATCCCAGAAGACTGAATATGTCTGGGCTCCAGTCGCACGGTAGGCACGTAATACAGACCTTCCGTAATTATAGGGACATCAAGTCCCCTCGCCTCTTGCAAGGTAAACGGCTGTGAATATCTCGGAACGTATTCCATGTCAATGACAAGCGCAGACGAGATGAACGATGTGACAGTCGACCCCAGAGCAGGAATCAAGCTTAATGAGTGGTAGATTAAGACTACATATTGGCAACGCGTTCATAAGAGATGTGACTTGATGGCTTATGTAACGAAGTGTGTACATGTGTACAAATTACTGATTTTGTCGTAGGTCGCCCGACACTCCAGTAATTAAGACGACCGTAGGAAGGATCGAAGTCCCCCGCCAACCGGGCAGTCTGATTGATTAGTGTATTCCAAACTAAAATGCGGTAGAAGATACAGTGCGTGGTATTCAGGTTAATAATAGTCGAACTGCTCTAAATTTGATGAGAGGGTCCGAACACACGACAGCAGAGTGAAAGCAACTACACGCCCAGCCTACGAAGAGACAGCGTGAGCAACACACTTCAGGGTACCGGCTCAGCAAATTTTTGGGGGACTTACTTTGATTTGCTGGACTCATATACGACGTACGATATTGACACTGCAGGCACCACCTGTATCCCGGGCGGATGACAGTCAGCATAGAAGTTTGATCCGCACGGCTGCCACGATAGCGCACCTTTGCTAATGTAGGTAATAGACCTCGGTAGAAGCCGCGCCAGCCATCTTTGGCATACGTCTTCTGTACGACATCCATAATGCCGGTGTACCGTTCAGGGTGTCCGGAGGACCCGGAAGCCTGCAATCGCGTTCTGACGAGATTGAGTGGGTATACACTGGTCGCCCCGACACTGCCCGAGACACTGCCAAACGCTAACAATGCAAGCACGCCCGGCTCGTCCTTGCCTGTCGACCGCAGGTAGGCCAGCTTCAGGGCCTCGAATGTACTCATGTCGATCGCGGAGTATCTGTAGAGGATGTAGGAAGCTGAAGGATGGACATCGTGTTGGTGGGCACTCACGGGAAAACTCCAACGAGGCCAATCTTAAAATTAGACGTCAATAATTGTGCCCATAACGCGAGGCAACACGAACTGACCGTCAGACCACGGTAGTATGCTCGAAATCCACCGAGTTGCCATAATCGGACGGCGGCTTCCCGCAGCGATCGGCGTTCGCCACCCGCGCTGCTCATCATTTGTGTCTGAACAATTAGGTGAGAAGGGATCTCAAGCATGCGGTGACGAACCAACGCAAACCTTGAGCGTTTCTATGGGATAGATGGCTGCAGGACCATCAGTACATGGGTCTCAAACGTTACATTACGGCAACGCACAAAGCTGGCTGCTAATCCCACCAAGGCCACCGGAAAGAAAACGACTGACACCACTGATGTCTCGAGGATCGTCCACTTTATCCCAATATTGAGCGAACATGCGTTTCTGCGACAATATACGGGGTGTGAGAGTTTATGAAGTACTGCAATGATGATCGACTGACGGATGATTCATAGGTGAGGAACTTGATAGCAGACTCCGGTAAGATCTTCGCTACGGAGAGACCATTGCCCGTCCAGAAGGCAAGGACGCCCCCTTCGGAATATATCCTCGCAATGGCGCCCATTATTGCTTTGATCCCGCGTATCGGTGTTTGGGAAGAGAGTGTGGTTCCTCCGAGTTCTGGTGGTCGCGTAATTAAGAAAATCTTCAGCCTATCGAACGGCGCTGTACATGTTCGCGAAACTGGAAGACAGTCAGCACCTCGCACGAGTTATTGAGAGAGACGCTTGCCAGCTCCAGCAAATCCACCGGCGAGAAGGAATTTGACAGCGGTCTTCCCGCCGAGCCAGATGTGATGAGGCTCTTCGTCCTCTAAATCGTCGTACTCCACATCGTCGTCTTCCCCGTCATCTACTGATGCTTTGTGATCTACGAGTAATGGTTGCACGTCCCTCGGGGAAGCGGCGGAGTGCACTGGTCCCCCTAACGCGAGATCCTCTGCGCTGAGACTAACATCGCCTTGAAAAGGCCAACAGCGGTCAGAATGGGTCGAATTTCGTTTCGAATGAACACACCTTCCATGGTGACGCGCGCAGCACCTCGCCCATCATCGCCCATGAATTTTCGGACCTCATAGTACCTGAAGATCTCTTCGGGCGATGCTTTCCGGGGCATGAGCAGCAGGAAGTCTCGGAACTCTTCGAAGTTTATCGCGTGGGAGTGCGGGGAAGAGGTGAGGAACGTGATGAATTCGGAAAGCGTCGAAGGGGCTAGCGCTATGCCTGGGTCCGCTGCGTCAGCTCCCTCGGACTTGGGTAGTAAGATACGGGAGTACATACCAGCCTTCTGCAATGCGAGCTGCAGTTCTTCCGCGTCGAGATGCCCGTTCCCGTCCAGGTCTAGTTCATCATGAAAGATATGCCATAGCTCTGTGGGCGATGCGCCCTTAGCAGACGGCCCGTGCAGAGGGATAGCAACCCAAGCAGTATGAACGCACCAGTCTCTTTCGCATCCGCGTACTTCTCGAATTCAGGCCATGACACGCGTCGCGAGAACGGGCCCTGACTGTGAACCCCGCACCGTCCGAGCAGCTCGTCCTCGTACATCTCGCCCAGCTGCCGCGCGCTATCCGCCGTCAAGTCCTCGTCCCGCTTGACGGGGTACGCCCGCGCGACGGTCTCGTCATCAATCGCCGGCGCGTTGTCCCTCTTCGGGAGCTTCGCCCACAGTGCACGCAGTCGCTTCCGCCGGTGCTCTGCGCCCTCCTGCTCGCGAAACTCTCGAAGACTGTGGGGTATAGGCTGGTACGATGCCGGGTCCGAACGGAGATGTGGGATGAACGGCCTTGGGCGCGCGCCGGAGAGTGTCTCCTCAAAGATTTGGCGAGCAGACGGCCTGCTCTGGTCGTCCTGGACTCCCATCCGATGTAGACTGTGCGATGGTTGAAGTTGCCAGAGGGAGATAGCGCGCCGTCGTGTCAGAGGTGTTCGCAGATAGCACAGAAGTCAGAGCCGCAAGGATAGTCTATGAAATCTTCGCGAGATTAGATGGATCAATGTAGAAGCATCACAGCAGGTATCGCAGTGGGCGTTGGCTCGCGCGCAGAGGGCAGTGTGTAAGGCGTTGTCCGGCGGAGTGGCCGTGAACGCAGACCCGCCGGCTTGCGCTTGTTCGCAGTTGACGCACACCGGCCCGCTGATTGGCTGAGCAATACATTTTGTGTCAACGCTCATGTAAGTACAGTGGGAGCACAGAGAAAACACCATGGTAGGTAATACAACTAGGCCTAGGTTACATGTTCATGTGCATGGATCATGTCAAAAGTCAAAGCATAATCTCGTAACGACAAAAATAACGATAGCAGTCGACAGCACCGAAAACCCAGGACCAGGAAGGGAAGCGTGACACGAACATTTAATATTTGGTGTTGTGGCCCACCTTTACCCGAAGATGAAGGCCCAACCTTTTCAGGGCGTACCACATGCCGGAGCACATGCTATGACAAGTAAATTGAGACCTCCCCGTTGACGACCTGTTGCCTGTCGACATCGAGCCTGCGCTCTGGCGACGGACATGAGGGGATGTTCCGCCACGCCGTGGGGGCAAGTCTTTGCTGCCAGCGAAAGAAAGGACGTTACTACGTGACTCAAGAGAGTGAGCGGTTACTGAGACGTCGGTTCCTAGCCTGCCAGGCCAGCTAGTAAGCGTGGACGAGGGCGGTGCGGAATCCCGCTGCTCTGCGGACACATGTCCGTTGTAGATCTGACGAGAATAGATCAGCTTCTCGTTTGGGACAAAAGGCACGGTCACCGACGTACAATATGTGTTTGGCTATCCTGCGAGCTCGCCCTGGAATGACCACCAGATCGCAGTTTTGGGTACTGTGCCGGGATTGGCGGAGTGGGCGGTCGATAGATCTGCAAGCGCACGTCGTCGTAAATGAAAGAGATCAGCGAGATATTAACTACTGTACGCGCGTCACACACCTTCGGCAGTGATTTTTGGCTCGCTCGTCTGCGGACGTCCGGCGTCGGTTGCGGGAGAGTGCACTCGACACTCTGTACCGGCAAGGACTCTGACTGTGGCGATAGGACGGGCTGCAGGCAATGGCGAGGTGGGTGCCCGTCGGCACGAGTAAGCTCCGTCGGTACTGATCTGTACGCGATACTGATACGCATGGAGGCGGCACTCACAGTGGAGCCTTCCTGGACCTCCAGCTCCTCCACCAGCGTCGAGTTAGGCGATTCCGGTCGGCTGCCAGCAACCGATTCGTCGTCCTTCGGTGGTAGCTCGGGCGGGAGCGAGTTACGCAGATACACTGCATGCCGTTTGTCGTGCGTAGACGCATGCTCCATTGTATCAGACCACTCAACGGGGAGCTGTGGAGGCCTAATGAGCTGTGGCGCTGACATGTAGGAGACAGCTCTGGTATTAAACATACCGGCGGGACCTCCTTATTAATATTGATGGTGAGCGAAAGCCTTTGGATCCCTCGCGCTGGTAGAGAAGGGGCGGTGGTTGTATCAGGGGAGAGCCTCGGGACGGGCTTGCGTCGAACGTTGCGGCGTTGAGGACCCATGTTATTCGGCAGTGACAGTGGAGACATTGGCGGCGAGCGGTAGGCGAGTCGTCAGAGGTGGGGAGCTGAGAGGCGGGGAGGGGAGCTCAGAGAAAACGCAGCTACCGCCAAGCCCGGCTATTTAACTAAGATGGAGTGGATCCAACAGCTCAGCCCTCCGATGCTCGTTGAGCACAAGGGTCCACCCAAGGAAGTAAATGTGACGACATCGCATTCCAAGACGTTCCTCCACACAGTATCTATCCGGACGATCCGGAGCATGGCCAAAAGAAGCATTGGCAACTGCACGCAGCAACATGTGGATACGCAGGCAGGGACTCACATACGGCTACGGCTGGGAAGCTTCCCTGAGCGCCAGTGGGACGAATGCAACGAGAAAAAACACCGTGTAACACGTCCGGAGATGAGCTTTCGTCGGTGGTGCTTTGTCCGTCCCGGCCCCTGGCATGGGACGCATTCCTCCCAAGGCCTTCGGCCAGAGGGCGCTCGATGCCGCATGGAAACCATGAAGTGATCGTGTTGGCTAGCCAGAAGAGGGTTATTTGGGAATCTGCTCCGCGGGTCGTTCCAGAGCGCGTCATGGGGAACACGACCTCGCCCACCCACCTGGGAGAGGACCACATGCGATGCCAGCCCGCACGCGGGGGGCAATGGGCATAAATACGTTACACCTGCTGCAGCACGAAGTTAGGTTGGCCGAACGCGGGGAAGGTATCGGTTCATATGCTCCCGAGGTGAGCCGCTTACGCGTCGTCGTTTGGGTCAGAAAGCACGACGCTGCGGGCTTAGTGCGAGGACGAGAAGGACGGGCATGTCGAAGTGCCAACCTTGAGCATAAACCCAGCCGTCTCACGGTGCCCATCCGGCACGTGTCCGTGTCCTCGCTCCATTTGGCTCCGTGGTCGCCGAGCGCCCGCGGACCGCACGCCGTGGGATGCCTCCGAGGGTCCATCGGAATGACCGCGAGCAAATGCAAAACATACCAGATCAGCATCTCAGCGAGCTTCATAAAACCGCGTCGTATGGCATGAGTAGTGAGCGGCTGTGTTATCCCTGTGTTCGAATGAAAACATCGCCAGTGCTAGGGCGATCGATGCTATGTGCCGCTCATGCCATGACTCTCCGAGGGCGCTGTGGTCCCGGTTCCGCCGCCACCGCCGACAGGGACTGAGACACAGATTCCGGAACAAACATACAAGATTCATACAAGGTTCATACGGTACATACAGCTTACATGACATGCGTAGATCGTGAGGGGAAGACATAACGGGGAATGCAGTGGGTGTGGGGAATAGGGTGGGATGGGGGAATCCGTAACACGAGATGCAGGACGACGAAAACAACGACATTTCAAGCTTAGCGATGACGAGAAGACGGGGATAGCAAGGGCAGCAGGAGAAGACGATACAGCATGAGCACAACGGCAACACGACGGCACAACGGGGTCCGTGACTGTTCTACCCTAGCCCGGTCCTGACAACAACTTGAACTTGGAGACGGTGGCGACCGAGGGTGGAGGCCCTAAGTGAAGTACATCAACCTCTTCGAATTGTTGTGCAAGGGCCTGAAGTTCGCCTTGTAGGCCTCGAGCTGGCGACCCGCGTCAGCAGAATCGAGCTGCGTGCCAGACTCGGTCAGGTCGAAGTCGCCGTCGGGGCTATAATGGTTCTTAGCGCGCGAGCACACGATGTCCGCATCTGGTAGTAAGCGAGATGAACAGTTATTAGCGACAAGGGTCCGCTCGAATTCGGACAGCACAACTTACAGTAAACAGGGGCAGGAATAGAAACCGAGCGGGTAGACCGGGCGTAGACGTGACACAGCGCGAACGAGAGCGCTTGCAGGGCATCCGCAGTGAACTCGTTCTCGTCATAGAGCACGTTGTAGTGCGCAGGGCGAGACGTTCCGAGCAGCGTATATACCCAAACAGATCGTGTCAGTCAAGAATTCATTCGGCACGTAGTGAAGGTACTTATCCGCTGTGGCTCTGCAAGTAGAAGTCGAATTCCGTGGGGTGCGTGATATCACGGTCGACGACAGTTCCGGCAGGGCAGTTGCCGCTCCTATCCGCATCGTCCCTTCTCTGCGGGAAGAAGCGAACGTGGTGGCGCTTGCCGACCACGATCACAGTGATCTTCGCGTTCACATTGTTATTCGCGAGAGCCCCTGTAAACCGAAACACCGACTGCATTAGACCCTGAGCCTGCAATCGACTCTCTCCAACTGCACGTACTCTTCAACTGAGGTAGTTCTGGAGTCATGACATCCAATGCACAGGTGAGTGAAGGGTCTGTTGCAGAAGATCGAAGGGCAACGCACCGATGTCCAGGACGTGTTGGAACTGGCCTTCCGAGACACCGTCACGATAGAAGATGACTCGCTTGGGGTCTGCGGGCGACTTCTTCTCGACATTAAGACGGTACTTCTTGTACATGTCGATATGCTTTGTCGCCATGGCCTCGAGATCATCGATCATCTCCTGGCGCGAGGTTTGGACGCGACAGTCTGCGACGTACTTCGCCGTCTCAGAGTCGACGTTGCCCACCAGGGCCGTGAACGACGGACGGCCGTCGGCGCCCGGAGCGGGGTGAATGACATCCGCACCCATCACTATCGTGGGGTTGCGCGGGTCGGTGAGGACCGGAACGGATCGTGGGTCGGGGATGACATTGATGCCGCCGAGCTTGGGATTGATTCTTCAAGCGATCGTATCAGCCGCAGGCATGAAACCAAATGACAGAAGACTTACTTGAGGAGGACGTTTGCGAAATACTGCTTGTTCGCGCGATTGCATTTGTTGCTCCTCAAGCATTGCGTAGCGACACCGCGCTGGATGTCGCCGAAGCTACGCGCGATGAACATCAGAGGTTAGACAAAAACGAACGCAGAGAAGCCGTACTGTTTGACAGCCTGATACATATCGGCAGAAGATTCGGGAAGGACGACAACGATGAGGTCGGGTCCGGGACCGCCGCCGCCGTGCTTCTCGATGCACCTCAATCCAGCCGCTTGAAGAGACTAGTGGAGCGATGGCGTTTCAATATCGCAGCGTGAAAGAGGAAGAGACAACGACTTACATCGTAGATCTTCTGTGGCCGGTCGTGGATGATGACAGGATCGGTCTCGTTGACCCTCATGCCTACCAGCGCTTACATGAGACAGAGCGAGGCGACCAAGCGACGAGAACTTACCGACAGCGGCGAAGCCCTCCAGAAGACCCCTGACCATCTCCCGAGCGGTCTCCCTGTTGAAGCGCTGTTCACGCTCGTAGACGACGACGACCCATCGGTTGATAGCGGCCGGCCGGTGGAACTTCTTGTCGACCATGTTCCATGCGCCATCGCGCGGCGTCTTCGAGAAGGTAAAGTTGAGTTGTGTACGTGCGACTGGGGACTTAGGAGAACTTACGATGGTAGGCTGACGGCTTCCCTGGCCGTACATGAGAGTCGGCGGGTCGAGGATGCGCGCCTGGAGGGATAGAACGTCCGCGTTCGGGCTAACTTCCATGCCGAAGTGCTGCAACGCAAAGTCAGAAAATGGCGCAACGGTCGGAAACACCTTGGCTTACCCTAACGTATTCGGATTGGCCGTAGTTCAGAACACCGAGAGCCTGGCGGATGCTGTTGAGCCGCTCGTGCGGCCTCTTCGTCGCGAAGTTCAAGACATCCTTGGTCTTCTCGGGCGGCACCTGCTTCCGCATAATCTGGCCCTCCGGAATAGTGCAGCATTCCATGGGGATGATCGCCCCCGAGCCAAGCTATGGTGATCCAACTGAGCAATTGCGCTTCGACATAGCGCCCGATGCAACAACATACCTCAACGCAGACGATGTCAGGGAAGCGAAGCTTATAGTTGTGCGTCGCTTCGAAGTACTGGGCCACAGTGATGCTCCGGCCGTCACGCTGTGTGAACGAGAGCTGGCTGGCGCCCGCCCTAGTGAGCTTCTTAATGACACGGGCGGGGCGACGAGCAGCGGCGGGGCGTCCGGGGATGTCCACATGCACGCGGACGCCTGAAAGGTACCGCTGCAGCCTGATCAGCTCACGGTCAGGGAAGCCGTGCCTCGGGGAGAGCGCGAGCGGGCCCCTCGGCGTCACACCGAGGAACTCCAGGGCGGCATCAATGGCAGGCCCTGGTTTATACATGGCCGCGGTGGAAATGTCCACGTTGATGAGCATTCGGCCAATCGCAGGCCGCACAGATTGGAAGTAGCCGCGCCAGAGGACGATGCCGGCGCCGATCGCGGAAGTCTCGAGGTTGGTGAAGAAGGATCGCACGTTGAACGGGTAATGCAGGGTAGGCTCCATGCGAATCACCACGTTCAAGGCCTGAGAAACGGAATAGAGATATCAATGTTGAGCGGAGCAATGTGATGGGCATCACAGATAGGACTCACAGTGATTGCAGTTAGGACTGCATTGTCGTGAGACTGTTTACCCTGTAGGAAGCGAGCGAGTACCCTTGACAAACTCGAATCAGCGAAGTCCGTGGACTACGCAAGTATGGAAGACTCACTCGGGGTTGATTGTAGCAACGTGAGTGAGCTTGACTTTGTAGGTCTTGGGGCCGCGTCTTCCCTCACCACCACCTTCACCTGGAGAGGCGGGGTCCGACAGTGTGAAGCTGAACTGTTATACAATCACGTAAATTAGCAGGAGCTCGCAGGGAGGAGGAAGACTCTATACCTCTTGGGACCCTGAAGGGAAAGGAAGCTCGCGAGCAGCAAACATGTTCTTGCGGCCGTCGTACACGGCACGAGGGGTAAACACGTCCGGAGCAATGTCGGACTGCAGCCTCTTGATAATCTCCATGTTCAATCGAGCAGGCAACGTCTTCTCAGACGGGGAGATGACTATCACAAGGCTGGTGTGAGTACAATGAGAGAGATGTAGCACACGAAATATACACACCGACTAGATGGCAGCATGACGACAGTGAGTACGTCAACAGTTTGGACCGATGAAGATGAACATACCATCGTAGTGATGAATATTGGCCTCGGGTATCTTCACCTCGTAATGATTGGTCCAGACACCCAAAGCACGACCACTCTGACCAAAGGATGGCCGTTTGACACCGATGGTGGTGATGTGGGAGCTGGTGTCCGGCAGTTGGCCTCCCGGGACGCGACCGGCGGCTGCAGGTCCAGGAGTGATGCGACCTCTGAAGCCACCACGAACGGCGCCACCTCGAGGGCCGCCTGCAGCGCGATCAGAGGGGCCTCCACCCCTTCCCCGGCCGCGACCGCCGCCGCCACTAGCGCCTGGAGCTACACGAGGAGGCATTGAACAGATTTAAGAGAGACAAGAAGTGCGGGGATGGGATGTGTGATATCCTGGATGGAATGGGGAAAGTGAGATGGGGTTAGGCGAGAGCAGGGCGGGTATTTATGGGCCGGGAGAAGGGGAGTTTGGGCTTCGTGTGCTGCAGCGGGGATCGATGTGTAGATCGAAAGAGCTTGTGTGAGCTCGGACCTGCCACAACGGGCTTTGTTGTACCTTGTTGACGCGTCGCGTTCCATCAATATACTCGCGTCGCGCTTTGCCTTCGCTTTGCGCGCAAAGACGTCACCGCGCGCCTTGCTCTGCTTAAGCGGACATTGTCCCCCGACTCGTCCTGCGACTCGTCCTGCGACTCGTCCTGCGACTCGTCCTGCGACTCGTCCTGCACATACGCCTTTTGCGCCTTGCTCATCCTCTTCGTCTCTCTCTGTCCTCTATGCTCTCCCCTCGCCGCCTCCCACCGCCTTCTCTTCTCACACGTGTATTCCGCGCGGTTATCACACATATCACCCTCATCGTTGTTCCAATCGCCTTGAGCTACCGCAGCTAGGGCGACTGAATTCCCTCTTGACCGCTCGGCGCGGAGATAACGCTTCTGCGAGGGTCCCTATTGTGATAATCGGGTGCATGCAACACGCACGGCCGATCACAACGCAGGCCCGTCCGTCCGCACATTGTGCAAGTATACAAGGCCTTTCCCTGGTCTCTTTACTACGAAAACCTGCATATTGTCTGCGCTTCACAACCCGCCCCCCTTATGCGATTCCCAGGGCCACCTCTGAAAGATATATTGCATGTCAGATGTAGCGCATTCTATTCGGGTTCGGAGATCCCGTGAACGCTAAATACAATGCGCCCGCCTCATTGCGACCCACGCATCTGGGAACGATTCGAGCCAGAAGCGTCAGCGTGAGTGAGCGCGCCCGAGTCATCTAGCGTTAGATCTGGAAACGGCAATCTGCAGAGCCACAGGACTCGTCCGGGATCTCTGATCGCCAAATTCGCTTGTCACCCTCCCCATTCCTGATGTCTGTTTTCCTCCCTCTCCTCGACGCCGACCTACGGGACGACGCCCTGCTGACTGCCCTCGCCCGCATCGGCCCACTCATCGTACCCTCAAACCTTACCGATGCCGCTTTCGTCCCCCAGAACGCGACCCGGTACATTCTGGTCGATACTGACTCATCTCTGAGCCCGGACGAGATCATCTCCCTCCTCGACCGCGGCGCAGACAAGGTCATCGTCCCTCCAGGTCTCGCAAAAGGACTCGCAGGTACTGTGCCTGCGGAGAGGCTACTGCTGCTGCTCGATGTTGCGAACGTCTCTGCCGTCTCCGACACCGTGCGGAACGGGGTGTCCGGCGTGCTCATCAAGTCGCCGTCGGTAGACGTCGACTTCATCGGCTCCTTCTCGCGCTTTTTCGCTGGATCTTCTGTCCATGTTCTCCCTACGGCCTCTGCGGAGCCCCCCTCGCGCTCAACGATCCGCGGCCTTCACGGTGCGAAGACGACGCTAGTCATCCCGACGTCCCTCCTCACTCTCGCCGCCACGGACGCCAAGCACATCAACGTCGCAGATGCGTTCCTCGCGAGCATCACGTCCGATCGCAAGGACGGTCTCTTCCCCACTGTCGTCTCCTCATACCTCGATGGCGGGCGCACGCTCGGCCTTGTCTACTCGTCCTACGAGTCGGTGAAGGAGAGCATCGTCTCTGGCAAGGGCGTGTACCAGTCCCGCAAGCATGGGCTCTGGCGCAAGGGCGAGACGTCCGGTGCGACACAGGACATCGTCAGCATCCGCCTGGACTGCGACGCCGACGCGCTCGAATTCTCCGTCGTCCAACACGGAACGGGGTTCTGCCACCTCGAGCGACAGTCCTGTTTCGGCACAGGCGAGCTGACCGGCCTCGCCGCGCTGGAACACACGCTGCAATCACGTCTGGAGGCGGCTCCAGAGGGCTCGTACACCCGCAGGCTGTTCGAGGATCCAGCGTTGCTGCGCTCTAAAATTATGGAGGAGGCAGATGAGCTCTGCCGCGCACAGACGAAGGAAGAAGTCGTCTTCGAAGCTGCTGATCTTCTATATTTTGCCCTCACACGGTGCGTTGCAGAGGGCGTGACGCTCGCCGACGTCGGGCGATCGCTCGACAGGAAGGCGAAAAATGTGACACGCCGTCCCGGAAACGCAAAACCACAATGGAGCCAGGAGCCGACCCCCGGCGAAGCAGCTGCGCACAACGTGTCCACCACGAGATCCGCAGAAGCTTCCGATCCGCCCGCCCGGACACCCCCCGCACAGGCTACGGTGCCTGCCCCTGGCCCTGCTCCTGCTGCGGTAATCGCGGCGAATGCAGACCCAGAAGCCCCCATCCGGATGCGCACGTACGACCTCTCCGCGATCGCCCCGGCGGAGCGCGCCCAGCTGCTCCGCCGGCCCGTCCTCAAGTCCGACGAGATGATCGCGAAGGTGCGGCCCATCGTCGAGCACGTCCGCGCGCACGGCGACGCCGCCCTCCTCGAGCTCACCGCCAAGTTCGACAAGGCGCAGCTCGCGTCCCCAGTCATCCGCCCCCCCTTCGCCCCGGAGACGATGGAGCTCCCCGACGACGTGCGGCGCGCGATCGACGTCGCGTACGCAAACATCTACAAGTTCCACAAGGCGCAGAGCGCGGAGGGCCCGCTCACTGTGGAGACCATGCCCGGGGTCGTCTGCTCCCGCTTCGCCCGCCCCATCGCGCGCGTCGGGCTCTACGTCCCCGGGGGCACCGCGATCCTGCCCTCCACCGCGCTCATGCTCGGCATCCCCGCGCAAGTCGCGGGCTGCAAGGAGATCGTGCTCGCGACCCCGCCCCGCCCCGACGGCAGCGTCTCCCCCGAGGTCATGTACGTCGCGCAGCTCGTCGGTGCCTCCGCGATCCTCCGCGCGGGCGGCGCGCAGGCCGTCGCCGCGCTCGCCTACGGCACCGCGACGGTCCCGAAGGTCGACAAGATCTTCGGCCCCGGCAACCAGTGGGTGACCGCCGCGAAGATGCTCGTCCAGAACGACACGGACGCGCTCGTCGCGATCGACATGCCCGCGGGCCCGTCCGAGGTGCTCGTGATTGCGGACCGCACGGCCGACGCCGCGTTCGTCGCCGCGGACCTCCTCTCGCAGGCCGAGCACGGCGTCGACTCGCAGGTCGTGCTCGTCGCCGTCGACCTTCCGCCCGAGCGCGTCGCCGCGATCGAGGCCGAGGTCGACAGGCAGGCGCGCGCGCTGACGCGGGTGGACATCATGCGGCAGTCGATCCCGAAGAGCATCATCGTCCGCGCGGGCTCGCTCGAGGAGGCCATCGCGTTCTCGAACGACTACGCGCCGGAGCACCTGATCCTACACTTGGAGAACGCCCCAGCGGCCGTGGCTCTGGTGGACAACGCGGGCAGCGTCTTCGTTGGGCCCTACTCTCCGGAAAGGTACGTCCTCGTCTGCATGGGATCGGGAGTCAGTATCTCATGTCGTATGAATGCAGCTGCGGAGACTACGCTTCCGGCACGAACCACACGCTGCCCACCAACGGCTACGCACGTCAATTCAGCGGTGTCAACACGCTGTCCTTCCAAAAGCACATCACTTCTCAGGAGGTCACTGCAGACGGCCTGAAGAGTCTTGGCCCCGTCGTAGCCACTCTCGCAGACTGCGAAGGTCTCGACGCTCACGCTAATGCAGTCCGTATACGGCTTCGTGCTCTTGCATAGCCGTCACCGGAAAACAGGGGACGTGTAGGGTATCTTGCTGCACGCAGAAGACCAACTGTAGAAGATATGTAAAGTAGCAGTGCGATGATAGCAACATGACCAGTAATATAAAGTCTAAAGCCTCCCCAGACATGGACAACGGCCTACACCAACCCCTCTACGACAAACTACGGGACCTAACAAGGTACCCAGTTTAGTTGGTCCGGTAGAGCGCACGCTTGGCAGCCTTGATGACGGAGTTTGTATCGGGGAAGGTGAGGGTCTCGAGGTTGACAGCGTACTAGGAAGCCCACCAGTCAATGATCAACTCTTCTACAGAGACAGCACAACTCACGGGCGTAGGCACGTCAGCGCCAGTGACGCGCTCGACTGGTGCATCGAGGTAGTCAAAGCCCTCGGTCTCGATGACCTGCGCGCAAATCTCACTGCCGACACCAAATGCAGGGAAGCCGCCCTCAGCAGTGACCAGGCTATTACGGAAGATTTAGCTACTTCGATATTATTACGGGAGTGTTTTACGTACCGGTTCGTTTTCTTGATCGACTTGTTGATCGTCTCAATGTCAAGCGGGCGGATGGAGCGCAAGTTGATAACTTCAGCCTTGATGCCCTCCTTCGCAAGCTCGTCAGCAGCCTCTAAGCTGTGGGTGACCATCTTGCTGTGCGCGACGATGGTGACGTCGGTGCCCTCGCGCTCGACCTTGGCCTTGCCGATGGGGAGAAGGAAGTTGTCCGACATCGCCTCCTCGGACATGGGGAACGTCACACCGTACAACAGCTCGTTTTCGAGGAAGACGACGGGGTTGGGGTCCCGGATTGCAGCCTAACGCAAAACTAAGTACATGCTCGGAAGCATTCGCTGTACGTAAACTCACCTTGAGCAGACCCTTGCAATCCTCTGAGCTCCATGGGCTGACGACCTTGAGACCGGGGATGGAACCGTACCACGCCGCGTAGCACTGTGAGTGCTGTGCAGCGACACCAGCAGCGGCACCGTTGGGACCACGGAAAACGATGGGACATGGCAAGACACCGCCAGACATGTAGTGCGTCTTCGCCGCGGAATTGACGATTTGGTCAATAGCTTGCATGGCGAAGTTGAAAGTCATGAACTCGCAACTGAAGCGCGTATAAGCAGTTCGTCTCGGGACAAGCAAGCTACCAGCTCACATTGGTCGCAGACCGGCAAACGCAGAACCAATGGCAAGGCCAGCGAAACCCATTTCAGTAATGGGGGTGTCGACAACACGCTTCTCGCCGAACTTGTCGAGGAGACCCTTCGTAACCTACACCGCCAACTATGAGGTTGAAGGTCATCAAAGCGGACTGGACGGGTGTGTGCGTACCTTGTATGCACCGTTGTACCGCGCAACTTCCTCACCGAGGATGAATACGTTTTCGTCCCGGAGCATTTCCTCCTCCATCGCAGCGTTCAGCGCCTCACGCACGGTCATCTGAAATAACAGATATGAGTCAAGTAGATCAGCAACTCGCCGCTACCCGTACATACCGTGTGCCCACTCTGAGACGCATACCCGCGTGCCAGCCGTGCGCCGACTGACCGTGCAGATTGGGCGCGGGTAATGGCAGGGACAAGGCGAGAAAAGGCGGAGCGCGAGGCCATGTCTTTTGGGAGGGAGAGTGGGTGCGGGAGGGGAAGGTGGGCTGAGCCAAGTTTTTGGATGGGGAGTGAGGTGGCTCGGACGCGCTCGGGACGCGCGACCAATCCCTGAGGCGCCCGACACGCGCCCCAAACATTCTCAAATACGTCGGCCCATCTGGCGTCGCACGACCACCGTTCACGGCTCCGACTGTCCATCTAATCTTCCATCTACATATCATGGCTGCAAGACCAACTGTTCTCTTGACTGGCGCGTCCAAGTGCATATATCGCCCCTTGCTGTCGGCGTGTGGCTAGCTAACGTGAGCTCCAGAGGGCTAGGTCTTGCTATCACGCAGATCCTATTGGACACCTTCAACGCAAACGTTGTAGCGCTATCTCGTACCAGGGGAGCCGCTCTCCAGAGCCTTGTCGACGCTCATCAGGACTCTCTGCTGGCGCTCGAATGCGATGTGTGCGTACCTCGCTGTATATGCAACGGTCACGCGTCCTTAGTGGGGATCGCAGTACCGATGCCGCTGCTGTTGGCTCCGCTGTATCTCGTGGTCTGGACAAATACAAGGGCATTGATGGTGTCATCTTGAACGCTGGAGTGCTCGAACCGATGGGCAAAATCGCCTCGGATGACATTCCCATCGAACAGTGGAAGCAGCATTTCGACGTCAACTTCTTCTCACTAGTCGCTGCCGTCCGCGCCACCCTCCCGGCACTACGCAAGAGCTCGCATGGAGGACGCGTGGTGTTCATGAGCTCCGGCGCCGCAACTGGGAGCACTCCGGGCTGGGGTCCGTATAATGCGAGCAAGGCAGCTATGAACAGTTTGTGCAGGTAAGTCATCTTCCATGTCGGCTGTGAACGGCGGAAAAGTGAGGATCCTTCCTGAGGACGATTGCCCGAGAAGAGCCTGATGTGACCTTTGTTGCATTACGACCGGGAATGGTCAACACCGAGGTGAGGTGACACGCAATACCCGTCATATTCCGTTACTCATTCTTGGCCGTGCCCAGATGCAAGCCCTCATACGCGAGAGAGGTCCTGCGACCATGCCTGCAGAGTCGCTCCAAACCTTCGTCAACGCCCACGCCAAGGGCAAACTGGTCGCCCCCGAGGACTCCGGTCACGTCGCAGCAGCACTTGCTTTGAAGGCGTCGAAGTCTCTGAGCGGTCAATTCGTCAGTTGGAATGATGACTTGCTCAAAGAGTTCCGAAAGGCATGAATGGAAGTTGCAGCAGTCGATGTTCCTCTTAACACCAACTTAACTAAAGCTACATCAATCAAAACTGGTGGTCAAGTCGACTTTTGCAGCGTTGGAGCACCGTCCCATTGCACTGTGACAGGAAGTGAACTAAACGACACTGAGTACCCGATTACTCATCTGAGCGGTGTCATGGACATATAACACGAATCCCTCGTTCTCGAAAGTTTTTTCTCCTATCCTCCCTCGACCGGTGTTCTTACCCCGCAGAGAGCACGATGGTACGGGACCCTCAAGCGCAATTACCCGATTCTGCTGATCATACCCACAGAGTGACCCTGGACCCAGCCGTGTCGACATACATCATCATATATTCCCTGCTTCCATCGGCAAGGCTGCGCTGAGCGTGAAGGTGGGATGGGAAACCCCTGCGGAGAACCTCCCGTGGACACCCGATATCAGTTTGGAAGCGATGAATAGGCTCGGGATCCGTTTAGCCGTCCTCTCCTTGCCTGCTGGGCTTCCTGCGGGCCCTGTTGGCAACAGAAACCGTGAATCCGCGAGAGAACTCAACGTTTTGACTTCACAGATCTGTGTAAACTATCCCGATAAGTTCGCCTTCTTCGCTTGCATGCCGAACCTTCTTGATACACAAGGCAAGTACGCTTCTTGCTTCTTCCGTGAAGGCCCCTCTGTTACTGAATGCGGGCGTAATGTCACAGGCAGTCTCCAGGAACTGAAGTTCGCTCTGGACGAGCTAGAAGCCCGCGGCGTTGCGTTATCGTCCTCGTACGGTGAGGGGGCCGAAGCTAGTGAGCGTGCTGTCCTCGGCAAGGCCCCAGCTGCTGACTTCTGCATCTTTCCAAGAATACATAGGAGACGACGCGTACGACGCTGTCTGGGAAGAACTGAATAGGAGGGCCGCTGTCGTCTTTCTCCACGGTGCCCAGGTCCCATCATCCACACCATACCCCCATCCTTACCTCGGCATCCCTGTAACAGAAGTACGCTGTCAAACAAGGTCTCATTTCAGTGGGGTTCTCTGATGAGAATCCATTCGTACTCCAGGTGCCAAACGAGACGTTCAAGGCCGCCGCTCACCTCGTCGTCTCCGGCAAGAAGCGTCGTTTCCCCAACGTCAAGATCATCCTCGCCCATCTCGGCGGGGTCGCCCCTTTCCTAGCCCCCCGCGTCGCTGTCCTCTCGAGGCATATGGGCTGTCCCCTTACCCACGAAGAGATTCTGGAAGACTTCAGGTCCTTCTACTACGACACGGCACTGAGCACGCACGAAACGACCCTCACAGCCATGGAGGCTTTCGTGGGCCCAGGTCGCATCCTATTCGGCTCAGACTTTCCAGGTACGGATCCAACCAGCTCCGCATGGCACGCAGGGTACTGCTGACGCCGAGCTGCTGCCCAGCCGTGAGCGTCGAAATGGCGGAGTGGTTTACTCAAAATGCTGACGCGTTCTACACCAATGACCGTGAGCGGCACGATGCCATCATGCATGCGAACGCAAGAACGCTTCTGGGACTATAGTCTCTGCGCCGATGTCCTCGATGCTTCGCAATCTATTCTAACTTGTTCTCGTGACATCGAGAGGCCGACGAGGCGGGCCAAGGAGGTCGTGGGATGTATCAAAACATAGAATGGTTTGAGACTAGAAGCGAAGGGTGATCATTAGACACACCTTTCTCCTAAAGATCTTTCGAAACGTCTTTCGACGACGCTGTCACTCAGGTATGCTTCTCCAGGCTGCAGTATATGCGCTTCTGGACGTCGATTTTGTCGATCTCACGTGGCGGCAAGATCGATGTGCATCACCGCAGCATTCCAGCGGAAGCAACCAGCCTATACAATATGGACCTAAGTACTCTGTTACGCAATACCGGAGGGAACCACGCCTTGTTCTCCCGACAAGAGTGTCGAGGGCGTAGACGACCTTTCAAGGATTCTCACGCGCAAGAAGCGCAAGTACCCGAACGTGAAGATCGTCCTGTCCCACCTGGGCGGGAACACCGTCTGGCTTGCGCCTCGCATCACCTGAACCCAGAGGAGATCTCCGAGGACATCAAGAAGTTCTACTTCAACACCGCAGTGGCGAGGAGCGAGGTGACGCTCAGCGCTAAGGAGAACTTCGTCGGCTCGGATCGTATCTCGTTCGGAACCGATGACTGCGGTGGGCCACCTTCCACGGTGCGCATGGGCGGACCTTGGCTGACAGCCGTTGAACCGTGTATCTTCAGCTGTTACGACCCCTGCACGGCGACGACCAAGCTGATAGATCTAACGGCGACAGCCATAACGGGGTCTTGCCACCACCAGCAACGTGGATGTAATATGGAGCATGGGTCATTCACAACGTACGCCACCTTCTACAGCTATGAGATGCACGCGCATCTATACTTACTGCAGGACCCTTGCGAGGGTACATGTGGAGGTCATAAACCATGCAGAAGGGCGTAGTGCTGTTAGGTGCCAAACTGTGGCATCGGTATCGATACATTAATACGTCAAGTAGCCTATATATGCCGCAAAGTGCCCTTGCATCGGGATGTCGTAGCTGTGGTATCGTAGGTCCGCGATAGTGCGCTGCAGTCGTGAGCACTACTCTTCACGGAGCCAGTTCAGGATGTCATTATGGAACGGTGAGTGCGCGAGGAGCGCTTCACCGTGGTGACCGCTGGGGTCGAAGCGAAGGTTTTTACGCACTCCGTGCGAGGTGAGGTATCGTTGGACGCGCTGTAGTGCCACAATATTGATCAGTGTGCGCACGTACATCAGAACTTTCGACACTCACGTTGGCGTCGATGATGGAGTCCTTCCCGCCAAGGAAGAACATGGTCTTTTTGGGATTTTTGGCATTCGGGATCTCTTCGTACCACAGGGAGTTGGACGACCAGTCGAAATGTCTCTGGAGGAAGTTGGCAACGCCGAGCTCGGTACCAACGAAGTACTTGATGATGAGGTCGAGACCCTGATTTGTGGGCCAGTCAGCGACACCAATCCTCCTGCATAGCGGATTGACGTACATTTCTGCATGGCCGGTAGATGAAGTTGTAGCATAGATCTGCACGGATGTGAGCGGCTGAACGGTAGGCAATCGTCATGTCACATACCGCCTTCCCAAGAGCAGAAAGTGACAGGATCAATGAAACACGATCGCGTGATCATCCCAGGGTGCGCCTTCAGCAACCACGCGTGCCCGAACGAGCCGCTTGGACAATGTGTCAGCCACGTCCCTCTGATTAGAGTCCGCAAAATCGCGTACTTAGAATGGCTCAGCAAAGTGACACCCTTGGAGGTGCGATCACCGATGGACTTGAGTTTATCCTCGGAGTCAGATACTTCGGACGTCGGCTCCTTGTTGTCTGCCCAGCCCAGTTCATCGATCAGTCCAGCAAGGTGCTCGACCATCTCGTGCCGGCCCATGGGCCGCAGGTAACGAGGGTGAAGGATCTCTTGGCTGACATGGGGGAGAAGAGGAACCAGCACGGGGCGATCGGGGACAGCGACCAGTAACTGCTCTATGAAGCGACGGTACTGCGTCAACCCCAGCCCCAGCCCGTGCAGGAACACGATGGGTCGAGGTCCGGTGCGAGCGTCCCAGGTCGGTGGTATACGGAGGACATACTCCAGGTCCTTGAAGGTCGCGACCTTGGCATTCCACTTGGTCTTGAAGCGCCGACGAAGGAGAGCGTTGCTGAGCGTGACCGCGGCGTACCATATGAGCGGCCTCCAAGAAACAGTAACCGGATCGATCGTGAGGAGCAGGGGCATCGCTGCAGGATTAGAGCCCTCCGGAATCTTGACGCCCGCGCGCTGCTCGAGCAGCTCGATGACTTCGTCCAGGACTTTCTGATTCGTCTGCGAGACCTTGTCGTATCCGGGGAACGGCGCGTTGAAGATGGACCAGTACAGCCAAGCGAACATCTCATGGCGACGAATGGAAGACCATGGAACGCGCCGGAACCTAGGATTCATTAGTTTATCCCTCATGGAGGCTTGCAGAACGCTGGGACGCACCATGTTCTCAGATAGTTCCTGAAGTCCACGGCGCGTGGGTCGTCGAACTCCAAGACCGTCAATGTCTCCTCAGGACTGCCAGGCCTGTCTACTTTGAGGGTCTCCTCATCTTCGTCGTAGCCGTCTTCAGGCAGAGACGCGAGACCAGCTTGAAGGACGCGGTGGAAGGCCTTGCGTAGCTCGTGCAGGTTTCCGGGACCGTTAGGGCTCGGTCCGGAGATGAAGCTCGCGAGGTTGTAGTGGTACACGCTGAAGAAGACCTGCGGGAAAAGCGGCGAGTTTAGGGCGCGTGGATCGAAGCAACTGGTCACTGGGTCTGACCTCACTTAATGCAACGGTAAACAGGGCCCAGCCGCGCCACGAGAACGTCCATATGAGGCCATAGTGCAGCGCGTAAATGACGAAGGCCCATGAGAGGGGTACTACGGACCAGATGGGTGCGACAGCAAGCAGCAAGACGAGATAGAAGGTTAGATCGCGACTCGGAGGCGGGTAGAGTGTCTCCGCGACGGCCGGGAGGAGCTTCTCTGCTGTCATCCTGCTGGAGGCTGCTGGGCCGCCGAGTGTCGTGCGCTCCGTGGGTATAGTTGACCGCGGAAAAAAGGAAGGGATGGGCGCAACGATAGCGGGGAGCCCAAGGCACCAGGAGACGAGAGGACTACAACTTATGTGTGATGAGGACTTGGTCACCAGCCGCCGAGCGTCTTCTTTGGGATCACTTGAAACCGAGAATCATGCGACACGGTGCACGACACGAGTTCTTTTATCTCAGGGTCATGAGAGACTGTAGAGGTATATATGCACGGGCCGCTGGGGAGAAGTGTCGCGTACAGACAAGCTCACGGATGCCGACGAGCCCATACTATCGACGAACACGGTGGCCGACGGTGGCCTCGGAAAGCGGAAAGGACGTCGGGCGTGTACGGGGCAGCCACGCGCGGGAGTGATAGCCAGCCATGTGGGCGATGACGCTGCAGACATCACGGACCAAACCGTCTTTCGGCCGAGCATCTCGTTTTCTTCTACTCACCTCCCCATCCTCGTCCGTCCTCCCTCCCAGCCTATCCATTCTCAGTCCCCCCCGGAGGAGGTGCTGCTCGCCATGATTCGCAACGCCCTCGCTTCTGCTGCCCGCCCCGTCCTCAATGCCGTACGTGCAAATTGACCCGTCGCTTGTCACCCTGGTACACACCTTTTCTGTTTCCAGAGGACTGCCACCACTCTCTCTGCTGGTTTCCCCAAGGTCACCCAAAGAGTACGTAGTGCCTTCGCGTAGTCTTCGGCGTTCGTGAGCTTACCCGACGTAACTTGCCCAGCTGCCGACCAAGTATGGCGGTGTCTACACTGTAAGCCCGGTGCCAGCGTGCAGAGTACGTGTGATATCTGAACAGGCTCTCAGGTGACCCTCATCCCTGGTGATGGTATTGGCAATGAGATCACGGACTCCGTCAAGGAGATCTTCGAGTACGTCAACGCTCCCATTGAGTGGGAACAGTACAACGTCTCCGGCATGTCCTCCGAGGGCGAGGACCTCTTCAAGCAGGCTATGGAGAGTTTGAGGCGCAACCGGGTCGGTCTCAAGGGTGCGTGCTACATCCCCGATGTTGTCTAGACGCGTCTGTGCCAAACAGCTTCTCTCGGGTTTGCAGGTATTCTCTTCACTCCTATCTCACAATCCGGCCACATCTCGTGGAACGTTGCCATGCGCCAACAGCTTGACATTTACGCGTCAGTTGTTCTCTGCAAATCGCTCCCGGGCTTCCCCACGCGCCACGACAACGTCGACTTCGCGATTATCCGTGAGAACACGGAGGGTGAGTACTCTGGCCTCGAGCACCAGAGTTACCCCGGGGTCGTCGAGAGCTTGAAGGTCTCCACGCGTGCGAAGGCTGAGCGCATCATCCGTTTCGCCTTCGACTTCGCGCTCAAGAACAATCGTAAGGTGCGCCAGATCCAAAGCACGTGAAGCCGGAAAAGTCCCTCAACCATTGATGAAATGCAGAAAGTCACCTGCGTGCACAAGGCAAACATCATGAAGCTCGGTGATGGTTTGTTCTTGAACACCTTCCGTCGCGTTGCCGAGGAGTACAAGACTACTGGCCTCCAGTTCAACGACATGATTGTGGACAACACGTAAGAGATAACAGCGTTACTATCTTCTAGGTCGCTGACGGTCTTCCGTGGCATGAAGCTCTATGCAACTCGTTGCTCGCCCAACGCAGTTCGATGTCATGGTTATGCCCAATTTGTACGGTGCCATCGTGTCCAACATTGGCGCTGCGCTTGTCGGTGGTCCCGGCATCGTCCCTGGCTGCAACGTTGGCAGGGTGAGTGTTGCTCGCGCGCCACAACTTGTTTCATTTGCCTAAACTCGGCGTCTTATCCCTGCAGGAGTACGCACTGTTTGAGCCCGGATGCCGTCATGTTGCCAAGGACATCATGGGCACCAACCGTGCAAACCCTGCTGCTATGATCCTCAGCTCTACCATGATGCTCCGGCACCTCGGGTACGTTCGCGAGTCTCTGGGCAAGAATCTGTTTACTGAAGTAGTTTTTGTCCGCTGTACAGTCTCGACCACCTCGCGAACACCATCGCGAGCGCGACCTTCGACGTCATCAACGCCGGCAAGGTCCGCACCGCGGACATGGGCGGTGCGTCCTTGTTCCCACTGTTTAGCGCGAAGCGTCTCGGCTCAATGCATAGCTGTGCCTTCTCTTCTAGGTTCGGCGACTACTTCGGAGTTCACTGCCGCCGTCATCAAAAATATCCAGTAGAGGACCTCGACGGGCTGGATATCGCGGACTAGGTCTATGGACGGGGCCAAAGAAGCGGCAGCGTCGGGCCTGCATTTCTTTTACTTCATAATGTAGATGTAGTGTACATGGTGGCCTAACGTATTTACTCGCACCCTAGAGCGCTCCCTCTCCTCCAGTGGATGTCATGCTTGCTATGCGTCAAGGGATGCTGCTCAAATCGAAGTCCTCGAAAAGCGCATCGTCGTCAAGCGCAGCATCGAATTCGTCGGGTGCAGAAGTTTCCCGTTTGGGTTTCTTTGCTGCTGGTTCCTCAGAAGGCGCTTGCGCTGGCCCCGGATCTTCCTGAGGTTCCACCTTGACGATGCTGTCAACGGATGGGGCTTCCGTCCGAGTGGGGTCATCCGACGCCTCACTCTCTCTGCGAGCCTTCCGCAACGCTAAAATCGTCGAGCAGCGCACCTCGCCTCTCTGGCCCCAACCCTCGGACTGCGGCCGGAAGTCGGCGTACAAAGAGAATCCCTTCTCGTTGAGTTCCTGCGGCGAATAACTGGTTGCGAGGAGTCGGAGGGCACCCACGATGTGCGGCGCTGTTTGCCGTAAGGCCTTTGTGATATAGGAGAAGGCGGCGGTGGGTGCGATCGGGGCTCCCGAGGAGAGGGCGCGCCATTGGGAGGAGGCGGTCTGATAAAGCGGTCTAAAGAAGGACAAGGGAGAGCCAGAGTGAGAAGATGGGCTGGTATATGAGGGGAGGAAAAGAGAGAGACGATCCGTCGGGTAGGGGGGCGGAGGCGAAGAGAAGGCGAGGCTGCGAGAAACTAAGGACGAAAGGCGGACATGGATACTTACACTCTGGTTTCGGTGACGGGGCGTTCATTTGGTGGCGCATAACCATAGGTGCGAGTCAATGACCGGTGAGCTCTTGGCTGCCACATGCCATATGCACACTAGGCGGACGGATTGTGAAGGGGGGGAGGGAGGAATTACTCACCGTCTGCCCATGAGTTCTACGTACGGCTGCGAGCCGGTGCGGCTGGCCTCCCTGCCCTTCTGCTTGCTGTCTGAGTAGAGGCCGAGCGAGACGCCTTTCGTTATTGCGTTCATTTCCGTGTACACAGAGGCTGCAAATCGACAGGGGGGATGAGCATCGTCCGGTGCACGCACCGCTCGGCACAGCCTCGGCGGGCTGTCCGAGCTCTCAACAAGGCGGTAGCATACCTATACTCAGGGCCTCCTCTCGTCGGAAGCCCATGCGCTCTGCGACGATGAACGCCCATGCCATCATAATTGGTGCGCGGTTGATCACCGTATACTTCGACTTCATCGCCTGTGGGTAGGCGGTGAGCCTCGCTCAGCACACACGGATAGAATGAGCCGCCCTGCAGCTTGGACGGAATGCCGCGGACATACACCCCAGAGTGTATGCCATGCCCCGTCGGCGGAGGCCCGGGCTTTCCGGGTACGGCGCACGTACCTCTTCATCAAGTACTTCATTGAATTCAAGGCTGCCGTACGAGTCGCCCTCTTCCGGAGGTCGGTCTGGCAGAAATTGGTTAACGTCGTCGTCACGCTTGCGTTTCTTCTGATTTGCCCTTGTCTGCGTCAAAGATATATTGTCCGCTCCAGAACTTCATGTGACAATGCGGTACGGGCAGGAAGACGTACGTTTGTCTTGCTGTCTGCCTTGCTCGTCGAGGCCACATTGCTTGAGCTACCAGCAGCGCCGGCTTTCTGCTTGTATCCCGCTTTGCGTACAGCTGCGAGGACGAGTTTCCGGAGGTCTTTCTCGTTCACGCCGGCCGATTCGAGCGAGAAATCGGAGAGCCGCCCGAGCTGCTCGGGAGTGTTATATGTCTTGTATCTGACCGCAATCAGAATTAATACAACAAACGCAAGGTTTGATCGCCTACATCTTACCCGCTACGGCCATGGCTTTAGACGGTGGTACGTTGTTGCTTGTCAGCATCTTGAGAAACGCAGGTAGCGGAATTTTCCTCGTGGATACATCAGTCATTTATGCTAGTAACACAATATAGATCTAGTCGTCAGACGTCAGCAACCAACTCCGCTATGTCTTTGCCTCCGAGCACACCTACTGTGACGTCGTGGAACGTGCTAAGACGTGTGATAGGCGCCGCTCGTATCGCGCTTCGCCGAACGCTCTAAATGGCAATCAACGTCTGCATTCGATGGGCGCTACCGAGCCCGACTTAGACTCTCGTCCTGCACAGCCGTCCCTCCGTCTGCCGTCTTTCGCCTTGCCTCACAATGATCAACTACATGCTTCTTGTTTCCCGTCAAGGTTTGGATGCATATAGCACCCGATTGGTTACAAACTTATTCTAGGAACGATAGGGAAAGTTCGCCTCTCGAAATGGTACACTACGATGTCCCAGAAGGCCAAGGCGAAGATCGTCAAGGACGTCACGCAACTGGTTCTCGCGCGGAGGACGCGCATGTGCAACTTCCTTGAGTACAAGGGTGCGCCTTCTCACTATCTCGGTGCCTGGCTCGAAGGAGAGCACGAGGGGACTCACTGCTGGGGGCGTCTGCGCAGACACGAAGGTCGTGTATCGGCGATACGCGTCCCTATTCTTCGTCTGCGGGATCGGCCAGGGGGACAACGAGCTGGTGGTGCTGGAGGTCATCCACAGATACGTTGAGGTTCTGGACCGATACTTTGGCAACGTGAGTCGCCTCGTTCTTCCGCGAGATCCGGGACGGCTGCTGAGGTGTCCATAGGTTTGCGAACTTGACCTGTACGAAATCACACCCTGTGACTTCCCTCGTGCGCTGGCTAAGAGTGATCTGCTGCTAGGATCTTCAATTTCCAGAAGGCATACGCCGTAAGTCTTGTGTCTACTATGAGCTAAACATGATCCCGACTTCGTCGCATGCAGATTCTGGACGAGCTCATCATCGCCGGCGAACTACAAGAGTCTTCCAAAAAGTCTGTCCTCCGAGTGGTCAGTTTCCATGTCTCGTGACCAGCTTGCTCATGCAGTCTGCTCAATCAGACAATGCAGGTTACACAGGCTGACGGCATTGAGGAGCAAGAGAATAGCGAGGACACGATGGCACGGCTGGGTAGTCTTGGCTCGAGAGGGCCGTAGAGGCAGCATTCCACTCGTAGTGATATCGCTTGTACATTTACACATTGTTACATATTGTGATCAGATCCGGATGATGGTTTCTATATGCGAGAAGTGCGGGGGTATCTCTAGTTTGCAGTGAAGACAACGGGACAGCGAATGAAGGTATCCAATACAGCGGAGGAACAGGGTGAGCGAAAGCAATCGAGGGCTATGATGCAGAAGGGTCCGAAGCCATTTGAGCCGGGCGAGGATCCACCTTCGGCCTTGGTCTGGGTCCGTTCAAGACGTGCCATCTGACGAGGTCAAGGGTCGCAATTGAGTCTTCAACAGAGCTGTGTCCGGCCGCGCCGGCGGCTTGTATGGTCTGACCAAGGAACTCCTTGGCTCTATGAGTAGGTCAGCTTTACCTATCTCGGCACATAGGGAGAACACAGTACTCACAGTGCCCTCAGGGCTCTTCGGTACGGAGGACCTGCTGTATGCGGGAAGAGCACTACGGTATCGACGCAGCGATGGTGGATCATGCGCAACGTCTTCAAGTCATTGTCCAACGCGTGTCCAATGATGATGGTCTGCGAGTTGATGATCTTGTCAAGAGACTTGCGGATAGATTGAAGGGGTAGCGATGCGGTAGCATAATTTTCCGCAGTTATCCCGGAGAAGCGGGTGTTGAAGTCTCTGTGAGAGCGTCCAATCGTTAGCGAATTCTGACGTGCGTTTCAGACGGAACGCTGACTTACATGACTTCCACACCCTCATCCATGCGGACAAGCTCGTCGAGGACTTCTTTTCCACTTCCGTCCACCACGGAAACCCGGGCCACCCGCATCCCCCCCGTCGTGTAGATCATCTCGCAGTCTAGAGCCACTATGTCCAGAGCAGTGTCGCCAGAATCAAGAGGGGCACGGCTGTGAATGAAAGCATGTCGCCTGTGCAGGGTTTCCGGATCGGACTCATAGAAGACATGGGGGCCAACTTCACAACCATCCTCGTCTGCCGTCTTTGAGCAGCACGTGTATACACGCCGTTTCTCCCCTGCATAACGACGGCGTAGTTCAGATGCACTGCGATCGTAAAGCAAAGGCGGTACATACCATTCATCCTAGAGGAGAAGGCCTTTCCCCAGTGGAACCTACACTGGTCTGCTTGTTCGCGTCTCTTGACCACGAACTTCTCTTGACATCGTTCGCAGGTTTTAATGGAGCCCTCTTCGTGTGGTTGGTCGCCTCCTGGCCCAGGTGGGATGTCGACCATATAGCCCCACGTCTTAAGATCGTCCAGAGTCATGACATATGGAGCGAGCTGAGAGACTGTCAGACGCAGTGACTCCATCCTTTTGCGCATCTCTTCTCGAGCCTGCACCTCGGCTTCGGTGCCCACAGACGCATGAGAAGATGTATCGGGTTTGGACCGCTTCTTAAGAGCTGCTATGGATGATATCACTGCCTGCGGGAGTGTAATCAATCAACAAGCTCGACATATAGATATCGCTGTCGTACAACGTACATTACGATATGTTAGCTTGTTGGACTTCGCATAAACTTCTTGTTCTTGCTTGAGCGCGTGCTCGGAGGCAAGGGTAGGGTTGGCGGGGAGGATCTTTTCGTAAAGCACAACGAAGTGATCGTACAGCGACTTCAACATGGCCTAGATCCAGGTGAGAGCGAGGCAGAGGCTTAGAATCCGGAAGCGCGTACCTGGCGGACAGGTAGTGCAACTTGCGATTGCGCGGGAGGCACTTTGAGCACAGGCACACCTGTCTGCTAAGAAGTTTGGTGGTTGCATATGATGGCGACCAGAACGAACCCTTACCGAAGACGACTGTACTCCCGTAGGCACCGCTACAGGCCGCCTTGGAGTTCCTGTACGCTGGAACTTTGTCGGAGGTTCGCTGGATGGAATTACATTGCTGACCCCAGCTGCACGCAATGGGGAGCTAATGGAACGCTTCGCAGGGATAGATGTAGAGGATCCAGCAGTGGGCTCAGGTGCGGAAAGCCTAGATCCATGAGTAGTAGATGAGGACACTCTTGGCACATCGACTGGAACCGGAGTGACCGGGAACTGAATGAGGTCAGGACGATGGCTGAAGAGGCAGTTGGGTCGTGCGCAGTGTTCTTTCTCGGGACACGGGAGTGTTTGGAATAAGCCGAGAGTGGAGAACATCGTAAGCGTCGATGCAGAACTTGACCCGTCGGACAGGATGAGAGGATGCTAAGCTGCGTTCGCGACGGAAAGGGTTCGGACCGTCGGCATGAACAGTCAAGGTGACTGACAAGTCAGATCGTGCCAAGATGGCCTTGCTATCGAGCGCGCGTAACGAAGTACTGTTAATCTGTGACTGTGAGTGTGGAACGAAGAGAAGACGGGAGCAGGAGAGGCAGGAAGAGGACGAGCGGGTGCGCAATCGTATGGGAGCGTCGGGGAGGACGAGCGAAACTCAAAAACGCCGGGGCGCATAATTAGGTGTGCGTCTGTCGGGGCGTGGCATACATGTGGTGCCATAAAAGGCAAGACCGGCACATCTGTAGGCGCTTGAGAAACATGCAAGCGCCGGTCGCTGGTCGCCGGCCGGGTTCCGTCAAATGTATGCCGTCTCGCGTTGCCTCGTCATACCATCCTCTACGCAGCTCTCCGACCTCCCATTCCACTCCGTTATATATAATCCCACCGGCCTCCCTGTCAGGTCGTCTGGCCCAATGCCACGCTCGCCGGAGCTCAAGAAGAGACCCCTACCGCCTATCCGGACGTTCACCGACCGGATAGAGTGAGTTGCTGTTGCCTTGTCGCGCCCGTCTTTGCAATTTGACATGGTGCCCGTAGCGACGATCCCTCCCACCACCTCGCAGGCCCGTTCAGGCCGCAAACGTGAGCACTGTATCCTGTTGATGTCACCCTCGTATTGACATGTCAGGGTCGACCTAGACCGCTCTGGCAAGACTCTACTCCATCGTCACCCGGGGCCCCTTGGCCCAACAGCCATCCTGTCCTTTCACCCTGGTCAACGCAGTCGCGCGGTCTCTGGGCGGACATCAAGTCCCTGAGATGGGTTATCGTTCCTAGTACGCGTCTTTCCCTTTCACGCGTCATGAATCACAGCGAGTAACGTAATTTCAGCCTCGTCCCTTAAGATACTCCTGCTGTTCGTCGTCTTATGGGCAAATTGGGAGATACTCTCGCCATACTTTGGCAAGGACCTCAAGAACCCCTTCGCGCCCTTCCTCTTCATCTCACACCGCATACCTTTCACCTCGGACGATGACCCACGCTATCGCAAAGGCTGGCTCGATCTGGCCTTCATCGCATACTACATCGTTGTCTGGTCTTTCGTGCGCCAAGCTATCACCATCTACATATGCCGGCCAATAGCGCAGTGGTTCGGAATCAGAAAAGAGGCCAAGCTGGACCGGTTCGGAGAGCAGGGATATGCCGTCCTCTACTTCGCGTTCACGTCTTCGTGGGGAATAGTGGGTCTCGTGCTTCCACTTGCCCCTCTGACTTTTCTAATCTCCGGTCACGTAGCGAATTATGTCCCAGCTCCCAACGTGGTGGTACAACACGAAATACTTCTGGATCGGTCAGCACTTCTTCAGTGGTTCTCGGTTCTGTCGGGCTCACGCTGTCCCGTAGACTACCCCCATTGGGACATGAAGGCCGAGCTAAAGGCATACTATCTCGTACAAGCAGCGTACTGGTGCCAACAGCTCATAGTCATGCTGCTAGGGCTCGAGAAGCCTCGCAAGGACTATTACGAGCTCGTGGCACACCACTTCGTCACGCTCTGGCTTGTTGGGTAAGTTGGAAATTGTGCCCAACAGTACGGTAATCACCTGATCCGAGTGCCACACGCAGCTGGAGCTATCTCGTTAACCTCACTTTCATCGGGAATGCTGTCTACCTGAGCATGGACTTGCCCGACTCGCTCCTTGCTGTACGTGTCACACATCCTCGAGCACGGTTGAAACTGACCAATCTGCAGTTATCCAAACTAGCGAACTACGTCCAGTGGAACAGAACCAAGGTCGCGACATTTGTAGTCTTCCTCTGCGTATGGAGGTGCGTGTCGCTTGGTGATCATCTTCGATTTCCTTGCTAAAGCGTGTTATGGATCAGCTACTTTCGTCACTGGCTCAACTGGGTCATGTTATACTCCGTGTGGTTTGAGTTCGACCTCATGCCGTGCGTACAGCATCTTTTCTTGTGGAGACATGCGTCTTGACTTTCTGACTCTACTCTATAGTGAGTCGTCCAAGCGGTGGTCTCCGGAGGACGGCGTTTGGTTGGTATGGTGGATGAAGTACCAGGTGTTCCTACCATTGCTACTTCTACAGTTCCTCAACCTCTTTTGGTACTTCCTGGTGTGGCGCATCGCTATCCGGTACGTCCCCCTACAAAAGCAGTTTCACGGCAAGCGCTGAGCCATACTTCACACCAGTGCAATCAGGGACATCGAAATATCGGACGTCCGGTCAGACGACGAAGACGACGGTGAGCCGGATGATGACGACAACGATAAAGACGAGTGAGACAGACGAACCTCGACGGGATACTGGAAAACGAGACTGCTACCGCATGTTACTTTACTCAGGCTCGCAAGTCGAGCGTTGTTGCATTTTCTCCCGATCGCTCCGCGTCTCATACAATCATACAATCTTAAATTTCACAATCCAAGATCCAACGATGTCTTGATTTGTTGCCAGGACAGGTAATACAAAGATAGCAATGGGACCTAGGCTGAAGGCGTAGATGTTCAACCATGCAACGACAACACTATAGTACAGAATTACCCGGAGCACTGCTTAGACGAAACACAGATAACATCCAATTTAGACCTCGTCATTGATGATAGCTTCCTCCTTAGCGACCTTGGCAGTGCTGTTCGGCGGGAAGCCGAAAATGCCTTCCATGTCTGAGAGGTCCGAGTCCTCCTCCCAGTCGGCGAACTCGACCTTGGGCTTGCTGTCCACCGTGCGGTTCGGCCAACGCTTCTCGCGCTGCTCGTCCAAGGGGTCGCCCGATGCCATAGACATCATTGCCTCCAGCGTGTACTATCTCGAACCGGTCAGTGACGAGACGTTCTCTGGCGGAAGGGACAATGCACTCACGTATGCATCATTGCCGGCGTTGTGCAAATAGCTCGTCGGGATCTGGAGGTGCCTACAGACACGGTCCAGTGCGCGGGATTGGTTGGACGAGTCCCCTTCCAGTGCTGCGAAGAGATCGACAGTGTCGACTACATAGATCTCGCCTGTTGCCGGGTTGTCGGGGAGGACATGTTCGATACGTTCAATGGCCTTAAGCCCGTCGCTTTTGAGATACCTATATCATAGTGAGTTGGTATCCCACCACGGCACAAGGACCCCGAGACATTGATGACTTACTTGACGTCCTGGCTGGCGTCGTGGAACACAATGAAGAGGGGCCCCGCCTTGCGGTGCTTCTCGATGAGCTCGCATATGTGCTCTTTGAACTTATCCTTGTCCACGTCGATGCTCTTCCCGAAGTTGTAATTCTGACGACGTCAAGGATAGTCACCCGACGCCCTCAAATGACACCATGCGTGAGAATAGCACACGTACGTCTTGATGGTTTGGCACATAAGTTTGAGAGAAGTGGCGACGTTCTATGACGACGAGATGACCATGCTCCTTCTTCTGTTCATCGCCCGTCCACTGCACAAGGCTCCACCCAAATTCTTTGAGGAGCGTATGCTCTCTGTCCCAAGCTTCAAAGTCCATGGCTAGCCACGTTCCGAGCTTGGCCGCCCAAAGCGTCCGGACGCGCTCGAACACTTGCCTCCTTGCGCCGAGGAGAGTGCCCGTGCCCTTGAGCCGCTTGTTGTTCTTCTCGATGTTCTGTGCACCGCCCGCGGTACAGTCAGCACAATTGCACTCACCGGCACACACGCAAACGCAGAGCATGTACGCGAGCAGGGGATGGTCATCGAGGCCGCCGCGACGGCCACGGCGCCTTCCGCGGGAACGACGATTTCGGGGACGGCTACGACGACGACGTACTTTGATTGCACGTTTGAGGACGGCCGCGTCAGAGTAGACATCGGGCGAGCAGTTGCGGAGGTCGCCGGGCTTGATGAGGTACTCGGACGATGGGATCGGAATTGGGTCCCTGGTCAGTCCGCACGCATGCAGCCAGTAGCGCATGTATTCGATTTGGGCCGAGGAAAAGAGAAGACGCATTTCATTGCTCTCGAACGTTCCTGCCGTTGCTATTCTCAGTATCTCTGTGGACATCAATCACTGATGGGCTGCCCACCAAGGTAGAGTTCAATTCCATTCACGCCAGGCTTCCGGAGAGGGTGATCAGGATGTACCAGAGCGCTGTACGCGATCAGCGCCTTGAGAGGGCCCACGTCTTCCTGCTTCGGGAGCGCTTGATGCCTGAGAGCTGTTTCAGAGAGAGTTCACCCATGTGAGTGGCGCAGTATGCGTACCATTCAAAGAATATGTCTGTAAACCTATAGTAGCCTATGGTCCCAGATCCCGAAGCCGGCATCGAGCTAGGCCCGGTTGTTTTCGAGTCAAAAGGCATTTGCGCAAGTGTAGTGCACAGACGAGAGGACGAGGTGGTGGTGGTGCTGGGGAAAGGGGAGAGCTACCGCAGCTACCACGCCTCTGGCGAGACCAAGGAATCCAAACGACTCCGCGTTCCTTCTATTGTATCCAAATCGGGGATCGTGACACGCGCATCCGTGGTGGCGCTGGTGCTGCAGCTTTACCGCCCGCGGTCCGGCGTTGCCGCCTCTGTTCTTGCCACAGCAAGCGGGACTGTGCCCATGCGTTAGTCGTCCTTGTGCACCATGACATACCCCCCACTCGCGTCCCCCAACAAAGTGAGTAAAGCCTCTTTGTATGTAGCAGCTCGAGCATTGCTTACTCGGCATTCCCGACCGCTGTCGGCATGCATCCAGGCTCGCGTGCGCTGACTGCGTCGATTCCCCATCTAAGGTTCGGAGAAGGTGTTGGAAGGGCGCATATTACGTCCCCTTTATTGTTGTATCTAGGATACTGATAGTTGTTCCGTCAGGCTTCTCTGCGCAGTTGACCGGATTCCCTCGGCCGCAGAACTAGGGTAGTGTCCTTGGCCTCCCAGTTAGTTTTCTCCCTGTTCTGAAGTTCAGAATTGCTACACAACAGCTGCAGAGGCATCCCTTGACTAAAATATGCGTTATGTTGGGACTATACCGAGGGTGGACGATGTCCAGGGGAACTACTGAGATTCAGCCATCAGTGTTCAATGATGTTGCTGAGTGACCCCCCTCGTGCTGGATGGGCTTCCCCCGAACTGGCAAATCCCGCCTCCAAGAAGTCAAAGGGACTCCTGATATATGCTAGAAACACTTTGACACGTGCGTTGCGGACCCCGCCGAGTACAAAATTTGAGAGCGTCGAGTTTGTTCGGTCGCCTCTTTCCTCTCACCTTCCCTATACTCTCTTCGAGGTCATAGAAGGTGCACAAAAATCGCCGCTCTCGCAAAACTATGCCTCGGAGAAGGTCTGCCCGCGGAAGGTCCCGGTATGTGCCAATCTTCCCCAGAGCTGCCTTCGATAGGATTGTAAGTGGCCAAATGATTCACTCTAATTTGAGCGTCCGATGAGCACTGACTCACGGCACAGGTGCGGGAAATTGCACACGACATGACCACAGATCTCAACGGCAGAGGAAACGAGCCCCTGCGGTGGCAGAGGCAGGCGATGGACGCGGTGCAGGAGGCAGCGGAGGTCTTCCTGATCGAGTTGCTCGAAGACGCGTGAGTTGGCGATGTTGCACCCTAACCCTCAGGCTGCGCCTTCGAAGTGGACGTGAGTCTGACGAGGCCTGCACAGCCAACTCTGCGCCTTGCACGCTCGACGCGTTACCGTCCGAGTTGCGGACATCCAGCTCGCCCGCAGGCTGAGGGGCTGGCGAAGGGCTTCTTGAGACCCCAGACCACCACCAGTGACCACCAAAAAAGGCTTCCTGCGCAACCATGGATGCCACCTCCACGTGTCTACCACGACATCGAAAAAAGGTTTCATTCCGGAGATAGGCTGTGAGTCGGGCAGGACCAGGCTCAATCACTCTTCGTATGCGATCGTGCTCGTGTGTACTCAGGCTTCTAAATCCCCCGCGGCCCTTTCGATGTACGATAACATATATCTGTGTGAATAATTGTCTTCCTATATTGTCGAATCAGGATGAGGGAGAGCCGGAGGGGAGCATTAGCCGCCGTCCAACCAGGATTGGGGTAACCTTCGATTCTAAGAGGATTTCCGTTCTGGGAGTGCCTTGCTAAGCCCGATTGAATCTCAACCGCGTCGCGTCACGGGCGCCTGCATGGGTCTCTTTCGAACGCGTCCTCAAACGCGAGCTGGTTGTCACTGCCACTAGTGCTGCTGTTCCCTTCACTGTGGCGATTCCCTTACGTCTCGAGGCCGCTCTCTCTTAGTTGCGCTGCTACTCTTATATCTCTGGCCACTGCTGTTCCTGCCCACGACTTTCCTTCATATCCCGTTCGTTACCCCGCCCGAAAATGGCGCAAACAGTGCAGCGAGGAAAGCGCAGACAAGCGGCTGACGACTCGCCACCGTCGTCGCCGCCCCCAGCAGCGAAGCGGAGGCAGACCGCGACCGCGCGGAAGAGCACGGGCGGACGACCACCAGCCCGCGGCCCGAGCGACGCAGGGCCCTCGAACGCGGGCCGCCGCGCCAGCGGTGGCGGGCAGGGCCAGGGCGGCGACCCACCACGCAGTACGTCTTCCATTCACCGAGTGCATTTTTCCGGCACGTTTTGCACAGGCGAACGCGTGCTGAACGTACGTTATCCTGCCTCCCGCTCAACCCACCCCCTCCCGTTCGTGCAGGGAAGCGGTTCAGGCCCGGGACGGTCGCCCTGCGCGAGATCAGGAAGTACCAGAAGAGCACGGACCTGCTCATCCGCAAGCTGCCGTTTTCGCGCGTGGTGAGTAGCGATGTGTTCATTGTGCACGTTGCGACGGGCGGGAGAAGACCCCTTCAGGCTCCGGTCATTTTGCGGACTTCTCTCGCTCATAGCGCCTGTCACGCGCGCCTGGGCTGTGCGACGTTTGCATGCGGGTGCTAACCACGTTCGTCGCGTACAGGTGCGCGAGATCGCGCTGGACATGATCACGGACACCGTCGAGTATGGGGACAACGGTTTGCGATGGCAGAGCTCGGCGATTCTGGCGCTGCAAGAGGCGACGGAGGCCTTCCTCGTGCACATGTTCGAAGACGCGTGAGTAACGTCTTCAGCCACCGCTGTCCGTGAGGCTTTGTGACGTGATGCGACCCTTTCACAGGAACCTGTGCGCCATCCACGCCAAACGGGTAACTGTCATGCAAAGAGACATCCAACTCGCACGACGCCTGCGCGGGTCGAGCGGTGGGCTGGCGTGATCGAGCATACGCTGATGACTGTACGAGGCCAAGTCAGTGTCGATCAGTAGTATGCTTGATGTTCGCTGGCCTGCGGCAGGTCGCCGGCGGCGGCGGCGGCGGCGGCGGCAACTCGATTGCGTATTTCGGCTGACCGTATTTGGGACGTTGTCTTCTTACTGCTCGTCTTTGCTTTGCGTTATTTTCTTTGCTGCGATCACGACTAGTTCTATTAGGGGTGGTCAGAGTTCGCGATTACGGGGCGATTCTGAGAGCGATTATATAGTGATTATGAGAGCCTTAATCACCTCATAATCGACCTGTACTCTGACCACCCCATGTCGCAAAGCGATTATGATCACGATTTCTGGTACTGCGATTCTGCTTTTCTCAGCTATCTGCTCAACGTCTGCCTTTGGTTTCGAGCTCTGACGCGCCTTTGAACACCCTACATATTCAAAAAGGTCATTATAAATTGACTCCGCATTTTTTCCCACCGAAATTGAGCGATTTTGAGGCGAAATCGCCAATATGGGTATAAATCTTCTGTAGAAAGTCGTTGTTTCGTCACAGTTACCTCATGGGGTACCTATGCAACTATTTTGTCACTTGAATCCGCACGAAATATGTCTTGTATGGGCTATAGACGGGGAGACAAGTGAGACGAAGGGGGTTGACACAGAATCGCAAGAAGCAGAATCGCGATTATGGAGGGCATAAGCTCCTCCGGAGGAGCTTACGCGATTACACGCGATTATGCCAAAATCGCGATTACGGGGTCGGAATCGTCCTCAAAATCGCATCTCATAATCGTCATATAATCGCCCCGTAATCGCGAACTCTGACCACCCCTATTTTTCACGGCCTTTGATGATCACACATTCGCGCGACACCTCCATCCATCCATACTTGCGCCCTCCAGCCCATCACGTCGGGCGACCCATCCATCCACCCGACTATCACGTACCATGTACTCATCCTGCCCGAAATATGATGCCATAGGATTGTAAGCGAGCGGCGGAAGCCTGAAGGGATCGCAACGGTTCTAGAAGGCGTTGTTGTAGACGTTTGTGGCAGGCACCGGGGAACCAGGACCGTGTCTTGGCGCCTGATTACAGAAACGTGGGCGTTATATGAATGACAAGATTGGCAGAACGCACGCATGCTGTTGCGCGGTGCCGTACAATGTACACGACGGTTTGACGGTGAGACTGCACGCTGCGAGTGTGATTCAATCCTCGGAGCGTGGGCGTTCCGGCCAAAGCCGCGTCGGGGCGGGGCTACTAAACGCGATCAACGGTGGCACATGGGAGGCACTGTCGCGACGCGGAGGGAATAGTGCCAAAAACATGACGAAATGATGTCATGCGGGGCCCTCGCGCGTGTGCGAGCGATGGAGGACTAGAAGGTGTGGCGCCCACGCCAGGCTGATGTACGTTGTGTCTGCGTGAGGGGGGAGGGATGTGTATGCTGAATGGCGAGGAAGAGCAGAAGGCTGCACACATGGCACGAGCTCACGACCGGTGGGCCAAAAATACGGTGGGAATGGAGGGATGAACGTTGTTGGCGGAGGCGGCGGACGACGCCGGAGGAGCTCGGCAGAGGCCAAGGGGATCTGGCATCTGGACGCGGCATCTGGATTGGCCAAGCGTGCGTGGGCGTGCGGACGAGTCGGACCAGTCGCGGGCAGTACCTGGTCATTGCACACACCCAGCGTCCCCCATATTCCGCCCCTGCGGCCCCTGAATCTGTCCGTCCAAGGTTCGGTTTGCGTGCCGTCGGCCGCCGCGCTGTCCTCAGCCTCTCGCCGTCTGTCCTTTCTCCCTCACCGTCACCATTCCCGCCAGCGCTCTCCTCCCCGCCTCCTCCCTCCTCCTCCAGATCAGCCTCGACTTCCAGATCGTTCTTCCCTCCTCCCGCCTCCCTCCGATGCGACCGCTGCCTGCTTAATTACCCCCGCCACCCAGCCCCCACCGTTCCTCCCCTTTTGTCCCGCCCATGCGCCGTATTGCCGCCGTCTTCGCTTCCAAGCGTTCAGACAGATCCGACGCTGCCTCTTCCACCGCTGCCTCCACCACAACCCAGCACACCCAGCAGCCGGCCAAGACCCCATCCTCAAAACGCTTCTTCCGATCCCTCTCACGAAAGGCTAAACCCGTCGACCCGCTTCTCGACCGTCTCAACAGCGCCGACTTACACCCGCCCTCGTCGTCCTCGTCCTCCAGCGGCGCACCAACCACCCCTGACGATGACCGTGGCTCTCTCCTCAGACTGCCTACAGCCAAGGTATGGGCTCCGCTTCCACCCATCCCTGTAGATTCTCGACTCGGCTCCTTCCACCACCTGGACGCTGCGCCCCACGATCGATCACCTCTCTCCGTAATACCGCGACCTAGCGTGTCCCCGTCCACGTTTGACACCGAAGATGCCTCATCCGAAGAGTCCTCTTTCGCGCCCGATCTCTCGAGACCCCCGGAGCGCTCTACCCCGCTCTCTGCGCCAGCTTACCTCCTCGCGCTCTCGTTGAGTAAGCTTCGACCTCCCTACGCGCCTCCTCCCCTCCTCGACGTGCCCGGCGGCCCACTGTTTCCACGCTCGTGCAACGCGAGGCGCAGTCTCCCCTATGCGGACAGCCTGGAGTCGACCATGCACCGAACGAGGCTCCAGCGCCGCCTCGAACGCGGCGATCTATCCCCTGCCGAGACGCGCTCGATAGCCTCGTTCGCCGGGCGACGGACCGTGCTCAAGGACCGTCCCTCGCTCTTCTTGGACGACACTGCGGTGCGCACCGGACACGCTAGATCACACTCGGCGGGGCTGAGGAGGTGGGTCGACCGGCCGTGCTTCGAGGATCGACTGCTCGTGCTGCTAGCCGAGAATGAGCCGGCTGGCGGGCTCCATGCAAACACAGAACCCCGCTGGACACGCGTGGAACCGGCGACAGGGTGCGGAGTGGCTGACCTCGAGTACTCCCTGACGCTCGAGCTTCTCGCAGGCCTGTACGAGGACATACCTCCGTCCGAGCACGAACAGCAGCGGCAGGCGCCGGGCCCGGAGTCTTCGGCTTTGGCATATTTACGCTTAGACACCCGCCTGTCTCTCGACTCGAGCCCCTCCCTTTCTCTGACCCACTCCCCTACCGCGCCCAGCCCGTCGTCGCTGTCATCGATTGGCCCGCCTTCGCCGGTCACGATGCCCTCCAGTCCACCGCCTGCCTCCCCGTCTGGTGCCAGTCCGAAGCCTGCCCAGCCTTCTGGTGAGTCGTCGCGCGTTTCAGTCATGTCTTTGTCACCGTTGAGACTTGCACGTAGTGATCTCGCCGTCGACGTCCTCCCGCGGCCAGCTCTACAAGGCCTCGCCTTCTCCCCTGAGGATGGAAGCAGTGTCGGCGCCATCTCCCCCGGCGAGCACGCCTGACATTCCTGCAAGCGCGCCTGCCGTCTCCCCTGTCGTGTCCGCCTCGATCGCACCATCACCCGTCACATCACCGCCACCATCTGCGTCATCAGCTGCAGCTCGTCTGAAACCCGCCTTGAAGCAGGGCGTTCGGTTCGCCGAGGGCGAGAAAGAGGACAAGGAAGACAATGTCCCACTAGGGTATGTGATGCGGGTCCAGCAGAAGCGGGAAGAGAAGGCGCGGTTCCTGGCCGCGGAACGCGAGAGGCGGCAGCACGAGGAGGCGCGGCGCAAACACGAGGAAGAGAAGCGGAAGTGGGAGAAGGAGCGCGCGACGTGGGAGAGGGAGAAGCGTGCGATGGAGGAAGAGCGCAAGAAGAGGCTGTATGCGGAGGAGGTCGCCGCCGCCCGCGCTCGTCGCGAGAGCAGCCGCATCGGCTTTGGGCCCGCGACAGGCGAGGGCCTCGCGGTGGGGCAGTGGGACCGCAGCGAGCGCCCGCGCCCGGACCGCGAGTCGTCCGCGTCGCCGTCGTTCTCGAGGCCCACGTACGATCCCGCGCACGCGATGCCCAGGACGTACTCGGACTCGTCGCTCGCTCGGCCGCCCCATCCCAGTCGTGGTTCTTCGGGCTCAGGCTCTGGGTCCCCAGAGGAGTCGCGGCCAAACAGCGTTTACGGGTCGTGGTCTGGCGCCGGCTCTCGACCGCCTTCCATGCATTCTGGCGTACCAACGCCGTCTTCGTCGCAGCAAGACGTGCGACCGCGCGAGCGTCGCACTAGTTCAAGTCGCCGCGCCTCTATGGTATCCGAATCAGGCAGCTCACGACCACGCAGCGAGGTCCCCGTCCCTCCCGTGCCCGTTCCAAACATGTGGACGATGAACATGCCCATGAATATGGGCGCTCCGATGCCTATGCCAGGATTGGGCATACCTATGGCTATGCCAGTAGGGATGGGCATGACGCCGATGGGCATGCCGATGTATGGCATACCGATGGACATGCCCCTGCTACCGCCCTCGCCACCATTTATGCAGCAATACGGCGGCCGGTCCTCCAGCCGCTCGCGCTCGCCTTCGGGCTCGCACAGCAACTCGCCGACGCTCTCGAAGCGGGCTCTGTCATCGAACAACAGCAGCTCGGAACGTGTTAACCGCATGTCACGCCATGGGTACGACTCCTCTTCGGGGTCCGCGCGCGGCGCGTCCCTGCCGCGTTCGGAGTCTGCGTCGCCCGCGCGCTCACAGCGCCCGACACACGTCCGCACAGGCAGTGGAGACACGTCGCGCTCGAATCGCCCGGCAGCCGCCCCGCGCAGCCATACCGACCACGGGGACAGGCGAAGCTCCTCTGCCAAGCAGGCTCAGCAAGGCGTGAGGGCGGCACCACCACCACCACCATCGGCGGCGGCGGCGGCGTCGAGCTCCCGCCCAAGGCCCACGCACACTTCGTCATTGCCCCCCAATCCCCCTGTTGCTTACAACCAACCACGTTCGTCGTGGGCCCTCCCGCAGTCCGGCTTCGAAAACGTGAGCCGACCTGCTGGGGGCCGACGGCAGACCATCATATCATGACACTGGCCCCTCGTCGCGCCTGTCCTTGACGCATGCGTTCGCGCGCGCCTACAGGCCATCACCAGGCCGGCCGTTCTTGTCGGACTTCACATATGTACGAACCAAAACACTCAATGGGACGTTGGTGCGAATCCATCCTCTCTCATTATACCTGACCCGCATCCGCTCTTTAACCGTATTATCTTGCTGTGTCTCGTTCTCCTCGTAATCGCATTTTTTCTTGGCCGCACATTGCATTGCACTCCCCTTTTCCTGCGACGGCGGCAGCTGCCGGCTGTCCTCACTCCTCCACTAGCCACTAGTCCCCGTCCTCCCACCCCTCTGTTCGCTCCCGTATCCATGCCCCATCTCGCTTTCGTCATTCGTGCACGCACTCGCTCAACCACGTACACTCCGCACTCGCACTGGGACATCTGTCGCTCGCCCGACGCCCGCCATCCAGTCCGTAGTCCATAACGAAGACCGCCGTCATGCCCCCATCATCCCTCATCCCTCTGCCCCGCACCTGCCTCGTCGCCCGTACCAAGTAGCTAGTTTTCCGCCATATATACACATACACATACGATACTGTAGGATCTCCTTCCCGCACGGATGCTCTTCCGCAACAACAATTCTCTTGTTCTTCCGGAGTCTAGCTAGCAACCCCTAGTAGTCGCCCTTGTCAATGTTGTGCCACCAGGCCTTGTTAACTAGATACCCGCTTGTCTGCCGGACGCGGTCGTTCGCTTGTGGCGGGCCGTATTGGTCTGTCTGCGTTGCTATATGAGGGACAAGCCGTGAGCTGCGTGTGACCGGATGTTCCCCGGATGAGAGGAAGATCACTGCGAGCTCTAGAAGCCCGAGATGGATGCGCAGCGGATCTGATGAATCGTGCTCGACGGATCACCGGGGTATGTAGACTCTTGATAGCGACGCCCGCAAGTCGCATATGTAAGTACATGAACGAGGACGATAAGTAGACCGCTAACCGCGGGACCCATAGGCACCCACACACTTATCGTCGCGTTCGACTTCGGCTTTCTGGTTCTTATCGAGTGCGCGGGCGGGGCGCGTTGATCTTGGCATTTGATCCGCTGGTGCATGGAACGCTGGCCTTCGCGCCATCTGCAATCTGGCCGGGGGCATTGATGCCTATGTATCTTCGAATTCTGGACCGAGCTCGAAGGAGGAGCTCGCTAGCCGAGTCCGAACAGAGGACGCGAGCGGATAGTAGGTTGCCAAATCGGCGTTATGTGGCGTAATAGCATCAGTCCGAACCGAACATTGTTCCCGCTACAGAAGGTCATAAGAGAGAAAAAGATAGGCTTCTGCTTCATGAGAAGTCCGTTGGTGAGATTGTGTAGTGAGAATATAATGTAAGAGGAGACTCTAACTGCCCGGTATCCAAGTCTCGACGTGTCTATGTATGGCGCTTACTGAGTGTCGTACTTCTCCTCTGTGGGGACAAGCGAGCGGCCGCTCATCTCAGGGCGGACGTAGAACCGGTTCGCCTCCTTGGCGGCGGAGCGACGGCGCCTGACGAGCCAGAAGACACCAATCGCGATGTAACCGATAGCCATAGCACCGACGACCGCGGCGAGCGCGATCAGTACGCTGTTGGAGGTGCCACCGTTAGCCGTGACGGTGGAATCGCTCTCAGCAAGTGCCCCGAGAACGTTACCCGTCTTGGTGGACTGCGTCGGCGTCGACGAGGGCTGATACTGCTTCGTCATGGTCGAGGGCCAGGTGGTGGCCACGGAGCTGGGGAGCGCGTTGTTCGCATTGCGGGGCTGGCGTTGGGTGGTGGGCTGACCCTGGCGCTTGATGCCGCAGCGGTCAAGGCATTCCTGGCGACCGAGAGCAATATTGTCTGGGATCTGCCACAACAGGTCAGTGGGAGCCATAGGATGCGTTGGATACTATACTTACCATCTCCTCAATACCAGCGACGTACTCGACACCAAGGTCACCGAGAGAAGCGGCGACGACGTCGGGAGGAAGACCGAAGTCTTTGGGAGGCACGGGTCAGGCGGTTATGCAAGGAGCGGGGCTAGAGCACCCACAGCGCTGGGCAGTGGACTCGACACCGGGGTCCTCGTTGTTGAGAGCAGCAACGAACAAGATCGGATCGCAGAGCTCGTTCTGCTGGTAGTGGATGGAACCTTGCAGGAAGACTTGCGCCTCACCCGCTTGGAGGGTGTTGAAGACGAAGCGAGCCCCGTTTTCGGCGATCATACCGGTGGTGATGGTGCCATTCACTAGGTAGAGCATCTCCATGCCACGGGGGTGCGAATGAGGAGTGTTCATACCACAAGGGCCGATTAGACCAATAGTCATGGCAAGACCTAGTAAAGCGGTCAATATTGGGCGCCACACTAGTGTGAGTAGAAGCTTACCATTGTTGACGAGGACAGGGAAATCAGAGACGGTGGCAGACAGGAGCATACCACCGGCACCCTTCACAGGAGTAGCGTTGAAGAAATTAAAGACAAACTATGTGGAGTCATATGAGTGAATGTGTAGAATGAGCAAAGGTTGCAGAACTTACGTCGGAGTCCTGGTCGAGGATCTTGATGCGGTCGACCTGAGCAGGAGCTGCTTTCAAGGCCGCGACGGTGTCAGCGGATGAGGGGGCGCCGAAGACACCAGTCGCTGTGAGAGCAAGAGCAACAAACAAAGACGAGAACATCGTAGAGGAATTGGGAGGTGGTGAATGAAGAGAAGAAGAGAAGGAAGAAAAGGTAGAGGAGCGGGACAAGGATCTCGGGGCTTCGAGAGCGAGCCTTTTATCCATGAATTGAAAGGACGAAGAATCAAGTTGCGCCCATTTGACCCGCCGATAACGTTGTGTGTCAGGTACGCTTGCAGTAGCCACCCTGTTAGAGCGCCGGTGAGTGAGACAAAAACCCGCCCGGCGTGACCGAATGCAGTGACGGGGATGAGACTTGCGACTAGTCTTTTGCAAGCCCAACCAATAACGACAACGCTCTGGACGGCTGATGGCTGCGTTTGCGCTGGGTGATCTCGCCGACGCGCACGGGGACGAAACGCCTGATGTCAAATTCGTCGGAGGACTTCCTGATGCGTATTCTTGCGCGGGATGGGGTAAGGGATGCGCGCAGGACCAAAACCGGCTCCGATTTCGTTTTCAAGAATGCCGATCGGCTCTGATCTTGCCGGGGAGGCTGTCGTCTTGTGTGTCCTGTGCGCTCGCCATGAGTTTTGAATACGTAGTCACAATTAGATCCATTTCATTCTTACGAAGAATGCAAGCCCTTATAGAACCAGTGCCTTCGGCGCTGTGAAAGTAAGGTCTTGTCTTGGCCGAAACCACAACGAGAGCATGTTCTGCAATAAGTAAGCAGTATAGCTTCGAGGGGCCACGCGTCCGCCACTGCGAGAGCCAAAGGCATCGACATACAGTAGCGGATGAGGCGGGTGTCGTCGATCATCCTGTGCGTCGCGCAGTCGAAGACGCCTTTACCATTCGCCGCCTTAGTTAGACCGGTGCCGCTGCGTCGGAGAACAAAAAACGCTAGTGGACCGTTGAGCCCGACCTGTCCGGAGTACCCGTGGTGCACACTCAAGGTGACTGAAAGTTCCGCGAACGATTGGTCCATCCCTCCACAGACAGCTACAGCCATAATGGTGAAACATATTCTGCATACCTACCTCGGCTACTAGAGTTAGTCTGATGCGGATGCTGTAGCTCGCTCCGCCCGCTCTTTTCTCTGTTGCCTGTCCCACCACCTCAGTACTCTCCTTTCGAACCGCTCGACGACGCCGGAGACATAATTGTCATCCACGCCGGCCCATTTCGCCGCACGTGAGAAGACGAGCTCCATGTCTGCGGGGAACGAGCCCAGGAGATCCTGCGTGCTGTATATAGCATATTGTTCCCCGGGCCGGAGATGGTTGTCGCCTTCGTCGATCGCGTTGGCGGTCGGATTTGACTTGCCGGCAGTGGGATCTTGACCTTGACTTACCGCGTTGTCCGCGGACGTATCCTTGTCTCGGTCCAACGGGAATTGATCCGTCGTTGCGTTTCGTGCTAGAGCGTACCTTGATCCGTTGTTGTTCGGAAGATGGGATAACAAGGCACTTACGCGGCATGTTGTCTTCTCTTGGCAATAATGCTTTCTCGCAAAACGCCAGGTACTCATCCAGCATCTTGTCGTCCATATCAAGAACAGACCTGTAGAGCGCTCGTGAACGGAATCATCACTAGACTTCCGCCCGTACTCACCGCTGGGTCTCCATAGAGAATGCAGGAGCATGTTTCAAGTCGGCTGCTTCGGCGTTCTTGATAGCGCGTAGCACATCTTTGAGGGTAGGAAGTGCACACGCGGGGTCCTCGTTTTCCCGCGGACGCCTTTACAAGGGCCGTAAGCGGTAAACCCGTCGTGGATTCGAATACGGCTGTTACCTCAACTGGCCGTCCATTCCATAAACCATCTTCATCACGACGATGACTGTGGCAATTAATGAGACTTCTGGGACAGCATTATCGTGCTTGTGAAAGCCGGGGTCCCTCTTCTTGGTGCATTTCAAAGCAGGCGCAAGAGTCCTGTGCAACGTGAGCGGTATTGACACTAGCCGTGCCAGTCTCTTAGTCAACACGTAGAGGGTAGCTGCTTCGTCTTCAGAACAAGTACAACGCGAGAGTACGGCTACGTACGTGTGCCTTGCAAGCTACGTACAGCCTTCCAGAGGATGGGAGCAGCGTTCATCTCTGGCGTGTAGACGTCGTATGTCGAATACATGAGTTTGGAGAGACGAGACGAGAGGTTGTGAAGGTACAACGTTGATGGGGGATACTGCACACAAGACACGTAAGGACAGGGAGAGCATAACAGTAGCTTGCTTACGAAGGGAGAGAGGGCCTGAGCTGTTTGTTTGCGAAGGTGTCGTAGCATAGCTTCAGGGACGAGTCGCAACGCATCCAAGTAAGGCAAATCATAGCTTTCTATGATCCTACATATACTATCAGCAGGATTACCATTGGATCGAGCCGCGCATACCTTATGAAGTCGATATACATCACTGGGAGCCTCAGAGTCCAACATGCGACTACTAGCACTGAGATCGTGCTCGCAGGAGTGTCATGTCTGCTGAACGTTGGTCGTTTGCTGGTGATGGGTACGGGCCCTTTACGTTTCTTGGGGTTCCCTTCGTCTTCCTGCTCCGACGAAGACGGAGTGGCCGAGTTCTCCCTCATGAGCTCGTCCAGTCCAGAGTCGTAGTCGAAGTCCGAGCTAGAATCCGACGATGACGAATCAGCGGTCATTTCGCTCTTCTTGCTATGCTCGCTTTCGTGTCCGTCGCTGTCTTTTCCGCGTTGCTCTCGTTCCAACTTCGCAGAAGGCTTAGAAGAGCTTGGGCCTAGCCCGTCTTGTAGATAAAGCAAGGGCTCTGCTACAGGAGGGTTAGGGAGTAATGACAGATGCAAGGCCCATATATCTCTGCATATTCTCTTAGCAGAGTTAGGTACCAAGCAAGACGTTATGCGGAGTGAAATGTCGCATACCTCAAACTCCGGTGGAAGCTGCCAAAGCCGCGTGAGTGCAGCTGCTTGCATCCGCAAGATCAGCTGTAGACACTGATAAAAGTGGAACCGCGCGCGTTCTCCATGATACACTGCGCAGTCAAGGTGAGATGGGCGGGATGCAAGAGAGCGGAACAACAGACCCTTGGGGTCAGCCTTGCTTTGCCGCTCTTTCTTCTCCCTTCCAGACTTGAGGGTTCTCTTCCTCATATGGTGTGGGCCGAGCTCGGTCACCTCCGTGGTCTCATTCCTGTAGTTCTGCAGGGGTCTTAGGCAAATGGTCGAGATCGTGATAGCTGAGGTCACACCTACCTGAAGGACGTGTCCTTCGCTACACATGATGAGACCACTCGACGGCGACTTGTGCCATTGCTTTGAACCGCAAACAGAGCATTTTCCACGACGTGCCATGTCTATGCACTTGGCTGGCCACGGCTATGATAACGGTCGCTTGCAAAGTGAAGGCCGACCAATGGAACCTGCCGAGATTAGATAACCACGTGGCGAATTGATCGAACCTCCGTCTCGTCTGTGACGCTGCCACCGCGGTGGCCCACTGTCTCCTCGTCCCTCCACCGCCGTACGCCTGCCCGTCTCGCTTCTTATACACAGGCAAGGCCCACAGGCAAGGCCAAAAGTCATGAGGGTCTTACACCTCATAGCGTTCCTTGCTGTTCTGGTAACGGCTGTGGTCGCGTACGTCACTTGGATTGCTTGAACGTGCGGTGTGTATTGATGTGTAACCGACTGGCATACATATAGGTGGACCAAGGTGCGCATGTGTAACTATTCTACGAGACACATCGTACTCACAACTATCCGCAGGAGGACCACGAAATCTTTGACCTCGTGAGCGCGGTTGAGAAGTCCGAAGGTCAGCCTCGTGCAGCGTTCTTGCGCCCCCCAAACCTTACAGAGGACCCTTACTCCCTCCTTCGTGACAGGCAAGGGCACGAACTTCTACTCTTGGCTGGATGTACCCCACACTGCATCCACGGCCCAAATATCTAAGGCTTATAGGAAGAAGAGCTTGCAGCTGCAGTAAGTCCCAACTCGTCATCGCATCGTCAATTCGTGACACGATCATCGCGACAGCCCCGACAAGAACAAGGGCGTCAAGGACGCGCATGAGCGATTTGCGCGACTTGGAGTGGTCGCGGCCATTTTGAGGGACCCCGCGAAACGCGAACGGTGAGTTTTCATGCATGCGAGGTGTCCACGCGACTCCCCCTCCCAGACATCGATTCTCATCCATTGGATGCTGATCGCTGCACCCTGCCTGCCAGCTATGACTTCTTCTACAAGAACGGGGTACCCGTGTGGCGGGGCACCGGCTACTATTATTCTAGATTCCGTCCTGGGCTTGGGGTGAGTTCTAGAATCTGTCGAAGCACCCGAACCCGTCATCCGAGCGACCCCGCTCACATGCACCCATAACGCAGACGGTCCTTACGTTCCTGGTAATCATCACGTCGGGGATACAATACATCGTTCAAAAGTTGAACTATAATCGCGATTTGAAACGGATTGAGCACATCGTAGAGCAAGCCCGGACTGCCGCTTGGGGCTCCAAGCTAAACCCCGTCGAGGGCCAAAGGAAGGTTAGCCTATTTTCGAGAACGGGTCGGACATCGACGGGTCACAAGACTGACAACCCGTCGCAGGTCAAGGTGAACCTTGGGGGCTCGCCGCGTCTAGACGAAGACGGGAATGTCATCCCTGGGAGGATGGTGGACATGGTGGTGGAAGGGAGCCACGTCTATATTGTGAGTATTCCCGGCGGCATGATCTGGGACTATTGGGTCATGTTTTCCACCAGCTCGAACCAGATGGAAGTCTGCTGCCGGTGGACAATGAAACGGCGGTAGCCCCATCGATCAAGAGGACATGGTTCCTGTCCCTTGTGACCGGGCTCTTGAGAAAAGTGGCTAGGCGCGATGGTGGGACGATAGAGAGCAGCTTGGGGCAGGACGCTACAGCAGACGAAGGCGAGTCGGACGATGGGTCGGGCGTTAGCTCTGAGGTGTCAAGGAGCGGTACGACAACGCCCCAGGGGGGCAACGGGGCCAACGGGTCAAAGAACGGGCGAATCTCGGCGACGAGTATGGCAGGGGGACGGAGGAGAAAAGTAGTGAGGAAAAAATGAGCGGTCGTGTGTTCCGGGGGGCGCGGAGGCGCGACGGTCCGCGCCTCTTGCTTATCTCTGCGCCTTGGCTGGAATTCTGTTCTGCCAGGAACCAATCACATCTGGCTCGTTGTGCAAGGGACGCCGCAACCATGCCTGTTTTGAGCTCATTCGGGAAATTCTCGCGTGTAAATATGCAGCCTATGGCACAAGGAGGCAGCGGGACAGGCTGGGTGGTCGACGGAGGTCAGTGCGGCCGTGGACTGGCGATAAGGCATGGGCGAGTGCTCCGAGTGCCAAGTGGTCGACACAGCCAGGGCGAGTCTCGCTCGTCCGGCCTGCCACTCAGCCTGCGCTAATAGGCCCTCGGCTAGATACGGACATCCGTTCCTGATAAGAGAACCCATACCCCAGACAAACACGAGTAAACATCCTCATCTACGCCTATAATCAATTGACTCGACACTCCTCTCCTCAGTCCACTTCCACCGCTCTCCTCTAGGCCGCCAATACACCTACGCTTTCTCGTCATGTCGTCCCAGCAGTACCGCCCCGATCTCCTTGCTCCTTACCTCGCCCTCCCACAGGGCGAAAAGGTCCAGGCTGAGTGTAAGTCGCGAGACGTCCGACTTTGGGGTAACAAGCTCATTACCTTCCTTTCTAGACGTCTGGATTGACGGCGATGGTGGTCTGCGCTCGAAGACGACGGTGAGTCCTCGTTGCGCACCGCAGCTCGTCGCCCATTGCGCCGTGCCTCGCGCATCCCCAAGCACTCTCAGCAGCGGGGACTGACCCCCGTGTTCTCAGACTGTCACCAAGAAGGTGACCGACATCGGCTCCCTGCGGGTCTGGGACTTCGACGGCTCTTCCACGAATCAGGCGCCTGGTAGCGACTCCGATGTCTACCTCCGCCCTGCTGCCATCTTCAAGGACCCTTTCCGTGGCGGCGACAACATCCTCGTTCTCGCGGAGTGCTACAACAGCGACGGTACCCCCAACCGTACAAACTACCGCCACCATGCCGCCAAGGTCATGGAACTCGCCAAGGACCAGATTACTTGGTTCGGTATCGAGCAGGAGTACACCCTTTTCGACACGGACGGCACCCCTTACGGTTGGCCCAAGGGCGGATTCCCTGGTCCCCAGGGTCCGTACTACTGCGGTGCTGGTACGTTTCATATGGTCCGCCCATCCAGCCGTGCGCGAAGCTCACATGACGTAACCCTTTGTCAGGTGCCGGAAAGGTCTTCGCCCGTGACCTGATTGAGGCCCACTACCGCGCCTGCTTGTACGCTGGTGTGAACATCTCCGGCATCAACGCCGAGGTCATGCCCTCCCAGTGGGAGTTCCAGGTCGGCCCTTGCGAGGGCATCTCCATGGGCGACCACCTCTGGATGGCCCGCTACCTACTCGTCCGCATCGCCGAGCAGTGGGGCATCAAGGTCTCCTTCCACCCCAAGCCCCTCCAGGGCGACTGGAACGGTGCCGGCTGCCACACCAACTACTCCACCAAGGCGATGCGCGAGCCCGGAGGCATGAAGCACATCGAGGAGGCCATCGCCAAGCTCGCCAAGAGGCACAACGAGCACATCGCCGTCTACGGCGAGGACAACGACCTCCGTCTCACCGGTCGTCACGAGACCGGCCACATCGGCACCTTCTCGTCTGGTGTCGCGAACCGTGGGGCTTCAATCCGTATCCCCCGTCATGTCGGTGCCCAGGGCTACGGATACCTGGAGGACCGTCGTCCCGCCTCCAACATTGGTATGATGCTGTCCCTCTTACGTTATATTTAGAACAGTTGGCTGATGACATGGTATGCAGACCCTTACCGCGTGACGAGCATCATCGTCGAGACTACGTGCCTTGACGCGTGAGCTGGCTACATGGGGCTGGGACAGGCGTGCCAAGGAGTCTTTGGAGGTTCAGCGGCATTAGATGGTGTTGCGCACGCGCGTTGGATTTACGCCGGTAGTCAATATAATGTGTATACCAACAATCAAAACGGCATTTATTGCGTTCATTCATACACGTGGGCTGAGAGGCATTCATATCCTAAGTGAGAAAGGAAACAGCAGGATACAGATTTACATCGGCGGGTATAACGTACTACGAAACTGCCAAGCAACTCGAACATCCGAATCGAGACGAAAACCCGAAGGAAGATGGCATCGATACAAACTGAGGGTTCTTCTGTTCACGTTCCGTTCATTCCTTCATCTACGCTATCCGCACTGCGAGCATATGGCCGGTCATCCGAGCGATCAGTACGGACTGTTGACAATGCTCGAGCGCGTGCGGCCTGCACCGGGCGCAAGGGACGCCCTCGTCGGCCGCTTGAGGTTCTTCTTGTTGATCGCGAGCACGTCGTTCTGCAGAGCGACGATCTGGGAAGTCACACCACGTAAGTCGGGTGCACACAGACGGAGGTAAGGAGGGTTCATGATTAAAACGTACGATCTCCTTGTCGTCGCCAAACTTGAAGCTGTCTTGCACGACAAACTGGTCGTACCTGGCCAAGGTGGCACGTTAGCGTTAGCCTCTCCGGAGCCAATCGGAGGGAACGGAAAGGCGGAGCGAGCGGGGAAGCAGATAATAGTGGCGCACGTACTTCTTGATCTCGTACTTGTCGAGCTGGCCCTTCTTCACCTTGGCGAAGTCCCAGGCGACGACGTACTCTCCGGTCGAAGTCACGATCGCGTTCTCGTCCTTGCCCTCGCCCATATTGAACCTGAGACACATATCCAAGTTCAGGTCAGTAGCCGAACACGTAGATCAGGGCGAGATCTGAAGTTCCCCGAAGGTCTGAAAGGATGTACGGGCTCACCTCGCTGGCGTAAACGAGACGCTGTGGCCCATGTACGCGACGTGTTCCGCGCGGAGCTGCAGCCTCCGCGGAATCGGCTTGGCAGTCGCGGGGAAGCTCCGGTCGAACCCGAGCTGGCCAGTGTAGCGTCCCTCGCCGATGAGCGTGTCGATGAGGAGCAGATACGTCTTCGTTGTTGCGACGATCCAGCGGCCGTCGGCAGTAACGTCGATGCCAATGATGGGGTCACCGAGCGGTGGCAACGCCGTCTTGGCGTTCTTGCCAATTGAATCAAAGAGACGGATCTCCCCCTTCTCGCTCGCGACGGCGAGCTTGCCGCTCTCGGTGGTCGCCACGCCGGAGAACTTGTTCTTAGAGACGTATTGCTTGTACTGGCTGTCCACCATCTTCGTTCCGGACACACGGGGGTCGATACGGAAGAGGGCGTTGTGCGAGATACCGACGACAGTCTGCTCGGGCGTCATCTGCGCATACTTGTTGTCCGGAGCGATGTGGTCGACGGTAATGTCATCGTGAACCTTCCACTCCTCCACGACCTTGCCACGCTCGATATCGAGATTGTACAACGAGTGAGGTTGATTGGGATTCATGAGGATCATCTTGGTGTCTTGATCGTGCAGCATCACCTGTGAAGGATGTACAAACATGAGCATCTCGATCTACACGAGATTAACTATAGAAGATCGTACGTGCTTAGGACTAAAGACCTTGCCCTGTGGTGTAGAAACATTGCTGATCGAAGCGTAGTATTTGACTTGGTTCTGCCCTGTATGGCTGAAGACTCCAATCTTGTCGTCACGCACAACATACGATCTGTCGCCCTTATATCCAACCGTGAGTTGTTTGTTGCGACCCTTGGGCATAGCCGGGACATCGTCATCGTCTTCGGGGTAGTCTTCCTCTTCGTCGTCGTCGCTCTTATCTGCGCATATTGTCAGTGCTATGTTGTATGTGCATTCGTGAGGATATTCACCCAGTTCCTCAGCGACAGCGTCTTCCTCGTCTTCCTCATCTTCTGCGTCTTTCATCTCAACGTCTTCATTTATCGAAGACATGACATAAGCCTGGTCCTCGTACTGCAAACCGAACGGTGAGCGGCCCGTCTGTTAACGTGATCATTTCAGACATACCTTCGCCTTACCCCAAGGGAGCTGGTTCAAACCTTCCCATAGCGCTTGACTGAATGCGCGCTGGAACTCCTCAAACACATCCTGCGTGTCGAAGCGCAGGCACCAGCTGTTCGCGGCGCCAGACTCGTCGATGTAGTTCCACGTGAACGACAGCACCCTGGGTGCCAACCGCTGGTTCATGTCCGACGAGACCCGGTGAGCGAGTAGCTGGCCCTCGTCCGCCGACGCCACCAGCCAGTAGTCGTACGGTCCTCCCGTAGGATGTTGCGCCACCCGCGCGACGACATCGGCCTGCTTCTCAAACTGTGCATGCTCCTTGTCCCACAAGAAAAGCTCGCCAGGCCCTGCGAATAGTGACGGCATCTCAGGTTCCGGCTCTCGCGGCACAGCTTTCTTGCCCTTGGGACTCTGCTGTGGACTGGAGGAACCAGTGGCGACAATCTCCGCAGGCGCTGATTCGGACTGGGAGCCGGTCGCCTTGCGGGACCCCTTTGTCTTCGGCTTCTTTGCTGCGGGGGGCCTGTGGCATGGACGATCAGGTTTCAGCACTGATGCGCTGGTACGAGCTGACGTACTGCCAGATGAACTCTTGCAGATCAGAGTCCTGGGTGTTGTCCGCGCTCCTACGATATTTACGCTCGTACATCGCGCGATACATGCATGTCTCGAAGAAGGCCCGGGTCGGCTCGTTCGTCCCGTTGGCCACGAATTCGTACAGTTCGTCGACATCTCCCTGCAGATCGCGCCATACGAAAGTGGGCTCATTGTCGGAGGTGGTCCCAGTGCGGAATTCGAGCTCCTCACAGATCAAGAATACACGCTCCTCGTCCGCTGTGACTAAGCGTTAGCGTCTGGATGCCTCATAAACCGGGTAAGCCTCAAGGGCTCAGTATGCTACCACTGGTGGCCTGTCATTATCTCAGACAAAATGGCGCGACAACGCCAGTGACTCCTCCGCATGGAACATGGCTCGATTGAGAAGTGGTATAGAGTCACGGATTGGGATTGGGAACCGCATATCGGGATGGCACGAGCAAATACAAGAACAGTACAGGGACTCACTTTCCTCCTCATCCTCCAGCAACTCCTCATTCCCATCCTCATATACGCGGGTGATTACAAGCTGGAAGGTGTGCTCCATGGAAGGAACCCTCCGGATCGTGGCCATGGCGTCATTGTAACTGTTGGCAGACGAGCGTGAGCGTGCGAGACGCGAGGTAAACACGTTCAACGTACATGCATTCCCTGCCTCCACGCACAGTCTCGGTGCGGACGAGAAACAACTGACCCTCTGAGATCTTGACGACCTCCGCCGCGTTAGGATCGTCTGCGATGGTGATGTCAGAGTTACTCCGTTCCTCGGCCACGAAAGTGGCTCACGCACGCCAGACTTTGCCTAAAACTGAAACAGCGTGACCGTCATGTAAGTCTAACGCAAACAGGATGAGAGCAACGAACGCACGGCTTCTGAAGATATTCATAGTGGCAGTCGAGGGCAAACAAGCATTCGAGTATCGCGGCTCCGAGCTTCTGGAGTCTGGTTCCGCGGCCCCGCGCCGGAGTGTGACGGTCGCGCTGTGACAGTCTACTCGCGTCTGTCACGCCACATGGGCAGCACAGTCAAGCGCTCAGAAAAGGCCTTCAAGCTGTTGTTGTCCAGTTTCGGAATCGGTCGACGGGCGTGATGGCCTCCTCGACTCGTTTCGCGACGCCTCCCATCAACATACAAGGTGCTGTACAGCATCTATACATCTAGCACCTTTGCTGAATTGACCTGCATAGCCCGGGAGCCAGTCACTCCCGACACGGGCCTCCGCAGTCGCAGCACGACGCGTGCAGAGAACGGAGTACGTAGTTCATTTCGGCCTCTTTCTCGATCGCACCCAGCCTGACACAGGCCTCGTCATTGTACGATGACTTGTAGAACGGGTCACCAGATGTGAACGCCTCTCCTACGTCCTCCACCGTCTCCAGCCTCTCCCGGATCCTCGAGCCCTCGCGCTCCCTCTACCGCCCAATTACCTCCCAGCCTCCTTCGGCCCTGGGGACCCCGGCACGCAAGGTGACCATTCGCGCGGACCCTGCGCTACTTACGTGCTTCGATCCAGCCGACAAGGAGCTGTATGAGCTCTGGGCGCCCAAGACGTGAGCGTCATGGTCCTCGCCCTTGTCCAAATGACAAGGACGCCAATGCCGTTGGCAACGTCTTGTCATCACCCTCGGAACCAATGTCGATAATCCAGTCGATGTCTACAATTCAACGGGTTCCTTTGGCGCGACAGCTCCTGTTCTGGGCTTCGTTACTCACGCGCCGTTTAGCGTAATTCCCACTTAGGACTCGCAGTGCCATGTAGCGGGGTTGCCATCTGTCGTATTGCCGATGAATTCAGTCGTATCAGTCGTGTATGCTATGCTCCATACACCAACGTACAAAGGCTCCGAGTGTGAACCGGTCATAGTGGGAATATGGTATACTAACAATGAAGAAAGAGCGGCGATGATTGATATACTACAGTGGTATTGCAAGGATCGTGAGTCATTGGCTACTGGTGAAGTTCGTGTCAAAAGAAAAGTGGATGCCAGAGAGGGACGTCGACGTCAAGACCTGAGACCCGTCAGAACGAATAAGCACATGCACAGCCCGGCGACCATGGCCACGACGAGCTGTCCTGGCAGCTCGCCGCACGCCAGTCACACTAGATCCAAGCGCCTGTTGGTCTCGCCTTCATCGTCGCGCTTGGGTCCTTCTTCGTGCTGCCCTCCTTGAGCGCGGCACGCTGCTTCAAGCCAGGTGGAGACGGCCAGGGAACCTCGAGCTCGCTGCTGCCCCCGCTCTTCCTGGGCCCCCCGCTCCCGCTGTTGCTGGCGAAGCCAGAGTCGCCCGAATGCCGCTGGGCGGGGTCGACGGGCTCCGAGGTCTCACGGAGCGTATGCAAGCTCTTGTTGCTCGCGTTACTGAACCCGCGCATGTGCAGACCCAGGCCGCCGAGGCTGGGGGTCGGTTGCCGGTGCCTAAGCTCGTCCATGCACAGCCTGTGCAGCTCCTCCAGACCGAGGTAAGATGCCTCGTCTCGGAGCTCGAGAAGCGCTTCGAGGCGAATAGAAGAGCCGTTGAGGCGGGCAGCGTGTGGAAGCGTTGCCGGGTGCTCCGACGTCGCCGCGGGCAACCTGAGATATGTGAGGATGTGCGCATACCTAGTACACATGGTCAGCGTCCTTCGTGATATACTATCAGAGATACGTCAAGAACTACTCACGGAGCACTAGGTCTATCCAAGAACACATGAAGATTTGTCGAAGCCTGGAGGACACCCGAGGAGGCAAGATGGTGATGGAAGATGGAGTCGAATGAGCTGTCGACATCACTTCTCGTCGAATACATAGACTGGGAGTCCGATTCCGAGGACGGGAACAGACCGAGCAAGTACGAGGCGAGGTGAGACGGGCGCGACGTCAATGTGGACATGGTAGTCCGATGCGTAGCCGTGCTCGTCTCGAGGGACACAATGATCTTGGAAGGATCCACGGTGCTGTTCGGCGCAGGCGATACTAGAATGGCACTGAAGGGCGCCTGGGGAGGTGTCTGGACAGCGGCAGCAGGAAGCGGGGGAACAGCCGGGAAGGAATCCAAGGGCGAGATGCCTCTGTGCGGCCGCAGCGGGGACGTGGACCTGACAGGCACGACTTCGGAATGCATGTCCGGGATCGACGGTAGAGAGGGAGGTGGACGGGTTGGCGGTGGAGGATGTGCGGTGACAGGCATGGACGGCGCGTGCCATTCACTGACGGTTTCTGGGTCCTCGACGTCCGCGTCCTGCAGAGTCTCCTCCTCTATATACTCCGAATCGTCGTTAGGGATCGGCGGAAGAGGAGGGCTTCCAGGCACGTCTTGGTCTTCCTCGTCATATTCCCTTACAGGGGTCGGACTCCGGACACGGGAGAGAAGGTCGGGGGACGATGCGGAGGCCCTCGGACCAGCGAGAGCTTCCTGAGGAGTTCGAACGACAATCGCGCCTTTGCCCAGGACGCCGCTGCGAGGAATGGTCATCGCCTCAACTGGGTTCGCGAAGCGCGGCTCGGAGATGCGCACTGGGCGCGACGGCGCATACGGCGCCAAGGACTGTATCGACGCGGAGGAGGAGGTGCGCGAGAGCCACGTCATGGGGCTGGAAACCGAGGGCCGTCGCGACTTGCCCTTCTTGTTTGGACTCGTCGGGGGCGACGCCGGGGCAATGGGCGGGGGGACCTGGGAGACAGGCATGGGCTTGGATATGGAGGGCTGCTGGCGGGTGTGATGGGCGCGTGTAGAGCTGAGCATCGTTCACGGCGGGCGGGAGGGGAGCGCAAGCGCTGCGAATGGAAGGTGGTGGTTTAGGGGGAGGGTGAGCAGGGCGGGTTGGAGCATTCCAAAGGGCATTTGAGCGCAAGGGCAAGAACAATTGTGTTGAGGTAGAACAATGCTTCCTTCGCGCGCAACGCTCCTCCTAACCCCACCACCTGCCGCATTTGGACAAAGTCTCTTATTGTCTGCTGCTTGTCCTGCAGTCGCCATGCAGCCGGCCACCCCCTCCGCAAACTTCCAGCTCGCCGTCCCCCACCTCTTGGCCTCTATCACGCCCTCGCTTGCTGCCTTGCATGCTACGCGTGTCCGCCTCCTCTACCCCTCGGATCCGTTGTTTTCCGGCACACACTGCGCAAAATGTGGCACCCCGCTCATCGCCAACGACGGCCAAACGCGATCCGTCCGCAAAAAACGACGTAAATCAAGCGGCGGCGACGCTGTTGGCATACGTGCTCTACGGCGGTCCTGCCGAACTTGCGGCCACGAAGAAGATGTCCTATTAGGTGTAAATCGCGCGCCCGCCTTTCCGATGCCCCGGGATCGCGCGAGGCGCGAGCCCAGCACCAATAAACCGCCTCGCGCTTCAAGCGTTGCTTCCCATTCACCTGCTGAGATGAGCTCCTCGAAACCAGAATCCGCACGCCCCAGCGCTTCCGAACCGATCGTATCTTCATCGACTCCGGGTTCATCTCGCCCGAGCTCCGTGACCCCAACTCGCTCAATGTCCATTCCCTCCTCTGCTCCCTCCCCAAGGCCTCCGACGCATGCGGTCCCAATTGCACAGGATCAGACCAAGATCAAGGCTCGCCAGAAGAAGAGGTCTGGTCTGCAGAGCATGCTCGCTCGCAACCGCGAGCGACAAGAACAAGAGAAGAAGCGCGAAGGATGCCAGGGCGCAGGCCTGTCCGCGTTCCTGCAAGGCTTGTGATGAGAGGCGCAGTATGCTCCCGTTTCCTGCTCGCTCGTCTTCCGTGCACACGATACGAGTGTGTCGCGCTTACCGGTATGTCTTCCGAGGACCTATTGGCATAGGCTCACGTATCACCAGTCCCGTATCAGGACGTTGGTGGACTGCGTAACGGTGAAGTCCATCTGCAGGACGCGGCCCCGATAGTGGGCATTTCTGAAACCCATCTCCAGCTCTAGATGCTTCCAATGGCCAGACTTAGTTGCTAGCTCGTTAATTTGCGTACCCATACTGTGGGCTTGTGTCTAGCTCATTGGCTCCATATGTAGGATGGACCGAAACGAGCATCATGTGAACGCTCTCAGTGTAATCTATTTCTTACAGGTGATGCGCTATTATGAACGTGCTCCGTAGCACACACCTTATGCTGTGTATGAACCCACCATGCGTGAAGTTCTATCAGCATCCATCATGAAGAATTAGCTCATGCAATCTGCAAAACTCGGTCACACAATCATTTGTAGGGTCAAACAGCATACACATTCGAACGATCCACGAGCAGAAAGATCCCATAGTACAGGCACAGCAGCTGCGACGAAGACGCATGGTGAGGACGAGAGACTGAACGCGGTAGGCCGGACAAGCTACACAACGCGCGGGGGAAGGCGGCAGCACTGCTGGGGAAGAATGGAAGTACAACACCGTACAGAAACACGATGGGACATGGAAGACGTTAGGAGAATGGGACGCATGAGCTACTTCGACACATATCGTACAAGAACCCCCCTTGAAGAAGGACATGAACAGCGAAGAGCGAGACACATTGTTCAAGCGGTCTGCTTCTTCTCTTCTTGAGCGTAAGGGTTGACGCTGTAGACCTTGATGACAGGAGGGCTCTTAGTAAGGTCGGCGGTGACGATGACCGGGACAGTCTGGAGCTCGCGGATCTCCTGGATCCTGTGGCCTGAGGGAAGGGTCCTCAAGCCTTCGAAAGTGGGCGGCAGCTTCTGCTTCGAGAGCAGGCGCTGCTTGGAATCCTTGACGTCATCTTCCTGGTCGTTGGCGCGGCCGAGGACGATCTCGTCCTCTTCGTTGTCGTCCTCGTCGAAGAGCGCCTTCTCGTCGTGGACAGAGCGAGAGGCGACTTCCATCTTGACCGCGTGCTGCTCGGCGTTCTGCTTCACCTTCTTGAGATGCTCATCATCGCTGTTCTCTGCGAGCCAGGTGATCACATCGCGCGTCGACCAGTAGATCTGGAGCGTGTGAGTGTGCTCATCGTAGACGTGATTCTGTGAGAAATGATCAGAATCAGCGCATTGAACGCACGAGTAGTACATATTGACATACATCAATGGGCATTTGGTCAACGTGGACACGCTTCTCGATACCGAATTCAGGTACGAGGACATCGAAAGCGGCGTCCAACACGCCGATGACCTTCGCCTGACGGATGACAGGGCCGTAGCGCTGCGTGAGGTCGGATACGAGAACACACAGGTACAAGTGCGCGGATTGCTCCTGCGCGAGCTTAGCCGAGTCTCTCTTGATGTTGCATTGCTGTGCGACCTTGGCGACTGCGTCACGATCCATGTTGAACTTGGGTTCCGAGCCGCCCTGAAGGATGGCGTCGAGTTGACGATGGACTAAGATGTCCGCATAGCGACGAATCGGGGAGGTAAAGTGGGAGTAGAGGGGAACGTTGAGGGCATAGTGGCCGTACTTCGCGATGTCGAGCATACCAGCGCAGAAGTACTTAGCACGAGGCGAAGCCTTCTGGAGCAGGAGCTCCAGGATGGTGCGTGCCGTAGGGTCCTCGACGGTCTCGAGAGACTTCATGAGGGTGGCGACAGAAGACGTGTCCACCTTGTACCCAAGACGCGCAGCGCGCTCGACAAACGCGTTCTTCAAACTCGGTCAATCGATATACATGCACATGAACATCAGCAGACTCACAAGACGACGCTCAATAGGGCTGTCGTGCCTACGGAGCATGGCTTGCTCAGAGAAATGGACGGCAACTTGCTGGGCAACAGCAATATTGGTCAGGAGCATGAACTGTAGTCGTTTGTCAGTATCGTGCCATGCAACAATATCCGCAGATTCCAAGAGCGTACCTCCTCAATCAGATTGTTGGCCTCGTTCCTCTGGTACTGGCCACAGTCGATGGGCAAACCGTTCTCATCGAGCTTGAATGCCAGACGAAGAGAGTGCGTCTTCACACAACCGTTCTGGAAGCGGCGTTCACGGAGCTGCTTGGCGATGTCGTGTAGGACCTTGATATCGTGGGCTATACCCTCGGCATCGTGCGCTGGATCGACAGGAAAATCACCAAGCGTCTTCCCATCAATGAGATCTTGGGCCTTAGCGTAGGAGAGCTTCGCAGCGGACCTAGGAGAAGCTTGTGAGTGGGAGGACTAGCAGACATGACCACGACGGATTCGCACTTGATGATTGTCCTGCCGAACCACTTCTTGACTACCTTCGCATCCTTGCTCATCGTGAAGATGACGGAGAACGCGAGGCGGTCCTGGCCGGGAAGAAGGCTGCAGACTTGCTCACTCAAAGTAGGTGGAAGCATGGGGACAGCGCGTTGCACGAGGTAAACGCTGGTTGCCCTCTTCCTTGCATCACGATCGAGAGCCGTGTTTGGCTTGACGAAGAACGACACATCTGCGATGTGAACGCCAATGTCGTAGGTGCCGTCATCGTTGGCCTTGACCGACACAGCGTCGTCCAAGTCCTTAGCATCGTCGGGGTCAATAGTGAAGACACGCTCGCTGCGGAGATCCTTGCGAACGTCGAACTCGCGCTCGGGAATACTAGCGGAACCATGAGGGGATGCAATCATTGTGTCACGAAATGAGACTCACGACCAGGGTGTGGGAGGAAGACACTTGATCACGTTGTCGCTGAACTCCTCCGTGGGGAAGTTACAATCCTTGAGAAGCGCACTAGTCTCGACCTCAATGTCGCCAATCGGACCGAGTTCTTCAACGAGGGTACCGAAGGGATGAAGGGATGAGATAGGCTATTAATGACCACATGAGCTACAAGCACCGCAAAATGATCGTCGATTACACGTACATGACGCTTGATGCAGGCAACGAACAGCTTGTTGGCGTACGCCTCGGAGTTCTGCACAAAGTCGGGGGGCGCCTGCTCAGTGGGAATGGCAATGAGGGGAACACGCTTGTCAGTGGGCTTGAACCAAACGATCTTGGGACGCTCAATAGGACGACGGGGTTCGTCGCCCCTGTCACCCTCTCTCTCGCGGCGTTCAGCCTCCTGCTTCTCTTTGGTAGCTGCCGACGACGGACGGAGCAGACCCAACGTTCCGGAGAACAGCTGCCCGGGCATGCGTTCGACGACCGCCACGACGTGGCCAGCGAACTGCGGCTTCACGTCGTCGGTCACCCTGCACGGAACAATCAGCCCACCATCGCCAACGACATGACTTCGCACATACTCCTCATCCTCGAAGAGCATCAAGCCCTGTCCTTCAACCTCGACATCATCCTTTTTCTTGTCGTTCTTGCGGCCAGCAGCGCCCTTCAGATCGTACGCAGAGTTTTCTTCCTTCTTGCGCTTCTTCTCCTCCTTCTCCTTCTTGGTGCCCCAAACTTCGTCGACGTCAAGCAGTTCAACCGCGACGATATCACCTTCCAGGGCACGGTTGCGGTCCTTGGAGCCACAGATATAGATGTCGGCGTCCAGGACTTCCGTCGCGACGTACGCATCCGACCGATTACGTTTGTTGACTCGTAGGATACCGACCACAAGCTTACCAGCCGCGAGAAGCGGGGGAAGCGAGGCCTGAGGGAGATAGGGAGCGAAAAGCGACTTGCGTTGGGGTTGGCTAGACTGCTGTTGAAGCTGAGACTGGAACTGCTGCTGTTGCTGCTGAAGGAGGTTGATGCCACCCAGACCGAGGCCCATCATGTTGGCCGCCATCATATTCGGAAGCATGTTCGGGAAGCTGAAGGACATGGCCTTCTGGTGGTGACCGCCAGCAGCCGCACGGAACTGCTGCAGACTCTGGAGCTGAGCTTGAGCCTGAGCGAGGTCGGCTGCGAAGTTGCCGCCTCCCTGGAGGTTGTTCAAACCACCATCTGCGCACATGTCAGCGCCTCACTCATCTGCCAGAATCATCAACCACTCACTGATACGCCAGCTGGAATCGGAGCGAGAGTGGCCAGAGCCGCCAAGGCCAACAGGAGGCGCGAAGCCATCGTCAAAGCCGTCTGCGCTGTGAGAGAAGCCGAGAGCAGCCAAGCTGGGCTGACCGCTTGTCTTGTTAAGGACATTGACGCTGTGACGTCTTCCGTGCCCACGAGGAACAGACGATGACTGTCCATCGAGACCCATACCCAAGCCGCCAAGACTCCCGAACTGGCCCATGGCGGTCTGTGGACCACCAAAGGCACCGAGGCCCGCATTCATCGACGGGACGGCAGTGCTGTGGACACGACGGTGTACGTTGCGGCCAGGCGCGAGACCACTCGTCTGGAAGGAGAGCACCTGGTTTGAGGCGAGCTGCTGCTGATAGAGGGCTTGTTGCTGCTGCTGCAACGCCTCAATCTGGCTCTGAATAGCGATCTGATACGACAACTAATTGGCATATAGACACAAGACATGCAGCCAGACCAAGCACACACCTGCTCTGCCATAATCCCAGAGATGTCCCCACGCTCGTCGGGCTTCCTGTGGCCATCCTCAAGGTTCCCGAAGTTGTTGTTCTGGTTCTGCTGGGGGAACTGGAACCCTACGTCCTCCTCGTTGATTGGAGGGCCCATCGTGAGGTTCGAGCTAGGACGTCTGCGCGCTCCGAACATGAAGTTGGGCGCGAGTTGTGGGCGGCCGGTCGGACCAACGATGTCTCCCTGATCTTGCTGCTGTTGAGCAGCAAGGGCTTGGAAGCGAGGTGGATTGAAGCTCTGTGACAGCGAACGGCGCTGGTGCCCAGTCTGGTAAGCATTCTCTGGGATCTCTCCCTCTTCGATGATCGTCGTTCCCTGTCCGTCCTCCACATCCTCCATCATCGAGCCGAGGTTCGGGGAATAACCCAGCCCGCCGCTGAGCGACGACGCACCCAGCGAGGCCGCCTTACGGTGACGCGGGGGCTGTTCGTGGCCGGAGCTGGGGAAGGCTTGCGCCCCGGGCTGAAACACGGGGGCGTTCACGGGAAGGTTAGAAGCCGCGGCGAGGGACTGGAGACTACCCTGCTGGCTGGGAGGGGAGGTCGTCTTGAGGTCCGCGATAACGCGCTGGAGCGACGAGAGCGCATCGCTGCTCTCGCTCGTCGCGGGCGGGACGGGGGAGGGCTGTTTCGGCCTGTTTCCCCCGCCTTGACCACGGTTACCCTGCGAGGTCGACTGGCCCTTCTTGTGTCCTCCACCCTGCTGCCCTCCACCGCGGCCCGACTGCGACTTGCCGCGCTGCCTGCCGTCGCCGCTGTTGTTGTTCTTGCGGGTGTTGGCAGACTCGGAGCCTGAGTCTGCGGCGCCCTGGGCGTTGCTGGGCTTCCTGCTGCTCGGATTGCTCGACCGTGAGGAGGGCCGAGCGCTGCCCGCGCCTGCGCCGACAGAGGTCGAGCGAGAAGTAGGGCCGTTCTTCTTGGGGGCTGGTTTGTTGCCGCCCTGTTGAACAGAGCCGTTAGACGGCTGCTGCTTCTTGTCGTCTTTCTTGGGCAGCGTCTGCTGTGTCTGGGGGGTGATTTCGTCCGTCATATCGTTCGTAACGTGATGTACGCGTTGTAGGTTATTTCAGTTATTATGCGATGTTTTGTGGGTTGTGCTGTTTTCTGTAGGAAAGTTGGCGAAAGGTGACGAAGACTGGTGGTGGATGAGGATGGCGAGGAGGAATCACGGTAAAATGAGATCTTACACGAAGTTGGGTAGTAATTCGTAAACGTAGGCTTTGCCCTGTAGGGCGAGTGGGAGTTTATTGGAGTGGTTGCCTGGGTAGGCGTGGAAGGGGATGTTTATCGTCGCAAGGGGGAGGCAGACTCGTCAATGAGAGCTATAAGGTCTCGCGAGGCGGCTATACTCGGTTCCCACGGCCCTTAGTCACTGATACGCACCGCTGTGCGGAGTTCGCTGGCTCTATTTTCCTCAGACATGCGCCCACTCGCAACAATAAGAGGTGCTAGCGTGCTCAGATTCAGGCGTCATATGCCACGTATCACACACGGACCACGATCTACAGGAATAGGTTGTCAAAGCAGAGTACAATATTCTACGCAAGCGTTCTAGAATAGCAGCTCTATGCCTTGGCCAACTTGTCGATGATGGCAGCAGTGTACTCCTTCGTCGACGCTTTGCCGCCAAGGTCGCCAGTGATCGACTTGCCCTCGGCGATGGTCTGCACACAATTTGCGAGATTAGTAACTTGGAATCCCGTCGGCAGGAACACGACACATACCGTGAGCGCCGCCTTCTCGATCTTGTCGGCGTACTCGTTAAGGTTCATGTGCCTGCCCCACAAAATGAAACTTCCTATCGCTTCAAGATACGACGGAGCTTACCTGAGCATCATGAGAGACGACAAGAGGAGCGCCGTCGGGTTAGCTAAGCCCTTGCCTATTGGATGGAACAGGCTTCAATACGAGCCCCAAAACCACAAATGGAGTACTGCATACCTGCGATGTCTGGTGCCGAGCCGTGGACAGCCTCAAAGATGGAGGCGTCCTGCACATCAAGCATATCAGTTACCTCCCACGAGCGGTCACAATGGAAATGCACATACACGTCCAATGTTGCCGGACGGCGTCAAACCCAGGCCGCCAATGAGACCCGCGCACATGTCGGAAAGAATATCACCGTAGAGGTTGGGCATGACCATCACACGATCCGAGTACGGCCGCGGGTTTTGTACGATCTAGCGCACGCCTATCAGTAACATGCCGCATACAACCGAGAGGAAGACATACCTGCAGGCATGCACGATCGAGGAGGTCCTCATCGTAGCTGATATCCGGGAAGTCCTTCGCAACCTGACGGCACGCGGACAAGAACATCCCGTCAGACATTTTCCTGCGGATCAACGTCATGTCAATTCAGTCCGTGTAGAAGACTCCGGGCTGCGCACATGATGTTAGCCTTGTGCACGGCAGTGACGCGCTTGCGGCCGGAAGCTTGGGCGTAATGGAATGCGTAACGAGCAACGCGCTCGGACGCGTCCCAGGTGATGAGCTTGATGGACTGGACAACGCCGTCGACTACCTGTAACGCGTCTCAGTACAGGCGTAACGGCTACGTCACATATATGCATACCTCATGCTCAATGCCGGAGTATTCACCCTCCGTGTTCTCCCGAATTAGGACGGTGTTGACGTCGTCGTAGGGGGTCTTGAAGCCCTTGATAGAAGCGCAAGGACGAACATTCGCAAAGAGGTTGAAGGTCCTGCGGAGGGTCAAGTTCAAAGAAACGTGGCCCTTGCCGACTGCACTTTCCGTCAAAGCAATTTCTACCCGAAAATAGCCGATGTACTAACTGGGGGTAGCGAGAGGACCTGCCAGTGCAAGACACATCAGGGACCGTAGGAACTGTAGACGGCTGATACGTACCCTTCAACGCAACGGTGTTCTTCCTGACCGATGTAATGGCAGCGTCAGGTATGACCGTCTTTCCGCCCTTCAGGATGGGGGTGACGTCGACCTCCTCCCATTGGATAGGAACCTACGCGGAGGTCAACATCGACTCGTCTTACATGTTTGAGGTATGGCGTACGTTGGCAGCCGCGTAGATGTTCTTCACGGACTCACTAATCTCCGGGCCAATACCTGCAATGACCGTCACGTCATGGCTCCTCCCGCGTCAACAAGATGCTCACCGTCGCCGGGAATCAAAGTGACTGTATATTTGCCCTGAGATAACGGGTTCCACTTCGGTTTCTGTGATTGAGGAAAGGAAGAGAACACGTACGTTCGCGCCTTTCTGACCAGCGAAGGCGGCGGTTGGTGCGGCAGAAGCGTAACGACGGAAGGCCTGCATCCGGAATAAGTCTCTGACACCCTACGACGACGCTGCCATGACTCGCCTGGTGGCCCTTCACTGCGACCCGCGCACTGCCAGTGAGGGTACGAGATGCAAGCATTTTTGCAGGAGTCGGGAGACGACGGAGGAGGGAGGAGGTAAAGCCGAAACTCGAGCAGGGCTGAAATCATTGCGGCGCACGTGAGGCATGATGTACTTCCACGTGGCGCCCATCAGTCTTCCTGGCTTGTCCCGACAGCTTTCCGTGCCGATGCTTTCCGTCCCTGTGCTCAGGCTACCCGCGGCGCTCAGGCGCACCATCCGCGCAGAATTCTACAAAGTCCGGGGTTCCAGATCTACTACAGCATACACGAACGAGATATGATACAGGGCGTACGAACGTGAGAGTAAGCAAGTGTATATCGTGGGTATCATCCGCTCAAGAGCCCGTTCAACTGCTGCCGATACTGCTCCATCGCCCTCTCCGTCTCCTCGTCCTCCGCCTGGTCCTGTAATGACTGAGATGTCCAGAGTCAATACGCCAAATAGTTTCGCAAGCGGTCTCGAAATGCTGACCGGAAGCTCTTCCTTGACAGTACCGGCCTGTCCGAGCTTGCCTTCTGTAAGGTCATAGAGAACTTTGTCGACCTCGGCGTCGGCTTCCTCTTCTAGCTCTTCGTCATCGTCCATTTGGAGAGTATCGTCCAGCATCTCTTCCATGATACCCGCCTAGCCCATGTTCGGTGACGACGGGAGAATGAAGGGACAAATGGCGAACTCACTTTCGTCATCTCCATGCTCATCTCCCGCATTGCCTGGCTGATCTGAGGCAACTTCACAAGGGCATTGGAAAGCTTCATGATCTCGGTAGACTTCTGCAACGAGCCCGTGACCTTGATCATAGCTATGCACAGCTATTGAGCACATATGTTGCCTGCACAAACGTCACTAGAAGCGCACCCATTTGTTGCTGAAGCTGGTTGCTGATCGATCCTAGTCTGGCTTTGCTGACCGAAAGGCGGTCCATCTGCTTGTGGCTCCTCACAACCTCCTTCGCCATGATTCTCGCGGACTTGGTGTCGCCCTTCTTGGCGAGCTGCTTCACTGTCTGCTGCGCCTTCTTGGTCGCCGTATCAAGCTAGATAGCATCAACCTGGACACTCAGCTCCAAGCCTGAGACGGAAACGATGGTGCCGAACCTGCCTCATCTCCCGGTCGATGACCCGTTGCTCGGAGCGCAACATGGCTTGCCATGCCCGAACCTTCTCCTCAGCGGTTGGTCCATAGATAAAGCGGTTGATGGTCTGCATAGGAGATGAAGATAAGTTGAATGGGAGACGAGGAGGGAGTACTGTGCAGAGCCCGGATATGGATTGTGGCACTGGGCGAGTGGCGCGCAGACGCGGTGCATGTGACTCGCGCGCGCGTGAGTCCTATTAATATTTATCGTCCTCCCTCACGATCCCGACTACAGTCTCCTAAAGTTGAAACCTCGACCGATTGTGCTAGGATGGCTGACACTGTAGGGCCACACCTCAGCGCTGCCTCCATATAGGTATCCAATTCCCTCAGCTCAGCTGAGAACTCATCCTTTTCGTCGCTTTCGCTGGTCGATATAACCCTCGTCACTTGCTCGCTTGGAACTGCTTTCTGTCAGCATATTCTGGTAGTCGTTCGCTTGTTGTTATGTCTGCTCTTCTGGCTCTGGCAATCCTTTCCGCGCGGGCGCTGGCCGCCCTCACCCCAACCGCTCCTGGTCCTGGTGACACTTTTGCGGCTGGCTCACCGTGCACGATCAAATGGGACGCCGACACCAGTGGGACGTGGACGAACGTTTCCATCTGTATGTCTCTCTGCGCCTGAATGATCGCGCTCTCAAGCTGATGGCCGTGACTACTTAGATCTCATGACGGGTCCCAACAGCAATATGACGCGGCTTGTGACTGTAACCTCTGGTCTTGATGGCACGGACACAAGTCTCTCTCCGTACAACTGGACCTGTCCTGAGGTCGACCCATACTCCACCATCTACTTCTACCAAGTAAGTCTCGAAGCTATCTTGAGGAGTCGTCCATGCGGCTGACAGGTTACAGTTCACTAATGGAGATGATGCACAAGACTCCCAGTGGACGACTCGCTTTACGGTACGCTCCGTCAAGTCACGGCGTCTCATATAGAATGTTTCTGACTTTGGTGTTCAAGATTACCTCAGAATCGGGCGACAGCGTGGAGCCGGAGCATCCTACACAGCCGGACGGCGACTCCGTGCCTTGGGGCGAAGGCCATGTCTCGTCCGAAGACGACGACGAGTCGCCCAAGCACGGGCATTCCAAATCAACATCCTCCACCAACGACACTCCACAGAGCGGCACGGACGACCAAGGTGACGGGACCGCCGACATGTCGACTGATGATGACTCTCAAGACGGGCAAAGCAAGCACGTAGAGGATGCATCAACGTCACCCTTTGCCAAACCATTTTCCGCTGTTACATCTCTAGGTACTAAGTCCTTGCCATCGCCCAATCTGCCCACCAGACCTCCTAAGAGTGGCAGTATCTCTAAGGAAGTCTCGTTCCCGACCATCAGCTTGCCTAGAAAGGCACGTCCCCCTATGCAAGTCAGTCCCTCTTCAGTCAGTCCTGCAAGTGGGACCTCGACGCGCTCGCAGATGGGACCCGGCATATCAAACATGGACAACAGCCTTCAGCTCGCCAGCGCGGGTTCCACCCAGCGAGGTCAGCGATGGAAGGCGACTGCTACACTGTATTGGTTGCTTGCTGCTATGTTGCTGTAATCATGTCAGCGACCGTTTTGCCAAAGGATTACATGTCATGGATTTCACCTGGCTGCGATGCATGAACGATCGAGTCCATCGCTCGTACGCCCTGTGGCGTGGCCTCTGATGTATCCATGTCTTTCATCGTAAGCAAAAGCGGCGCATGGTCGCTGTGTCCTCTCTCCTGCGGATCCTCCAGGTAAGTGATGTCCACAACATCCTCCTCCAGATTCCTGTCCACGAGCGCGTAATCCACCCTCGCGCAGTCCGTGCCCGGCGGCTTCCCCTTAGCAAACCAGCTGTATGCCTTTACACCGGGATACTTTTCCCGAAACACATCCACAACGTTCACCCCTGGGATGAACTGCTCCCTGAACTCCGCCCTCGCGAGCCCGTGCGGGTACTCCGTGCGCAGCCTGGGGTAGCAGTCCATCTTGGCGAGCGAGATGTTGAAGTCTCTGATCAGCACGACACGTAGCCCGCGCTGCCGGAGCGCGATGCACTCCTGCATGAGCAGCCGGTTGAACTCGCGCTTGCGCTCGTTGCGCGTCTTCGGGGCTGCCTTTCCCAACGGGTCCCGCCACATGAATTCGCTCCCGTTTAGTGCGTAGACGTTCACGAGCGCCCAGCCCGAGTGCATCTCGAGGATAAGCACCCGCCCCTCGGCGTCCCAGTAGACCTCGCGAACACACGCCACGGGGCTCGGCTCCCTCACAAATGTCGCGACCCCGAAGTGTCGCTGCCCGCGGGTCGCGTGGTTAAGCGAGTGGTGCATCGTATAGCGGGGGCCGCCGTCCTCGATAGTATCCGTTGCGCTGCTACCAGTGCCGCCATTAGACTTGGTGGGATTGGGGTGGTCGACGCCGATATTTGCCGCGAACCCCAGGGCGGTGATCCACTCCTTGTCTGTGTGCCGCGCGCGTACCTCCTGAAGACATACAAAGTCGGGGGAAGCGTGTCGCCGGAAGAGGTCGCGAAGGAGTGTAGGATTGGATCCAGGTGCGACGCTCGGGGTGACGTTTGCGGCAGCGCGGGCTTTGGCAGTCGAGAGCTGAAGGAAAGGCACGGGCGTCTCGACGTTCCAGGACAATATCCTTGTTTGGCTCTCTGTTACGCCGGCTGTGGTGCCTGCGGCTTCGAGACGAGGTTTCGTTGTTGCAGGTTGTTCGCATTGGATGTCATCTCCATTTCGAGAGCGTTTCGCCATCGTTCGGTGTGAATCTGACACTATGGGTATGAACGCCGAATGTATAAGTACTTGAACTGGTCGACGTGGCTGTTCAGTCGTTGCTCATAAACGAGAGGATTAGAAGTGCTACTTGCCTGACCAGAAGAACAGTCGAAAACAGTCGATGTTCTGCGAGAGCCTGCCTCTGCGCAGTGACAGAATGGGACAGGAAGCTGAAGCAAGCAAGGTGGTTATGAAAGGCCTCGGGCGCCGTGTGGGCCGCTCCAGTGTGCTTCATAACAGAGGGCCCTGGGCAACTGAATACACGTGGTCACGTATGAGGTCATAGGGAGGACGAGCTCTCTCAGCTCGATGTCCCAGGACATTCCCAGCTTTAGCGCTCGCTGGCAGCCCAAAGAGCAGCACAACAATCTATAGCAATTATACATCGACATCATGACGTGCAATAGACAGTCTAGCGAGGTCTATACACCACCTGCCATTCACCCCCGCATCTATGACACCGGTCCGCTGCGAATCTGATTGACCAGCGTCTCCCAGTAACTCCAATCCGACCCGTCCACGCTCGGCAACGTTTCGTTCCCAACGACGGGCGATATATTGGTCTGGCTTGTGCCCAGCCATCCGTTCAAGTCGCCTAAGCCGGGTGTCGCCCACGGAAGACTAGCGCCTCCGGATTGGTCGTCCACCGCAGGACCGCCGCTGAAGATGTTGCACCACTGGTCCAGTAGCGACTGTGCTGTCTCGTCTTCGCCCACCGGGCTCCCAGAGCCTGACCCCGACTGACTCTCGGACTGTTGGAGCTGCCTGACTTGCTGGACAGGCGACGGCCGTGAGAGCTGTGAGAAGGTCTGGTTGGGCGAAGAGAGGGGGACAGAAGCGACAGAAGCGAAGGATGAAGTGGATGGAGGTACACTCGCGCTCGCATTCTGCGTATGTGACGTAACCGAACCACGAGTGTTCGATTGCGCGAGAGGGCTTGAGACGTACCCAGAAGGGGAGTCAACCGACATTCTAGGCTCGTCAGGCGTGCCCTCCGGTGTCCTCGCAGACTGCAATGACTTGACCTTCAAGAACTCGATAATCTTGACCTCTCGACGCGTGATTTCGTCTACGACTGGCAGCTGTTTGTGCCTGTCTAGGAAATAGTCGAGGAGATCGTGCATCTTGCCTTCCTCCTTGCCCTTGGGATAGAGAACGAGGTAAATGCCGGCGATCATCGCCGCCTGGAACTCTCGGTAGGCGCTCGCGACGGGGTCACGGCCTTCCCGAGTAGTGGTCGCAATGTATTCCTGGCGGATCTGGTGGTCCTTCAGGGCAGACTCGAAGCAGGCATCTCTGGACCGGGAGTACTTGGTACTGTCTAGCTTCCGGAGGAGGTAAGGCCGGTGTAGTGAAATGCGGACGAACAGGAATTCCGTCACGAGCAGGAAACGCTGCAGGGGTATGTATGTGTGTGAGTGGTCGAGTGAAGTGTCAGGGTCGAGGGAATAATATGGTGGAAGATCACGCCTCCATTTAAGGAGGTCATCATCAAGGGCCAGGACGTCCGAGTAATGCCTGGGTGAGTGCACATTTTGAAAGAAGTCGGACATCCGACCCATGATGTACGCGAGCTGATGCCTAAGAATTAGGAAGGTGGTACGAGTAGGTTGGGAGGTCGGTAGCCCCTTGATTATCGCGCCGCTAGAGGTCTTCTCGTCCGAATTTGTGGGTGGTCGCGTTGATGTGTAGCTATCGTGGATGGCAACAGGTCTACCAAGGATAAGAGCAATGGAACGGTCGGCGTGATACAGGTTGGCCCTAAATTGTGACGTATTAGCACTAAGCGTAGGACATGATTAGGTAGACTGACCAAACGCGACGCCTTCTTTCGCACTGGACCGTATCCATTCCCTGCGGAATGTCAGCTACCTGGTGATGGATCTGCGGAGCATGGCTCACCATATCTGCGCCATCCCTGTGCAGTCCTATCGCTTGAGCCGTTCTCACAGCTGCTCCCAGTTGACTCCACGATTCGGTCATTCTCCGATCGAGAACCAAGAACCGAGCACTCTATAGTATACGTGAGTGGACAGCTGGTAGCTCTGGCGAGGCGTACATACCAGCATCCGAGTCAGCACTATTTCAAAGCAATCAGGTTGGATGGCCGCCGTGATCAATAATGCACGACGGGCTAGGATGGAAGTTAGTTGTAGCAGGCCAACACCAACACGTCAACGCACAGCCCCAGTAGTATCGAGAGCCTGATGTCCTCTTGGTCTGTTCATTACCGCCAATGCTATCTGGTGCCAGCCTCACGGATATGGCGAGTACCACGAACAATAAAGGGAGGAATCGGATGTTGTTGGGATTACCCAAATTCTGCTCGTTGGCTAAGAGCGAAACGTAGGAAGCACGGAATTCGTTTTCCGATATTGGATAACGAGTCCAATTACTGACAATGATGTTAGCATCGGATGCAAACATGAATGTTGATACGTACATCGCGGTGAAGTAGTGGTCGACTAGGGCGTCCCGCAATTTTCGAGGCGGCAGCTCATTATACATGTTCTGAAGACGGTCCGCGCTGTAACCGCAATCCGTCATGAGACGCTGCAAGCGTTCGGCAGCGGTGGGTTCCATAGAGGTAATCGTAGGTTTCTGATTGATCTTGTAAAGGTCGGACTGCAGGTTATTGGCGTTCAACGAGGTGCTGTCGGGGGTACTTTCTGGACCAGGACTTGGCACCATACTTTGCAACTGTGGCCGAATGGCATATATTGTGTGATTGGTGCCATTCCAATACATATATGTAATGAACTGACCTGTTCCAAGACAGCAGGGGCAGCTACGAGTCCGGAAGCGCTCTTGCCATACCACCTTCCACTCTCGAAGTAGCCACCACTAGGATCTTCATCTTCTACCGGAGAGCGGTTACCATCGTCGGTGGGAGACATGGATCGAAATTTGTCCCCGTCGCAAGCGGGACTGCCATGTCCTTGCGACCAATAGTGAGGCAAGGCGGTTTCGACGATTTGTTCGAGACGGGCCAACCGGACGTGGATGTCCTGGTCGGTCTTGCCGGGAGTGTATGGCTTGCACAACTCCGGGACCTTACGCGCGATACACTATGCGGTCGATCAGATCGGGTAGTCTGAATGATGAAGTCCTGGCGGCTCACATGTGAACAGGGGATTTGCCTGTCGCACTAAACACGCAGTGAGCAAGACGGCTACCGAGGAATGCTGCGAGATAAGAACCTTCTGTTTCCGGCGGTGACACTCTCCGCATGAGTAGCTGCTTAGGATGACCAAGTTGAATGGATATAAGACGTTCAATCTGGCAGTGACCGACCTAACGCGCGTCCGTGCTTTCTTGTGAGCACGGCTCGAGTCCAGCTCATCCTCAGACTTGCGCCTGGTGGGGGTGAAGCCTCCAGTGCCCTCCAGATTGGATCCGGGAGTGCTCTTGGGCATGTCGGGGCGGGGACGTGACAGGAAGGCGGGGAGGATGGGTGGAGGCGGAGAGAAGGAGAAGGAAGGGGAAAAGACAAGGCAAGAGTCAGACTGTGGCTTCCGGCGAAGTCTCTGAAGAGGACCACGTGATAGAACGCCAGGCGCGTTGGGAGAGATGCGCGCATCGGCTTCGTGAGCTCACGAACCCTCGTCTCCGACCTCCAATCATCTGCGTTCCCCTGAGATTGCTGAGCAGCTCACGCTCGAGTCATCATTCGCTGCCATCTGCGCATCTTTGACATCATCCGCCGTCCTCGCCTTGCACTTCGCCCCAGCCACCGGCATCGGACCGCATTAGCCCAGTCTAGCCCCATGGAGGGGCCGCCGTGGAAGAAGCTGAAACTCTCCCTCGAGAGACCCTACAAGGACGACAACGGCGAACCAATACCAGAGCTTCTGGATATCACCCCGGACGGACATCATATCTATCGTCCGTAAGTCTCCGTCGCGAGTGTGTCGCGAGTGCATCTCATTCCCATCCGTAGCCGTGAAGACCCGACTGCTGCAGTCGGAACCAGACTGAGGCGGGTGTTCTTGGAGCGCGGTATTGATTTCTTTGAAGCAGAGAAGGGCACGCATACTACCCTCCGCGACTCTAAGGATGCGCCGGAAGAGGGCGATGCCACACAAGATGAGGGGAAAGCTGCAGAGCCATCCCACCTGATGACTCCGGAAGAGCTCTACAAGATGCGCGTAGAGCTGATGAGTGCACTCTAGTGAGTTTCACTCATGGTACTGGGCTCTATGGATAAATTGACTGAACACAGCACCGCACATGGAGAGATGTGCCAGGCGAGAGACTTGCTCACCCTCCTTCTGTCCTCGTCCCTCCCTAACCAACCATCCGCTCTCCCGCCAACCCCGCTCGCCGCCACCGTTGTCACCAAACCCGCACCTGTTGTGTCCGTGCAAGCATTCAACGCCCAGTTGGCAATTGGTGGCAAGGACAAGGCGCTCAGATCAGCCGCCGACCTATTCAAGAACGCCGCAGAGCAAATGGAACAGGGCCGCGTGTCCGGGGAGAAGTACTGGGTGGACGCCCTCAAGATCAGACGAGGAAACTGGGGTCTCATTCCTGCCCCATTGCCGCTCGGGTCTGCTACCGGAAAAGGCGCGAATGAGACGTCCAAAGACTTCCTCATTTCATACGGGCTCGAGGAGTGTACGTTGCTCTCCTATCATGTCCGTTGTGTTCCATTTTCTTGATGGTGAGTTCCCTCAGCTCCGGCATCGTTTCGCCGACGCGCGATAGGGCGTATGTCGACTTCAGATGGAACCTCATTGGAGTTCCCCATGCGTCAGCGGACACGCCTACGCGTCTCAATCATCCGCGTATCGCCGGATGGTTCACGACACGCAACCTATAATGTCCTCTCGGACCCCGATGACGGAACGCTGGATGGCGCCCTCCGTGCCGCCCAAGCGGAGATCGTAGAGCAGGAAGTGTTTTCAGCATTAATTAGGGAAGCAAGTAGCCTGCCCACGGCGTCGGCCGAAGTTTCGGAGCGTCTCATCGTCATTGACGCTGCTCAGAGCACGGAGCTCCGTTTTGAATTGGTAGGTCCGTTCATACAGCGGACGCTACAACGCCACTGACCACAATGGCGGCAGGTCGATGGCGAGAGCCTCCGCAACGACGACGGAAAGCTCGATTCTTACTGCGACCTCTTGTACTCCCTCCTTCACATCCTTTTGTCGCGTGCACACCGAGTGTCGAAGAGCACCAGACTGAACAAGGCCAGTATCGCACCCGTGCCTATCGTGCAATTGCCCCCCGTCCTGCTACCGGTAATCGACATTCTACAGTACCGCGAGTTTTGGGAGCGCGTACGTGACGAGATTGACCGCGTGGTGGCAGCATTGCGTCTTGCAGGCGTGTCTACCAAAGTGCATTACGACCCGGTAGCTGACAGTGGTAAGACCCTCGTTGCAAACCTCCTCAACGACGAGCCGAAGCCCATCGGTGGCGATGCATTGCTTCGACTGGATGATAGGTTAGTGTCCAAGCGTTCCACAAACGAGATAATCTCACGGCTCTGACCGGGCTCAGGCACACATTGCGATTCACGACGGCGTCACCATCGACTCTCATTGTGCACTTACCACAAGCCACGCTGCCTATTGCCTCTATCTCTCAACTCACCCAGTTACTCGTGGACGAGGTCTGCGGAGGTCTCTTGAGTCGGATATGCGAAATGGGAACAGGGCTATGCGAGCGAGTCAACGGGACCTGGTTCGTCGACCTTCTAAGTGGTAGGAGTGTTGGAAGATGGGAGGGCTGCGTCCTGTGAGTTGTATAACACTCCTCACTATTTGCACGACTGCTCACTCCCGCGATAGCAACTTCCAGATCAATTTCACTGGCGATACCGTCTCATGTACTGCGTCAAGGTCGGGTCGCGATGCCCGACCCTCTCTTGTTGAGGCATACCGACCTGGCGGGCAACTATCTCTCTTCGAATGGGTACGACATACCATAGAGTCGTCTTTGGGTCGGTGACACATTGCCGTTCTCTTTGCCAAAATTTGTGCGCACACGATGGTCTGGTGGTATCTGCAGTGACAGCATGGCAATAGCATAGCCTAGTTTTTGGACCATAGGCGGCGTAGGGGTGTGCGTAAAGTGATACATGGAAAGGTCGAGATCCCGGAAGAAACGAGAACAGGTGTCTACTCCTCGTTCTCGGCACGGAACGCGTCGATCTTCTCCTGGATGCGCTGCTTGCGTTGCTCCAGAGTAAGCTTGGGACTCCTGTATTTTTTGCTCTCGGCAGCCCAGTCCTTCGTCTTCTCGGTAGGCTTGAACGTGGGGTCCTCGCGGATGGCGGCGTATGCGTTGGTATAGATCTCCTCAATATCCTCTGAGCCGATGCCGTCTGCAAGGTAGGTCGAGAACTGCTTCTTGAAGCTTATGAAAAGATCAGGATGCGACTACGATGTGATACTATCAGGACGTACCGCTCGTCATCCTCCTCCTCGAGCGACTCCATGTACTCCGCCACATGACCACCGAAGATGTACTTCTTCAAGACCTCGGCGTCGAGCTCCTTAGACTCGGGGTCGTAGCCAGGGAAGCGCTTCTCGTTGTGGGGAATGAAGATACCGCCGTCCGACGCACCCTTGAGGGCACCGAACACGCGAGAACCGGTCGACGTGCGCTTGAGACCAACGTCAAGGTACGCCTTGAAAGGACGGGGCTCGTCCTCGCCGTCGAGCTCCTCCGTTAGGGCGAGGGTGCCATCAGGCTCAGTAACACCCTCGTACTTGTCAGCGAGGCCAAGCTTGGTCAGAGCACGACGAGCGGCAAGGAGACCAGTCGCGTAAGCTGATGAAGGCCGGTAGTCAATGAGTAGTCCAGTATATACGTACGATGTAGACGTACCAGCAGTCCAGTTGGTGAGACCGTGGTTGATGCCGTAGCGAGGCAGCTCTTTCGAGCGGGCAGCGGTGAGGACAAAGTCACCCTGGAGGCGGGCGTAGACGATTTGAACGATAACCTCCTTGTTCGTAAAGCGGACGACCAGGCGGTACTTCGGAGCGTTGCTACGAACTAGCGTCAGGACATACTCACAAAAGTCTAGACGCGATTCCCGACGCACTACTTGTTCTTTGCCTGGGTCACCAGCCGCTTACGCGCATAGTAGTCGGTCTTGCCCTCCCGCCGCCGACGGTACTTGACCTGGAAGCGCGAGAAGTATGCGTCGGACTTGATCTTCTTGACGAACGGCATCTAGGAAACGGGGGGAACGAAGTCAGTGCCTGAACAAACCTCATCCAAGTCGGTCCAGAGCCATCCATCCTCGTCTGGTGCGATTTCTTTCCACCAGGATTCTTTCGACGGCACTAGATGGCCCTTTGATGCGTATGAACATGATTCTGTCCAGTACTCACCTTGAAGAGGAGGGTCTTGAGGAGGGGAGGGGTTCGTTCGTTGACGGCGCACTAGCCTCCACTGTAGAATCTTGGGCGGTGAGACCCCGAAGTATTCACGTGAGCACTGGTTTCGGGGTCCCTGTACCCATTGCCCTAGCGCTAAGTCGAGAACGTTCCGAGCAGTCACGTCGCTCTTGCTCCTGGTCTCTGCCACCTGCTTGCACCCTCGGCCTCTTACCACTCCTCTTGTTACTGCCTCAAGCAAGCCACCGTCCATCATGGACCCATATTCTGCGCAGAATTACTACCAGCAATACCAGTACCAACACCAGGCGTCGTCTTCCTCCGATGTGAACCCATATCACCAGCCCTATGCGGGTCCCATGTACCCTATCCCAGGCTCGTCGACCTCCGCGCACAATGCCCCTGTACCTGCCAACGCCTACGAATATGATGTTGGAATCCTCGCTCAGCAGAGTGTGTACGTTCCAGGTGCAATGGTGGACAAACGCGGTGGCGCAGGAGGCAAGCTGGCCAAAGGCGGTAAGCGTACCACTGTCCTCCGCAAAGGCGGTGGAAAAGTCTGGGAGGACCAGACTCTGCTGGAATGGAGCCCTTGTGAGTGGACATCTTCGCAAAAACATTGAGTAGAATATTCAATCGCTCGCGAATAGCCTGGTTTCGTCTGTTCGTAGGCGACCTTAGTAACGATGTATCTGACGACGTACTGTCCAACGCATTCAACAAGTACCCGTCGTTTCAGAAGGCAAGGGTCATTCGAGATAGGCTCAGTAACAAGGTGAGCTTCACGCATGCGGAGATCCGACGCGCCATTGACACTCCCTTGACAGGCCAAGTTTGGCTTCGTAGCTTTTTCTGACCCGGAAGATTTCCTCAAAGCATGGAAGGAAATGGATGGTGAGTAATCCACCACTCGATGTGCTGGGGCTGCCAACCAACCACGCTACAATAGGCAAGTATGTGGGTAACCGCCCTATCAAGCTCAAGAAGGCTGATAACTCTGTCAACCCGGTCGAGATCGGCCACCGGAAGGCCAAGCAGCTGGAGAAGGAGCTGAAGAAGAACAGGCATAAGCCGTATTGAGCTCCAGTCAACCGTAGCATGCGGTTGGCAGACATCAAGGACGGTGGTTTTGGACGGGACATACTTGCTAGGGAGGCACCGTAGAGTAGTGTAATGTAATGTCCGTTGTGTGCTCTGAAGGCAATGTAACTTTATACATTTCATCTTTGGACGACATCAAAGTCGTGTGTCATCGGTCGCATTGGCGGTACTACAGGGCGAAGACAACCCTCTACTTCTCCCGTCAGACGCCCGTCTGCTATGCGGGCACGCGTCAGGGCGCCTCTGCCACTCCTTCCCTCTGCTCCAGCTAGCTTCGCGAAACCACTCTCTGCTTGCTGAGGCTCCGCGCGTCTACTCCACTAACATGGATATCGACAAGCTGTTCAAGGTCGGTATGTGCCCTCACGAGTCTCCTTGACATACCTCTCACGGTTGATTCAGGTGCCCAAGCTACCCGCTAGTAGCAACAAGCGACGCCTGCCTGACAATCCTACGCCTGAGATGCTCAAGCGGATGAGGATAGACGAAGAGGGTAGTTCGATTTCCACGGTGTCCCCTCCAAATGGTACAGCATCCCGCGACAAAGGGAAGAACGCGGCTACGGTGGAAGAGGAGGAAGGGGAGGATCGCATGGACTTCGCGCCTGGCGGGGATGCAGATTATTTCGCGGAGGAGGATGATGAGGGACGGTTTTTTGGCGGCGGCTTGACGAATGAGCAGAAGGACATCCTCAACATATTTGACCAGGCCGGCGGAGATGACGTGAGAGAAGACGTGAGTACTCGAGTTGAGGCCGTAACCTTGTGCTCATTACTGAGGCCAGATCCTCGTCAGTTGGATGAGATGACGATCACCGGGGTGCGGAGGTTATTGACGCGTTTCGAGCGCGCTGCAAACAAGAACCAGGACCATCGGTCGAAGTATCCGGACGACCCTACCAAGTACGTACTTTAGACGAAGCGGGTATGCATCCGTCTCTAATCCTCTTCCTAGATTCATTGACTCCGAAGCCGACCTGGACCTCGCTATCAAGGCATTGCTCCCCCTCGCGCAGTCACCGGTGCTCGCGTACCCAGAGATTGTTCGCTCCGGCGCCATCGAACGTCTCATTGGTTTGCTGAGTCACGAGAACGTCGATATCGTCATTGACGTAGTGGAAGTGATACATGAGTTTACGGACGAGGATGTTGGGAATGAGCAAGATGACGAGGAAGAAGAGGAGGGCAGTCGCGAAGATGCGCTCAAGCAATTAATTGAGAGTCTTGTGAGTGTTTGTAGTGGAACTGGAAGCAGGTACAGGCGATTCCTAACGTTCTATTCAAGCTCGCCAACTCCATCCTCGAGCTCCTTGTTGACAATTTGAGCCGTTTCAACGAGGCTGAGGAATCCGACAGACAAGGCATCTTTCATGTCCTCGGTAATGCTCCTACTTCCGCCACAGTGTTTCACCCTCACTCAATTTACGTCTAGGGATCTTCGAGAACATTCTAGGATTCAATCCTGAGCTATCGACTCAGCTTGTCTCAAAAACAAAGATTCTATCATGGGTGATGACAAGGATAGAGTCGTCAAGGCACGACGAAAACCGGGGCTACGCTGCGGAAATCTTGTCCATCTTACTTCAGAACAACCGACCAAATAGGCTAGAGTTGGGAAAGCTGAATGGCGTCGAGTCCATCCTCAAGATCCTTTCCGTGAGTTGAGTTCAGGTTCGGCTTGGATGGATGGCTGATGGTCCCTCTTTCGTAGCGCTACCGCAAGAAGGATCCCGTGGATGCAGACGAAACAGAATTCATGGAGAATGTCTTCGACTGTCTCTGCTCTGCGCTCGGAGAAGCTGAGATAAAGCAACAGTTCCTGGACAACGAAGGTGTTGACCTTATGGTCCTCATGTTGAAGTGTGCATCTCCACTCCATTGTATGTTATCCACCGCGCTGACGTCCCTTGCAGGGACAAGATGCAAGCCCGCTCGCGGGCCATCAAGGTTCTCGACTACGCTATGTCTGGTCCTGCTGGCACCGCTGCCTGCGAGACTTTCGTCGACGCTCTTGGTCTGAAGACACTCTTCTCATTTTTCATGGGCAAGGCAAACAAGAAGCAAAAAGCGAACGCCGGACATGCTGCGTCGGAGGACACTGCGCACACGCTCGGCATCGTGTCCTCCCTGCTGTCGAACCTCGCTTGGGACTCACCTGCGCGCATACGTCTATTGGTCAAGTTCGTCGAGAACAGTTATGAGAAGCCCGAGAAGCTGCTCGAGATCCGAGACTCCGCGCAGGCACGGCTCAATGCCACTGACAAGGAGATCGCAGACGAGAAAAAGGTATGGACTCTGGCAGACCTCCGATGTGTGTACAGCCTTCTCATGCTACTGCACAGCGAATGGAGGAGGATGGCGAAGAAGTCAAAGAGATGGAGGATCTGTTCTATCTCCGACGACTAGATGGCGGCCTCTTCACATTGCAGACGGTCGACTACATTCTCGCGTGGATCGTCATGGAAGACGACGGGGTATGCGCTTCTTGAACTGATTCAATTTGAGCAGAGCTGACGCTGCTTATGATACAGGTTCGGGAACATGTACGGAAGCTCCTCGACCGCAAAAATCAGTCTCTCAAGGACATCGTGAAAACGCTTCAGATCTACCACGACAATGTCGACGAGGACGATACGACCAACACAGGCGACGCGCCATCTCAGCGCGAAATTTTGCGCAACCTCATCGTCTTCCTGGATGCCTGCTGATTATATATACGGACTGTACAAGTACAATAGGTGTATCACTAATGGGACAGGCGCATTGGACAGCGCGAGTCCTACATGAACGAAATCTGACGCAAGGGCTATGACTGGGCGACGGAGAGAGCGGCAGATGCTAGGAGCATGTCTAGCGCGCCCTTAGCCTTGACCAGCTCTTTTTGGAAGCGGAGCTCAGCTGTGACCTTCTTTCGTAGTCGCGCGAAGAGGGTGTCGATGAGTGGTGATTGGCCGAGAACGGGAGTATACATCTCTTATCAAACGGAGATTCGTTCAACTGGTAGGTGCAACCTAGATCAAAATCGGTACTCACCTATGACTATGTTGGCGACGTCGCAGACCATCTCGCCGAAACGAGGGTCCGTGACGTGCTTCAACAATAGCCGGAGCACAGGCTCTAGCAGGACGTCGTCGCGTCCGCCTAAGGCTGTTCGCAGACCATCCCTGTGGATGAGTTCCTGGATCAGAGAAAATGCTGTCGTGGGCGCCACATTCTGCGACAACGTGATTAAGGCGTCGGGACAAGAGCTTTCAAGATGCGAATACCTTGCGGAGTACGGAGTCCAATGCGGCGGAGTACTTGAAGTTCTTCAGCAGCCTGTCGTATTCCCGTAACCGCTTCTTGCGTTTGTTCTCCACTTTCAGCTCGTCCACGTCGCCCACCGGTTTTGCCTTTTTCTTCTCCTTGACCCGCCCTTGGCCGAGAGTCGGGAGCGAGCCACCGAGGAACGACTCGAACGCGCCAGAGCGAAGGGATGCGATGGAGAAGACGTCTTGGGCGGCAGGTTCAGACGCCTTCGGTTGTCGTCTGCGGACTGACAGAGTGCCATCAGACATGCCGGCTGCGATGTGCGTCTCGTCAGGCTGTACAAGGTATATGAGTCAGCAAGACACAATCTGAAGTTCCATGCATCGTGCTCACCGATATTGCCAGACAGAGGATGGGCGCAGGGTATCGCATCGTGTGTACAACGCGATATGTGCTCACATCGTACACCTTCACCATTTGATCCAAGCTGCCTGTGAGCACTCGGCTTGCGTCTGAATTGAATGCTAGAGACGTGACGGTTTTCTGGTGATTTGACATGGCTCGTGTACAGCGGCCTCCTGCGACGATGTCCCACACGCGAAGGATAGGTCCCGACGCAGAAAGCGCCGCGGTGCCAGAGGGGAACATGAGCACTTGCTCCACGGGAGCGGTATTGCGTGTGCCAGATTGATTTGACGCGTCGCCCATTACCATCTCACACTCTCCCGTTCGAGAGTCTAATAGGCGGACGGTTGTGTCATAAGAGCCGGTGAGGATGAGATGAGGGTTGTGCGTGCAGACCTGTCCGGAACGGACGTAATCGGTGTGGTCGTAGAAGGTGGTGATGGCGGCTTGCGAGGGGATGTCCCACAGCTTGACGGTGGTGTCGTCCGAGCAAGAGAGGACCTGGGTGTGGTCGAGTGCGGAGAACTTGGCGACATGGACGGGTTGTTTGTGCACGTCAAACGTCCGCAGAATAGCGCGCGAGTTCATGTCGAAGACCTGAATGTATCATGCACATCACGCGTGCGCGTGCAGCAAATTCAGACCATGAAGTACTGAAATCGAATCAATGTGCGCACCTGCACTAGTCCGGTATCGTCTCCAGCCACGACGAGCTTGCCGTCTCCTCGGATGTTCCCGCTCCTTGCCACATCTTTGAAACGAGAGATGGTCTTGGTAACCTTCTGTGTTCTTGGCGCATAAATCTGCACGCGAGTAGCAGCAGTCACAGCATAGCGGTGAGGTTTGGAAGGGGAGAAGTGGACAGAGGTAACAGGCGCATATTCCTTGATGAAGACGGGGTGCTTGTATTGCCGCCAATATCTGGATTCGGCGTTATGTTTCGTCGACGCGGGGCGCGCATGTTTGCGGACGACTACAGGCTGGTAGTCCATGACGCAGTAACGCGAAGTTGAGCGAGGAGAGCGTGCAGAGCGGGACGGAGGCGCGCCCGAGGCCAAAAAAAGTTCCAAAAAGGCAAGTGCGGATTCGGGGAAGAAGAGAGGCATGTGACTGTCCGATAAGATCGATTGATCGCCCCTGGAGTTTTCTATCGCTCTTATTTTTCAGTGCAGTGAAAAGTGTACATAGCCCCGATCTTCAGCTTTCCTTGCTCCAGTCCATCCCTACCACCCTCTCACCGTCCTTCTCCCACCCGCAAAAACCACCATGAAGTTGTTCCAGGACGCTATCACCGATGACGAGATGTTCTCGGACGCCTTCCCCATGTGCGCATCTACCCCAATATAGTCAGGCATCGCGGGAGCAGGCCCACTGACAACTCGTGCAGCAAGGAGGTCGACGGCATCGTCTACGAGGTCGACTGCCAGCTGATTACCGTTAAGGCTGGCGCGGACGTCGACATCGGCAAGTCCCCATCTGCTTGACTTACCCGAGATGCACGAGTTACTGAACGCTAGCCTCGCGTCTCGCACAGGCGCCAACCCCTCCGCCGAGGAGCAGGACGAGGACGTCGACGACGGTGCCCAGCAGGTCAACAACGTCGTCTACTCCTTCCGCCTCCAGTCGACATCGTTCGACAAGAAGTCTTACCTCACCTACCTCAAGAGCTACATGAAGGCCGTCAAGAGTTACCTCCAGGAGAAGGGCACGGATGAGGCCGAGATCAATGCGTTCGAGAAGGGCGCACAAAACTTCGCGAAGAAGATTGTCGCCAACTTCAAGGACTACGAGTTCTACACTGGCGAGAACATGAACCCCGACGGCATGGTCGCCCTCCTCAACTACCGGGAGGACGGTATCACCCGTACGTCTGCTCACTTATCGCGCGATATATTCGGGTTCGCTGACTTGATTCGCGACGGCCCATAGCCTATTTCACCTTCTGGAAGCACGGTCTCAAAGAGATCAAGCTCTGAAGCTTTGTTTCACCTGTCGTCTACCGGATCTTACGTTCTCTTTTTATCGCGCATTGGTGTATTAGTTGGCCGTTGTGTAGGAAGAGAAGCATAACATCATTTGTATCCTCAGATAACATCGCCGTAGCAGCAATGCACTCACATTGTTAGACGATGGTCTACTTCCAATGATGATAAGCCAATGTGAGGTGGAACTGGTACAGGTGTTTCACGAGTTTTATTTCCAGACGAGCAAGCCTCGACTAATACAATAAGTAATTGCGTAAAGCGTAGGTAGGTATCGTGAATCCAAACAGAGCCCCGAAAGCTTAAAGCTCCTCGTGGTGGTGGTGGTCCTCGAGGACAACCTGCTCAGATTGCTCCTGGGAAGGAGTGTTGTTGGCAGGCTTGTCGAGAGAGTTCTTAGCGTTCTCCTCAACGAAAGCAATGAGGCTCTCGAGGGAACGGTCGCCGTCGTAGTCGATGAAGTCACGGGAGCCGGCGCGCTTGAATTTCAGCGTAGGGAAGCCAGAAATGCGGAACGGAACGCTGGGAGGAAGATCGTTCTCGGTAGCCTCCATCTTCGCAATGGTAACGCGGTCCCTGAGCTCAGCGAAGTGCTCGCCGAGCTGGTCCCAAGTGGGCTTGAGACGCTTGCAGTGGCCACACCTGAGAGACAATGCGATCAGTATTGCGTGGTGTCATCAAGGACAAGAGTGCGAACGTACCAGCTGGCGTAGAACTCGACGAAGACATCACGGTCATCGTCGAAAATGACCTCCTCGAACTGCTTGCCAACAAGGTTGAAGACAGGCTCGTCTTGGACGTCAGGGATAGGCTGGGACTTCAACTCGGGCTGGAGCTTGTTGTCAAGGAAAAGCGAAACCTGTTCCTCCGCGGCCTCCGGAGTAAAGGCCTTGCTCTGGTCGAGGGGGTACTTGAGCTGCTTCTGGAGGTCCTGGACGACGAACGCAGGCCACTTGGCCTCGCCGACATTGAGGGCGCGTGCGTGGTCGCCATATTTGATGGCGTCGATCCAAACGAAATTAACTTTGCCCCTGAACTTCGCAGCGACCGGCTTGAGTGTACTGAGGTACTCGTCGTGCTTCTCATCGGTGGGGTCGACGAAGAGGTAGGCAAGGGGCTTGCCGCTCGAGGCGTAGGTCTGGTAGTTCTCCGCACCGACCTCACCGAGGAGGGGGACTGCGAGGTCGCCGATCCAGCTCTCAATGTCATAGACCTTGGCGCTGGCGATAGGGTACGGGTACTCGGTCTGAGGCTCGTCGAAGGAGCGGAATACGACAATGGCCGGGGGAGTGACACCAGCAGCCGCGGCGACCTCTGGGTCGGTGGTAAGACCGAAAAGGTAGTCGTCGCGGTGCTTGTTCGCGGTCGCGCTGAATTCAGGAGCAGGGGCGTCGGTGGACGAGGGCAGGAAGGCAAGAGCGACAATATTGTCCGCCTTCTTGAATTCCTCGAAGTTCTCTTTGGTGACCTCGGAGACCGCAGGGAGTGACTGCCTGTTTGACCTTGGTCAGACGCATATCTCTTCGCATATATAGCAGACTAAGCTTACTTGGTCATGTAGCTGATGATGCCATCGGCCTTACGTGGACCCGCGTAGTCGGTGTACTCGCCATTGCGGTACACACGGAGAGTCCTGTAGTCCAGGGTATGGTTACCAACGCCGGACATGACGAAGATGAGATGAGGGTGACGCACGGGTAGCCCTGAATGCCATTGGACTGGCAGAAGTCCGCCTCGTCGACACAGTTGACCTTGGCGAGCTTGATACCCTTTTCCTTGAGGGCGGTCGCAGCCTCCTCATAGTGGGGAGCGAGAGCCTTACAGTGACCGCACCTAGGTGCCTACGTCAGGAATACGTACAAGGCAACCTCGAGGCTATCTTACCAAGGCGCGAAGAACTCGACGAGGATCAGCGACTCGGGCTTGACAACCGAGTCGAAGTTGGTGTTGGTGAGGTCGAGGACGTCCGACGCGAGGACGGCCTGGATGAAGGCCAGCACAGCGGCCGAAGAGAACAGACGCAAGAACCGCATCGTGAACCACGAAGAGGGGGAGAAAGAGAAAGGATAGAGTCGAGCGGAGCGCGACCGCGGGCGGTTTATAGTAGAGAAGGCGCGTGTCGACGTGTCACGCCGAGCTTTTATATGCGATGCACTTTCTAAGCCCGATCATCATAAGCCGAGCCTCTCCTGGGTGCCAACTGATCCCTGCCTCATCCGGTCGCCACGTCTCGTCGTCGCTCGTCTATGTGACACACAAGTCTCCGAGCCGCGCTATGTTCGCATCCTCCGCGGCTTCTGACACACGGCGCCCTGGCTTGTGGTGCCCCTCCATCGGTCTTTGCGCGGACATTCTGCGCTAGATTGTCACACCAGGCCTCATTCCGCCCCTTCTCAGCGTCGCATGACATAGGTGACTTCGAAATACGGTATATAATATACGTGGCGTTTCCACAGCGATCAATCTGTCCGCAGCGCCTCAGAGTGTTCCTAAATCAAAGTTGCTCCCCTTCTGTCGTCCCCCGGCGTACTTCTTCACGCTCGGTGTGAACGGACGTGGAGGCGGGAACCCCGACACAATGAAAGTGTGTGCGCCAACGTTGGGCGGCGGCGTGGGTACTAGAAAAATCATAACATTCGTCAAAATTCGGTAGACCATCAGGATCGGATGCACGACACTCACTCTTTCTGCGCTGTTCCGAGGCACCGTTCAGCTTCGGCATCAGACCCGATGGTACACGCGACGGCGGAAGCGACGTAGGGCGAAGATTCGACCCGGACGTTGTGCGTGTGCGCGCGGGTGACGGACCTGGCGGGGGCGGGGGAGGTGCGGTCGGTACCGGGCTATGACGGGGCGAGGACCCTGCCGAAGGCGCGGGCGAGGGAGAGGCTTGTCGCGGAGGAGCAGGAGGAGGCGCCGCCGGTGCCGCAGGAGCCCGCCTGCTTGGTGGCGGTGGGGCAATGGAAGGTGCAGGAGGGGCACCAGCGTCCGAACTTGCTCTTGGGCGAGCAGGAGGAGGGGGAGGAGCGAGAGTCGACTTGCGCGCAGGCGGAGGAGGCGGGACCGCACGCGCGGGAGACGATGCCGGTCCGCTTTCTGTGCGGTGTACTCCTACGGAAGAAGGTCGCGGGGGCGGCGGAGGCGGGGGTGCCCTCCCAGAGGCGGTAGGGGGAGCGGGTACTCTGCGGCCTGGTAAAGCAGAGCTAGGTCGCGGAGGGGGCTCGGGAGCGCTCCTTGTGAAGGTGGATGGAGAAGCAGTTCGAGGTGGGATAGCAGGAGGGGTCGAGGCAGTCCCAGCTCGCGGAGGAGGCGCAGGTACTTTACGCGGCGGAGGAGCTGGGGCTGAGGGAGCACTAGGAAGAGTAGGTGCCGACCGTGCAGGTAGACTGGGTGCAACTCGTGCAGGAGGCGCAGGGGGTGCGGCAGGTGGAGGGGGTCTGGCTGGGGAAGGCCGGTTGGGTGGAGGTGGGGGCGCAGCAGCAGGCGCAGATGGGGTTTCGCGCCTTGGTATAGACGGGGGTTTGCCCAACGCAGGAGGCTTCCCTGTACAAGCATGTTAAATGTATTCCTCCGACCACACACGATCAGCGTAGACGCACCATTTGTACTCTGGCCAGCTGGCTTCAACTTGGGCATGCCACCCGCAAACAAACCACCAAGTTGTGGAGGACCTGCTCCAGCGGATGCAAACGCACCCACTGGGATAGATGGGGCACCAATCCCTGCTCTTCCTCCTCCACCTCCTTTGGGAGTTTCAATAGCGGGGGCACTCCGGTCATTGGTGACTGCCTTCTTCAGTCTCTTGCCAGCTTGAATCTGTGCTAGCAGCTCTGCAGAAGCCATAGCGGCAAGACCTTGGTAATTAGATCAGTCAAAGACGGCGAGAAGGCCAAGATTTAAGTGATGCTGGCAGGGGTATGAGAGAGCGATTAGACCTTCTAGTAAGTACAAGATAAAGTTCAGGAAGCGCCGGCGCAGCATCCGGAGTCACTGACATCACGTACTGCCAAATATGGCGGATGCATTGGACGTGGCACCCTTTCCGAGATAATTGGTCCGCGTACAAGCCGAGCACCAGCATTGGACATTAAGAATCTACATGAACTGGGATTCATTATGTGTGGGTTACAAAAGGGCGTGTTATAGTGTCCAAGAATAATTTAACCGTGCCGCAGGCCGTAATGTCAATCATCGCAAGGACGTATCCCTCATACCGCATAACTATCGAGCAAGCCAAGACCGCGAGCATACTGCCCAGCATCCTCCGGCACCCTCCTGACGTCTGCTCCCCTCTTAGCTTTCCGGTGGCGAGTCCCGCTTTACCGGACCGATGGGGCGCAGCGTCGCCGAGCCCATGTCGAGCGGCGGCAGCTCGGGGCAGCTACCGCTGCGCCTACGGCTGTGCCGCGAGTTCATGCGCACCGGGCCCGCGATTGGCGTCCCCACCTGAGGCCACCCTGAACGGAGGTTCGGCGTCGAGCTGGATGTAGGCGGCGACCTCGGGCCTCGCAGTCTGCCGGAGCCCATCGCCCGCTCGTACGAGCCAGACGGGGGAGACGTGGGCAGGACAGGCTCCGGGACGATGTACTGCGAGGATGACCGGATGGGCGACCCCGAGGGGGGATCGGTCCCCCGGAGATGGTCGGGGACAGTGAGATGCTGGGACGAAGCCGGGCGCGTTGCTGAGGGAATGGCGGGGAGGTGCTTGCTTCGAAGGGATGGCTGGGGACTTGAGGATCGCGTCGGGCGTAAAGAGTGAGGCCGGCTGATCACCATCCGCTTTGTCGTAGTGGACGAGCGACTTGCCCGGCGCGAGCCCGGACGTTCTGCTTGGCCCTCCACCACAATCGAGAGCTCCTCCCTTGCACCACCAAATGTCATAGCAGAAGAGTAAGACTGTCGAGGGGCAGGGCGCCAAGGCAACTTGGCCGAGGTCTCACTGGCAGCGGTTGACTTGATTTTCCGGCGGCTTGGCTGGCGGGACGATGCGGTGGAGAAGATAGCTCCAGAGCCGGCGCTGAGGGATCGAGTCGGCGCTGGCGTCCATGGTGCGGACTGGGCGGAGTCGCGGAAGGTAGTAGGTGTGCGGGCAACCGGCGTGAATTGGGAACTTTGAGAATTGGCGTAGTCAGACGGGGTCACATTGTCGGGCGACCGCTGCTTCTTCTCCGTTATTGTACTGACTCCCGACGCAGACTGAAGCCGCACGATATCGGAGCCAATGAGGCTCGACTTCTTTGATCGCTCCGGCACACGCTCCATGTCCTCGATTATGACTTCGACGCGAGGACGCTGTGGCTTGGTACGAATGGGCATGACTATAGGGCCGGTATGGATGTGTCGCTCGAGCTGCTCTGCATACTGGACCTGGAACGGTAGAATCTGTCTCCTCTGTTGAGAGTCGAAGACCGACGCATCTCCAATTCGGGGAGGCGCGCTCCTAGGAACCGGGACTGGTGCGGGGAATTGACTGTGAAGGTGGGTCGGCACGAAAGGGCTCTCAAGGACGACCTCCTCCTCCTTCTTGGGCCTGGCTTCGGTGCCATACATCGGGGTCTCACCTGCAGCCTCAGACGACGGTGGGAGGGTTGGCTGAGGAATCGAGAGAGGGGTAGGTGCACGCGAAGAATGAGTCGAGAGCACTACAGCAGTTGGTGTCACCCCAGTGGGCACTACAACGTTATACTCAATGCCATGATTGAACGTGCCTGTATAACCGTCAGCCATAGTCGTGAGTAGACACAGATTGGGACGTACCAAGGACCATCAGAGCTCCAATACTGAATGGGATGAACTGCGCGAGTTCGTTCGTGGCTACGGCGTTTGGCGCAACGGTGAGGACGTCGAGGAGAAGTAAACTTCCCGCCCGCGCGACTTGCAGGTTGGCAGACTGCCTGAAGAAAGAACGAAGGCCCGACCTGAGGCCATCCCAGCCCAAGAACCGAACGCCGATGTAAAGCTCTAAGACAATGAATCCTATTGAGGACAGCAGCGCAGTTGGAGCATAGCTGACGAGGCGACATGAGGACCTTTCACGATCAAGGTATCGGGGCACATACATTGTTCTATTGCACAACGCCACGCCCAATGTATGAATAAAGACGATCACACCAGTGTTCGTGGCAGTAAAGGCCAGTATGAACGCTGTTGGTAATGAACTTAGAACAGTTTGGAGAAGGCATTTCGGCATACTCACATAGGCCAACTACAAGTGCTGCACACAGGCAGTAAAACTCCAGATTACTCCCTCTGCGAAGGTGAAGTTCCAGAACCAGTATGACGAGTCCAATCAAGCGAGCTGCTTGGGCTGCCATGCTGCCCCATGCCGTGGTAAACGCTGTGAAATGTCGGCTACATCCCGCGAATGAGTGAGGTGAATTGACGAACGTACCACATGCGGTGTCACCATTGGGACTGTAAGCGAGAAGGGAAGTGAATTCAGCGAAACCAGCAAACGCGAAGCATATGTCGAGCGTGAACGCTAAAGCAGCCTCGTTAGAGACCCGACGAGGTTGAGCTAGAGCGCCCAGAGGCCATTGAGACTTCTTTTCGTTGACCGGTGATTGCGCTTCGAGGTCGGGGCCTGCTACTGCTGCAGAGTTGGCTCGACGAAGGGAGTTCCAGCAAAGGCGGGCGAGCTGCTGAAAGAAATGAGAGCGGCCTGCGTACGCGAGACCGCTCCACAAAACCCAGCCCAGCAAGAAGCCTGCTATCACGCGACTTGAAGAAGAATGATTGACATGGGCACAGGATGGGGAAGCAATCAAAGAAGACGCACTAATCGGGATGAAGTAGGAACTCCTCTGCGAATGAACTCCCGATATCCTGAGGAAAGGGAATTCTTGGGTTGCTTGACATTCGTCGTTACTCTGAAATGGCCCCTTTGACACAGCATGAAAAGGTCCAGCCGGTATGAAAGGTCGGAACAGTCCAGCTGCACGCGCGAGAGACCAGCTCAACAAGGAACGAACGGAGATGGGAGAGGACTATGGGCAGTCGAGCAACCCAGAAAGAGGTAGAGTTAAAGACAAAGCATTGGAGGAGACCAAGGCCGAGTCTGACGGCTGTTAATAAGGTTAAGAGATCAGTCCTACTAGCGATGAAACCCTGGATCAGTGCAGAGTGATCGCGTACTCCAGGGGTACGCGACAAGCAGTGCATCGGTTGGCGACATACGGGACCTGCCGCATATGTCTATAAGCGTCATCATCATGAGCGTGCAAGCGGCATGTGCACAATCTGCCAGCTGCGGAATCTGCCACAGTCAACCCCGCCTCATGGATTGTGAAGGAAACTCGGAGTGTGAGTGTCCTGACGGGGTGAGTATGCCGGTTCGCTGACGCTGGTCGATGGACGACCGGCAACCCTGCTGATTATTGCAACCAACAGGTCTGAGACCGTCTCCAGCGCGGCGAATCGCATCAAATCCGTACTGATATGAGGAGAAAAAGCGGCGCGCCCTAGAAAGCTGAGCCCGGGCGGCAGTAGACGCTGGCTGGGGGGTATCACGTGAAGATCACGTGAAATGGGGGTTTGAGGGTCTCCAGCGTTTATTTGCGGCTTTCGATTGTCCCCCGCATTGGCGGGCACTTCAGCCACAGGCGTTCTCTCCTCCTTCTTTCTCTTGCTTTCCTCTCCCAATCGTTCTCTGCTTGTTCTGTGTTGGATCTGAATCTGCTGTATATGCCACTAGTCTTCAACCATGGATAATGCGTCGCCCATCCACTCGGCTGCGGACTTGGAGCTGCGTGCCGCGCGCGTTGCGGACCCTAGTATAGGTTCGTGCTTCATTCTCTCAATCGATGCAGTATCTCATACTACTGACTTGCAGACCTCAAAACGAAATACATGGTTGCATGCGAGCTTCGTGAGATGATCGACACCGTCGGCAGGGACGCTGAAGCTCGCGTCCTCCCCCATATGATCCCCGTTCTCCTTGAAATCCTCCGTTCTGGTGAGCCGTCCTTCCAGAAGGACAGCCTAGACTTCCAGTTCCGCCGAAGTCTTCTCGAAATCTTGCATCGCATACCTTTTCTCGACGTCGTCCGACCACAAGTCGTCCCACTCTTCCACGGATTGCTCCATCTACTTCGCCATGACAATGAGGAAATGGGTGTCACTTGCTGCAAGATGCTTAACGACATCATGCGCGGACTGAGGTCTTTCAATGAAGAGGTCTTCGCCGAGTACATGGCCATCTTCCAGCAGCTCTTGGAGAACCTCAAAGCTCTCCTCATAGAGGCTTTCTCCGAGGACTCGCGCGAGTTGGATGTGTCCGCTTCCCTTCCTGCTATCCGCAGCTTCAAAGTGCTGTCCGAGGTCAACTTACTGCTAGCCACTTTCTTGCAAATCAACCGCACCGCCGTCGTCCCCCATATATCTGCTTTGATTCCCCGTCTGCTCGAATATAGCGAGCTCCAGCCACCCGCGCAACAGAAAGCACGCGAAGATTTTGAGGCAATGGGTGGCATCTGGGCCGGCTTGGCACCGACCGTCAAGAACGTAACCATATACTCGGACTACATCATCTCGCAAATCCGGGTCATCTCGTCTTCCCTCTACCTACTTCGAGCACTTCCCGAGCAATACGAAGCCGAAGGGGAGAAGCTTACGCTTGCGCTACTACGGCTCTTCCAAGACTGTCCGGCAATGGCTATCAGCGCGCGGAAGGTAGGACCATATAAGTAAGAACAGGCTAGTACAGGAGACTGAATACTTGGATTGCTAGGAACTCATCCCTCTCCTACGACATCTCACCAACACAGTACACAAGCGTGCGCTCATCCCACATGTTGGCAAGCTACTGGACGAACAGGTCCTTCTCGGCACATCCGTCGGCGGTCGGGAAATATTCCGGTGCGTTGTGACGTTATGCTTGAGCCACTGTGGGATCTCACCAAGGACCCAGAGCGAGTTTGTTCAGCGCAGTGGCCGACCTGCTCCATCATCTCCGGGCGGACCTCACGCCCGCTCAGATACATCAGATCTTCTCCGTTTACATGCAGCATCTTCATAATCCATTCTTGTCCAGCCACGCGCATCTTCTGTCTGCAAAGATGATCTTCAACCTGATTGACGGAGAAATCACAAAAGACAGTCATCAAAGTGCTGCTCGCGTGCTCACAACATTGTTGGAGGCTAGCGTCGACAAGGTCGACTCCTTGGTATCAGTGCAGGTAGAGAAGTTGAGCAGGGTCGCAAAGGATAAGGAAGGCATCGAGAACGACTTCCAGGACTTTGCTCTCATCGAGAAGTCGAGGCCTCTCCTTGGACCGTGTTATGCGACAGAAAAGCCCGAGGAGAACTTGGGAGGTGAGTAGGTTGTTTGGCTCACACGATTGATGTGACTGACGCAGGGTTGTGCAGAGTACCGTAATCTGCTACGCACGCTCTTCCACGGCTTCAATGCTCTCATCGTGGGGCTGAAGAAGGTGGATGCGCCCGTCCCCGACGGTGCTCTGATCGCTCGCATGTTCGACGGCTGTATTCGGGCCATCGTTTTCTTCGACGGTGAACCGAGGGAGGCGCATGACGCCCTGGAACGTTTGGGCTTGGCCATGGTTGAGATCAATCTTCACGTTTTCCAAGAGGTCTGGACGCAGAAAATAGCCTTCTACTTCTCGTCCGCCGAGAAGCGGCCCGTGCTTATGCATCTCGCGACTCTGCTGTTCGCGAGAGAGGCAACGTCCCCGACACTCGTCGCCATCGTTTTGCGATATCTCATTGACCGTCTCCCAGAGCTCGGCGAGTACGATGACCAAGCCGCCGCTGTCGCAATCCGCATGTTCAAGATGACCTTCCAGGCGGTCACCACCTATCCGCAGTTGAACGAGTCCATCCTCGCCTCGCACCTTGGCAAGCTGATAATGGATTGCTTCCCTCTTGCCGCCAAGGCAGCAAAACCTACCAACTACTTCCACCTTCTGCGAGGGCTGTTTCGCGCCATTGGCGGCGGCGGAGGTCGTTTCGAATTGCTCTACAAGGAAGTCCTCCCGCTACTGCCTGAGATGCTCGAGTGCCTTAACCGGCAGCTCCAATCCTCAGACGGACCAAGCCGCGACATGATCGTCGAGCTCTGTCTAACTGTTCCCCTGCGGTTGACCCACCTCCTCCCCTACCTCTCCTACCTCATGCAGCCTCTCGTTCTTGCCTTGCGGGGCACGACCGAGCTCATTTCCCAAGGCCTCCGTACGCTGGAACTGTGCATCGACAACCTTACTCCTGACTTCCTCGACCCGACGCTCAACACAGTCCTCAGGGAGCTGATGGAGGCCTTGCACGACCTACTGAAGCCCTTGCCAGGGAACCATCACCACTCGCACACGACCATTCGCATCCTGGGCAAGCTCGGTGGACGCAACAGGAAGCTATTGGAAAAGGAGCCAAGCTTCAAGTACAGCCAACAGACGGAGTCCGTCAAGGCGCGCTTTTCATTCGGTGCCCAGATGGGCAATATCGAATTGGAGCCCGTCGCGAGGGTGTCGTGCGAAACACTCCGCAATCCCAAGTCTGCCGCCCAGCAGCGCGTGCACGCATACAACTACTTGGAACAGTGCCTCACGCTCGTCCTCCACGAGGTATGCATCTACTCGTCACTCTTTGCGTGCGCAAATTCACCCCGTCCGTAGGGTGTCAAAGGTCGGGAACGCGAGGAGCTCTTTGTCAGGTGTCTCGAAAGCATGTACGACGCCTTGCATCTGTCGGACGTACAAGAGAAGGCGGAGAAGACTTTGAAGGAGGTCTCTCGCTTCTTGTTCACTGTCGAGGTTCGACGCTACGCCGTCAAGGACGATTTCACTCGCCGTTACCCCAGTCCCATCTTCTCATGCTACCTAGATGCGGTGCAATACGGGCTGGCCCGCGACAAGCCTGAAGAAGCGAAGCGTGCGCTCGAGCTCATCAGTACGTCCATCCGTGAACTGGTTGGAATGGCAACGGCCTCCGAGGTCGCTGTCAACGATGTCGTAGCGACCTTGCACCAGGTCGCCAGTCGTTTCCTTTCGCTGTGCCTGGAAGAGGCTTGGGTGAAGAGGAGCGCCGGTTGCGGGGGTATCCAGGTCATGACTGACATACCCGATCTGGGTGTCCGATGGGTTAACCAGCGCGAAGTGGACCTCGTCCGGATGCTCCTTCATGTTCTCAAGGACATGCCGCACGACATGCCTCACGATGCCGACAAGGTCATCGACGTACTGAACCGTGTCCTGCGCGTCAGCACTGAGGACTCGAAGGCGAACGATAGCGAGCAGGACCATGACAACAAGATCACGCAAGTCGTCGGGCTGTTCTTTGCGGAGCTCTCTAGCCCCAACCCAATCGTGCGCAAGGCCGCGCAAGGTTGCATCTCGTTACTCGCCGAGCTAAGCGGGAAGACCATAGTCGACCTGCTCATGCCCCACCGCGATCGGATGCTCGCGTCCATCTACACGAAGCCGCTCCGTGCACTTCCATTCCCCCTTCAGATAGGGATGATCGAAGGCATCCGTTACTGCATCAGCTTGCAACCTCCGCTTCCGGAGCTGAATGATGAGCTTCTCCGCCTGCTTCATGAAACCCTCGCCCTTGCCGATGCGGATGACATGGCGCTGGTGGGTCGCAACAACCCTCGCCAGAGTGCGATGGATATCATCAAATTGAGGGTCGCTTGTATCAAGCTGCTGACTGCGTCCATGCCCATGACGGACTTCTTCTCGAAGCAGCACCAGACGCGCCAGAGGTGAGCTCAAATCGACCTTAAACGTAGAGCGTACGAGATAACGTCTCACAGGGTGACGGCCGTTTACTTCAAATCGCTGTACTCTCCTACCCCGATGGTCAAAGACGTAGCGCACGAGGGTCTTCGTATGGTCTTGACGCACCAAGCCAGGCTTCCAAAGGAGTTACTTCAGACTGGTCTTCGCCCTATCCTTATGAACCTTGCAGACCCGAAGAAGCTTTCTATCCCTGGCCTTGAGGGACTGGCGCGGTTACTCGAGTTGCTGACGAATTACTTCAAGGTTGAGATCGGTCACAAGCTGCTGGATCACTTCCGCATCGTCGCCGACCCACAGATGCTTCAGGCTTCGTCGAGGCTTCCGCTCATGGAAAACGACGGAATCAAGAAGCTTGTATGCCTAGCAAACATCTTCCACCTCCTCCCATCTGCCGCTAACATCTTCCTCGAGAACCTCGTCAACGCGATCGTTCAAACAGAGTCTGCGCTACACTTCTCTGGAGAAAGCCCCTTCTCTGCGCCACTCGCGAAGTACCTAGATCGTTACCCATCGGACGCCATGGACTACTTCATGCGCCACCTCGCATTCCCCATGCAAATCCGCACCCTGCGGAGCATCCTGCGCGCGAACCTCGCGCCGAACCTGCTGCGAGAATTGAACGCGAGAACCGGCCCCCTTGTGACAGCTTGTCTGGAGGGGCGAGACCCTAACATAATGATGCCCGGCCTGCTGCTTTGCTCGGATCTCGCGGAGCTTGTGCCTGGTTGGGTCCTAAACAATCACCATGCGGTCGACGCTGTGATTGCCTTGTGGAAGTCTGACGTCCCTCTTGAATCCTCACAGCTCCCGTCAGCCGAAGCTCTGCAGAAATACACTCTCATGCTTTCCATCTTCAAGCAGGCTTTAGAACAGTCGCCGCGCATCGACATCCTCTTTGATCTTGTCCTCGTCTTTGCACGGAGGCAACCGCTCGACGTCGTCAGCGTCATTCAATTTATGTACCGCCATGTCGCGTTGAGCAAAAACCTCGCCTTCCGCAGGAATATCTTGCTCCGCTTCTTGATCTGGTTCGACGACCCAGCACCTTCTTGGACCCAGAAGGCCCTCTTCCTACAGTATGTCGTCACACCCATGCTGCTCATGCATGCCACACACTCGCCCTCCAAGGCCGGTCTTGTCGACGCGGACATCGTCCAGCGCCTACACACCAAGATCTGGCAGCCAATGGCCGCCCTCGAGAAAGACGCATTCTCTGGATCTGACGACACTTTCAAGATCGAATTGCTCCGCCTCACTACGGTGATGATCCAGCACTACTCTGATTTCCTGCAAGAGGCGAAGAAGGACATCATCAAGTGTGCATGGGCGTTCATTGGTGCTGAGGACCCACTAGTCAAGTGCACTGCCTACGTGCTCGCGGCTCGGTTCTTCAACGTGTTGGATGGCCCTCCGAAGTTCATTCTCAGGCTCTGGACCGGCTTGTTGAAGGGACCGAATACGGAAGGCAAGCTCTTAGTCCGGCAAGCGCTTGACATCCTCGCTCCCGTCCTCTCCCGTCCTCAGATGGCGGAAGCTGGCTATCCTCAGTGGGCGAAGACGACCCGACGGCTGCTTGCGGAAGATGGTGTCAACTCCAACCAGACCAATCTCGTTTATCATCTCATCGTTGCCCAATCCTCGTTGTTTTTCCCCGTTCGTGCGCTCTTCGTTCCTCACATCGTCAATCATCTCTCCAAGCTCGGCTTACTGCCAACATCCAATCTTGAGACACGCATACTGTCCATCGACATCATCCAGGTCATCTTCGACTGGGAGCAAAGGGCAGCAGCGTCAGCAGTACCGACTGACGAATCAGAGATGGCCGTAGACCCCTGGACAACTCCACTGAGCTTGAGGGAGAATATGGTCAGCTATCTCATCCGGCTCGCAACTCTCCCCCAAGATCTCCAGTCGAGGTCAATTGTGATTCCTCGAGCCCTCTCCCTCCTCCGCACTCTTATTGCACCTGGCGGATGGAATGACGTCAACGTGAAGCTGAACTACTTCTCTCGCACCCTAGAGCAGGTTAGGTTTTCCTGGCTTATGATCGTTTCATATGGCTGACTTCTTGTCAGAGCGATCTAAGTGACGACGCCCAGAGAGCCCAGGCTCTCGCCAATGCAAAGGTTCTCCAGGTGATCTCCGCGGAAAGGGATGACGCGTGGTTCCAGGCGAACGCTCCGATCCTGACAAAGCTAGTGCGCAAGGGGATGTTCTCGGAGGACCAGACACTGCAGGATTGTCTCTATCCTGTTACCGACCGCTTGCTCCGACTGTTCCCTCTTCCGAAGGAGGACGACCAACAGGCTCAAGGCGAGATTTCCGAGTTCCATGCAGCGATTTACAGCTCGATCGGTGACAACCTCAGGAGCTCAGAGTCACTGCGGCCGGGCTCCATGCGAGGTTCTCTTCTGGTACTAAAGACAGTCGTGCAGGTCGCTCCTGAGCGTATCGACCCGTTTTGCTCTAATCTTATGAAGCTGCTTAGCAAGCTCGCCAAGGACCATATCCAGTCCTCCGCATCTAATGGCGCTGCATTCGAGACGCTCGTTCGTCTACTGATAGCTATCCTCGAGGTGTGCCACATTGCGGTTGCTCACCTCAGCGACCAGCGCAAGTGGTTGCTAAGCACGCTTGTCGTCCTCGTCGACAAGTCCAAGAGCATCCCCCTTTGTCGTTACCTACTCGATATCGCAAAGGACTGGGCCGTGAACAAGCGCGATGCGTACCCGAGCATGAAGGAGAAGGCGAGCCTGTTGCAGAAGATGGTGGCGTTTGAATCCCGCGGAGGCGACAGGGGCGAGGTACTCTTCAACAACTACCTGGAGCTCATCTACGACATCTATACCGATCCCTCCCTTCGTCGCAGTGACCTCACCGCTCGTCTTGAGCAATCCTTCCTTCTCGGTTGCCGTGCTGCCGATCCGACCATCAGGGAACGGTTCATAGATCTCCTTGATAACAACATTCCTCGCTCCCTCCACAGTCGGCTCACCTTCGTTTGTGGCAGTCAGAACTGGGAGTCCCTCGCCGACCACAACTGGATATTTCTGGCGCTGCATTTGCTTCTTGGGTCCATCGATGGCGATCACGTCGTCTCTCCGGAGCGCAGAAGTACGTTCGATTCCACCTGGTCGCAACCACCCTTCCTCCTCGCACGAGCTTCCGCTTTCATCAAGCCAATGCAGCGTCTGCTGTTTATGGACCGTCAGGCCGCTCACGACGTCTGGATCTCCTTCTTCTCTTCGGCATGGGCCTGTCTAGGGAGGCCAGATCAGCGTGAGCTTGCCAACCACATGATCGCCTTGCTCGCCAAAGAGTACCATGTCAGGCAGGCGGAGATGCGGCCCAACGTCATCATCACTCTGCTGGCTGGGATCCATGCTTGCTCCTCGCCTATGGTACTGCCCCCTCACCTCGTGAAGTATCTCGCCAAGACTTTCGGCGCCTGGCACATCGCTGCGGAGATGCTGGAAGCTTCTCTCAACCACATCAGAGAAGACGAGGTGGTTGTGCGGGACACCATCTACGATTCTCTCGCGGAGATCTATGCAGAGCTTTCCGAGGAAGATGTCTTTTATGGGCTTTGGCGTCGCCGTTCTCTCTACCCTGACACGAACGCGGGTATCTCTTTCGAGCAAGCAGGCATGTGGGAGCAAGCGTCGATCATGTACGAAGCCGCGCAGACCAAGGCGCGCGCTGGCATCCTACCTTTCTCGGAGTCCGAGTTTTGCTTGTGGGAGGATCACTGGATACTTGCCTCCGAGAAGCTCCAGCACTGGGAGATCTTGTACGAACTTGGCAAATCGGAAGGCAACCCGGACCTGCAGTTGGAGGCTGCGTGGCGCACCAAGGACTGGGTCGAGCAGAAGGCGGAGATGGAAGCTACTGTTAGTCAACTACGTGAGGTGGCTACCCCAAGGCGTCGCGTCTACGAGGCCTTTCTTGCACTCCTTAAACTCCCTGCTGCTATCGATAAGAATACGGAGTTCACAAAGATCCTCGAGGAAGCGATGCAGCTAACTCTCCGGAAGTGGGTCACCTTACCTCATCAATTCTCGTCGGCCCACGTTCCCCTACTACAGCATTTCCAGCAGTTCGTCGAGTTGCAAGAGGCTGTGCAGATCTTCGGTTCGCTCGCTACCACCAATGCGCAGAACTTGGAGAAGAAATCTTCCGACCTCAAGATGGTTCTCCAGGCTTGGCGTGAACGTTTGCCCAATGTTTGCGACGACATCACGACATGGAGCGATCTGGTAGCGTGGAGACAGAACGTCTTCAACTCCATCAACAAGACGTACCTACCGCTCATCCAGCCCAGTAATCAAGGCAGTGCAGCCACAGGAAGCACGAACACTTTCGGCTATCGCGGATTCCACGAGACAGCCTGGATAATCAACCGCTTTGCTCACGTTGCACGGAAGCACGAGCTCCTAGATGTCTGCTTCACATTCCTGAACCGGATCTACACCCTGCCCAATATTGAGATCTCCGAGGCGTTCCTGAAGCTCAGGGAGCAAGCTCGCTGTCATTACCAGAAGCCTGGAGATCTGCAGGCCGGCCTCGAGGTCATCAACAACACGAACCTCATGTACTTTTCCAACCCACAGAAGGCCGAATTCTTCACGCTGAAAGGAATGTTCTACGCGAGGCTCGGTCGCAGCGAGGACGCAAACAGTGCTTTCGGTCACGCTGTTCAAATGGACATGTTCCAAGCAAAGGCTTGGGCGGCCTGGGGCAAATTCAACGACAAGATGTTCAAAGAGGCCCCGAACGAAATGTCACACGCGTCGAACGCCGTCAGCTGCTACCTTCAAGCCGCCGGACTTTACAAGAATAGGAAGAGCCGTCCTCTGCTCACCCGCGTGCTCTGGTTGCTCAGCGTTGACGACGGAACACTTGCGATCTCTCAAGCTTTCGACAAATACAAGGGCGATGCGGCCTTCTGGTATTGGATCACCCTCATACCCCAGCTTTGCTTGTCCGTGTCGCAACGGGAGGCAAAGCAAGCTCGATATATCCTGCTCAATCTCGCGAAGCTGTATCCACAGGTGTGTCGCAGTGTCAGTTTCGTGAGAGTGTACTCACGACATGTTCGCAGGCCCTGTTTTTCCCGCTGCGTACAACAAAAGAAGACATGAACCTTCTGAAGCGACAGCAGGCGGCTGCACAAGCACAGGCACAAGCACAAGCGGCTGCTAGAGCCAGTTCTAACGATGGTCAGTCGATCATATCGCACGCATCATCCTCCCTGAATGTCAATGGCCTAACGGAACAATAACAGGCAAGAATGAGGATGGCACCCCGTCGCCGAGCAAGGATAGTTCTCAACCGAAGGTTCCGCTAGAGTTGTCGATTCCCCTTGCTACACGTCAATCTTGGGATCTCATCGATGAGATTGTGCAAATCCTCAAGACGGCCTTCCCTCTTCTCATCTTGACCCTAGAGACGGTGGTCGAGCAGATTGCACAGCGTTTCAAGGCTTCCCCAGAGGAAGAGATCTATCGCCTCACGTGCATGCTACTGCAGGATGCTATGCAGGTACGATATATTCAGGCTGAACGCGAGGCATGTAAGCTCATCATGTTATAGCAATATATCGCTCGCATGGCGAATGATGACGATGGACAGCTCAGTCCTGGGACAGTTGCCACCCTCATTCGCCTGGCAGTCAATCTATCGGGTTCTGCTCGAGTTGGTCTTGACACTCGCTCCTCTTTTATCGATGCTGATTCTTTGAGCAGAAAGACTATGAGGAAGACTTCATCAAGAGCAAACCCACGTTGAACGAGTATATCCGCAAACTTCAGCAATGGCGAGACAAGTACGAGCGCTTGCTCGATGCCCGGCCGCGTGTGCAGTCGTTGGAGAACCTTGGCCCTTATCTCATCGAGTTCCAATACACCAAGTTTGATGAGGTGGAGGTGCCAGGGCAATATACGGAGGCAAGTTCCTCAATGTCCATAGCCAAGGAGTTGCTCATGTGTTCTATAGGAGAAGGACAGTAACAACAACTTCGTTCGCATACGTCGATTTGGGCCCAAGTACGAGAACTGCCGGTCGCATGGCTACTGCTGGCGGCGTTTGTCGATCAAGGGACACGATGGGTCGTCCACATCGTTTGCGGTGCAATTGCCCTCGGGACGTCATTGCCGCCGGGAAGACAGGACGGCGCAGATCTTCCGCACTTTGAATGGGTATGCGCTAGCTCTATAGCTCCATGTGAGCCGATTACTGACGCACCTCCAAGTACTCTGATGCGCAAGAAGGAGAGCCGTAAACGCAACCTACACTTCCATCTGCCCGCAGCTGTCTCGTGTGCGCCGAATCTCCGACTTTTGCAGAACGACGCTTCCTACATCAGTCTCGGCGACATATATGACCAGCACTGCGAAGACTCTGGAATGGCTCGTGAAGAACCTGTCTTGATTGTTGGGGAGAAGGTGAAGACCACTGTGCGGGAGTTCAAGCAGAGGAACGGCCGTCCAGTACGTGGTGTTGATGCCTTCTGGCTGGCATTTGCTGATGTCTCCGTAGCCATCGAGGGCGGAGGTCCTGTTGCTCAAGAACGAGCTTCTCAACGATGTCATGGCAAAAGCTGTCCCTGCAGATGTCCTTACCCGCGTAAGCACTTCCCAGGTATGAAGCCGTTCCGTGACTCACTACGCGTCATAGTACGTCATTCGGACTATGCGTACCCCCGACGAGCTCTGGCGCATGCGGAAGGAGTTTGCCTTACAGCTCGCTGCCACGAGCTTCATGACATATTTCATCTGCCTGGGTAGTCGTCTGCCATCCCGCTTCCATTGGTCACGAGCCACGGGCCAGATTGCCATGAGCGAGAGTTTGCCAGGTAACGATGAAATCCTGTCTACATGCGTAATGTCCTCTGACTCACTGGCAATCCAGGCCACCAGTCCAACAACCCGAACGCGCTATTCACTTCGCAGGACGCGGTGCCCTTCCGCTTCACTCCGAATATGCAGCATCTGCTCGGGCCCATCTTCACCGAGGGTATCTTGGCTGCTAGTATCATGTCGATTGGTCGATGCTTGACTGAACCGGAGGTACGTTGACCTTACTAGTAGCATACCTATCGCTCATGCTACCTTCAGTGCGAGCTCGAGCATCAGCTCTGCCTGTTCGTGCGAGACGAGGTGATGACCTGGATGCATCAACACTACCGCAGGCAACAGCCACAAATCGACGTCAGCTTCCGGATGAGCGTCTCTGCCAACATAGAATCCGTGATCAAGCGGGCTGAGACCATGGCCTGCAAAATCGAACGAGAGCAGGTAGGTCAACGGGCTTCAGCCTTTTTGGTCCTCTACTCATGCTGGAGTCATTGCAGCAACAAACCGTGCAGACCGCTAATACGACACCGGTCGTTCAGACTGTGGCAAACCTGATCAGCACCGCTACCAACCCGCTGAACCTGGTGAAGATGGGAGAGGCTTACGTTCCTTGGTTCTGAGTCATGAATCACAGGCGCATTTTTTTTTCGTCACGGATATCTATTGCATGTTGTACTTGTATCAATCTCTTTCGTAGACTTCACAGCAAGACCCTAATACAATTTCCCCCCAACACAGTGACACTACATGCGATGAAAACCCTCTGTCTGCCTGAACGCGTTGATCTCGCGCTCGCTCGATACCATCATCTACACGAAGTTCAAGTAAGTATGATACCTCGTCGGTGTGGAAGATAGTCAGAACCTACCTCTTCCGCCATGTTGTATATCTCCGACCCTGGTCGATTGTACATCATCGCGTTGGCGAACATCAAAAAGATATCACGCTGGAACTCGAGCGAATTAGAGATGAGCCCATCCTTCACGCGCGACTTGATCGTCTTGAGGTCCATGGGCCGCTTGACGATGTCGTGATAGTCGGGAGCCTCGGACTTCTTGATCGGGTTGTGGAAGATGTTGCCGTAGCGGTGTTGCGAGATTTGCGAGTGCAACATGCCGATCATGTTTTGGAAGCGTTTGTCGCTCCCGCCGGTGCGCTCCCTTCGCCGGGTCTTGGGAGCACCTATCGGCAGGCTGAGGACGGCGCTTTGAGAATTGGAAGAGGTCGGACGCTTACCGTCTTCTTCGTCGGCTGGTTCTGAATCCTCCCTCGGCCTCTTCTTCTCGCGCTGCGCATCGAGCATAACGGTGTCTGCGTCAGACGCTTTCCGCTTGGCTGAGGATATGCGGTCAATACGCGTTACCAGGGGCATGTGACGGACCCACAAACCTTCTGCTCGAGTTGTGGGCGCGGGCTCTGGGTCCGCCTCAGGCTGCTCCTCTTCCGCCTCCGCTCCGGCTTCGACTTCCATTTCTGGTTGGGCGATTTCCCTCGCGGGTTCTACGACTGACTGCTCGTCGGAGGGCTCGTCCTCTTCCTGCTCTTGCTTCACTGGCGCTTCATCGACCTGCATCTCGTCCTCCTGGGGTTCTGCTGCGGGCCGATGTTCGGGCGCATCTGCGACTACAGGCTCTATGTCGTCTTGAGCCTCTACCGCCGGCCTGTCTGAGCTGAAATTGCCAATGAGTTCGTTGACAGCCTCGTTGTCAGAACCTTCCTCCTGTGGTAGGCAATCTGTGAGAGGTCGATCTAACGAAGACAAGGAGCTGGCCGTACCTTCTCTTCAGCTTCCGGGGCGGGAGATGACTCAACCACAGTAACTGTGGATTGTTCGGCCGGTAGCTGCTGCTGCTGCTCTTCTTCCTTCGGTAATGATTACGGCAGTGGACAGGGTGATTGGAGTCAGATGGCTCACCATCGCGGCCTCCTTGGCAGATTCTTCCTCTTCTGCGGGCTTTGTCTCGTCTTCTGAGGTACTGGGCTGGGCAGGCTCTGACACCTGGGGTTCCGGCGTGGGCTCTTCCTGGGCTCCGGGCTTTTCGAGCTGGGCGCCCATGGAAGCGAGTATCTTGTCGTCCCACGCGCCACTGCGGATTTCGTCGATTTCCGTCACCAGCTTTCTGCGGGCAAGCGGTCAGCAGTGGGGGCAGACGCGTCAGGCAATGACGCACTTAAACTTGGCCTCCTCAGACGCGATAAGCCCCCTAAGCTCCGTGACACGCGCCACGTAGTACCGTTGCGCAAGCCTCAGGTGCTTCTCTGCTGCTGCATGAGTTTGTCTTTGGAAAGACAACGCGTGTTCAGATGGACAAACTCACACCGAGGGCCGGTATCAGCCTCTGACCTGAGTCGCGAGGCATTAGCTTCGCGCAAAACCCGGTCGTGAATGCATCTCACCGTTCCAGACCGGCGTCTTCCATCAAGCGTTGGTAAAGGGTAGAACATGACTGGGCCACATCCAAGACACGGTCAGCTCATGTATAGCTCCGCTGAGAGGAGCGAGGGCCTGACTTGGGGGGTAATGGCACCTTTTGGCTGCGAGATCAAAGGGTGGTTGGAGAGCAGTTTCGCGACTTCAGGCCAGGCATCTGAACCGAACTCATGGACGGCCTGGGCGAATATGAGACGTTCGACGTTATTCAGGTTGGACGCGTCGAGTTCTGGGGTCGACGTGGCTCGTCGTGTGTGGACTCCTGAGGCCATCGATGGTCTTCGGTGGGTCAGTTCACAGCACTCAAGCCTAGAAAGACGAGTGCATGGCGTGGATTGCAGACAAGGGTGAGGACAAACGAGTCTCCGCTGCAGCTGCTCTCTCGGATCTGGCGCGCTGCCGCTGGCCGGAGCGCCAACGGCCGGGACGACCGAGGATCGGAAGAGGTGATCCGGAGGCTTCGTGGAGTCAGCCGGACGATGATCGCCGGCGGTCGCCGTCAACGTCACCTCAGCGGCCTCTTCGGTGACAACCCACAAAAGGCTGCGGCCGTGCACTGCGCTGCTGCCTGCCCCCTCTATCCTCTTGCCACCATGTTGCTCTCCCGTCTCGCTCCCCTCGTCCTTCTTCCCTTCGCTGCCGCCGCTGGGCTGCACAAGCTCAAATTGAAGAAGCTTCCACCCGCGTCCAGCAACCCTGCGTTGGAGAGCGCATACCTCGCCGAGAAGTATGGTGGACGCAGCCAGGTCCCTCTCATGGGTGCTGGTACCGGTCGCAACGTCCGCCTCTCCCGTCCGGCAGTTCAAGATGGCGAGGAACTTTTCTGGACTCAGGAGGAGTTCAGCGTCGAGGGCGGTCATAACGTTCCCTTGAGCAGTATGTTGCGTCGTCCGAATACCCTTCGCGCCTGGAACCTGACTTCGAATTGCCAGACTTCATGAACGCTCAATATTTCGCGGAGATATCGCTTGGTACCCCTCCGCAGACCGTGAGTCCACCAGGGCGCCTTGCTATTACCGCCTCCGCTGACGCGTCCTCCTCCAGTTCAAGGTTATTCTCGACACTGGGTGAGTTCGGTTTGATTGACGCGCGCGCGTGAAGTGGGTAACGACAGCTGACATCATTCCTAGCTCGAGTAACCTCTGGGTTCCAAGCGTCAAGTGCACATCCATTGCTTGCTTCCTTCACACCAAGTACGATTCCTCTTCCTCCTCGACATACAAGGCAAACGGGACAGAGTTCTCCATCCAGTATGGCTCCGGTTCCATGGAGGGCTTCGTCTCCCAGGACACCTTCAGGATCGGTGACCTCACGGTAGACGGTCTGGACTTCGCCGAGGCGACAAAGGAGCCCGGTCTTGCCTTCGCCTTCGGCAAGTTTGACGGTATCCTCGGCTTGGCGTACGACACCATTGCCGTCAACCACATCACCCCGCCATTTTACCACTTGATCAACAAGGGGCTCGTAGATGAGCCCGTTTTCTCCTTCCGTCTTGGTTCATCCGAGGATGATGGTGGAGAGGCCATCTTCGGTGGTGTCGACGACAGCGCGTACACTGGCAAGATCCAGTACGTCCCTGTCAGGAGGAAGGCCTACTGGGAGGTTGAGCTCGAGAAGGTCTCTCTTGGTGATGACGTGCTTGAGCTTGAGAGCACTGGCGCTGCTATCGATACTGGTAAGCGATCCGGCCCTTTCCCCTTACTCGGATGCACATTCACTCATAATGAGTATTCAGGAACCTCTCTCATCGCCCTTCCCACCGACATCGCGGAGATGATCAACACCCAGATTGGTGCTACGAAGTCGTGGAACGGCCAGTACACTGTCGACTGCGCGAAGGTGCCCTCCCTCCCCGACCTTACGTTCACGTTCGGAGGCAACCCCTACGTTCTCAAGGGCACCGACTACATCCTGGAGGTCCAGGGTACATGCATATCCTCCTTCACTGGTCTCGACATCAATGTCCCCGGCGGTTCGCTCTGGATTGTCGGTAAGTGATGTTACACGCAGTTGCCGTTTAATGCTAGTTGCTCAAGGGCGCGATAGGTGATGTCTTCTTGCGCAAGTACTACACAGTGTACGACCACGGTAGGGATGCTGTTGGTTTTGCCCTTGCCGCTTGAGCCCCGACCTCGGAGTGTTATGACGGACTTTCATCTCGTACCGAGCGTCCATGTTGTCGTTCCGCGTATTCTTCTTATACCTGCATGTACGATATAGTCACCAATGGAACACCCGATTCATGGCCATGATACCGGACAATGATGTCATGACAATGTCCCGAGGTTGTGGGCGCCAAGCAGTGCGAATGCACTAGAACTCGATTCCTTGAACCTTTCATCGCCTACCGTCGACTCCTTACGAAGGACCTTAGTATCATATTCAAGCCTATAACTCTCGGTGCAATCTCTTGTGGCACCTTGTACATCTGAATGCTTGAAACACAGTGAATTAGCTGCAAGTCTCCCAACATGCGCTCGCCTTCTATAGATACTGTGCTCACAGCTTCTTCGCTACCCCCTTCACGGTTCCGGCCGTATGAATGGAAGGAGAGGCTCCTCTCGGTTTCTTACACCAAAGGAGGGCTTGACAGGGTCAAAGTTCTTGGTAGCGACGCAACCGGGCATACTGGGTGAGTGACACGTCCAATATATTCAATGCCGTACTAATCTTCTTCTACACTGGCAGTTGTGTGAACGCACTCTCGTGGGCCAAGGGAGGAGAGGTTCTGATAAGCAGTGGAGACGATGTAACGTACGTGCATCTCTTGGTCCGCGCGCTATGGATTTAGGCACTGAGGGCCGTATAGCGTCAGACTGTGGCGGATGGATAGAGACAACACACAGGAAGACTACCCCTTTAAATGCGACACGGTCATCCATACCGGGCACAGAGGCAATGTATTCAACGCTCAAATGCTGCCACATTCTTCTCGCATGTACGTGACCGCCGCCCCTCGATTGCTGGCTCTCTGTCAGATAGCCCCTGACCGTCCGCAGTGCGACGGTGTCCGGCGACAGCCAGGTACGCGTATTTGACCACGAGAAGGCGGCCGGGTCTCCTGGCAACAACGGCGAGACCGAGTACAGCACTCGGCAGGCTGCTATCCGCATCTTCCGATGTCACAGTGGGCGGACGAAGAGGATAGTCACTGAGGACAGCCCTGACTTATTTCTGACAGTATCGGAGGTGTGGACTTTTTTCTTCTCGACCGTCGTGTGAAGTTCACCGAGGCGTCTTTCCTTGTCAGGACGGGACAGTCCGCCAACACGACCTTCGCGTGCCTCATTCATGCCAAGGCGACGCTTGTCCTGCCCCATTAGTCGCGCTCAATTGCGAGCTTTCGACACTATCGCTTTCTCCCCTTACACCATATCAGTTCGTGGTGGCCGGAGAGTCACCCTACGTGAGTCTAGCCCCCTCCGCTTCGCTGCGGCGCTGAACTGCTCAGTGACCGCCGCGTTACAGGGCTACTTGTTCGACCGTCGACACGCAGGCCGACAGTTTGCTGAGGAGTGGGGTCAGCCACCGGACAGCAGCGAAGTGACAACATGTGTTCGAAGGTTTGGACGACATGGTCGCGGCAGCCACGAACGCAGAGGTCGTGAGCACATCACTGGTTCCCGGATGGCATCCAGCAACGGCCACGAAGTCTTGCTCTGTAAGCCCCCTTTGTATGTATTCCTTGTCTCTCGCTGATGCGTTTGTGCAGCATATAGTGCGGACGGTATATACCTCTATTCTACCAAGGACGATCCTGGAGTCACCAGCATGGCGAGCGGGGAGTCGTCAATAGTTCCGCCGAATAAGAAGCGTAGTCCGCCGCGAGATCGAATACAGGCTAGCAATTCGGAAGTCGAGCTGATGGAGGAGCGGTCCGCTCGCGACATTATGATGGAAGACGACATCGAGCGTATGCTATCTGAACATGTCTCACCTCCTCGAACAGCTGAGCAGGAACCGTTGCTTGGAGATGAGGCCGCAGATGAAGAAGATCCTGAAGCTCGGCTGGCTGATAACAATAGCGACGAGGAGGAAGATGAGGACATGGACGAAGCGGAAGAAAGGCAGGGGGATACTCGATACTCAAGCGTTCCCACTATCTTGCCTCGCGCACGTTTCTCGGGAATATGCAACGTTGAAACTGTGAAAGACGGCACGTCCTGCGTTTCATCGCACCTCTCTCAAAGGCACTTCAACTAACTTGTTTCGCCAGTCAACTTCCTTGGACCAAGGGACGAATATGTCGTCTCCGGTTCGGATGACGGTAACTGGTTCATGTGGGAGAAGGATACAGGCAGACTGCACGACATTCTAGAAGGCGATGGTTCAGTCGTCAATGTCATCGAGGGTCATCCATATCTTCCTTTGGTCGCCGTGAGCGGGATCGACTTGACGGTCAAGGTGCGCGATGAAATCACTTGTTCTTTCGACGCCGCTTTGACTAACGTAATCTTCTAGCTCTTTGCATCCACGCCCGGTCCGAGCCGGTTCTCAAGATTGGATAAGTCGGAGTCCATCATCAACCGCAATGCTCAAGCTGCGAGGCCGCGTCGGAGCGATCTATCGAGCCTCATCCTCTATTACCGACTCGCCCGGAGAATGGCGGAAGAAGGGGATGCCGGCGGTGGTGCGGATCTTCCGCAGTGCACTTTCCAATGATACGCCATTGTTTTGCTCTAGCTCTCCCATGAATTGTATTGTACCGTCTTGACTATCGATGTATACTACTATAGCACATTCAGAAATCAAAGGGCGTAGCGGCCATCCCTTTGGTTAAGGATAATGCTTGCATGAGGTCGCGCCATAGTGCTAGTCGGGAAGACGGCACGACGCACGCGGACGGCGCCGGTCGAAATAAGCCAGCTTGCAGTGGACCACCACGCTGATCTCATTCGCTTGGAGTGGTATCTGCCACGGTACGGACACCTCCGCTGTATAGTCCTGCTCAGATATACTTTTGGGCCAGGGGTGGGGTCGATAGGATAGCTGGTCTATGTTCAATGCCGGAATAGAGAAGTTTGCGAGTCGCGCTCTTCCGTTCCAAGCGGTGCTACAAGCTTTGGCCAGATCCATGACGTTGTCTTGGGCTTGAGTTTCTCCTTTCCCTCTTTGCTGCTGCCGGTGCTTGTATGCTTTGACTATTGCCGGCCCAAGCTCTCTACAGCAGTATCCGGCGCATTTTGCGAATACCTATTGTAAGTGCGGTGCATTCATATCGTAAAGCCGCTTTTGACACTAAACCTTCTGCCAACTGGCACGACTTCCCTGCTTCTCTCGCCTTCCGACCAGCAACGCAATTCTGAAGACGCATATACCTGTGTCTGTCTGATCGAGGGAAGACTGCGTTGCATAAAATTGAGCTCCTTGTAGGGGGAAACCCTTGACCTTTGACTCTGCGCCCGTCACGAACCACACGTAACGTGAGCGTCCCAGTCCGAACCAGCCGACGCTCTTTTGGCCTCTTACCATCACCTCGCCTTCGAAGTCGGTTAAGTTATAGTTGCATGAGCTCGACGAAGCGGCCACGACGACACAGCCCGGGATCCAACGAGGAACCCAGTGCAGGTTTGCATCACGAGTTCCTGTCAGCGAAGCCGCTCGCGCTCACTCTGCTCACACACCGAACAAGACCGCTACGCTCAACGTCTACCACGCTCACCACGACCCTCGCGCAACGATCACAACATGGGACGAGATGACTCAAGCTCACGCGGCCGCCTCGACGTCGACGACCGCTGGCGGATGAACAACTCGACTGACCGTTATTCATACGACCGCAGGGACGACCAGCGAAGGGGTGGAGACTCGCATGACGCACGGGATGGGGAGGGGTGGACAGGGCACGGCTACAACGACGTACGGTATTCTCCTTCTGCTGCTCGGCGGCTTGGAAGGCCACTGCACGTATTCAGCATCTTACTCCGCAGGATGCTCTGGGGTGGACACCAGCACGCCGTCGAGATGACCGTTCAGGCGGCTACGGTCGCTCATCGCAAGACGACAGTCATTCAACTCGTCATTCTCGCTACAATGACGATCGGAGAGATGATCGGAGAGAGGAGAACCCCAGAGAGTACCAGAGGGACAGCGGTTGGGAGTCTGTGCGGCCGTCCACGGGGACGCAGGGTCGGGGTGATGAGCCTTCGCGGGGCTTCTCTAGCCATGGTGAGTCCTCCAATCGGGAGGATCGTTCTTGGGAGCCGTCTGCGTCGTGGCATCCTGCCCGCCATGAAGGAGTGTCTGGCTCCGCGTCCAGTCAGCGGAGCCACAACGCAGGGAGCAAAACGAAGTCAAAAAATAAGGGCAATAAGAAGGGAAGCAGCAATCACAAGCAGCCGCCGCCTCAGCCGCATAAGCGCAGTTGGCGCGACGATGATAGCCAACTGAATAAGTGCGTTGTTTTATGCTTGGCTTCATTGGGGTCCTCATCGTCTATTGCTTACAGCTGGACTCGCCGGGAGCCTAGTTCCTCCAAGAAGACCGTGCCTCCACCTTCGACAGGGAAACGCCGGAGTCGTCGCTCAGTATCTCCTGGTCGTTCTCGCTCTCCCGCGGACTCGTATTATTCCCGTCGCTCCTACCGCAGTCGCTCACGTTCTCTCGACACTCCTAAGCGTCGGCGCCGGGATGACAGTCCACCTCGTGGTGGTCGCAGTCCCGGCTACTATAATAGGCAACGTGGTCGAGATGTACGCCTTGACCGGCGGTACTCTCGGTCCCCTCCATCATCACCACGAAGCACCAGTAGCCGTGGTCGTGGTAGGCGACGACACGGGTCGACCTCTAGCTACAGTCGTAGCAGGAGTCGCAGCCCCAGTCGGAGTCCTCGCGATCGTCCGAAGGCTGTCCATCGACTTCCCCAGGCGACATCTATTAAGGATATTCCTCTACCTAAGTTTGGTAATGGGAAGAAGAAAGGGAAGGGAAACAAGAACGCCAACACTAATGGGAAACTTTCCGACGTATGTCTTGCATCGTTAGACTTATTTTCCATGTTGCTTACCCGCAGCATAGCTTTTCCCTTCCTCTTCCCTTCCTGAGCGCCCCAATGCTTCCATGCCCCCGCCGAGGGCACGAACACCTCAGCGCAAGTCTTCGCCGCCGCCTACTCATCGCTCACCGGAAATACGGAAGTCAATCAGCGCGTCTGCCTCGAACTCTGGCAAGAAGGGTTTCAAACCCATCATCACCGCCAACAACTCACTCAAGCGATTCTTCCCGGGCGACGACGACGACGACGACGACGAAAGCCCTCCGGAAACATCGAAAAACTTTGCTCCTTCTACCTCCCGAACCGACTCTCCAGAGCTGCAGACAACTCGTCTCAACGACGATACTCCTGATTCAAGAGGTCGACCTCCATCACGACGGTCCTCTGTCGAAATGGAGGAAAGTCCTCGACAGACTCCACCTCGTCGCGAGACTCGGGGGCGCGACCCCCGTTACATGCCGAATCATCCAGTACCGAAACCACGGTCACAGGTACCCGAAGAACCCAAGGAGAAGCTGTATGTGGTTCTTGGTCATGTGGGTACGGGAACGTTCGGTAAGGTTTACAAAGCGAGCCACACTGCTACTGGGAGAATGGTCGCTCTCAAGCAGATCAAGATGGAGGGCGAGAAGGAAGGCTTCCCCGTCACGGCTATGCGGGAAGTCAAACTCTTGCAGTCGTTGCGACACGAGAACGTGGTGCGGTTGTACGAGATGATGGTGTCACACGGTGAGATCTTGCCCCAGCTGTTATAATATGCCCACGATGTTGACCACTTGCTCAGGCACGGTATACATGGTCATTGAGTACATGGACCATGACCTCAGTGGCATACTGCAGCAAACGCAATTTGTCTTCACTGACGCGCATCTGAAGTCGTTCTGCCGGCAGATGCTAGCCGGCCTGGCATACCTTCACCACAAAGGCGTCATCCATCGCGACATCAAGGGCTCGAATATCCTCGTTAACAGTCGTGGTGAGCTTAAGCTCGCCGACTTCGGTCTCGCGCGAGTATACCAGAAGCGCCGAAAGAGCGACTATACGAATCGTGTGATCACTCAGTGGTATAGGCCCCCCGAGTTATTGCTTGGTGCAACGGTGTATGGCCCGGAGGTCGATATGTGGAGTGCAGGGTGAGTCATTCTCGAAATTCCTCAGTGTTGTTCTGCTCTTACCCCAAGACAGGTGCATCATGCTTGAGCTATTCACGAAGAAGCCTGTGTTCCAAGGGGCGGATGAACTGCAACAGATCTACGTCATCTATAAAATCATGGGTACGCCGACAGCAGATACATGGCCTGGCGTCACGAGTCTTCCTTGGTACGAAATCTTCAAGCCCGGCGAGCCCATCCCCAATCGCTTCAGAGAACTGTTTAAGAAGTGAGTCCATATTTCCGGTATTGATGGTGAACTGTTTTGAACATTCTCCCCCAGGTGGCTGTCACCTGCTGGTCTTGACCTTGCGGAGCAACTACTGTCGTATAATCCCGAGCGTCGCATCACGGCCGTGCAGGCCCTCGAGGCGCCATACTTCAACCAGGAGCAACCACCTGCTGCGACGCCAGTGGGGTACGTCGCATCATCTCTTCTATCAATCTATTTGCTCATATTTTCACTTGTAGTTTGTCAAACCTCAAGGGAGAGTGGCATGAGATGGAAAGCAAACGTGAGCGCGACAAGAAGCGCAGGGCCGATGGTATGGAATAGAAGGGCATGTCACATCGCTCACACTCGTTAGTCGTGGATATTCGACTTTTGACAAGCTCTCCTGCATGGACCCCGTCTACACTCAATTGCTATCAAGTACATATAATACATTGCAATGCATATTCACGCTTGTACAGTCCCGAACGATACTAGCCCCGTTTCAGTGAGGTGTTGCACGATGGCCTCGACCTGCGAAGAGCGCCGCTCAGCGAAATTACAAGGGCAGTGAGCAGGACACCACTTACGTTGGCTCCCGTGAGACGAATCTGCATGTCCCATCGCTTTGTGAAGGATGCACCAGTATCCTCCTCAACCTGCTCAACGTCACCAAGACCTCCAGCCTTACCCTGTGCGCCATCATCCTCGCCACCGACGTCAAAGGAGATCAGCTTCTCGACCTGATCAATCGTGCCCTTAAGACGACCCTGCTCGATCATCTTCCGCGCCATCGTTTCCGCAGCACCAGGCGTAAGATCCAAGAGCGTACCAAGCCCTCGGAAGGTGATGTTATTGTACACCTTTGAGCTCGCAAGGAGGTTGTGTTCCATCACCGCCCGGTCCAACACGGTCGACGGGCCCTTCCGAGTGCTGATGATCGGGTCATTCGCCTCATCGTCATCGGCCGCCACGATGGACGCGAGGCGGTCATTGGATGAGATCTCGATCTGGGCGAGCTGGTGTGGCTTGAGCGTGCCCTCGAAATCCTTGATCTCGTTCGAGCGCAGGATGCGATCGCGGAACATTTTCTCCATGATACGGAACGAGGGCAGCTCCTGTGTGCGCTCGTCACGGCAGAGCGATGCGAGAACGCGAGAACGATTGGGACCTGCAGGTGCGAGGATTGCGCATGTCATCGCGGCCGAACTGTGCACGACAGAATGGTCAGAAACGACCCAGGGAAACGAAGGGGCGTTTAGCGTGCACATACAGCATGTGTTTGCGCTCCTCTTCGTCGATCTCGGGGATCCAACTCAATTCGTGGTATCGACTCGCCGCCTCGAGGAACTTGCGGCTGTAGTCGCTGATACGGGCTTGACAGAGCTTGAACGATAGAAGGGTCTCCTTGTCCGTCGAGGTGTGGGCAATCAATGCAGCGCGGTTGTAGAACCGCTCTGCTTGTACCGAGTCTTCGTCCTCTAGTAGTAGACGGACAATGCGCACGTACACGCGTAACTTCTCCGCGTCTGGGAGTGCTCTATACGCAACATGTCTCAGCTAACGTCTCAGCTAACGTCCACGGGGAATGAGTCTCGCCATACCTCTGACCGGAATCAAGGGAAATACCCATCAGCACACGTGCAGCCTCACTCCATTCCTCATCCTCCTCGTAGATATCCGCGAGTTGGAACCTCAGGGTGTTGACCTGACGGTATGTGCATAGGCGCCACAGCGTCCTTGGAATACGATTGCGTACTCACCTGCTCCTCATAGGTCACGATGCGCGGCTGGATGAGCTCGAGCACGTCCTTCACTATTGTCTTTCTCAACTGAGTTTCCTTGATCTTCCCTTCCGAGAGGGCTTTGACGAGCTCCGTAAGGACCAATCTGCCGATCACAAGGCCGACGCTTTCTTGCAGGACATTCTCGACAAGTAGATGGACATCCCTATCCAAGCCTGTTTGATCTTGCCGGGTGAGGAGTTCAGTAAGAAGGGCTTGGTAGCCAGCGGCCTTGTCTTTTTGATTGAGGGGAGCTAGCTGCGCGAGCCTGCTCTCCATTGTGGCGGACGATGAGGGCGAGTGGCTGAGACTCGCGATGTGGCTGAGAGGCGAGACGTATGTGGCACGTGCTCGACCCTCATTCCGGATTCGTACCTTGCCCAGATATGGACAAGACTACCCTGGAGTGCGGGACTTGGAAGCGGTACCGGCGGAGCGCCCGGGATACCATGGCCACCGGTTATTTCGGTAAGTAGTACAGTACTTGGCTGCGACGTCGCCCGCCCGACTTTCTTCGTCCATCCTACGCTCGTCCCAGGCAGGTCCGGGGGTTTAGCAGAAAGCAGGCTCAATTCATCTGTTATATCCTCCACGGCCGCCAGGATTGCCACGGTCGCCCTGGAGATCTGTACCGGCTACTGATTGCTGTGATCCAATCACTGTCTGACATACACTCCCTTATACATATCCCTCACAGCCCGGACTTGCACCTTCTGCGCTTTCTCCTTCTTGACCTCTTCCTTCGTTTTCCCGGCTGCCTAAGCTGCCGCGGCTTGCCTGCCGCCTATCTCACCTTTCCAGCTGCAAGACAGCGGTTTCCCGACCTCCTCCGTTCTCTCGTCCAACTCTACTCTCGTACAGTCTGCGCTAATGTCCCATCTCACCGCGCCCATGCCTCACCAGGGGCCGCAAGCTCCCAAGCCATATTTATACGACCTCCCGCGCCCAGCTCATCCTCTCACCCCGCCGGACACAGACTACGAGACGCCTTCGAACCAGGTTCCCCCTGCGCCGAACATGACTGGACTGGAGATGGACCCCTTGCCTCATATGCCATCAGGGCTCGACTCCCCCTACGCATCGCCCTACGGATCCCTCCACAGGAAGAAGCCTTCAGTGACTTACGTCCATTCGGGCCTCCGTGAGGCAAGAGAGCGAGTCGTGCAAAGGGGTCTCAGGTGGTTGGTCGTCGTGGTGCCTCCTGCCTCGTTCGCTAGGGAACACGGACACCTGGGACACACACTTTCATCCGGCCCCTCCCGTCGCCTGTCAAATGGGTTGCTCATGCCCTTGTATCCCAGTGTACGTCTCTTTTTGGCATGTTCCTCAGTGACTTACTAACACGGCGTGAAGTTATCAAGTCAGCTTGGCGCTATCGCGCGTGAATTCAGCTTTCCCAGCATCTCAGGATTGTGTGTTTACCTGCACACGAGTCATGGCGGTATCTCCCTGACACCACGCGTATCGGACGACTCTTGGCCCATGCTCTGGAGCCATTTGTTCGACGCCCGGTCCCCGTCGCTGCCAATCCAGCAGCTGCCCATCAGCGGCCAAATAGAGTTCGACATTGACCTGACAAAAGCGCGCTGGTATGACTCTTGGATAGCCTCGTCTCGTCGCGACTTCGTCGATGTCCCGCAGTCCGTAACGCCATCACGCGCGCAGTCCATCTCCCATTGGCGACACGACAGCCAGACCTCCAACAATGAGCCCCTCGACGACCAGACGGACGCAGTTTCCGTGGCTCAGCAAACGACAGCGAAGGGTCGTAACATCAAGAAGCTGTCTCTCTTGGACCGCTTTGACACGATGTCTGTCAGGTCCGGCTCAAAGTTGGTGCCTAGGGATGAGTCTCCGCCGAGCCAGTCTGGGAGGCAGCTCACAGCCCAAGCGCTCTCCCCCATCGTCCAAGAGGATGAGCCCCTGACGGCTAAGAAGGCAATTGACAGCCGAGTGCAGTCCTGGCGTATGAGCGCGACTGCGGCAGCCCGGAGTCCCCTGGCTTTCACCGGACAAACGAGCCTGGACCCTGTGAATATGCCCAACACCATGACGGATCTTCCCACCGCAAGCGCATCGGAGTTCGAGCTCAACCTGGATGACTATACGTGGTCTGTCTCCTCCGTAGGACCTCCGGATTATGATGTGGAGTCTCTGGATTCCTGGGAGCGCACTCACTCGGTCCACCTCGATCGCAGGGGCGAGGGTTCGGTGTGTCTCACGCCTTCTATCTGCACATCCTTCGGGCCCGACGACGACTTTGTGCCGTTTTCACCGGTGTCCTACATATCCCGTCTTCCGTCCCCGGACCTCGCATGGCGTATGCTTGAGGATGTTCCCCCGACTCCGACCACTGCAACCAGTTGGGGTGCACCGCTTGAGTGGCCTCCTTCACCCGTTGCTTCATCCTATACTCCTTCGATAGACATCGCTCACAGATTCCTGTCCAGTGCGCCTGTGACCCCTACAACTGCTACGTCGTGGGGCGCCCCCTCGTCCTATCCTCCTTCTCCGGCCATGATTTCCCGCGTGCCCTCTCCCGACCTCGGCCACCGTGTTGCTACCAGTGTCCCGAGTTCTCCTAGGACCAGGAGCGCAGCTGACCCTCACTATGCATTGAGCGTGCCTTACTTGGATGCAAGTGTCTACCGCTTCGCCGTCCCCTACTTTGATGCGTCGCGTGAGCAGGTTGCAGGGCATAGACAGGCAGAACGCATGACCCGCTTCGTCTTCCCGCCCCCGAAGAAGGCGCGGCGTGTTGTCGAGGACGAGAAGCCTACTGCCTCGCCTGGCTACCCCACTCTAGACATCTACCCGTCGGTCTACCCCACGTTCGACATTTATCCGGCTCTTCTGACTCTGGATCATCGCAAGCTCGGCACTCCTGCCGTCAGCCCCGGCGCGGCTTACCCCGCATTCGATCTTTGTGAGTGGTTACTTTTCTGTATTCCAACGTCTAGTGCTGATCGGGTCTCGTTCACCCCAGACCCGGCTGTATATCCGTCGTTCAATATCTATCCGGCTGTTGTCAGCTTGGTGACTTCAGAAGTCAAGGAGCTCCCCGCTCGTCTCTCGGCATCGTACCCAAACATCGTGATCTGTAAGTAGTGACTCTTGAATCGCCCGGTGTGACTCTGATCCGTGCTCCATAGATCCTGCTGTTTATCCACACTTGACTATCTACCCTATGGTATCTCAGAACACTGTTGTCAGTAATGCTGTAGACAAGCGCTCGGCTTCCGTTGTCCCTGTCCTCCTGCCTCTGTCATCTGGTTATCCGGATTTCAATATCTGTACGTTCAATGTTTCGCATGTCTTCTATGTCGGAAGTTCTTACAGTCTCTACAGATCCCTCTGTTGGCTATCCTTGGTCCGTGTACGAGATTTACCCGAAGGTCGATGCTCCTCCCACTGCTGCAGTTGCTTCGCTCCCTGGCATACCTATCCGCCTTCAAGCGACGTATCCTGCTCTCGAGATCTGTGAGTGCTCACACTTTACAGCAAATCTTCTCTGCTTACGTGATGTTCATCATAGATTCTCCTGTGTATCCCTACAGCCTCGAGAGGATCTACCCTTCGGTTGTTGCAAAGGACGTCCCCTTGGTGCGGTCTTTTGATGTATCAGTTGGCGTGGCATTGCAGTACCCGGTCTTTACTATCTGTAAGTGTCATGTTTACTTGAGCGAGCATTGCAAACTCATCATTTGTCAGATCCTGCGGTGCTCGTCCGCAATGTCCCTAAGACGACGCTCGACGCCACTAGCACATTTGGGGAGAAGGTATATCCCGCGTTTAACATTTGTGAGGAGCTCTGCTTGCGTGTTACTAGTGTTAGTCAGACTGAACCTGTGGAACAGATCCGGCTGTCTACCCCTGGAGTGTGTACGAGATCTACCCCGCCGTCCACAGGAGCAACGATTTCAAGGAGAACACCGGCGTCTTGAAATTGGCTGCCCAGTACCCCGCCTTTGACATATATCCGTCTGTATATCCGTACAGCCTGGAGGTTATCTACCCAACAGTTGCCTTGGAACGCATCGTTTCCGGTCGGTCGGGCATTCCGGTGGAGCTCGCAGCGGTGTACCCGAACGTTTGCCCTTACCCCCCGGTCTACCCGCATTTCGCTATCTACCCTGTGACTTCCTCGGCGGAGGGGTCAGTTATCGAAGTCTCGCTGCGCGACACGCAACTTATGAACTCGCAATACCCCTACCTCGTCATTTACCCGGCGGTATACCCCTTCATGGAGATCTACCCGGGGTCTTGGGGTCCGCCTGCTCGAGCTTCTGCGTTGCTCCCGTCGCAGAACCAGGCTGTGCGGAGGAGGAAGCCGACTTACACCCACATGGAGCTTCGTGCGCAAGTTGCTGCTCAACTTGCATCCACGTCCGTGCCTCAACCGAGGAAGCCCAGATACACTCACATGGAGCTCCGCGCTCAAGTCCTTGCTGCCGCGGCACGGTCCTTTCCTCGTACACCGGCAATTCTCCCCGCACGGACAGTTCCTGCCCCGGTCCCGGCATTCCCACCTACGCGGGTACTCCCCCCTGCACCGGGTCCTCCCTCTGCCCGGGCCATATCGCCTAGGGTCGTCTCTCCCGTGCCTTCTACGTCGATGTCGGTATCACCCTCTGGTCCTAGAGTTGTATCGCCTGCCGAAAGGTTCATCTCACCATCGCCAGCTGCGTACCCAACCCCCACCGCGACTCCTGCACCTGCAGCCCTATCGAGCCCAGAATCTGTACCTTCTCGTCCACGGCCCCCTCAGATGGAACTTCGTGAAGACAACCACGCCCAAGAGCACATTGATATCCCTGCGATAGTCGCTGTTGAACCAAGTCCTGTCGCCTCTGACATAGACCCCGGCTCTCCAGTATTGTTCGAGATGGTGACAGTTCCGACGTCTGCCCCAGTGAAAGCCCCAACGCCGTCGCCATCTGAGCCGGCAGCTCCTGCAGCTCCCATCCTTGTTCGTTCTCGCTCGCGCTCGGGTACCGTGAGCGCACGACCAGCTCCACCGTCCGGAGCACCCCGACCCCTGGGTGCTCGTCCTGTTTCCGTGGTCCAGCCGCCCTCGTCTGAGCTGCCCTCTGTCCCTTCCGCTCAGCGTTCTCTTAACCGTCTCTCCGGCCTCCCGGCCCATCCCGCGGTCAATCGACGCGTTTCATCCTCAGTCGGTCCCAGGCCAATGTCTACGTTAGGTCCGCTTCCCCCTCCGCCTCAGGCACCGCCAGCGGGCCCCATCCCTCCGCCGCCGTTGGCTCGTCGGCAGAGCATGATGAGCCCTCTGCGCGAGGAACCGTCCCTCGTCAAGACGCGTTCACCTCAGCTTCCTTCACCACCTGAGGAGTGGCAGATGGGCTTCCGAACACCCACGGAGACCATTTCGCCAGTCTCGTCCTTAGCGAGTGGAAATAGTGATTTGAGCAGGTCAAAGACAATGCCCACTCGCGCGGCGCCACGTGGTCCTAGGAGCAGCACGCTGATTTCGGAGCGAGCGAAGGCGTTTGATAACCCCAATGGTCAGTATCTTGTCCTTTTGTCCTCAGTCACAAGCACAAAACCTGACTTACTTATCTAAGTTGTACCGAGTCCAAACGGGGCGCTCAAGTTAAGCATGGCGACGTTGGCCGAGTTCCCGGCTCCTCCTCCACCGCCTCTCCCCTCTTCTGCCAGCCCTAGCCGGACGCCGACGTCGGTCTCAAAGTTGGATAGGTCAAAATATCCGTTTGCGTGAACTTGATGTTCGTGACACATACTGTCCGGTGCTTTTAGACGTTAGCGCACCTGTGTACTTATGAGTAGTTTATTATATTATGTCTTTTCGTATGCGTACATACATCTACAATCGGAAAGCGGAGGGTGTTATGCTAACGAGACGAGCGAGGTTGCTACGGGGATATGAGCGCCTGTGGGACGACGGGAAAGTGGCGTGGGTAACAAGAGTACACGGACACGTGTGTGCAAGCGCGTCGCGACGCGTCGAGACTTCCTCGGCCTTTCTCATCTCATCTACCACTCCGTTGATACCTCGAACCCATGCCTGCCTTCGTAGACCCCGTCGCCCCTAGCTCGAACAAGCGCAAGCACGACCAGCACGACTCAAACTATGCGAACCGCAAGCGACTAGCGGTGGCCGATGATTCTGGCGTTTCGACTATGGAGGGGGATCAATACTGGATGGTACAGTGGTAAGTTATGACACTGTCTAGACAAACCCGAACCTTAGTAGTGAATTACTGCTTTGAAGGCGCAATCCACAATACAAGAAGCACAAGACATGGGACGGAGACGCAGTGCTTGTGGTTAGCGGTCATAAATGCACGCTATACGACTCTGATAACAGGCAGTGAGTCTTCGCCTTGACCTTGATCTTCATAGTTCCAACGATTTGTTGCGTGTACATCAGACTGGCGAGCGGGAAGCCATATGGCATTGAAGGGACACACAAGCTTGCAGAAGGCGTGGAGTTCACGCTGGGAAGCAAGGAGATCGAGATCGACCACCAATTAAACAGACAAGACTTCCTGTCGGGACGGTGCTTTGGTAGAGGAGGCATATCCGATACCTCCGTGTCAACATCTCGCCCCAGTGCGGTGAAGCAGTTTGTCCCGCTCAAACCGAAGACCTTGAACGGTGTAAAGAACCCCGCATATATCGTGCCTTCGGTGACCGAGAAGGAGAAACGGAGCAGTGTCGACTTGGAACCAGTCGGCCTCGTGACTTCCTCGAAATCTGGGCAGAGTACGCCTGCTCGAGAGTCATACTGGACTGCGAATTGGTAAGAGACATCTACATGCAAGTCGCCCAAATGCGGACTGAGCTTTTATAGGCGCAAACCGCAGCAGAAGAAGCACAAGACTTGGGATGGTGATGGTTTCGTCATGCATGAGGGGGAGAAGCTGACGTTGCTCTCCGACTCTGGTTTGGTGTAAGTGGCACTAACGTCGCTGGAACACGAAACTCATCAACGCGATCATAGCATGGGAAGGAGGAAGTGGGATGGCCTCCCGTTGTACAGCAGCTACCGGACTTTCATTGGCAACCGGGAAGTTGAGCTGGACAACGAGATAGCTCGCTCAGAGCTCCCCGCCGTCGTTGGCACCAGCATAGAACCACTCGTTGACCCGGAGATCAGAAGCCCCCCTGCCTCGCAAGCTCGACCATCTTTCTTAGTCGATGTGATCAGATCTCCTCAACAGGGCTCGAGTTCTGGTCCATCCGTCAACTCACCTGCGTCGGCCAAGAAGTTCATCCCTCCTTCATCCTTCTACGGCACTGGCTCTAAGCCAAAGCCGAAGGGACCGCTGTATGCGTTCGCATACTCCACCGTTTGTTCTCTCTGACTAGAGGGTCCGTAGACACGATCCGGATGCACCTGGTGCCGTAGTGATGAAAGCACCAAGTAAAGAGCACCAAGCGAAGTTCAACAAGAAGTCAGTACAATTCACTCTTTCGGATCTGCGCATCTCGTTCACTTATTGCTTGCGTTTGCAGGAAGTTGCATGTGCTACCTGTTGTGATTGATCCTATCCTCGCCCGGCACCTCCGACCACATCAGAAGGAAGGCAAGCTGATTATCTTCCTAAAGTGTTCGATAATGCTCTCAACTATACGCCTAGGTGTGCAATTCCTTTATGAGTGTGTCATGGGTCTACGCAAGCACGAGGGGCAAGGATGTATCCTCGCCGATGAGATGTGCGTTGACAGAGCTTCTTCTCGTATTCACTAAAGCTCACAATCTAATAGGGGTATGGGCAAGACTTTGCAGGTGAGCAAAACTCACATGTCGTCACTTCTTCTAAGGAGTCCTCACAATGCGCTATCAAGACAATCACGCTTGTCTGGACGCTGCTGAGTGCGCTTCGGAAAGCTCCCGAGCCGGTACGCCTGATTCTGAAATCCCGCTATAGAGCAGAATCCCTATGCCGGCGCTGGCTCTGTGGTGGGCAAAGTCCTCATCGTCTGCCCCGTGTCCTTGATCAACGTAAGCGAACCTGATCCTCGGCTTCAGGATGGCACTGACATTACGCCGTAGAACTGGAAGACTGAGTTTCATAAGTGGTATGCCATCGGCGCATCTAGTACTATGGCACAACTCGCGCTGATGGGGTTTTTGCAGGCTCGGCAGGGATCGTATCGGAATATTCACAGGCGACAAGGATAAGAACACCATCAAACAATTCCTTAACTCGTGCGTATGCAGATTTGGCTCCGTGTTGCTTGTCTGCTCAAACAGTCTTAGCAAAACACACCAGGTCCTGATCATAGGATACGAGCGACTACGCACAGTAATGTGCGTGCTGTAAAACCTCTACACTTTGCTGCTCCAGAGCTCACCCATGCCCAGTTCCGACCTAGCATACTGCCAGTAAGGAGCATGATCATGTACCAGGCGTAACAAGTCCTCACAAGCTCTTACTTACTTTCCAGGCCACCAATTGGTCTTATAATCTGCGATGAAGGTACGTTGTGCGGATTCAGTACAAATCATAGCTAACCTGGACTGAAAGGGCACCGGCTCAAATCGGCCAATAACAAAACTTCTACCATGTTTGATGCTCTGCGAACGCCGCGAAGAGTGATTCTCTCGGGTACCCCGATTCAGAATGAGCTTAGCGAGTTCCACGCGATGGTCAGACCTCTAGCCGTCGCTTGCACCAGGTACCCTCCACTGACATTGTCGTAGGCGGATTTCTGTAATCCGGGTCTTCTTGGTAAGCCTTAAGCTTACATTTTTTGTGCTGTATTATCTAAAGGCCTTCGTTCGCTACTGCTAGATGACTATAGCACGTTCAAGCGAGTTTACGAAACTCCTATCTTGAAAAGCCGTGCGCCAGGTTGCAGTGCGAAGGAAGCTGAACTGGGTGAAGCACGTTCTGCGCAGGTACGTCGGGAGCGAGAGCTGTATAGTTTCGTCGTCTCACATCTCGGTATTTGAAGCTATCGACTATCGCAAGAAGCTTCGTCCTGCGGAGAGACGCGACTATTTTGAAGAAGTACCTGCCTCCGAAACGTATGTTACTCTCTGACGCTTTGTCCAATTATTGCCAACATGCGACACGTCCTCTCCATAGACGAATACGTCGTATTTGTTACACCGACAAAGTTGCAGTTGTCTATCTTCGAGAAGATCTTGTCCCATGACAAGCTCGACAGCCTCGTCAGAAACTCCACCGCGGAGTCGCTCGCCCTCATCAACATACTCACAAAAATCAGTAACAGTCCCATCCTGCTGAAGGCGACTGCAGATCAAGCGAAGCTCAAGGGGCAGGAAGGAGCCGACGTGAAGCGCAATGCCATCGAAGAGGCGCTTCAGTTGTTACCTGAAAGGGCTCAAATAGAGGACGTGTCTCTAAGCGGTGAGTTTCCCTAGTGCTGTGCTCCTGCATGTCGCCTGATGTAGCGATCTCAGGGAAACTGTCCGCCCTTGCTACTTTGCTTCGTGCACTTCGCAAGGTTTGTCACGTATCCCTTCCATGAGGATGCATCGTTTATGGTGGTCCGCTCGCAGCACACGGAAGAGAAATGTATCATAGTATCACACTACACGTCCACGCTCAACATTATAGAGGCTTATTGCAAGACAAAGTCATATACATACCATAGACTGGATGGGTAAATTGCCTAGTTGCACCCTCTTTCGCCCATGCTGAAGGATCGCCGGCAGCAATACCCCGGCACCTAAGCGTCAAGAATATGTCAACGACTTCAATAGGTCTTCGCAGGCGAAGCGATGTAAGAGGCGCGCCTTTTCTCTGTCGAATCGTGCTGATTTGAGGCTACAGTCATCTTCCTGTTGAGTTCTAAGGCGGGCGGTGTTGGGTTGAATCTCATCGGCGCTTCACGACTCTGTCTGATTGACTCGGACTGGAACCCAAGGTAGGTAACTCTGGCATCCACAATCATTGCACGTCTAACAATTTGGGCACAGTCATGACTTACAGTCGATGGCTCGTATTCATCGGTGCGCCGTATTTCGATCGCCGTATGCTTTCGCTCGCTGATGTTCCCTTCCAGCGATGGGCAGAAACGACCCGTGTACATTTACCGATTCCTCACCACCGGTGCTATCGATGGTACGTGTATTGCGCTCATCAATCCTGGACGGGCTTGCGAATCGTGCTATAGAGAAGATCTATCAGCGTCAAGTGACCAAGCTAGGTCTAAGCGATTGTGAGTCCTTGTAAATGTTTCCGCATCACTCCAATTGACACAAGTGGTCCGCAGCGTTAATGGGAACTGTATGTGTCTCCTCTTATGTCCCTTGATGACTGTTCTGAAGTTGCACACAGGGCTCTTCGGAGTCAAAGTCGGATTCATTCACTCGCAAGGATGTAAGCAGTCTGTGGTGTCATACTTCTTCAGTCCACTCATCCACCCCATAGCTATTGGACATTTTCACTATACATCCGCACACGGCATGCAATACACATGATCTACTGGATTGCCCTTGCGAAGCATCCGATCACATTACAGAGCGAGCTCAGGGAGTCAACATAGATGATCTGATGGAAGATGCCATGAATTCTTCTGGTGACGAGGATGAAGATCCGATCAAGGGCTTCATGGCTGCATCCCAGGTCAAGCAAGCAGATATTGATAAGGTGGACCGAGCGGTATGTAATCTGCGGTGTTTTCACCAACCTCAGAGGCTCACATGTCTTTTCCAGTATATGAAACAGAAGCGTACTCAACTTGCAGCTCTCGGCGAGTGGACGCATATCAATTGTCTCCAGCCAGGTGCCGCGGACCGCGTGGAAGATGACTTGCTCACGCATCTCATATACTCCCCCGAAACTGCCAAAGATCGTGACACCACAGGACCCGCTCAGTCGTTGAAGGATCGCCTGTTCGAAGCGGCAGACAAGATCATGGCGTCTGATGATCATCTGTCGCGAGCTATGCTACCTGGCGGCGCGGTGTCCTTCTTATTTGAGCGCAGCACGAAGACGAGCTTCGGTGATGACAAGGAGACAGATGGAGACAGTTAGATATGCCCACATGATGCCCAACCTGTGCAAAGATCCACGCGACTGCTGTATCATATAATATGCCCATTCCATATGCTTGAACGTGCTAGAATACCGACTAGTCCGAGGAGCCGCTTGAATCATGAAGCGTCACAATGTTCGCCTTCTTAAGCCCCCTCTTGCGAGCAGGAATGCCCTTCTCGTAAGCTCCTGTCTCACGCTCTCGCTGCACGCGGGTGGCGACGGACTTGCGATCGTCAAGAATCTGGTTGTACAACTACAATCCAACAAACCAATCAGCGACGTTGCAGCTCTCACTTCAGAATCATCATACCTTCTCAACAAGCTCTTCTTCCTCTTGTTGTTCCCTCTCTTTGCGCTTCTCCTCTTCCTCGTACTTCTTCATCTCGCGTTCAAGGATCTCCTCTATCATTGAAGCGCCCACACGCAAGCCATTGTGCGTCCTTGCAGAGTACACATAATAGCTTTCGAAGTTCTCCGCCTATATCAGGAGGATGTCAAGACTTTATGAAAACGGTGTGAAGAGGTGAACGGCTTACTTTCTCCCGAAAGCCTAACTGGGTGAACACCAAATCAACCTCACATCTATTGAGAGAATCGAGCGGCGAGCACTCACGTCCACTACGAGTTCAAGGACTCCTTTAGGCTCCACGATCAGACTTTTGATCTTGTTATTATTGAGTTTGAACTTGCGAAATCTTAGCTCTTCGGGCTTTCTCAAAATGTTACGGGAGATCTGGAGCACAGTCTGCCCGAAGAAAAATAGGTCAACTTCTAGCGCACATATGTCATTGGTGCAGAACAAACCTTGAGGGACTCGAACGCCTGCGGAGGTTTATTCGCTGTGATGATATAGTCTACTCTCTTCCGGAAGTCCTGTCTACTACGATGCTCCTCGTCATGAGGCATATAGAGGACCTGCGAGGGTGTCTTGTCCCTCAGCGCCTTGTTGCGCTTCTCCGCCGCTTCTAGTAACGCCTTTCTATCCACAGTAGCCATGGTCAACGGGAACGCTTAAAGCAGAGTAGAGGATCGAGGAAAGGATCAGCTATAGAACACGGGTACCAGCCTTCTTATAAGTCGGGGGGTGGGGCACCTTCTTGAGCTTCTGGGAAGCCTCGTGGTTGGTGCTGCGGTAACGTTCAGACTTTACGCCCTTACAGTAGAGACACAACACAGCATTGTACATAGCATTCCTAGAAAACACGTGTAGAGCTACAGATTCAAAGGCAGTCCTGAGATTCGTGACGTTTGAACACATCGCTTACTCCTCGTCCCCTTCGTCATCATCTGTCCGGGCTCCGTCTTCCTCTGGTTGGACGACGTCGCCAGACAAGGTGTTGCCGGACCCTGGCATCCGTCTCTTCGGACGGTTGTCCTCGACTTCGGGTTCTGGAGATAGACCCGCAGCACGTCTTGCCGCAGCTGCCGCGCGTGCTGTTCTTTCTCGTTCATCTGTGATCGCCCTGCCCTTCCTGTCATCGTAAAATGCCTGCTTGACCTGTAGGACGAGCGGTGAGCTTTGGCGGGGTATCGACTGGTGCCACCTAGACTACCTTCGCTTTAGCAGCCTCTTCTGCCGCTTTCTCTTCGGCTCTCCTGCGCGCTGCCCGTTCTTCCTTGGGGAGCTCACGGTCGAGGGCCTCTTTGATCATGGCTGCACCGATCTTGAGGTCGTTCATTCGTCGCTTGTTCCAAATGTAGAACGGCTGAAAGTTTTCGACCTATCGAATAGTCGATGAGTTCGGTGGTGCACGTACCCTGGATGCCTGATAATCCTACACACCTGTGGCGCGAAACCAATCTAATATGATTACACGGACTACTGTCAGGAAGTGTCAGACGGCGTAGATAAGATACTACTCACCGCGACCGCATACTCCAAGGTACCCTTCGGCTCGACGAGCAGACGGTTGATCGTAGAATTTGTCGGCTTGAACTTCTGGTACTTCGGGTCATCCGGATGGGCGATGATATTCTCTGCCAGCTTCAGCAGCGTCTGCGGATGACACACAGATTATCATCCAGTTCAATTGCACGAGGAGGACTCAAGATGTATGTACTTGCAGAGATTCGAGCGCAATGTGTCTAGGATTTGGGCGCAAAATGCCAGGGTCGATCAGTCTCCTGAACTCCTGCCTCTTCTCATGATTTCCGTCGAATGTCGCGTTCGACGATGCGGCAGCGGCTCTCTCCCGCTCTGCTTGAAGTCTGCGTTCAATGGCAGCCGCCACCTCGTCGTGATCAGGTCGGGTAGCTCGAGCTTGTGCATAGGTAGTTCCTGGGTGCACGTCTTCAGCCTCAGTAGGATCCATGCTTGTTCCCCTTTTTACTAGGTATGCAGCGATAGAAGTGTGATAGTAGGCTAAGAGAGTGTGTAGTGTTATTCTGTGGACCTCGGGGATCCGGAGATGGTACGAGTGTAGCCACAGAGGGCTCCCGCGGGCCCGCATACCACTAGCGTCTAAGACCTTCCGTCATTCCCGTGCACCGGCCCGCAGCGCCGCTGTCACGGCGGGCAAAGCGCCAGGCTCCAAGCAGAGAAATCTGTGCGGCAATTACGGGCAACGCAACCTGACCCTAGCATTTCCAGTGGGCCTTTGTATCCCTCTTTGTGATTTGGAAAATCTTATGGGCACGTTGCATCGCCCGTATATTTAGCGTAGATTTCCTCACCTGGACCATCGCGCTTTGCCTGCCGTGTGTGTCCATCCCGACCGGCCTCTGCAGGCATTCGGCTCAGAGCTAGACAAGTGAGGACGTATATGTCGCAATAGCGAGATATATAAGCGCGTTGAAGCGAATTACACTAAGTGATGCAGATAGTACAAAATGAGTGAAAGTACCTCGGGCAGCTCAGCTATCCTGGTCAACTTGTCCTCCATCATCCTCATCCGTCGACTGCTGCTGCTGCAGCGCCGTCTGTAGCTCGAACGCAGAGGGGTATCGACTGCTCCGTCTCCTCGACAGGATAGAAAGATCATCATCATCTGTAGAGCTATCCTCTGACCAAGCCTGCTCGAAGTCTACTGAGCCCCGCTTGGACGGCGCCGATGGCGTAGGTGCTGGCCGACGGAGCGAGTTGAACGCGGCCCGCAACGACGTCTTGCTTAGATGGCGCAAGATGCCGCCGTGGAGGTGGCTTGAGCTCTGCTTCTCGTGTTGTACGGGATAGCGATCCTCATCGGCAGAGTGAGGGGGCGGGTCGGGCGTTGCGCCCCCGTAATCACTTCCGAGAACGGATTCTCGATGGCTGCGGCTATATCTACGCCGAGGATGCAGTCGACTGGGGCCCGGTTCAGGAAGGTCGTGTTGTGAATGGCGCCTCTGCGGCGGAGACGGAGGCGACCTTCTCTCTCCGTCTCCGTTCAGCATAAACGCTTCGGCATCCGTGTCCATGGGCAAAGGCTCTTCTGTCGGCGCTGCACTTGATATCGGCGGAACGGGAATACTGGGAAGCTTTGTGCCCGTGTTCGGCTGGGGAACGGGCTCCTGCGGCATTGACTCTATCTTAGCGACCGCACGATCGTGGACACGGCTGTGTAGTGCTTTGCGGACGCTTTGCCTGCCAATAAATATCTGCTTCTCCAGCCTGTACCGATTTTCAATCATGTGAAGCTATGGTGCGCCGGTTACGTAACTTTGAGCAATCGTGCCTTGCAGTAAGCATAGAGTACCTCCATACCTTTGGCCACGTCACGAGCTGTCCTATTCGCATCATCCTCTCTAGCTCCGGGGGATCAGGGTCGCTTAGGATGTGAATCCAATCCTAGAAGATATGGCGTGAAATTTGGGTGATCATGCGTACCTCAAAGACTTACCATGAACCTTGTCCGAGGCCAGATGCTGATAGCGACCATAATTCAGGCAACTGTCCGGCGCCAGAGGGAAGGGCTACTCACGTTACGGAACCTTCAAATCTCTGCAGGAACACACTGGACCAGTCTTGGCCTAACAACTGAGGAAGCAGATCCAGATCACGGATCAGCTATGCACTTGATCAGTATGTTACTCTACGGGTATTGGCTTGGTCACAAACCTTGAAATTCTTCGTTAATTCCAACTTGAGCCATTGCTCCGCGGCGGACAGAAGAAAATTTCCCCTCCATCCTGTGTAGGTGTAGGTTCAGTAAGGGCTGTCTAATGCAACTCGAAGCGCCGTACCTTTCCCTTTGCTGTGTGCTACAGGTTTTCCCGCGGAGCCTTGAGGCGCAAAGAAGAACAGGTGTACGTGAGGGTTGACCTGTGAGACAATAGGGTGCGTAACTGAGGAACAACTGATCAACTTCTAGCAGGTCCGGTTCAACGGAGATTCCGTACCGTTGAAGTAGAGGTTCAGCGCTTGCACTGGAATGTCAACCCTATATCGGACCGGGTGAACCTAGCATCAACATGTGTCGAATACAAGACCATACCTCAAAGATCCGTCCTTGAACTTACTACCCCAATTCCAGGGAACGATGCTGCCGTCCTTGGTCTTCTGCATTAGAACGACAGGATTCATGATGCCGGGTACCGCCGCAGACGCGAGTAGTGCGCTCCATATCACAGTGTCCGGTGCGGTGATGTAGTTGAGCAACTTCGTCGGCCTAGAAGATGAGCAGTTCAATCACCAGTACGAAGAAAGCATTCAGAAAACTGACGAATGACGTTCCGCTGGTACCACAGAAACGTTGAGGATGCGTCCGGTCCGCATGTAAGCTTCTCGGAATGTCATCGAGCCTCGCGTGAAGAAGCATGCCTGCAGGTGATGTAGATAGATGTCAGGGGTCTGCTGAACAAATTCGGTGGGAATGAGACTTGTCGGTACTCGCCTTCCTGGCCCAAGTTCCACTGTCGAACCTGGCCCCAGTTTGCCGGAACCTCTTGAACCACACGCTGAACGGCTCTTCGCATGCGGTGATGCGGTTGGCAAGCTCAGGGACAAGGAGTTCCTTGAGTTCTGCGTCGGTGCGAGTGCATACGAGTGCCGCAACAAGGCCACCAGCAGAGGTCCCAGAGATGACACGAGGCAACAGATCTTGATCGAGGAATGCTTTCACTACGCCGAAGTGATCTGAAGTGGGAATGATAGACTCTCAAGTTCACTTCTGTGAAGGAGCAGGATGACATGCATACAATAACCAAAAGATGCGCCGCCGGAAAGACACAACGCCGACGTTCCCAGGTTTGTATTGGCGCTCTTGAAGAATCTCTTCTTCTCTTCGTTCGAGACGTCCGGCGTTTCCCGGATATATTCGAGTGCTTTCTCGACTTCATCGATGTAGGCTGCCAATAGGACGTTACGAGATCTGATAACCATCATGTATAGGGAATGCCCACATTCAATCAGCACTTTGGTCCCATAGAAGGTCTGTACAATTTGTTAGCAATCACCCATTCAGACCGTTACGCCTGTCTGACCTCGCTATAGAGCCTGTAATAGTCCGTCAACAGACGTCTTCTAAGCGTGGTCTTTGTCGTAACTTACCTCGCAGACTCCACACCAGCAAAATTATTCCGGATGCATGTCTCCAATACACCCAGCACTCCGCGAGCATCATTCTTCTCACGGAAGACCTTCAATGACCTGCGAACCTAAGTACCACGACTTGTCACAATTCTCTGAGCACAAAGGTGCAGTTGTATCATGCGCTCACCTTCCGGACAAGTTTCCAATCGTAGTACAAGTCCTCATCAACCATCTTCCATTCGTCGAAGTGCATGTATTGGTCCAACGCTAAAGCAGCATCTTTCCATTCCTGTTATAGCGCTGAGCAGGATCGCCGGCTGACCAGGCGAAAGTGGACCAACCTGGTAGGTCTGCGCGTTACGCAAGCGTTTCCTCAGTACGCCTCTTCGCCCGCGCCCTGCGATGGAATAACGAGGTGAATCGCAAGCATCGTTGATGCGAAAGTCAAGCACATACATGCCGAGAGCCACTCCTTGGCGTTCACTACTTGACGGATTGCGATATATGCGCCAAATTGAAACGCAATAAACAAGAAAATGAGGCCCTGTCGTGGTACAATGGGTAAGAGTGGTGCCAAGGAGAGGAAAGCGACTAACGTACCAAGAGAGGCCATCGTAATATGTGATAAAGCCACTCATTGCCCATGTGTGGTGTCTTTGGTGGTCGCTTGCGCCTTCATGCGAGACCTAAACGAAGTGCGGGACTCGATTATTAAAATGTGACGTACCTTCGGACTTTCAGGTTGACTGGCGCGAAGTCTGACAGTGCGGACACCTTCCGGACGCGCTGACCATGAGGCAAGGATAGTTGCTGAGGGCTAATCACTGGACTGTTCGGTACTTCCGTAAAGTCGCTCAACATTGCAGTATCATCAACCTTCAGTGCCTCCTCGAATTGTTGCATGTGCCTGTGTAACGAGGACATCAACGCCACCTCGCAGACACGATAGGCATCAACGCACCTCTCGTCCACGAAGTCCTCTTCAAGTAAGGGTATTCGCCCATTCAGGCGTGACCCCGGACGGCTCCGGATGTGTTGCGACATGGCGTTGGTGATATCACAAGAGTCAGATTCAGCTAATGTACAGAAGTGAGTGGCAGGACTGGGCCAGCAGCTTGGAGTGAGTATTGTTCGGGATAAACGTTGCGGGTCGGCACAAGTCCTGCTGCTTCCAACGCCTGATCCAATAGGCGCACAGTCTCGTGACGTCACGTTAACCCCGGACCTGGGGCCGGTTTCTCCGGGCACTGGCAGCGGCTCTGCGCAGTGCGCACGACTGCTGGCACAGTACAACCTCCTTATGTTGTCAGTAATACACGATCTGACGACTCGCCTCTCTCGAAACCATATCTCGATGGTCCATACGGAGCTCAAAGGTCGATACTGCTTGCCAACCCATTGAGATGACTGTCAAGTATTACGGTATGTCCAGCCTGGCATTGTGTGTCCGCAGACGCGTCCTAATCCTCTTTCGTTGCGCCCTTGTTGCATTCTTGGATTGGGTCAGCGCGCGACGATTCCACTCAATGCGAACAGCTATGTAAGTAAGTGAGCGTGACAAGAATCTACTTATCATCGCATCTGTCCCACCGTCTGATGTCTATTGGTATAGATACCACCCAATCGAGGAGACCATATCAGGACTCAATGATTCTGTGCTATCCTATCGGCATACTCCCCTTTTCGACCTCGATTCCGGAAGATGGTGCAATCCGATGTGAACTGTTGGCAACTGGTTGCATCATGGGAATGACTGCGCCTGTCGAGACTCGTAGTATCGATGCACGGTGTAAGAACACCTCGGGGGCCATTGCGCCATGCTTGTCCATCATAGCTACGTAGCGGGAGGTTGTCATGACCATTTGTCCATTCCGCAAACCCCGTCAATGGCAGTACGTGGCAAATGTTCTACCGCCGCACACCGATCGATCGCGTATACTGCGGCTGTCGCCCTCGGTCAGAAAGCTGAGGTTCGTGTCTACTACGAGAGCCTCTTTCAGGCTGATCTGGGCCAAATTAAGGCGTCGGGCTTTGGCATCCTCCTGTTCTCGCTATCTTGCGTCTGCATGAAGCGATGAACCGGAGGGGACGAAAGCCCCGGCAAGCGATGCAGTCTACACCGCCCAAGAAGGATAGGGACGGTTGCGCCTGCGAAACGGTCTGCGGCCGCGTGTGCCTCGTATCGATATCCACAGCAGTTACCTTATGCGGGAGCTTCATGTGATGATCGAGGGGGACTCTCCCTGGAAATGCTCTGTCCAACATTCGACCCCCGTTGCGAAACTCATTATCCTATAAATGGTGGCGTGACATCACGCCCCCTCCCTCTTCTACTTAAGCAGCCTTCCTAGCAACTATCGATTCCCCAGTCTTGTACTCAACACACCTCCACATCTCCTGCATTCACCAGTACCACTCTCAACACAATGGGTTTCTTCCACCACGAGTCTGACGAGGCCCAGGCGTACGACCAGGTCAGCTGCTCAACTGTTTAAGCCCCCCTAAGTCGTCCATCTAATCTCCTCGTACGCTTTAGGTTGTCAACGCTCCCCACAAGGCTGAGCTCTCCCACGAGCTCATTGCTGCCGCTGCTTCCTACGAGGTTCGTCGTAGATGATATGTACATGTGTTCATATGCAGCCGGGTATTCATTTTTCTCCTTTCAAGGCTGCCAAGGCCTACGAGAAGCACGTTGCGGCAAACGGCGCTCCCGATAGCCACGCCAAGGCGAAGGAGCTCCTCGCTGGCTTCGCTGGTGCTTTCGTCGACCGCATCGTCGAGACCAAGGGCGTACGTCGTGTAGTCTGGCTCGTTTGCGAGGGCTCTGAGGCTGACCCAATTTCTACTCTAGCTTGACTTCGTCGATCGTGAGCGCGCCAAGCACGAGTCCCAGCAGAAGGTCACGGAGGTCGTCACCGAGGAGACTTACAACAACTTCTAAGGGCAGAACGGGGCAAGCAGATGTATGTATGTAAAGTAGATGTCTAAACGTGAAACTCCATCCATCAGTTGCTGTCGGATATGATATGAGTCTACGATATCGATAAGACGGACATGTGCAAGCATCTAAGCATCTTGGTTGCGGCCATGGGTCCGAGGTGCCTCAAGGGCATCTAACTGGGCCACGTATTTGCTGAAGTGAATGTCGTTTCTGAAGGGGACTATGTCCTCAGGATCGCGCGCTCCGGACAACCTATAAGTAGAGGTGACCCCTCCACCCATAACGACAATCTGCCGCAGTTGCCGCCTTACGTTGGTGTCCGAGGACATCTCCGTGGAACCGGACAGTTATATGGTTTCATTGTCAGTTGTGTGTATCCTGATAGGATGCATTCTGTCGCTGCGAACACCGCTATGCTGAAGTGTTGGGGTCACCGCTGGTCACCTGCCGCGGCCCAGAAGGCGAGCAGCTGCTGAAGTGTACTTGCGCCCTACTTCAAGTTTTACACACGTTCATTGTATACCATTATGGTGACTTACTGTAGCTTTCGGCATTTGCCGGAATTTTCTAGGCCCTACTAATGAGGGCAGCCAGACTTATATATTGGTGTGGGCGACTCGGACAATGCGGGGGCAAAGTTGTCCGGATGCAGCGCAGATCAATGACTCCGTTCTGTGCCTCTATCTCTCCTCACTTGCCCCGCTAGGTTTGTGTTACTTCGGTCATGACATGGCGAATCTCTCCTCCGCACACAAGGCAGCTTGCCAGAACAGTGTGCTCACGGACGACGTCAGGGCGGGTATACTCAGCGAGTGTACGGCCAGCCATTCTGTACTCGCACGAACTGCGTCTGTATCGTCCCGGCGGAGTTCGGGATGTCTCGACCGCCGTACACTTCTACCAAAATCGACACCTTGAGGCATTCGCTTCAAAACCAGCGACGAGATTGACGTTGCGGCAGTTGGTACGTACTCAAGTCTTCGCACAGGGAGGGCAGGTGTGGACGGGACATGCAGGTCTTCTTCGGAAAGTCTATGAACGAGGAACGGCTCATTAAGGTGCGCATACTTTGACCTGGTCCCGGGATAAGTTCTCATGGATCATTGCACTTGGGTTCGACCATCCAGAGTGCAAATTATGTGCGTACAGAGCTACCCATCCGCATAGCGCACAGGCTACGGGACATGCAAGCGCTGCCTTATGTCGTAGTGACACAGGAAGGCATCGCGAAAGTGTACGAGGTATGTATGTACCTCATCCAACTATGTCAGGGTGCCCGTTCAGTTGATGCATACAGCTCTACTGGAACGCGTTCGACAAGTATGCATTCTGTTTCCGATCCGATGTGAGTCGCGTAACCTACGGAGCAGGTTCCGCCGCTATCCTCAAATCAACACTCTTCAAGAGAACAACGCATTCTGCGATTTTGTGGCGAATCTGCTGAAGGACCAGTAGGTCAACTTCGTGTCGATTCCAGGGAGGGGCGCTTTCCGAGCTGAACTCCTTCAGCAAATCCGTAATCCCGAACCTCTCGCTAGGCATGTCCTTGTCGTCGCCTTATCTCCTCCCGGACCGTCTGGACTCGTTCATGCGGAGGATGCTCGTCTCGCGAATATCTCGTCGCGTACTCGCGGAGCACCACATCGCCCTCACACGGCAGGTCAACTCTCATGAAGGGTCACATGTGAGAGACAATGTGGGCATCATAACCACAGCATTGGACGTGAAGGAGTGCATCGTGAGGTGTGCTAGGTTCCTACAGCAGCGACCGTACCACTCGGGCGAGGACTCGCTGGACGCTCCCCTCAGTAACGCGCCATGGCCAGAGGTTGAGATTGAGGGGCATGTGAATACGAAGTTTGCATACATCCGGGAACATCTCGAGTGCGTCACCCGTGGAATAATCGTGGTCATTATCTCTAACACTACGCAGGTACATCGTCTTCGAACTCTTGAAGAATGTATGTAGAATCTTTCCCTCGGTGAATATTTCACCAGACCTTTATGTTCATATCTTGCCAGGCATTCAGGGCTACCCGACTCAAGCATCCAACGGCCCAGGTCCTCCCCCCGGTACATGCCACTGTCGTTGCCAGCGACAACAACGTTTGTCTACGTATCTCAGACCAAGGTACAGTCCTGTCAATCCCGTGTGCGAGTTTACGCCGCTCAAGCAAGTCGCGGTTTAGGCGGGGGTCTCCTCTCGCCTGAGGTCAAGTCACCATCCGACTTGTTCTCATTTTCGCATGTAAGGAATGCCACGCGCTTGGAAGATGCACGTCTTGGCGCGCTGCGGACAGTCAGCTCGAGCACCCGCGGTATGACAGCGACGGTGTCTGAACAGATTGGCACCCTACAGCCAGACGCACACGGTGAAATATCGCCAGATCCGGTTGACCCGTATCCAAGAATTGGAATGGGGCTGCCGATGAGCAATATATACGCGACGTACTTTGGCGGGTCCTTGGATCTCGTCAGCATGGATGGCTATGGTGGGCGACCTTGCCGTATCTATGCACTCTAACCTGACTGAGATCCGCGATATAATGCATCAGGTACGGACGTCTTCGTTCGCTTACCAAAGTTGGTGGGTTATAGTATTCTTTTGTCATGTCAAGATGTCCTGCTTAATCTATCGTCAGGGCACCAATCTCGAGGGCATCGAGCTGTAGTCGCCCAGTCCACGCGGCGTCTGTCGGTGACACAGGTCATTACCGCTGTCTTGTATTCATGGTCCGCTCTTGTATGCACTGCCGCATTATGTTTGCCAAGAGTCTTCTTCCACCGAAAACCTGCTCTGACTAGCCACAATCGCTGCTCCATGTAGTACCTCATCTCCATCTCTTGCAGTCTCTCGCCCGGTCTCACCCATAAGCAATACATTGATGGTCACAAACAATATGTTCGCAGATCAGATATTGAGACCCCTCACATTTACTACAACTGTCGATCAATTTGGCGCTACTAGTATAAAGTTTCGGTGGACAGTATGCATGTAGGCGTTGTCCGAACATCCTCCTGCTAGAGGCAACTTCGTCCGTCTCATACTCCATATTATCGTCGACCGCACCGCAGGACCTCGCCGCTGCCCCGAGTCATCGCCCTCGTGCCATGCCGAGATCGATGCATGCGCCGACTTGTCCGGGACCCGCTGTCATACTAGTACTAGGCAATGGCGCTTGAGGCTATGTATATGGGCAGATGGAGAATGTGTGCCCTCCCCCCGCCTATTTCTCACCCCCAAGTATCCCCCGCTTCACTGAAGCCCCTAGCTAATCTCAATCCCACCACTGAGCACTAAGCACTAGGTGCTGACCCTTCTACGGTGCAATCCTGATCCGAATCCTTGTTTCTGCCCCGCGCTTACCGACCAGATAACATGAGTGATCTTGCCGCGTTCGATCCTCCTCCTTCTCCACCACCGCCGTCCTACGAAATATCACAGCATGAATTCGATCAGAAGACATCGCACGTCCTCGAGCAGAGCGCGCGCGACCCACCCCCGCGACGCGTCGACGAGGAAGGCTTTGAGGTCTGGGACGAGGCGATCTTCGAGGCCGCCCTGAACGGCATGAGTACCCTTTCCGTTGGCGAAGCATCTCGGCCTTCGCATCGCAGAGCCAGCTCTAGTTCTGCAGCCCCCACTTCTACACCTGGATCTGGTCATGGGTTGGGCTATTCACTAGAGAAGGAAAGGATACGATCGCCACCACAAGAACCCCCTGCTGGATCTGGGTATGGGTATGGTGCAAGTTTGGGTTCGGGATCTGGCTCGCGCCCGTATGCAGAGTCGGCTTCATCCTCCTCAGTGCCTTCCTCGACACGGCAGAATGTTCGGCCCCTTCGCGTGCAGAAGAGGATCCGACCTCAGAAGGAACGTCCTGCTTGGTACGCGGAGGCGGGCCTTGGGGGAGGCAGCCCGCCCCCATCCCCCCTCGAGCCTCAGACTCAAGCGGGAAGCTCGTTCTCGCGCCCGCCGCCGGTGCAGCTGCAGCGAGGACGTACCGTTATGACTAGTGCCGATCGCGAGGGCACGCCTCCACCGGAGTTCACTCCTGTCGGGCCTTCACTAGACGGTCCGCCCTACGAGGATGCGATCGTCATGACCTACGAGGGGGAGCCACTTCCTCCTGCGCCGGGTGCGAATGGGACACCTGAACCTCCCGCGTTCTCGACCCCGACCCCGCCCTCACCTCTTACGCCAGCATCGACCCTACCCGCCGCAGAACCTGCCCATCCGATCCGGAGTCCGACGCCTGCGCACTCGCACCCACGACCCCACTCAGCCGCATGGCAGCGTCATCCTGTCCACTCGCAGTCGATGCCTCAGAATCTGCCGGCCTCATCGGTGTCGCCTGTGCCGCGCCCGCATGTCGCCGCTCATCACCAATCCCTGCCTTTCCCTTCCTCGCAGCATGGCAACGTCCAGGCTCGGCCTCTATCCTTCTACCCACCAGGACAACCTAACGCCCCGCGCGTTCCATTCAACCCGCAGATGGCATACGCAAAGCCGATTGCTCCTCTGATCCCTGCTCAAGCGGCAGACACGGGACCGCAACTCGTCGACCCGTCCGCGTTCTACAGGTATGTCACTTCAACATGACTTCGCGAACGAGCTGATCGCAGCTCTATTTCCCAGTCACGCTGTCTCGGCGCACTACTCTTTCAACGTGCCCGCACGGTTGACAAATCAGACACACGCCGGGCAATCTATGCAGTGAGTAGACACTTCATTCACCGCTTGGAACTTGTGCTCAATATCCGCCTTCGTAGATCCCGCTACTCTCAGCATTTCACCCAGGACATAGCGCCTTCTCCGAATGGCTTCGGATCGAATCACATTGACAAGGGCGTCCCACCTCTTGTTTCCCCGCGACCAAACTACGGATACAGTCAAGCGGCGTTCAGTGATACCGCCAGCATTTACAGCCAGAATGGTGAAGCAACTAACTGGGCGCCCAATGGGCAGCAGGGCTGGCAGTCGACTGGAGGAGGATACCAAACTTACCGATGACGAAACTTCATTGCGACAACGACTCCCGCACGAAGCGTAACGGCACTTTAGGGACACTGCAATAGAGGTTGCTAATGTACCAGGTATATGTACTATTGCTGATCGAATGAGTATCCTTGCATGTAGTTCTGTATTGTACATGATCTGCTTATCGTTGGTGTTGCAATGCACTCTTCCTATCGATCATTATACCGACTGGAGCGCTGTCGCGGTGGGAATGGTCGTTGCCAACAGGCCTTCCGCATGTGGCGAAACCAAGAGGCGCGTCGCGATCAAGGGCACGTGACGGCCAATTAACGGAAGTGGTTTAAAGCTGGCTGGGACTAAATATCGGCTCAAGATCCTCCAATGGCTACCACTCCCTCCGCCCCGCCTATCCAGCCCTCCCAGTCGTCGTCGAGCGTGGCGAGCTCTCAATCGACGTCTTCTAAGAATGACAAGCCCGCGGACTACGTGTATTTCGAGCGGACGACTGCTGGCTTTTCTGACGATGCTATTCCCCGATCCAAGGCGGCACAACTCAAGCTCGAGCACTACTACAAGGTTGCGGTAGAGGCGGCAATCGAACGCAACCAAAGGTGCGCACCTCACTGCAGCACATCCCCAAGCAGGTGATTGACAGCGCGCAAAGGCGTGTAGAGCTCGAGAGGAAGCTCGCCGCTGATACGACCATGTCCGAGGAGCGGAAACAGCGCCAGTTGCAGCAGCTCGGCAAGCGCGAGTCTGCGTTCTTGCGACTACGCAGAACGAAGCTCGGGTTGGATGACTTCCGAACTGTGAAGGTCATCGGGAAGGGTGCTTTCGGAGAGGTGCGTTTCCTTGGGCTCGATCCGTGAATTAGCCCGCTCACGCAATGGCGTACGCTAGGTCCGTGTAGTGCAGAAGGTTGATACGGGAAAGATCTACGCTATGAAGACCCTCCGAAAGGACGAGATGTTGAAAAAGGACCAGGTATGGTCACATCGCCTATCAGTTTGCGCCATCAACCTCATCTGTTCGCCCCTAGCTTGCACATGTACGCGCGGAGCGCGATGTCCTGGCCGAGTCCAACTCACCATGGGTAGTGCAACTGTACTATTCCTTCCAAGACCCCTCCTACCTCTATCTGATCATGGAGTTCTTGCCTGGAGGCGATCTCATGACGATGCTGATCAAGTATGACACGTTCTCCGAAGACGTCACCCGTTTCTACATCGCGGAGTGTGTTCTTGCAATCGAAGCTGTCCATCAGCTCGGCTTTATTCATCGGTATGTTGCCCGGGCACACTGTCGCCACGCGCCGCTGACATCGCTTCCAGAGACATTAAGCCAGACAACATCCTCATTGATAAGGACGGACATATCAAGTTGTCTGACTTCGGTCTGTCTACCGGTTTCCACAAGCAGCACGATTCCAGCTACTACCAGCGTCTGCTTGACTCTGCGAATGGTGTTACGTCTCCCACTACGGCCGCGCAAGCGGCGCGGAACAGCGTGATGGTTAACGCAATACACCTTACGATGTCTAGTAAGGACCAGATAGCGACATGGAAGGCTAATCGTCGGAAACTGGTACGGCATCCATCTCGTACCTTCGCAGCTCGGAGCGCTGACATGGCGGCGCCAGGCTTACTCAACAGTCGGTACGCCCGACTACATTGCCCCAGAAATCTTCATGCAGAAGGGTTATGGCAACGAATGCGATTGGTGGTCCCTCGGAGCGATCATGTTCGAGTGCTTGGTCGGCTACCCGCCGTTCTGCTCAGAATCCACACACGAGACATACCACAAAATCCTGCAATGGCAACATTACCTCCAGTTCCCAGATGACGTACATCTCAGCCGTGAAGCCGAGGACCTGATCAGGAGGTCGGTGCTTTTCCCACCTTCCGTTCTTCATGCTCCCTTGCGACGCGATCGACTGACTTCCATTCGCCCCTGCTTGACGCGTGTACCCCGTGTCGTGTTTCTTTACACTTACCTCCGGTCGCAGGTTGATCACATCTCCCGACCGCCGTCTGACCGTCGATCAGATCAAGCACCATCCCTTCTTTTACGGCGTCGACTGGGTCGCCATTCGCAACATCGAAGCGCCGTTCATTCCACGTCTGCGTTCCATCACCGACACGTCCTACTTCCCAACGGACGAGCTGGAACAGGTGCCAGATGAGCCTGTCGGCGCGGACACGACAGGCGCGAACAAGGACCTGGCGTTTCTTGGGTGCGTTCCGGTGACATCTTGCATGTCACGCTTCTCTGACATCCGACCGGGGCTCGTGTATGCGCTACAGATACACGTTCAAGCGATTTACGATCTCGTCCAACGCGTTCTGACAACGCACATACTGTGGTGTTGCGCGGTTACGCTCCTCCGCTTCTTCACCGTCCTCACCTGTCGCTTGTCATCTCGCACGGAGTTTTTGTTCCTCTTTGTCGGAGCTGTAGTATAGTCCATACAATCACGACGCAGCAGTAGCGAGTCGCGTCTTTTCTGCACATGACATTCCAAACGACACACATAATACTTTCATTGACGACTCGCCATGTTCACGACATTCGCTTTTATTCTGATTTCCGGCTAGCACTGCGAAGTTGCATCGAAACTGCGGGTCTAAGGTGGCATGTCCCGTATGCTGTGGTGTTCTACGTGCGTGCATGACGGATTTAGAATATGAATAGTGCGACGCTAGATAATGGATAGCACGATGTGATGATACAGTGTATATCGCAGGCAACAGAGAACAGGATAGGTCCTAACACGCAACTACCCCCGGTAATACAATAGAGCAGTCCTTGCGAGTTGCACAGTCAGCCAACCTAGGAATTGTACAGCTTCGGGCAATAAAATAGAAGTAGGCGACTTCGAGCACAAAAGGCTCAACGCTGAATGGGTACCATGAGGTGCGGCCTCATCTGGGAAGGCCGCGGGAGACGTCAGAACGATGAATGCACATCTCGGAAAGGAGAGCCTTCTGAACGCACCATCTCGACGAACAACGGCAACAGCTTCGGTATGTGTTCCAGATCCGGCGGCTTCGGCGCATCTGCTTCCTTCTTGGGCTTCTTGGGTGGCTTCGCTTTGGGCGGAGACGGCCTTCTGTCCGCGACCTTCTCTGGCAGCCGAGAAGTCGACGGGCGGCCCGCAGCCGGGGCAAACTCGCGGGGGAGGGGCGGGAGTGGAGGGAGTTCTTTAGCGCCAGGATGTGGCGGGAGGTCTTTGAACCTGGACGCAGCCGAAGGAGGACGACTCGGCGCGGACAGTGTGCGCGAACGCTCACGTTGGAGAGGCGGCGGACGCGAACGGTCCGGCACGTCTTCCGAGTGTCGCACGGCGGAAGGGAATCTCTGCTGAGGCGGCCGCTGGGAGACCGGAGTGTGGCCCACGGTGCGCGAGCGTGAAGGCGTCTGCGTCGGTGGAGAATGGCGACTTCTCTGGGGAGGGTGGGGAGCAGTACTTCGCGGTTTCTTCTCACGTTCCGTGTCGTCCCCTTCGTCGCTCGTGTCCGTCTCGTCCTCGCTGGATTCATCGGAGTCCGAGTTAGACGTGCCAGAGCCAGACGTCGATTCCTCCTCGCTGGAGTCATCCTCCTCGTCCGTCTCCTGCGCAGCGAGGTCTGCCGCATCTCCATCCACAAGGTCCCCGAAGCTGAGGTCATGGACGACACCGTTGACGAGCTGCGCTGCGGCCTCGTCCTCCGCGTCAGCGTCGTTCATGCCTTGTGTGCGACCGAATCGACGTCGCAACTTCGCCTCGTAGGCAACCTTCAGTTTGTAGTGATAGAGCGCAACCTCGTCAACCTCACGAAGGATGCTCTCGCGGTCGGTGCCAGTGTGCGGCAGGAGGAACTCCAGTGAGAGCTTCTCCCCGAGGCCTTCGCGCATCAGAGTGAGGAAGAGCTCGATCCAGCGCATGAGGTTCGTGAATAGCCCTTCGCCCTTGGAGTGCACCTTGTGGACGAAGCTATAGAATGACTGTTCATGCCGTTGAATCAAATCTATGAATATCTGCACTGTGCGCGCGGGATCCGTCTGGCTCACTGTCATGCACAATAGTTTAGGATGTCAACTAGAGTAGCTAGAACGTGCACGGAGGAGAGTAACGTACATTCCTCGGTTTGCTCCACCGTCCGGATCAGGTCATTGATGAAGTTCTGAAGGTCACCCAACGAGTCGGCGATGCTAGCGGCCCGGTACACTTGCGCGAGTGGTGCGTAGAAGATCGTGATAATGTCCTTGAGCAAGTCCGACGTAGTTCCCTGCGAGTGGCTGAGTATCCATCCGACCAATCGTTTCCGAGGCAACTCACTTCGAAGATAAGCTCTATCAGCTGTTCCCTATCCCTAAGGCGCGCATACAGCTTAGCCAGAACGCTCAGGTCCTCGAAAAGCCACCCCTCCTCGTCCTGCGGGCCCTCGTCGTCGTCAGAATCCGCCAGAGATTCTTGGTACCTGACGTATTCCTTGTGCGCACGGTGTGCATACATGACGCGCTGGAATTGAGCACGCGAGAGCGGCGGCTGCTCGCCGGAGCGAAGCACGACAGCAAGCACATGTATGTTCTCGGCGGCTGAATCGTCATGAGCACGGGGGTTTGCGGGACGTACGTGTGTACTTACCGGCATCGGCCTTGTACACTGCCTGGATCTCTCGTGGAGCGTACACATACAACCGGACCTTCTCGCACATCACGGGATCATCGACCTTCTCCTTGACAGCCTCGATATCCTCGTTGATTGCACGGACTTCTTCCATGAGCGAGCCGGTGAACATGCGTTGGAGCAGGCTGCGGCCGCCGAACGGGGTCGCCAGGAAGAGGTCGAGGACGCCGCGGATCATGCCCATGGGGTTGCTGATCTTGAGTGCCGCTTTCAGCATGAAGTACGGCATGAGGCCGTGTATCCGCTTCATGCTGGCGAACGTCTCCGATGCGTTATCCGCGGCCACAAAATGATGGAATACTGTCGATGCCAGCCTGCGATACCCAAGGAGTGAGTGACGAGCAAGGGGCGATCACGTCAGTTCGACGTACGATATTCGCGCCCACTCCATGACGGCCTGGTAGCTTGGCGGGAGGTTCCGAACGTCTGGCGTATCCTTGATCGTGGCGAATATATGCGTGAGTCCGTCTGAGGCAACACAACAAGTGAGCTCGCGCATGCATGTCGGCGGTGACGCCTGTGCGTACCCTTCCCGAGTAGCTCGCCCTTCACACTGCGCACTGTCTCTCGGAGACCATCGACCCTCGCCGTAATTTCCTTTGCGAACCGCATTCTACCGTCCTCACGCATGCGGTCCGCTTCCTCGCGCCGCCGAGCATCGGCCATCTCCTCCTCAGTCAGTCTCGTCGGGCCGCTGAGCAGGAACGACCTCAACACTGGGGAAGACGCGAAGGTCGATGTCGATAGTAGTGTGTGCAGGTACGACCGCAGCGTCAAGCGGTTCTTCTCTCTAGATAGACGGGCAGCTTGTTGGGATACGCCACCGCCACCGTAGCCGGTGTAGGTACTCGAGCCGAAACCACCTGGCATGCCATTGCTGAGGGATATCGGACTAGTCGGCGAGCCGCGATTGAATGAATCGCCACTGGAATTACGATCGGCATCGTACAGGTGATCTACTCCATTTGGCCGACCGGGTATGGGCGGCATTCGACCCGCTTGAGACGCGGTAGGGCTGACGATCGGAACGCCAGGACCATGACGAGGATTGTACGACGTCGAGTAGGATGAGGACGATGCAGACGGTGGTGGGGAAGGGAAAGAGGTGTCAAAGTAGGACGCAGAAGACGGCGCGGTTGAGATTGTGACGTTCACGAAACTGCGATCCTTTGGGGGAGGCTGTGGTATGACTTCCTCGGGATGGGCTTTGCGGAGCTCGTCGGCAAGTGTCTTGAAATCACCATACCGTCGTGACACAAAGACATCTGGCCGGCCCCTTCTGCGAGTGCGGATAATGAACTCCTATGGATCACGAGACCATTGCAATTGTGAGATATCTGCGATCTGCAGTGTGAGGACTACACGCACCTCATGTACTTTACTGCGCATCCGTCTCTTCTCTGTAACGGATCGAACGCATACCACATTGACATCAAAGCTGTCCTTCAACTTCTTCTCCTTCGCAGCGCGCCTCTTCGCCAATACTTCTAGCCGATTCAGATCAGCTTGGGTCAAACGAACGACCTCCTCCGGCTCAACGAGCTTGGTCGCACTGGTGATGAGCATGGAGAGGTTACGCTCCAATTTGTTAAGCAGTTTGCGGCGAGCAGCTTCTTCCGATTCCTCCGGGTTATCATCAAGGACAGAAGTGGGGGATAGATTTCGGGAGAGCAAGGAGGCTAGGAATGGCTGGACCTTGTCTGGGAAGAAGTCCTTAGGTGCTGAAGTCAGGAAAGGGAAGGAGAGGACATATTTCCGGAAGACAAATCGCAAGAAGGGGAGATCTAGGTGCGGCGCATCTTTCGGAGGGGGCGTGAACGGATGGCCAAGGAAGGAGAAGGTAGAGACATCATTCGTGGGTGCAGTTACGAGGGCATCGAGTTCGCGCTGAAACTCAAGACGAATTAGCTCCTTCTTGAGATAGTGAGCGCGGATCGGGGTCAGCTCGTGCGTGTTCTGTGCTGAATTGGACGACGCGGCACCTGTTGAGGCGGCAGGTTGAGGGATAGGCGGAGGTTGATCGTGAACAGGAGATGCAGGTAATGGCGAAGCAAGCGGAGTCGCGAAATGAACGTCATCGGAACCTGATGATTGTGGGTGGTCAGAGCGAGTCGGTGAAGGTGGTGGGTCGGGAACAGGGCGGGAAGGACGGGTAGGCGAGAGGGGACCTGGTGCGTCCATCGTAGCGGACGTTGAGCAAGGAGTGGCAGAGAGAGCTGTGGGCAGGCCGCGCAGCGCGGCCGGAGAGGGTCGCTCGGGGCGGCAGAGGCGGCCAAGGCGAGGAATGCGCTGATTGCGTCACTGGACTGACTGCCACACAGCCACGTGAAATGTCCGATCTGTGCCTTGTCCCAACACCAGCGTACATATATGTAGCTGCACACAGCATACATCCAATACAGCAAGCATCTCTGTCTCAGTCCGCGACTATGGTGCATATATGGCCTGGCCCCGGTATGTCTTGCCGTTCGCGTCCAACAGGCCCTTCAGCCGCGTCGCTATCGCCTTGACTCCCTCCCGACACTCGTCCATCTCCCTCCACGAACCTGCCACGCTCCAGCACTCCGAGCACGCCTTGCTCGCCGCATTCACCGTCTCGACTTCCAACTCTTGACGCGCGTGCAGCGCGACCATGACATCCACAAGTCTGTTGAAACCCCCTCGCCACGACTGGACGCCCTCCTCCGCATTCATTGTGACGTCGGTGACCAGATACGACGATGCCAGACCGAGGCAACGCCGCAGAACCATCTGGTCTATGCGCCCGGAGGTACGGGTCATCCGGGCAAGGACGTCGACCGCAAAGCTCCTGTAGTTCGTTGCTGGTGAGAAGTCCGGGGCTGGCTCCTATTCGGTTGCACCCGGCCCAGGTCTCGGTCAATCATTCCAGCGTAATCGCCGTCAGATAGGCACGCACCTGCGCGGATGTAGCGGACATGAGCACTAGTATTGTATGTACAGGTCGCGTGTGTAGTTTGCACGGTTCCGGTGGGCGGCAGATGGATGGGGAGATGAAGTGCGAGTGCGGCCGAGACGAGGTGGACCGATTGCCCCGCGGGTATTCCCCTGGAGTGGCTGGCCAGTAATAGGAGTTTACAGTCGGTGACCTTGGGTTGTCTGAACAGGCTGCTACTGCATGTCATACCACACGCCATTCGTCCTTCCAGTCATCACCGCATGATAGTCAGGTTTGGAAAGTGCAGAGTAGCATGTGCAAGCCCGCGAATGTGCTCGACCCCGCGTCTGCCACTTTCGACTGGAGCGCATCAACTGTCGGAGTCGACGCTGCAGAAGAATCAGTCCTCCCCGCCCACGTGGCTACCGAGTTAACGTACCTGGGCGCCTCCCCATTGCCAGTTAGGATCGTTTCTCAGTGCATCGTCCTACAGCTTCACTGTCGGTCGCTCTTCCTCACCATGGCGGCCCTCAACGTCGCAAAATTTCTGACGCCTCAGATGCCCGTTGTCACGCCGGACTATGATGGGCTAGAGTACAAGTGGAAATTCCTCACCTTCCGACCAGCCTGTATGTCCTGTGTGGAGCTGGGTGCATCGTCGGGCAGCATCTCACTCCGATTTGTGCAGACTTCAAAAACGAGCTGTATTTCCTCGGGGCATTCCTCTTTTACCTGCTATTCTACTACGTTGGCAAGACGGCCAATAAGGGCCGTGCGAACAAGTGGTGCGTACAAGTGTCTCGAAATCACTTGCTACGTGGACGCGAAGAGAATCAGCGTTGACTCCGTCATATCAGGTTTGAGACTCACTTACCACTCTACAAGACACAGTTCTCCCGGCCTGCTAATGCGGAGGGTCTCGTCGCAGGTTTGCTTTATGTCTTCGTCACCGCTTCACTACTGGATGCTCATCCGTCCCGCCGTTGACGTGCAGATGGGAACAGCGACTTCTTCGCGTTTTCTACAGGTCGACGCGCCCTGACTTCGTTGCACACCACGTTCACGCTCCGTCCGCGTCACGACCTCCTCCAGATAATCTACCAGTTCGGCCGCGGGATCGTCGAGCTAGACTACAACGTCTACGACAAGGTCGAGCTCGAGTTCACTTTCCGCGAGCCTGTGGGCAAGGAGGGAGTGGTGCCGGAGGCTGTATGGGCGATAGTCGCGAAGGACGAGATGAAGCAGCTCAGGAACGACCGCTGGGATCTGGTGCGTGCCTTCAGCCCCTCCTAGACAGCGCGAAGCACGTAGCACCTGTTGACGCCGGTCTGGACAGACGTTCACCAAGACCACCGAGCACAGCGCGCTCCCCCCGTCTCTGGTCGTCATGTCTGGTACGTCCCCACGCGCGATTACGCGGTACGCGCAGCCCTCACCCCCGCCCGCAGAGTTCGCCGACATCACCACCAACCTGCTGAAGCCCTACGGCCAGTTCCAGCTCGCGCAGGTGCTTTCCAACCCCGCGACGCTGCCCTACTTCCGGTCCCTCTCGCTTACCGACCAGCCGCGCGCCCGTCCGCCCGTCCCCCTCGACCCCTCCGAGCGTTCGAAGCGCCTCATCCTCTCCCTGGCCGTGCCCCCGAACGCCGACGCCGCCGCGACGCTCCCGCTAGTGACCGCGGCCTTCCAGCTCGTCGACATCATCGCCGGGGAGGGCAAGCTCCCCGGGGTGCGCGGCGGGCTGAACGCGGCGCTGCGCCCCGAGACGCGCACGAAGCTGCGCAAGGCGCGCGAGGAGGTCGAGAAGGAGATCCGCGACGAGGCGCAGCGCGAGAAGAAGGAGGAGGCGGAGGAGGAGAAGGCCGCGGCGCGGAAGCGGGCGCGGGACGAGCGCGTGTCGAAGCTGAGCGCGGCGGAGCAGCAGAAGGTGCTCGACCGCGAGAAGAAGCGGCTGCTGCGCAAATCGCAGGGCAAGCTCAAGGCGCGGTAGTGCTCGCCACCACGCGTGCCTATGCGCTGTGGGATTGGTGCGCTCGAAGCGTACTTCTGCTGATCTTGGTTGCGCTGGGCCCACCTTGCCTCGCTGCCACCAACGCCGCTACAGACTATCACCCGCTCTATATCTAGTGTAGTGCAACTTCATAGGTAGGATAACTTAAATGCGCGTACATGTACAGGATCCATTGAGATAACTAGGTGGCCGTCGATAGCGTAAATCAGCTGAGACAGAACATTACCCGAATAGCAAGCATGGACCAGAGAAACCCGTTAGAGAGGAGAGGTCGGCGTCCGTTGTACCAAGGCAGGTTGTGCAAGCGCACTACTTTCCCCGCTCTCCTGCTTAATACCGTTCCCGTTCTCCTGCGACTGGCTCTGCTCGCCGCCCTGCTCCTGACCGTTCTCCTTCGTCCCGCTTTGCACAACCGGTGGCTCCTGCGTCCGGCTGAGACCCAGCCGTCCGCCCCAATAGTTGAAGAACCGGAGTAGCCAAGTCGGCTTCAGGCTCGGGTGCTCGACCGCATCCCCCTCCTCTTCCGATTCCATGTCCATACCGGGTAGGACAGGGAACTCCTCTTCCTCCTCCGCCTCGTTCTCTGTCCTCCCCAGGCGATCCACCAGCCGCTGCTCCCCGTCGAGCCTCCACTGCACGCGATTGAATGGCCCATGCGCCCCACGAACTCCCTGGGGTAGCCTCCGCCCCGTCCCGAACACCTTCTCCCGGAGAGCGAGGACGCGCTGGCGGGGCTGGACCGCCATGTGCCAAAGGTCCTCGACGAGGAACTGCGCGCTCTCATACGCGAGCGCGTTCGTCTCCTGCGTGAGGGCCTCCGCCTCGGTGCGGAGCGCCTCCAGCCGCTGCAGCTCCCCGGCGCGAGCGTCGAGCTCCGCGAGCTTGCCGCGCGCGCCCTCGTGGTCTGCGTGCAGTTTGGCGTTCTGCGCCGCGAGCTTGGACGCAAGGGCCTGGAGGCACGCGACGACGTTGGCGAGGTGCGCCTCGCGGCGGCGCATGACCAGCAGCTGGCCGCAGAGCTCGACGTCGATCCGCATGCGCTCAACTGGGAGGATGCGGGTGTCGGCGAGGTCGAGAGCGTCGTCGAAGCTCCGTCTGCGATACGGTCCAGCGGCTAGGACTCGTCGTCGGCGTAACTCCTTCTCCATGTCGTCGAGATCATCCATATCTGCGTTGTTGTCCTCACCAGGAGACGAGTCCGCCCTGCCAAGCGGGCTTGCACCGACATGGTGGCGGACTTTGGCGCTGCTGCTACTATGATCATGGAGTAGACCGCGAGCGGTGCGAGCGTCTGACCAACTGACGATGCGCGATTGTGACTTGATGGGTGGTCGTCTGTGGTTGAACTCCGAGACCCGTCGATCGTACTCCGATACATCGCTAGCAGAACGCTCAGCGCTGGGAAGTGAGCCGACACCCAGCATGAGTGGGTTGGGGACATCAGCTGTCGATAAGTTTTGTAAGAGCGCCGTCGAAGGCAAGAGGGAGATGAGATATATAAACGTACAGGTGGGGGACTGCTGACCGCTACTCAAGAATTCTTCTTCATCTGCAGGGTCTCTGGAACAACGATGTGAAATTGAATACAAACCCCATGGACAGGGTGCCGTAAACACAACAAACCTTGAAACGACGACAGAGGGGACCAAGGACGATTGACCGGACTTCTCGGACAGCCCTCGAGGACCATCCGTCAGGAAGGCCTTGCCAAGCGTGCCAAAGTCGACGCTCAACTTCTTCCCTTTACCCAAGCTACTCAGAATTCCACATGAGCACCCGGACGACTGACCTTCGGGACCACTTAATCACACACTCACCCTGCCCAGCTCTCAATCTTCCTCTGCATCCTGCCGCCCCACGGTCTGTCCCACTCATCGCCAGACCTAGCCTCTCTATGACTGTCTCTGTCCCTCTCGTCTTTGTCCCTGCCGTCTTTGCTCAGGACATCCTTCTCGCCGTCCCTCTCCCTCTCTTTCTCCTCCCGCTCGCGTTCCCCATCACTCCACACCGCCTCCTTCTCGCGACGCTTCTTCTCCGCGTGCCCGGCACGGCCTGTCCAGAGGTACCGCAGGCTCTGCGGCGCGTCTTTCGAGGTCGTCGCGCAACGTGCCAATGCGGCCAGGTCTGTCGTCACGCTGAGCGTCGTCACCGTCGTCGGCCCCCCGCTCTCGGTCCCATGGGTGCGCAGGTCCGTCGCGAGGTCGTCCAGCTTGTTCTTGAGCACGCGGTGCACCTTGTACGACTCGCTCTGGCGCGATTTCTCGTAGTGGGCCTCTATCGTCTCGATGAGACTTTGCGTGAGGAACACCACGCTCGGCGGACTAGCGCTCGGCCCTAGCAATGGCGGAACAGGCGATCCGGAGTTTGAGCTCCCGATCGAACTCGAAGCGATGGTGGGGGTGGTGGGGAGAACGAGGTGAGAATGCGATGATGATTGCTGACTCTTGTGGTAAAATGCGGTCAACGCTTTGACAAACGCGATCGGGTCTAGGAAGGGATCCTTGGGAACCACCTGCGAGATACGGGTGAGATACTGAGACAGAAATGTGGGCGGGGACGTACCACCCCTAGAGCGAAGAGCTTGCTACGAATGCTGACGATGAGACTGAACAACGCTGCTATGACAGTAGGTTCCGCAACCCGCTCCGTCGGCTGTTGACCGATCCGAAGTCGTCAGCTCCGAGGCCATCAGCAAAGTAGTTCACACTACCTCAATATTTAGATATTGTTCTCCGATCTCGGTGACCCAACGCTGTATCCCCTCACATGTCACATCGCATAACAGGCCGTTACGCTCCTCAGGGTCAAGGTCGAACATCCCGAAGATAGCTAGCGATGCCTGGATGAGCTTCACCAGTTCCAAAACCGTCGCGCTGAATAGTTCGCGAGAGCGGGCAGGAGCTTTGTCGGCAACATGGTACATTGCGACGAAGCGGTCCTTGGTGGCATCGCTACAGTCACCGTCAGCACACTTCTCCGGTGTAGTGTGGTACGAGCCAAATGCCAGGTCCATGCGCCCTGTGGGACGCACCTCGGCTCTTCCAAAGTGAGGGCACTACGGCCGCCGCAGCCCATGCGAAGCAAATTCACATTTGAATACAATTGTTCTCGGACATCCAGGAAGTTGCCCGACGGTATGTGCACAATTATGAAGTCAGAACGGAAGTTCGCCAGAGACGTGACCATCAGAACGCCCTTCTCTGTCTTTCGCCGTATATATACATTGAGTGACGGACACTGACATGAAGAAATGCTGTCTCGCACCTCCTTAGGCCTCGCGCCCTCTCTACGAAGACTCCGAATCGCATCATCCCATGCAGCCTGCGCCTCGGTGGATGACAGGCACGGTTGTGGACTCAGAGCTGTGACCGTGATCTGCGAAACGTTATGACCTCCGCGCCAGGGGGATCGGCGGAATGCGCTACCTTATGTTTCGGATCCCCGGTGAATACCGTCAGCACAAGCACGGGCCGTTTACGTGCGACAACCCTTGGCGAAAAGACATCACCATGCCGCTACAAGCTTGGAATGCTGCCCTGAGAAGCGTACCACTTCTCCACTGCATATATCTGGAATCCTTCCAGCTCGAGCTGCTCTTCCACGACCTCGAACTTCTCTCCGCCTGGGAGCCACTCCGAGGCGCCGACCACAGTGCGCTCTTGCGGCTCGTTGACGACGCTAACGGGAAGTGATCCAGCTCGACCCCGCCCAAGTTTGGATGGCGATGGCTTGGAGTTAGGGACTCGGGGCGAGGTAGGCCTCACGGCGCGTACCGTAGGCATGAGAAGCCGCCTTGAGGTACTCACGACATTTACAGACGAGACGTGCGGTGTATGATATGGTGTGGAGGGCACAGAGAGTGAGTTGTTTGCGCTGGAAGCAAACGTGTGCGCACGGGGTGCCGGGGGACGCGACGTAGGAGACGGCGGTGTCGAAGAAGACGGCATTGTGGGCGACTTTGACCTTGGTGCAGGAGGTGACCCGGGTGCCTGCGGGAGGAGCGAAAGTCCGGAAGCCCTGGCTTTGGACGACAGGGAGGACATGGCGCGGTACGGTGGTCGCTCAGAGTCAAAGACGCAAGTGGTCGTTCCCTAGATGGCATACGACAACATTCACAAGAAGCTCCTGGCCGAAGGCACGATTGCGCGAAAGTCACCGCACGCCGTCGGGAGACGGGAGATGAGAAGAGGTGAGGACGGACTTTACGGAAGGAGTCCTGACTGCAGTCTATATCGAATTTCCCACGCGCAATAGGGCTATATTCCCAAGTCGACGGACTACAGGATCGACTTCGCGCCTGTCTGCGCTCCGTACACCCGCATGCCCTTCGCGGGGCCCCGTCCCCTCTCTCGTTGTCTTCCGGAGGTGCTTGCTCGCGAAAAGTCGCTGAAATACTCCCGGTCCTTCGGCATCCCACCCCACTCTCTTCGACCTCCGCACGTCTGCCGCGCGCACTTTGACGCTCTCCTCATAACACAATGGCAAAGATCAAGAAGAGCAAGCCAAAGGAAGCCGGTCAGACAGCCAAGGCCCAGCCTGTAGCTGCGGTAGTGACGGCACCTCCCGCGGCCTTGCATCCATTGGGCCACGCTGCTGCCGCTTCCAACGCGCACGAGGGCAATGGACACGGTTCGTGGGCTGCCGTCGTGTAGCACCTCGTTGTAGCAGCTCATATTTCACCTCTTCATATCCTCTCGCTTCGCGGCCCCCATGCTTCCCCACGGCCTACTTCACCCCTCGGCACCGTGACATGGATCGCGCCCCTCACAACCATATCCCTTTTCCTACAGGCGGCGACTGGCATGGACAAGAGCAGGCTTCAATCGAGGAGGTCGAGGACGAGCACGGTGGCGGTTGGGGTGCCGAAGGAGCAGCTGCGTCGGCCGCGATTTTCGACGCACCTGACGATGGCACCTGGGGTGCACCCGTCGCTCCTGGAGGTTGGGGAGATCCTGGCGACGGGTGGGGGCAGCCACCAGCAGCCCATGCGAGTCCAATCCAAGGGGAATATCCGACAGTGCCAAGAGGACGTTCAAGACAAGGCGGTGAGCGACCGACCAACGCGCAGCCCCCACCGCCATCAGGCGCGCGAGCGCCCGCTCCCAACACTACCATGCATCCTTCAGCCACCGCGCACCAAATGCCTCCCTCAGGTTGGGGCGCGCCCCCCGACATGTGGGCGACAGAGCCTCCGCAACCCTCTTGGGCGCAGCCTCCTGCACCGAGTCCTCCAGGACAGAAACCCGCATGGGCGAGCTGGGCCACCGAGGCTAAACTGGTTCCTCCCTCTGCGGCTCCCGCACCTCCAGCGTCATACCACTATTCGCCTCAGTCTGCCGCCACACCCGGAGGGACCAGGCAGGCCTTGTCCGAGCAGCAGCGCTCCCAAATCCTGAGCTCGCTCTTGGAAGTGCCGCAACAGCAGGGCTACTCCCAGCAATCCCAACATCAACCGAGTTCGAGGCAACGGCCGTCCGCGCATCCTGGCCAATCACAGGCTTACTTACAGGCGCAGCTTCTTGCCGAACAGCAGAGCATCTTGCACAGTATACAGGATTCTCATGGCCACTCGAATGGACAAGCTCATCGCGGCCAAGCGCAGCCAAGCCGTCCACCCGTGCAGTACGCGGACAGCTGGGGGAACTGGGGCAGAGACGCATGGAATGGAGACCGGGCATCCACGATTCCTGAGGAGGACGAGTACGACAACAACAACAACAACGACGGCTGGGGCGACACCGAGGATGAGGAAGAAGGTTGGGGGGCTGGCCAGGGGTACGGCCACAACCAGCGCGTACGTTTCTCCTCCAATGTTTCCTATGCTGGGACCCCCTCCGTCGCCTCTCGAACGCCGTCACACGGCCCTGCACCCGCTCCCGGAGCATCTCCACCTCGAGGGCGAACGGCCTCGAGTCCTCAGATGTGGATGCCTGACACGATATCTTCACGGACGATGAAAATGGCTACTGGGACGCTCTCTCCGACACCTCCGGCTGCAAAAACCACAGTCTTCGAACTGATACCACCCCGGAATGGTTTCGGCGAGAATACGTTCGTCTCCTCTCATGGAGAAGCTTTGAAACCGGCAGAGCGCGCGTTCTACAATCGAGAAAGACCTACCAAGGAGAGAATCCGGTGGGGTTTCAATCCAGACAAAGATCCGCGCGTCGGGTCGCTACTACGTTGGGTCGCTGCCATGTCAAACGGTCTCGCTGAAATTGGCGTGAGTTATTTTGACACACTCCTTTTTCCTGGCAACGCTAATCAGGTATCTGCTCGTATTCAGCTCCAAAGGTTCCTTGACACGAGAGAAAGAGGTGCGCTGTTTGCGAATGCAGACTACCGCGTTTCTGTTTCCCCTGGCGCACCCCCACAACCCGCTTTTGACTGGGTCACGCTCTCCGAGCTGCAGGACACGCTCGATTCGACTCTGCAGTCTTCCGTCACATTGTACGATCCGGCGTTCCAGGTGATCGTCTTCGTATTTCTCCTCTCGCCGTCGGGGAACAGCATGGCTGTCTGGCGGAGAAAACTCAACGTTCCCGATGCTATACGCGATGCGAACCAGGACGAGATCCTCGCCGTGAAAGCAGGGCTCAAGACGACGTACCCGGTGTATGTTGACGAGTAAGTGACCCTGCCTTGATCGGCTGCCGGGATGCGAGGACTGATGAGACAGGGCTAGGCTACCGGTGGCCCCTGAGGGGGAGACACCGCCTGCAAAGAAAAAGAAAGTCCGTTTCGCATTCATCCGACGAATATTCGGAGGTGGGAAGAAGGCCGCCGCCACATGACCGCCCCTCGTCTCCGGAAGGACACTACGCCACGCCTATTCGTTCATATACTCCTCTAGGTACTTGTCCTGCTGCTCCGTTCTCGCGCTGTGCTGTTCTCTCTCTCTCGCTGTATTGCCGCCACCCATACTTGCTGGATCTGTTGTTGTCGACTTGGTTCATGACGTCTGATGTTATCGTTCGACTTCTGATAATGCCGCATCACTTTGTGTATTACTAGCGATTCCCCCTCCTCTACTTACGATGTACATGACTTACGGTAGAGTAGAAGTCACGTGGAAACAATTCCATTAACTCTAGCACCCTCGCAGCTCCTTCAGGACCATCCTCATATTCTCCGCCGTGCTCGTCCCAGTCGCAGCAGTCCCGTACGTCCTCGTGCGCAGACACTACGTGACCCTGCTCAAGGAAGTCGCCGCCCTCCAAACCGCGAACGCGAGCCTCGCGCGCGAAGTCCGGAAGGCCGTCGCTGACCTGTCGAAGGAACGATCCGACCTGTCTCGGGGGGTCCTCAGGACGCTCGACGGGCACACGCGCCGCTTCGACACGAGCGCGGAGGCCCTCGCCGAGCAGGCGGCGGCGCTGCTGGCGGTCAGGGTGTCGCTGGAGGAGGCCAACACACACCTAGGCGACCTACACGGGAAGGTGAACGACTTCGGGCGGAACGTGGCGGTTGAGACGAAGAACGTCCGCGGCCAGCTTTTCAAGACGCAACGCGCTGTGGAACTGCAGGAGGCGGAGGCGCAGCGATGGCGGAACGAGACCAGCAACAACATTGCCAGGCTGTTGGCGGAGAATGAGAGGCGGAGGTGCGTGCGGCCTCTTCATTCCTCACGACTGTCAGCCTGCCAAGTGTTCACTGATCTGGACTCAGGACAATCTACTCCGAAGCAGTCAAAGAGACTGGCAGGTCGCTCGCCGATGTCGCGAGGTTCATGCAGGAGGTGGAAATGCGCGAGGGCTGGACGCCGCTTCCAGATGATGGCCGAGGCATTGACAGAATACGGAATGCAGCGAAACATTTGGACGAAGTCGGACAGCACTTGCCTACGGTATGCTACCTTCATATAGCCAATGCACATCAAAACCCTGATCACTGCGTACAGGAGGATGGTCAGTCTGAGCCAGAGAGTACATCGCCCTACGCCTGGCAAGGACTACTTCGGAGGGCGCAATCAAGGTCGTGATATCCGTGGGTGACATGGTACGGTGTACCCCGACTCGGCCTAAATTCCAACGGATATAGTCGTACACAGTCCGTACTCGTATGCTGTCTACACGTTACTTTTGCTTCCGTCTCGTATCTTCGTTAAGGGTATATCAGCTCCCAAGACTGGTAGCCACTGGAGAACGCATGCACAGTACCATAACGCTTTTTCTGATTGGGAACGAGGAACTCCTCCATGAGATCCATGTCTACGCGCCCCCAGCCCGCGAAGTCGCCTTTCCGCATCTCCTTGCATCGTCGCGAGAACGACGCTAGGTGGTACGATAGCACTGCCGACCATTCATACTGCGCCGCGATCTTGACCAAGTGGCTGCTGTATCGGAAGAAGTAGTAGGGAAGCATCGGAGACTGGCCGCCCGAGAGCTCGTGCACGGAGAGGACGGAGAAGTATGCATTTAGGGGGACCAGGAGGGAGTCAAGCGTTGGGTATGTCTCGGTGGCGGCGGGGGCGGAGTGGAGGGAAATCGTGCTCTCATCCATATTAACTTCAATGAGGTGCCATGTGGACTCGAGGATGCGGCGCGAGTCGAGCTTGTAGAGCTCCGCGCCGGAGAACTCGTGGCCGACGATCGACGCGATCACGTCCTGGTCCACATGTGGAAAGAGCGACGCGATGGACTGAAGATCTTGGCCCGGAGAGTATATTTTGGCAGCCATAAGCACCTATTGCGCGACCGTAATCACGGATGTCAAATGGCGAATTAGGCATTGGCTCGGAGGCGGCATACCGCACAACTCCAGGGTGATGGTGATGACGATTATGGGGTATCAGAGCGTCGAGCAGAGGGTGGTTGCAGAGAGGCGCGATGGGGCGACGACGACATGCAAAACAGCGGACAAAGGCGGCGAGAGTCAAGCAGCAGCAATGGTACGGAGCTTAGTCCAGGCGACCACAGCCCCCTGCCCCACAAAGGCCGCCAAGGGGAGAAAGCCTCTCATGCATGCAGACGCCAAGTTCCCAGCGCGAGCTCGATATAGCGGCCATTCAGCGAGTCAGTCAGCGCAGCGACAGCACTCAGGGAGAGAGTTGTGGCAAACAGGCGTTTCACATCACCCCGGGGAACCAGCACGTCGCCACGCGCGACGACGCCGAGGATCCCCATATCAGGCAAGTAGCAGGCCGGCGTGGGAAGAGTGGCTGCAGGAACTACACAGTACCTGACAGATTGTCCCACGCTCTGTGTTCCTCGTCCCAAGCTCGGCGCGTCCATCCCCTACGACACCCCTCAAGGTGAATATCTCATTCTATCCTTCTGGCTGGCGATGCTGGGCTCGTTTGGAGGCCGTTATCATGCCGGAACGTGATCCTACGAGCCCGGTCGAACTCAGTGGAGACCACGACTTGGAAGGACATTCGTTCTGACGCCTGCTTGATCTACAGACTCTCAAACGACAAAATGCCCGGCAAGGTCAAGGCGTACGAGCTCCAGTCCAAGTGCGTTTGGTGTTGCGTGGTCCCCATATCCTTTCTGAACATCTGACTGTCTAGGTCCAAGAACGACTTGGCCAAGCAGCTGATCGAGCTCAAGACTGAGCTCGGTCAGCTCCGGGTACAGAAGATTGCTGGTGGCTCTGCCGCGAAGCTCACCAAGATGTACGTCGCTTTTCTCTGTCTTCACCCGTCTTCGTGTGAACTAGCGCTCTCCTCCAGCAACACCGTCCGCAAGTCGATTGCGCGTGTGTTGACCGTCACGAACCAAAAGCAGAGGCAGAACCTCCGCGAGTTCTACAAGAACAAGAAGTACCTCCCGCTTGACCTCCGCCCGAAGAAGACTCGCGCAATTCGGAGACGCTTGACGAAGGTCCGTCATCCTCACACCCATCTCATACTTCACGTTGCTGACACTCCGACACTATAGCATGAGGCGTCGTTGAAGACGCTCAAGCAGCGTAAGAAGGAGATTCACTTCCCTATCCGGAAGTACGCCGTGAAGGCATGAGGGGGATTACTTCCGGGGAGTCGTGGTCTATGTTGCTCTGAGTCTGTTCATTCCATTGTATGCTATACGCTACCACACCACAACCAATATGCCATGCTCACTCATGCGCATCATGCGTAGCCAGGATTAGCAGCGTGCGAAGCCTGATCTGAAGCGTATCGACTTGCATAGGATCGAGTATCACAGAGAGTTAATAAGCATCGGCATTGAGCGTTTGGCTGTCTGAGAACATGGAGATTGTGTGCCCGGCAATTGACTTGTACGGCGGCGTCGGGGACAGGGAAGCCGGGCCGGGAGAGGACAAGGCGGAGTGGGGCCTTGCTTGGGTGAACTGCCGCCGACGCCAGATATCACGTCACCCGCCTATGTCGCCCGCCCTCGGCCATTTTGGCTCTTTCCTCTCCTCTGCCCTCCTGCCCTCGCCGCCCTTGTCGTCGCCACCGCAGACTACTGCGACCATTGACTTGTGCCCCAGCGAGCTCAGTGCCTGTCATCCTTCACAAGGCGATCCATCAGTAATTTACTCCTCTAGGCAACGATAAATCCACGGCAATCGCCTATTAACTTCTCGCCTTGTGTCCCGTCGCGACCGCCCGCCTCGTGTATTCGTGCTCTCTTCCTGCGCCTTCCATCTTTGCACCCGACACCCTCCGTTTAGGACAAGCTTGACCTCTTGTTATCACGATATTTATCCACGTTTCCCGGACTTTAACGATAGTGACGAATCATGGTGAGTGATTCTGCTGCCACGCTATGATATTGTCGTCATTCTTCGGGGCCAATCATCATGGCAAGTCATGGGGAGATGGCGCACATTCTGCCGTTCTCAGTTCAGTGCCGCATGGCATCCTGGACCACCCTCCCGGACACGTGCACGCTAGAAGGGTCCCCACTGTGCGACGCCAATTCTGACGTCCCCCGTCCTTCCCATCTTACGTCTCTCTTCCCTTGCCGTGCGCGTCCGCATCTCGCACACGCCCGCAGAGTGCTGCCGCCCCCATCTGCGACATGCCTCCCGGCTCTCGTCTCCTGAAAAAATCTAGTGCCTCGTCGAGCGGTTTTTCTGACCATGGTCACGGATTACAGCCCAAGCAATTGACCAAGTCCCCGCCACCATCGCCTGGTGCCGAGCGCAAGGTTCGCTCGCCAGAACTCTGGCCATATATACCCAGCAGCAACCCTGCAAGCCAATACTCTCTACTAGAGAAGCTGGGGACGGGCAGCTTCGGTACGGTTTACAAGGCGATCCATAACGACTCTAAGCAGATAGTCGCCATCAAGCAGATCGGTGCGTATGTGCCCTCTGCTTGTGAAGGACGCCGTTAAGTTGTTTGTGCAGACCTCGAAGACTCGGATGACGACATTACCGAGATACAGCAAGAGATTGCGAGCCTCGCGCAGTGCGACTCCGAGTATGTGACAAGATACTACGGATCCTTTGTCGTCGCATACAAGCTGTGGATTGTGATGGAGTATCTCGCCGGCGGCTCGTGTCTCGACCTCCTGAAGGCAGGCGTATTCTCCGAAGCCCACATCGCCGTCATCATGCGTGAGCTCCTGCTCGGCCTCGACTATCTCCACAGCGAGGGCACCATACACCGCGACATTAAGGCGGCGAACGTCCTACTTTCGGCGTCTGGGAAGGTCAAACTCGCAGATTTCGGTGTGGCTGCGCAGCTCACCAGCACTTTGCGACACACGTTCGTCGGCACGCCCTTTTGGATGGCCCCGGAGGTGATTCGGCAAGCGGGGTATGATGCGAAGGCGGACATCTGGAGTCTTGGTATCACTGCGATAGAAATGGCAAAGGGTGAGCCGCCCCTGGCAGAATACCACCCCATGAGGGTGCTCTTCTTGATCCCGAAGGCGAAGCCACCCGTTCTCGAGGGTGCGTTCTCCCTGGCATTTAAGGACTTCGTGGCTCAGTGCCTGACGAAGGACCCACACTCAGTACGTCGCTGATCGTCGGACCGCCTCCGAGAGTAATAAGCATTGCTGACATTCGGATCGTTTGATGTTCGCTTCAGCGACCTACGACGAAGGAGCTCTTGCAACATCGCTTTATCAAGAACGCTCGCAAGACGTCATATCTCACTGAGCTCATCGAGCGGTATCAGGACTACCGTACGCGTTCCCCAGGCAGAGCCCCTCAGTACTATCAGGCGACTGTCAGGAATAGCGGAGCATGGGACGGCACGCTGCGCAGCGACTGGGACTTCAACACGATCCGGACGTCATCCGCGATGGGGTCACTTCGCAGCATGGCTAAGGACATTATGCCCCCTGGCATGGAGCCTGACGACGACTACGACGAGGTGCCCGAGGAGGACGAGGAGACGTACGAGGGGGACACCATCGACACCACGGCCGCAACGACTAAGGGGAGTGACGTGCCCCTACAACCTACCGCCCTCGGCGGCATTGGCATGAACGCGGATGCCGGCCACTCGACAATCGTCATCCGCTCATTCTCCAAGTCCGATGAGAAGGTCCCGTCGCTCATGACAGACTCCGGGTCGGACGAGACCTCCACGGGCAGCCCGCCACTCGCAACACCATCGCAGAGCGTCGAGAGCGTCGAAGCGCAGATCGCGGACGCCGTCGAGCCGCCGCCTGCGTATACCGGCTCCGTCCGGTCGTCGCGGCGGGCGTCGTACGCTGCGCGAAACAACGTAATGACTGGAACCATCATCGGGGAGGCGGATATCGGGACTGGGGTGGATACGATCCGGCCTGTGAAGAAAGTGGATACAGTACGGTCGCTGAGGTTATCGGAGGAGTATGTCGGAAGCATCAGGAGCAGGGAGGGGAGCACGTCGTCGAACCCACCTTCCTCGCCTTCGAGCACGAAGGGCTCGCACAAGCGCGGTGCTACAGAGGCCCAGGCGGCTGGCAAGTCGCTGGTGGACGATGTCTTGTTGCCGTTGTTGCAAAAGGTCTGTCCGTTCTGGTTGCCGTACTTGTTGCAGGCTATTGATCGATGCGCTGCAGACGACAAGAGACGATATGGATGCGAGGGAGATCGAGTCGTTGAGTATGATCTCGCGCGGATTCGAGGAGCTACGGGATGTTAATCCCGAGCTCGCCTATAACCTGATCCTCGACATCTTGGCGGGCATCAACGAGTACGTACATTCTGTCCACAGTCGAAGCTGAAGTTGACCTGATGCCGACAATTCTTCCCAGCAACCCTGCTGTTCGCAGCCATATTCAGACGCAGCGCTCGCTGTTCCCACATAAGCGCATCATACGCAGAAGCGAGATGACAGCGAAGGGTCTCATCGTTACGGAGGAGGAAGAGATATCTGGGCTGCCCTCGACGTCGTCCCCGATCCAGTCTCCGACGCAGCCAGATCCTGGATCACCAGTCCGGAAGTCCCCAATTTCCGAACTATTATACCTGCGCTGGCTCGAAGGACTCAAGCTTAAATGGCCGAGCGTATTCTGATGCGTCCACCTCGTCCTACGTCCCTTCGCCAACGTCCTGGCACGCCCGACGGGGAGACACACCTTGAGTGTCCCACCTGCGCGAACCCAACAGGGCGTTAAGCGCCAATGCTCCACGCATCGCTCGGTCCGCGCAACCGTCTTGTTCTCATCTTCGGACCTTCACGCCGTCATTCGTGATCTCTCAGCGGTCGACATATTCCTTTCGCCCCGGCTAGGGCTTACTTACGCTCTCTCGTTCATGGCTGGGACAATTCGGATACTAATAGTGATGGTCGTGTCATGCATACATTCCCCTCCCAATATCCCACCTTCCCCTATGGCTCACGCCCCATTTTTCATTCTTCATTGCGTTCGACAGGCGTGCATCACCAACTGCCCCCTTCCTCGGTACATATTTCCAGCGTCGCATTTACTTTATCGCCTCTGCATTCTGTCTCCGGCTAGTATCACTTACTGACCTTCACGGCCTCCTGCTTGCTTCATTCAACTCCGTCTTTACCTTCCGCACCGCGCACAGCGCCTTCCCCGTTCACCCCACGTGCCGCATTAATGATCTCATGACGTAACGAGTGTCTCGAGTGTTTGCGATTGTACGTTGTCCGCATGGTCGCATTGGTGCGTCTGTACATACCGTGTTCCGCAGGTTGCGTATACACGAAGTCGGCTTGTCTTATATCAACCCGACTGTGTGCTGCTAGACCTTTCTGGGGCTGAACTCCGATACGGCCTCTACGAAAATGAGATAATGGGCGAGCTGACTGGAATGTATCCACTCGCCTGTGAACGTTGCAGCACTGCCTGTTGGAGCAACTGACAGACAATGTGACGCGACCATTTGTCTTGATGACTGTTCATACACATCTATTGCAATCAGATTACAAGATGCTCAGGGCAGATCCCTGTTACTCGCACCTAGGAACAGGCGCAACCCGCCAGAGGAAACATTGTGAAGTTGATACTGTGCGAGCGCTTGCGAAATCGAGTGGAAGTGACTTAAGACGCACGGACTTCGTGGCTTCGGGCAGCGATGACAGATGCACGACCGGCGTGCCTGGACCGGGATGTGTCCTGAAGAACGAATGCGAGTACGAGCGTCATGCATGCAATTACCTGCCCTGCCGCCGATGTCCGAGGAAGATGCAAATACATCGCAGGATGGGAACTACGACCAGTACTGTTCAGCGCACACAATCAAGGCACGAAGTTACGACCAATGACTCACCTGCTGAATACCGAGTCGTTGCTGGATCTTTCTCTGGCTGCCCGGTCAAGCCCGGGAACGCAAAGCCTCGGACCCACATGCCATCTTCGCGGTGGCATTGAGGAGTCACTGCCATCGAGATGAACAGAGCGAGAGGCGAGTGTTATGGCATCGATGTCGGTGCTGGCAGATCGGCCTCCGGCAGCGCGTGTCATGTTTGCGTCTATTGAATGGGCGGGACGAGGCGTTGACTAAAAGCTGACAGGCAGCGTTGGATGACTCGCTCAGTCTTGCCTAAGCCTGCGTATTGTGCCACACGAAGCATGGGGGAGGAACCGAAAGATGGCACTGGAGGAAGGCTCTTTGCCACCGGGTGGAAGGTAAGGCAAGACAGACAACGGCATATGCCCAATTATCCATGGAATCATTCAGGGCTAAGGGATGGGTATGTGAAGTCGCCACATGTGTTGTGCCCTTGAGTTTCCCAACATGCTGCTCTCATCCAGCGTCACCGGCGTCCGTGGCTGCAGCTAGGAAGGTCAATGGAAGGGCCGGGCGGGATCGAGGTCACTCGGCACACACCTGCGAGTTCTTCTTTCGCCGGAAGTCCGCAAAGACGCGCTTGTACAATCTGCTCTGACTTGTCGAGAGGCGCGAAGTGAGTTTTGGGGCCATCCAAAACGATGCCATCTACGTGGTTTGGACCACCTTCAGGATAACGGCCCGGTCAGAATGGAATGTCAGCGTCATGGCATACCACACTAAGTACTTCTGCGACTGACGACTGTGGCAGGGCGTCGGGCGAGCAGTGGCGTGTCCGTGGACTGCTTCGAGTTCACCATCGACCCCTGTCCTGGAGCTGTCCAGCCTGCAGAGGCATTGCGTTTGGCAAATGCCTACACTACATAGCTCTCGTCTACACCTCGAAGGGATGCCGAACGATATTGCTCGGCCTGACATGCAAGTCACGAATCAGGTTTGTCGGATGTAGAAGCACTCGAGACTCACCCAGATTGAACTCCGAATCCCAGTTGCGACGCAACAGGGACGCCGCAGAGAAACCGCTCTCGCTGCGTAGAAAGCGCGTTTCTTTCGCTCCGATACGAGTGGAAGTTCAAGGTTCCATCCGATCTTCGAGAGCACGCTCGGCTCGGCCTACCAGCACGGCAGCGCACATTGTATGTGTTTTCCGTCTAGACGATGACGCGCGGCTCGCCAACGACACCCGACGCAGTGGTCGGCATGTTGGTCCATGTATGCGCCCATTCCGGTGCCTGTTTGGCTTCCAGATCTCTCGATCGTTGAAGGGACGTCGGTCTGCCTTGTTCACACGCTTCGCAGAACCTTCACGAGCCCGCGGCTGCATTCTCTTCCCATGTCTCCTGAATAGTCTGAAGCATAGCCAGCTATATATGTGGCTGACGACGTCCATTCACGCGACGCCACCTTGCCAAGACGATAGGTCGCTTCCTTCCCGCACGCAACGCCTCGGACCGACTGCAGGAGTGGAAGGAACGGACGCAGGGCAACGCTTCTGCGTTTGCTACCTGTCTTATTTTGATAGAGCCAAATCCAAAGGGGGGGAACCTCACAGTGCGTACGATACGACGATCCGGCCGACCCCAACCGAACAAAGGAATGACGAGTGGTAAGCACGAAAGTGACAGCCCGATTTGCCATTACCGAGTCCCTAGATTATGTGAGGTCCGTGATGGGTCGTAAGTACGTGAGTGTCCAAGGAATATACACGAAGGGTCCTGGTGCTAGGGGAGGGACGGCCCAGGTCGTCGACGGGTAGGGTTCATCAAACATCCTACCTCGATAAATGATCAGGGGGAGTAGTCCCAGGTGGCGGGTATTACAAAGTCTAGTCTGTATGGAAGCCGCGATGGATAGTCAATCATGGTTGCACTGTCCTCGCACGGAGCCTAAACCAAGCTGCAGAAAAGCGCAGAGATAACATCGGACCATGCTAGCCCTCCTACAGGAACTCAGAGCACGAGCGCAGCGCCAGCGACACTGAGCAATGTCACGATGCCAGCCAACATGGGTGATGCGAACCGCGCCCCAGCGCCGTTGTGAGAGGCGTCACCGCTCCCCGTGGCCTGTGCTGACTTGGAGGTGCCGGTCGTGCTCGCCGCGTTGTTGCCAGCGGCACCGCTGCTGCTGCTCTTCGTTGTAGTCGCGTTGGAGGGCGCGGCGCTCGCGGACGAGGGCGTTGTTGACGCTGGTGCGGACGCAGGGACGCCGACGGTTCCGAGGACCACAGCGCCGTTGTCGTCCGGAGAGTTCTGGTAGACACCGGTGTTATTGATCTCAGCGATACTCTGGAACTTCCAGCCGTTCTGCGCGATCAGCGGGAACGCCTGGATAAAGCGCCGACGGTTTCGTTGCTGAGCTCGTGCTCGAGGATGATAAGGCCGGGCGACTTGGGGCCCGTGATCCACTTCTGGAGATTCGCATTGACAGCATCGCGCGTGGCTCCACCAGGCGAGCCGATGCTCCAGTCCTCGGTGCTATACGAGGTCAGGTCAGATCGAATGAAACGCCCAGCCCGCAAGCGACGTACTCCTGGTTCCAGATGACCGTGGTGAGACCGAAGACCTCCTTAGCGATGGCCCGGACACGGTTATCAGCATCACCGTACGGAGGACGCCAGAACTTGGGCAAACGGCCACCCGTAGAGTTGTGAATGAGCTCCATCGTCCAGCCGAGCTCGCCGACGACCGAAAGATCGCTGAGCGTGGTCATGTAGGGATGGGTCCACGTGTGAACAGCAATGTCACCTGGTGAGCAGAAGGCAGCGGATGAGCATCATCACGCGAGCGGAACGCAGCCGCTGTACTCACTCTGGAGAGTGTTCCAAGCATACAGGAACTCGTTAGGGTACCAGAGGATGTTGGTCCCGATGTAGAAGTGTGTAGTCTTCAGGTTGTTCTCGTGGAGGAGCTCATAGAGCGCCTGAGATGTCTGCAGATAACGGGGCGTTCAGTATGACAGGTTCGACCGAGAGCGTCCCGAGAGACGCGGAGGCCCGAGACATACGTCGAGAGGGCCATCGTCGAAACTCGACCCGAAGACACCGTCGGGAGCGTCCCAAATATCGCCCGGGCTGCGACACTTGTATGTCGCCGAGCAGACAACATTCCCGTTCGGGTCGAGGTTACCGTAGGTGGGGTTGCCGCCGTTGGATTGGGTCGCGACAGGGACGTTGGTCGGAATCTTGCCTGCGCTCTTGGCGCTGTTGTAGGCATCGACCCACGCTTGCGGGAGGGCGTTGGGGTCCACTTTGAGGGGGAAACCAGCGGACCATTCTGTAGAGCGAGGAGGCAGAAAGGGGTAAGACAACAGTTTGTGGGGTTAAGATTCCGAACTGCGTACCTGGGGAGCCGACGGCGGCATAGGTGATACCGTCAGTAGCGCCGCGTTTGAAAAGGGCGTGGGCGGGGTGATCATCGTCGTGGTACCAGCGGCCAGGAAGGGCCTTGTCAAGAGCATGGTCGTGATCATGCGAGTCGTGAGTGACGGCAGCAGCGGCGGAGAGGGCGGCGGCGAGGAGTAGTAATGAATGAATGACGGAAGGAGGCATAGCGGCAGACTGGACAGAAAGGAGAAAAGACGACGGGGAGGGACGGGCGCATGGTTGGCTGAGTTATATACCGGCCGCGATCGAGCGGAACAGGTGCGATGAGTGGCAGAGGCTTGCACCTGCCGTCGAGACCGAGACGCTGGGCCAAGGACGCTAGCGGCTAGCCTGATCACACTCGGCCTTCTCTTGCCGCCCTCGCCTTCTTACCGCCAATGGCGATGCACCTGCCTTTCCCGGCCCCGGCGGCACCAGCTTCCAACCTTGCCGCGCTATTCAGTCGCCATCACTCCTCTGGCTTCTCAGCGCGTCCGCCTCCTCCATCCCGCCTTGCTACAGCCTATCGTGGCTGCCACACGGTCCATGGCTGAAATTTGTCTCATCAGTGGACAGGATCTTTCTGGGACTGCGATCCCGTCCCCATACCTTACAACCCAGTCCGGTAAGAAATCCGCTGATGTCGACTCACCCATTATGATATGCGACCATCTATTCCCGTCCGACGAGAACACACATGGTAGGCCTGATGGGAAGCTTACCGGTGTACTGCTCTGCTAATGCTGCCCGTTCGCGCCCAGAGGATTGGGTATTTTTCCACATTTGCGACTCTAGCCACACTCATCAGCGGGGCTCGAAACAGCCTCTCGGCCTTGGGCGCCACCGCGCGAACATCTGTTTCGGGCACATGGCACTCAGGAATATCCTGAACGTAGACGATGCTTGAATTAGCACCTACATGGTCGCTTCAATGTGACAGGGAAGCGTTCACTCTGCACTCCTTCCTATATCTCAATGGATTGTAATAAATGTAGGCACAGAGGATGTTGAGCCCTTCCGGCCCGGCCGAGCGGAAGGTCAAATAGAAATGAACAGCCTTGCCCGCCCGCGCGAACTGCAGTGTTTTCTGCAAATCACTGTAACGAAGAAACGGTGTCGTCAAGCGCATATGTAGATCGTCCATGGCACGATGTGCGCATACCGGGCGATACATGGTTTAGTCAACCATCAAATTTGTCAAATGTCCAAGTTCATGCCTCGATCCCTCGGCAAGCCGAATCTACCCCTCATCTCCCCGCAGCCATAGAGCCGACAGTGAGCCCTGGATCCTATAAAGGACCACAGAGCAAGGGAGAGGAGGGAAAGAGGGGGCATTAACCGGCCGCTGGTGGTGAAGGCGCGCCCGCATTACCTCCGCGGTACGCCGGGCGCAAGACGAGCACACCGTTACTGAGCTGCGCGACTTCCTTCACCAGCGCAGTGAACTTCGCCTTCTTCGCGTCGTCGGTGAGATAGCGCGTAAAGTGCATGATGCACTCGCGCGTTGTCGCGTTAGGCGTGTTTCGCAGCCATTCTATCACCATCCGGTCCTCCAACTCCCCAGGTGCTTTGCGCTTCTTCGGACGAGGAGGGCCGTCCGAGGAAGCGGCACTGGCGTCGTCTGCCTTTCGCTTGAGGAGTTTTCCTTCCGGGGGCGGGTTAACCCCGGACGGAGGGCTGTCGGCCCGTCCTGGGCTCGTGGCACGACTCGCTGGGGGCGACGCGCCTGTGGGGCTAGCGAGAGGACTTCCCGCGCGGCTCGGCATGCCCGTTTTTGGCTTGGGCACCTTCGGACTGGTAGCGCGTTTCGCAACAATAGAGTGACCACTGTGCCCGGGAACAGGCGAGGTCGCACGAGACGGTGTTTCCGTCTTCACGGGTACCGTGCCGTTCACCATAGCTTTCGCCCCTGTCGGGGGACCAGGTGGGGTTTGTGTGCCCAGTGGCGCGCCCGGCTTGGATTCGGGAGGTAGGATAGCAGGCCCGGTGTGCACCTGAGGCGGTTCTTCCTCCTCTTCCTCCTCCTCCTGCTACGCGTGAGTACGTCGCGCGGGCCGGACCAAGGTGCACATACCGAACTGGCGTAGGGGTTTTTCTCATCATCGGATTCATCGTACCCGCCGCCCTTCTCCAGCTTCTTCAGCGTCTTCTGGAGATTCTTGCCCGCCCCGGTCAATTTCGACTCATCCTCTTCATCGTCCGACTCGTCAATGAATCCCTCGCGAAGCTTGTTCGCGGTCTTGTACTCTCTTTTGAGTCGCTCCTGCGAATAATATGAGAGGCGTCTCGTATGATATGTCGAGCAAAACGCACCTCCAGCTCCTTAGTCTCTTCGTCTTCTTTGTCGTCGTGATCCATCTTGTCCTCATCGTCGGCAAACGTTTCCTCAAAGTCCAATTCATCAAGGAAGCCTTCTGCCCCCAGCTCACGTTTAACCCTGCGCTTGCTATCGCCGCCCTCATCGTCGTCGTCGCCGTCGCCAAACAGTCCACCAGGACCGCTGTCGACTGTCCGGAGCTTCTTACCGCCAGGCCCGAGACTCTGACTGGCGTTATGCACGAGCGAGGAGCCACTAGCGGCGGCTTGCTCCGTCTTTTGCCGCAATGCCCACTGCGTTGCGTCTTTACGCTTCTGCAGCTTGGTCATCTACGACAGGAATCAAGTTGATCTAGGCTTGATCAGGCGGAGAGCGATGGTACACACCAGCGACTCTGCCTCCTCCAGGTTCGGTATATGATGGCTCGGTTTCTTCTGGAACTTATACCACCGATGCGCGGGCACGAACTTGAAGACGTCGTTCGCGGCCGGCATGAACATCGCATAGGTCTGCGACTTCGACACGTCCTCCATCTTCCCCACCCACGTCTCCTTCTGCATTCCATCCTCAATGACCCATGGGAACTTCTCCTCCCGCCGCAGTTGCCTCGTCGCCTCCGGAACCAAGAAGACCTGCCTCGTCTTCTTCTGAAACCTCTTCGGCTTCTTGTCCTTATCCTTCCCCTTGTCCTCCTTCTGCTCCACGGGCTCACGCACCGGCCGTCCCAGCGCGTCGACCATGACCACCTTCCCATCCTGCCCTATGACCAGCTTTCCGTCAGACCCGACCATGTGGGCGAGGGCCTGCTGCGCGGGCTGCATCGTGGGGTCGTTGCGGTGGGGGTCCTTCCGGTTCAGCTTCACGGGCCTCGCCCAGTCGTTGATCTCGACCTTCTTCCGCGACTCGAACTTCATCACGTCGTACTTCCACCCGTTCAGCTTCGAGGACATCAGCCGGTACTCGGTGAACGGCCCATCCGGCTGCTTGGGAGCCGTATCGTCCTCGGTCTTGGGCGCGGGAGCCCGGCGCTGTGGCGCAGGGCGAGTGGCAGGGGACGCGGTGGCGGCCGGTGGTTTCTTGGGCGTACCGGGCGCGGACTGGGGATTAGGAGTGAGAGCAGGCTGTGAAGAGGAGCCTGGAGAGGGTGTATCGGCAACAGGGGTCTCCTTCTTGGGTAGAGTAGGTCGGCTAGGCCGCGGATTGAATAGTGTAGGGGCGCCCTTCTTTGCCATATTGTATTTGTTCTGAGGCGAATGGGGGCGCGATCTCAGCGCAGATGGATCTCAAAAACAGTATGGTGTCAAGCAAGAGAATCGGATGTTACGGCAGCACACAGTGAAGGAGGCCGCAACGGAAGTACAGACCCAGGCCGTGGCTGGCGTAGGTGGTGGTCGAGATGTAAGACGCGTGCGCCCATTGCGGAGCCGCCCGCGCTTGTTCTGACTCCTTGACACGCCCATTGCGCGAAGCAATGCAGCAACACACGCAGAGTCAAGATCCATGACCAAATCTGTGCCTTCAGAGCAGAGTAGTTGCATTCATATTGGCGGGACTACATCTCACTGCGGAAGGATGCCAGTCCGTCTAGAAATATATGAGACCGTCCGACACATGATGACACAGGCCTGTTGCTCGAGTGGGGTAGTACCTATGGAGTAGCGGAATCCGGAGAACAATGAGATAATATGGATACGCGAATAATAGCAGGCTACGCGGAGGCATACAACGAAGAAACTCTCCATCTCTATGCGCGGACGTTCAAGCCACGGAAGACGTGAAGATACACCATAAGATATCACCTTCAACTGGACGACAACTGAGAGGCCCTCGAATCAAGACAGACAAGAAATGATATCGCTACAGTTTCAATATCGTGGTGCGCAGATACCCTATGACGGGGTCTCCGTCCGCGCAATTCCGGGAGGATTGCCGTTAACGGCTGGTGGCTGCCCCACTGCAGGACCCGCACCAGGCGGATATGCATTTTGCGACGAGCCCGGACGGGAGAGAGGTTGCTGGGGAGGGGCGTGAGGCGGGAGAGGATGTGGATGGTGAGGAGGCCCAGGATGTCCGGTAGGCGGCGGGCCCGAAGGACCAGCGGAATGCGTATGGGGTGCATGAGGTGGTTGATGAGACGGTGGCGGCTGGTGAGGAGCCCCGGGCGGGCCAGGAGGGGGAGCATAAGGCGGGACACCAACAGGTGGTCCATGGCCATAGACGACAGCGTGCGGCGGCGCTCCTGCAAACGGCGGAGGCATGCCTTGTCGATAGCCATCCAACTCATGCCGCAACATTTCAATCTCCCTACCCATATCCTGGTGGCTCTGCTTAAGCGTGACAATGAAGTCGATGGCTAGAAAGGCTGTTTAGCCTCCGGCATAGTCGAATGCTTTGTACGTATCGCCGTACCTTTGCTGAGAATTTCCCACTTGCTTGCCTTCATCCCCCGGTCCGCAGGAAGTTGGTCTCGCAGCTCGTCAAACAACTCCTTCATCTCTTTTCTTCGTTTCCGTTCGGCTAGTTTGTGCGATACACGCAGTTCTGGCGAGCGCGAATATGGCGTAGAGCCCGAGGCCTTGTCTGAGGCGTGAGCGGACGTGGACGTATCTTCGGGATTTGTGCTGCCGCCAGGCGTGCCTCCGTTGCTGGCTGATTGGTCGGCAGTGCGGACACGAGAGGGCGGCCGGGAGCGTGACCTGAGGGCGCGCGTCGGGCCTGTGGAGGGCGGAGTAGGGAGGGAATCTGGGGAGATATTGGGTGCGGACATTCGACGATCTGGTGCGAAGGTGACTGGAGGCATGATTGTTGTGAGAGGGTCGAAGGGAGGGGGAGGGGACTGCATATTAACTGCTTGCTCGTTCTGCATGGTTGGATGGGCAGCATCAGCAGGAGCGTGTGGATTTTCAGGCCACGCGAAAGTAGCGATGTCGCCAGGAGGTCGGCCATGTGGCGAATCAGGACCGGGAATTCCCGAGGAGGGAGTGGTGTATCCGGTCGTCAGAGGCGTGTTGGAGCTAGTATATGCAGACGCAGACGACGTCGAATCTCGTCTGTCATTCGACCACCACGGAGACCCTGTTGTAGCGACTCGGGCATCTACAGAACTTCGTCGGTCGTACAGACTAAGCTGCGCAATCCTCTGGGTGTCAATCGCTGATCCTCGCCGTTTGGGGGCGGGTTCTTCTTCTCTGCCGCCGTCCTGACCAACCAATTGTGGATCGATGTCTGGGATACCAGGTGAATACACGCCTTTGTCGGACGAGATCTTGCGCTTCGTGCCTTGAGGCAGAACATGATGTGTGAGTAGGGTTCAGGACCGGACAAAAGGGCTTAACCACCTGCTACGACAGACTGCCGTCGGCCGCTGTAGTCAACGTCTTCAATTTCCCGGCTCCCCTGGTCCGGTCGTGCATTCCCCCCAGCCTCTACGCCACGATGATGCGTGTCCTCATGGTTGTCGACATCCATGTGGTCACTACCCTTTGCCCTCTCACCTACTGAGCATACAGCGATATGGGAAGCGAGCTACGTTCAGACACGCGGACCTTGTCGTCTTGCACCATTCAGGGACGAACTCACCTCCGCTCCCGTTGCGTTCCATAGCACCCAGCGTGCTCCCCTCCCGCCCATTGTCCATGGACATAGCTTGTGTAGGTGTTCGCCTGTCCGTCTCCGCCGAAGGTGATCTCAAGAGGCGTCGGAGGTTCGCACTGGGGCTTTCGTTTGGTTGGGACGAGGCGTCACCGAACTTATAGGGAGACAGAGGTCGCGAGTGAGAGAAGGAACGTCTAGACTCGCGCGGCGCTGACGACGGGAAACTGGTGGCAGGGGAGTCGGGACGTCGAAAGGGCGACGTGATGCCAGAAGAAGGGCCCGCGTGGTAAGTGGGAGGGTTCGGACCAGCATGGAGAGAGGGGTCTGTGATAGAGCCCCTACGCTGGTTTTGTAGAAATTCGAGAGGAGCGAGGGGTGATACGGCTGCCTGCCGCGAGCTCGAGGATGGCGACGAGGTTTTGGGAGGAAAAGCACTGCCTGCGGGACTTGCATTGGGAGAGTCGCCGGGCCTTTTAGCGCCAGCGTTGGCGGCGTCGCCGTTGGCAGACGTCGAGGTCATAGCGGAGGGCGTCGAGAACGGGGTTGCAGCCCGGCGCGGTGTGTCTAAGTACAGATAATATGGACGTGTGGAGGCAAGAGCGCGTGGCTACCATTCTTGATAACCACGTGGAGGAAAACTACCGATCCCTTTCAAATCTGGTTACATTGCTTGATACAAATCACTTGCCCGTCCGCTCCCTGCCAGCTCCCTCCTTCTCCTCCATGCAATACAACCTCCGTAAAGACATCTTCCCGCTCTCATGGCTACCCAGCTTTGCCCCCTGTTCACACCCTCCTTGCAGTTGCACACTGCGGAAGGATGAGAAGGACGTCATCCCGTGGCAGCGGCGTCTCGATTGTTGCTCACCAATAAGCGACAGCCAAGTCGGCTCGGGTCACGCCGCGTTCGCAGCAGGCCTGGGTCTCAACTCCTGTTCCAACTTCCAAGTACCAGGTGAAGGTCTAACGCACAGAATTGTCGGGCCGTCAACCCAACGTGCTTGTCGCTCCAATCGGAAGACCTGGATGACACCTCCGGCGGGGATCGTGTTGCGCGTGGAGACGTGAGAGTCCACAGCACCGTTCGTCGGGGTTTCTACCGGGCGTGGGTGAAATCAGTCCGCGCTGAAAGCAGCTTTCGGCCTTATCCACATGTACGAGTAACTAGTAAGTACCCTGCCCGTCGAGGAACCTCTAACTACGCCGCTCGAAGCCATGCACAAGCACGCCAAGGTCGCTTCATAGGGTTGATGTAGACATGGAAATATAAGGCCGCTCGTATCGCTATGTGAATTCTCGTGAACCATAAAGCATACCTTTGTGCTTATGCAATCGAATTGTCTTAGAAGTCCTCGGAGGGTGTAAATAAGAAATGCCTGCTTCGGATGCGCGTCCTTTATGAGCGTCTACTGGTATCGTAGTCGTAGTGCACGTGATCGCACCTGAAGGCGAATTTTCGTGGCGTTCAATACTCTGACCGAGAGCTCCGCTTTCTACATCCCTCTCTCCTCCAACTTCGCGAAAATGGCTAAGGACAAGTCAGAAAAGAAGGATAAGAAGAAGAAGGAGACGAAGGAGGTCACGGAAACTGTCACGGAGGCCATAGAGGTCAACGACGATGTCGAAATGGAGGACGCTCCGCTCGTGAAGGCAAGTCCTCGCTGTCTCGTCTGACTTCAGTTGGCGTCACGGTTATCGCGTAGGTCGAGAAGAAGGTGAGGAAGGAAAAGGAGGAGATCATCATCCCTCTCGAGGACCTATCACCAATCGCGCAGCCTCTTGCGCAGAAGAAGATCCTCAAGAAGCTGCATAAGACCATTAAAAAGGGTTCGTCTCCCTGTATTGTTTGAGCGCACACTCGGGCTCAAGTGTGCTTCAGCCTCGAAGCAGCGACAGGTTAAAAGGGGGGTCAAGGAGGTTGTGAAGGCCATTCGTAAGGGTGAGAAGGGGTGAGTAGCTCGATGGTCCGTCTCATTCTGTGGACTCATTTGCGTGGTGTGCAGGCTGCTCATTCTCGCCGCGGACATCACCCCTATCGATATCATCTCACATCTTCCTGTCATGGCTGAGGATGCGAACATCCCCTACGTGTTCGTACCCTCCAAAGAAGAACTTGGGCACGCGAGCGCAACGAAGCGGCCAACAAGCTGCGTGATGGTTTGTCCGGACCAAAAAAAGAAATCCAAGTCAAAAGAGGGCGCGACAGAGGACAAAGACGACGACTACCGGGAGACATATAACGAGTGCTGTAAAGAGATACAACAGCTGGACCAAAAGCTGATATTCTGACCAACCGCCTGGACTCGTCTCGCATTGATTCTCGTAGCATTTGTTGTACTTTCTGGTTCCTGTTGCTCATGTACTGCTTTCCACTCGTAATATACCTGCAAACCAATGTTGTGCGGAGTGTGCCTTGCGCGACATCTTCGCGTATGCGCGCCTGAAGAGATGGGCATCTGTAGAGCAGCCACGTCACGGGAATCGTGAATTAACCGTGACCACCGTCCTTCTCACGACAGGTCCTCATTTCTCTCCCCCGCCCAACTCCTCCGCTCCCTTTCCACCCTCTATCTTCATCTCTCTCGTAATGGCACCGAAAACCAAGTCCGCCGCCACTAACGGCGCCCCTAAAAAGGCCAAGTCCCCCGCGCCTTCCACCACCGACAGCTCTGCCCCCGCTGTGCACGAGGTTCAGGCCCAGGTCCAGGAGGAGTTCACGCCCGTCACCTACGGCCCCGGAAAGCCGGACAAGGCGTTGTTCGATGCCGAGCAAAACAAAATCAAGGCTGAGATCGACGCGCTTCAGGCTAAGCTGGTACGTCCTTGTCAATCCCTCTGCGGATCTTCGGGAAGCTTCATTTGGCCATTCCTAATCCGCGCGTGCAGAACGCTGTGAGGGACAAGCTCGCTCTCGCCGGAAAGGGTGGCCCCGGTACCGAGAGGCAAAGGGAGCTGCGTGCTGAGCTGGACAGCATTCGTGGCCAGCAGTCCAACAGCAAAGCTTCGCGGAGTAAGGTTATCGACCAGCTCAAGGCCCTGCAGGACGGGATCCAGAAGAAGGTACGTGTCATGTGGCGACTGTTTCGCAGGCTTCAGAACTGAACCTCGTTCCGCAACAGATCAAGGACCTCAACGCTCAGAAGGCCAAAATCCCTTACAAGACTGTCGCTGAGGTCGACGCTCGCATTAGGTATGTTCTAGCATGCACTCGTTCTTTCGCCTCCTGCTTACATGTCTGGACAGCCAACTCGAGAGGCAGGTCGAGTCAGGTAGCCTCAAGCTCGTTGAAGAGAAACGTGCTCTTCAGGAGATCAGCCAGGTCAAGCGCAGCAGACGGATAGTCGAGGGGTTCCAGGCAGAGCAGGAGGCCATTGAAGCTGACCGCGCTAAGGCCGATGAGCTCCGCAAGCAGCTCGACGATCCTGAAGCCAAGGCGGCGTCCGAGAGGTACGATGCGATCAAGGCAGAGTTGGATGAGTTGAAGAAGGAGAGCGACGAGGTGTACGCGAACCGGAACAAGCTCTACGACGAACGGAGTGCGATCCAGGGTCAGCTTGACGAGCTCTACAGCCGAAAGCGCGAGTCCGCGGCCCATTTCAAAGACGCGAACGACAAGTTCTACGCGAAGCTGAACGAGGACCGCGCGCGACGCGCAGAGCGATTACGTGCGCAGCGCGCAGAGCAGGAGGAGGCCAAGAAGAAGGAAGCCATAGAACGCATTCGCGAGGAGGCAGAGGCACCCGCGTTCCAGGCCCAGATAGAGGATTGTCAGACCCTCATCGATGCCTTTTCCGGCAAGTCGTCCACGGCCACGTTGCCGCACCAGAAGCCCCTCACGGAGAAATCGGACGTTGCGGGAGTGCCGAAGCTCGACATCCGGAAGGTTGAGACCGCGCCCGAGGGCTTGGTGGTGCGGAAGAAGAAGGGCGAGGAGGAGGAAGCGTACTTCGTCGCGGGTAGAGGCAAGAAGAAGGGTGGTAAGAAGGGTGGGGCGAAGCCCGCGGCCGAAGCGAACGGGGTTGAATCTACCAGCAGCCAGTTGAACGTCCCCCTTCCTACCCTTACAGCTCTTCTCTCGCTCTCAATACCGCCACCCACTTCTACGGCCGATGTCCCTCGTGTCATCGACGATCTCAAGACGAAGAAAGCGTGGTTTGAGGCCAACCAGGCACGTGTCACTGCGGAGAACAAGGCGAAGGCCGAGGCGGATATCCGCAAGCTCCTTGGAGGCAAGTCCAACGACGTCGAGATTCCTCAATCCGGCGATATACCCCCTGCTGGCGGCGCGGAGCGACCCGCGGAACCCGCATCTACTCCTGCTGTCGTCTCCGTTCCCTCATTGGGTGTCCCTAGCGAGGAGGTCGATGAGAAGCTAGAAACGGTGCAGGAGCAAGCCGTGGAAGCGTCCTAATATGATTGCGTGTACAGTCTTGGGTAGTAGCTGTCGGACTTATTCCCGTGTGCTCGTCGCTGCGCATATAACATATTTCTACCATCATGCATCCGCATCACTTCCAGTCACACAGCGGAAGCGTTGTGGCTGAATATATGGTATCATTGTCCAGTACATGATCTGGGGAGAATTGAGATACATTGGCAGAAGGCCAAGGGCAATATTCGATAAGCGATTTACGGGAGGACGTCAATACAGCAGCGAGGGCAAAGTCAATAATTAACAGCCAGAGAGAGAGCAAACGACAGGTATTAGTGTGATTGTTAGGGTATAGATAGTCATTCACAAAGCCCACAGATCAACATCCTACGAGTGTTTCCCTCACTATGACTCCGACTTCACCGATTCGGGCTCGTTCTCCGGGTCGCTGCTGGCCGAGGGCGGCGTGCCAGACGCGCTGATCCCCAAGTCTTGCGGCGTGAAGGCAGGCACGTCAAAGGTGCTCGAGTAGTCGGGGAATGACAGCCCAGAGTTATGTACAGACAGAGCATCCTCTGGCGTCGATGTGTTGTCGAGGTAGCTTAGGGAGCCGAAAGTGTCGGCTCCGAAGGTGGTTGCCGAGGGGTCAAGGGTACCCGCAGAGAACGTGTCAGCTTGAAGAGCAGCGAGCATGCTCGAAGTCGTCGGTGTGTTGGCCATTACACCGGCGGGGCGGACGTCGAGCGTGGTGTTGGAGAAACTCTCCTGGCCAGGCATCGGTGAAAGCGAGAAAAACTGCTGCTGCATGACAGGCTCGACCGACGCAGCAACCGAGTTTGTTGACAGTGCGACGTTCCGGAGGACGTTGAGTGCAATCCAATCACTGCAGCGAGGGAAGATCGTGCTAAGTGGGGATCGACATGAGAAGATGTGAAGGACTCACTCAAGGAACAGCTTGAGAATTTGGAATGCACCGAAAGCAGGGTCACTTCGGATAGTCTATACGCAATCAATGATGAGCACATGGTATGATGGCTGTTCCTGCCAGCGAGACGTACCAAATCTCGCATAACTTGACTTGTAACATAGCCCCAACGGATCAACACACTACGGGAGCTCATGGTTGTCCTCTCTTCAACGCCACCGCCTCGGCCGCCCATCAACCGTTCACAGCACTTGTCCGCCCACGCCATGACGTCGCGAACGGGGTCCTGACTCTTACTCAAACCCTCCAGCACTTGGACGAACTCGCCCTCCAGGAGCTGCACCAAGTCTTCGTGGCGACAATTGCACACCAGAGCCGACTGGTTCCGAACAGACTCAAAGTCGATCTTTTGCCAAGAGCGCCTCATCTCCAGGAGCTGCTTTTGGTTCGTTAGGACCGTGTTCAACGCTTGCGTGACCTGGTAAATGTCAAGGAAGCGCACTATAACGTTGACAGTTAGTTTCACACAGCACTCTCTGCAGCCAGGAACAGGCATAACTCACAGACAAGGTGGCCGAACCGTGCGCCCAATTCCACCTTGGGCTCGACAAACGTATTTCCGTATGAGTCCAGGGCCACAAGGAGGATCTTCTCCATCTTGTCAGCGAGCTGACGAAGGCCCGCCAAAGAAGCGGGAGCAATGGGCGAAAGCATCTGCGACCGAAGCATCTCCAGTATTTCCTGTGATGTTGGGTGAGCTCAAGTTCCGACATCTAGGCCGGTCACAAAGTCAGAAAGACGACGTACATCGTAAACGATCGCATCCGCCTTAGCCATCAAGCCCGCGACAGCGGGAGCGTGAACAACTTCCCGATGGGCACCCGTGAGACTCGACCAGAACGTGCGCAGATGCATCTCAAACTGATCAAAGCGGAACGCCCGCACGCTCTCGAGCAACGCGTCCGAGTGGTCCTGGAACCACGTCCACACTTCGCGTGCGGCGATGCTCTGCGGCGTCGTCGAGTTCACGCCAACTGCCTCATCAATGGAAGGGAAACTGGGCATCTGGCGCACGGACGCAGCGGTACCTCCGCTCATCATGGCCAGGGACGAAGATACGCTTCCCGAAGGAGATGGCTGCTGGACCTGAAGGCCTTCCTGGCCAGCGTGCCTCCGTATCGGGGCCTGTACAGGGAAAGCGCTCGTAGGCCGCTGGGTGGCCTGTGCTTGCGAAAGGAGGCTCGCCGCGGTGGGAGTCTTCTCATCTGCAAACATTGTCGGAGCCTTCGCGCCTCCGCTAGACAAATTCAAGGAGTTACGTTTGGACGCGGGCCCAGACGCGGGCCCCTCTGACTCGTCCTCGTCGTCCTCATCCGAGCCGCCACGGTTCTCGCCCTGCTCGTTGGACATGCGGGCAGCGTTGACAGCCTGTTGTGCGGCATTATTGTTCGACTTGCGGATGTAGTCCTGGAGGAACTCAGCCTCTGCGGACGTCGCAGGACGGATGCCGCAATCTGTCAGGAAATTGTGGCGTCAATCAGGCGCCGACAGAATCATGATCGAAGAACAAGGCGGACGTACAATGATATTTGCTGTTCCCCCGAACTCCCAGCCGCCTTGTTTTGATAGTAGGGAAACATAGCCTGATTGCTTTTCCCAGCGTGGCGGTATTGATATGTGGTATCCCATACTGATCGCAGACCCGGCGGTATGAGAAGTAAAGCCCTTGACGCGGAACATTCCCGTCAGGGTATGGAGAGTAGTTCGCTGTCAACCTGCTCGACGGGAAGGCACGACGGTGGCAGGGGTGAGGCACGGAAACAGGGGGGGAACACAAGGGAGCGGCCGGCGTGTAACGGTAAGAGTCCACAAGTGATGGGGATCAAGGGGGGACGCACCATGCCTGCACGAAAATCTGCTTTGCCCGGTCGGACGCACTCGTCGTCGTCGCCGCCCGCACATTCGCCGCGAGCTTCTCCAGAGCGTGGTCAGGGGAGAGGGCCATTCTCCCATACGCGTGCATAGCCTCCGCTGGGTTGGGCATCATCGTCTGGGGAGGCCCGGCGAACATGGTGTGGTACTCGGAGCCGGCGGTGGCGAGGTACATGGAGATGTCCTCTGTCTCACTTGAAGACGAATGCACACTCTCGGTGTCACGAGGGTAGGGGGAGGCTGAAACACGGGCGCGGATGTGAGTCTGACGCAGGTGGCCCTTCAGAGCGGGATTGGTTATGTTGTGATTAGGGGGCGAGTCAGCAGGGGTCGCGAGGTCCAGCGAGTACGCGGAGGAGAGGGATGCGTCGGAGGTGTTGCGAGCGTGGTCGAAGGTGTTGGTGGTATGGAAAGAAGCGCGATAGAGGTCTTCGGCGGAGGGTGGGAGAACCGCCGTCGTGCGCAGAACGCCGCCACCCTGGGAAGACTGAGGCCGCGAGCCGGGCGAGTGCGAGGAGGAGGATGAGACAGAGTTGGAGCGGGAGTGCAAGTGGGCATTCGGGAGGAAGTCGAAGGGTACGTTGGCGGCCATCATCTGGAGGTTCACTGCCGCCATGCAGATAAGTAGATATAGATATGGGGGAGGGTAAGGACTGTGTGTGTGGCGGATTTGAGATCCTGAAGCGGCCCAGCCGTGCGCGAACGAAGAAGGGAGATCAAGGAGAGGAGCAGAAGCGGACGAAAGCCAGAGCGAGTGGGTGGAGTAAAGAGGAGAAGAGGCGGGGAGGCAGAGCAGAGATGATGAGGATGTGTGATCCTATCCGTGCGCCTGCCGCCGGAAGTAGTGCAAGGCAAAGAAGGATAAGAACCCGCGACGAGACCCCCGAGTCCTCTCGCAGCTCAGATGGTAAATACAAAATAGAAATCCGCGTTGTGGAAAGTTCAGATGGCAAGAAATGCGAGATGCACAACGTCGTCGGTGGTCAAGGCAACACGGGCCCACGCCAGAGCCCTCCTCCCAGGCGCCTCCCCCCTCCGAGGCACGGCGCCCACGGCCCTCCCCCTCTCCGCCTGGCCGCAGCCGTTCCCACAGCTCACATCGCTCTGATCCGCCGCAGGAACGAGGTCTCATCAACTGATCATAAATCCATCTATCCATCTGTCGCACCGCTAGTACATAACGCGTTTCTCATCCTAAGCCGGCTCGCCGCCCATGTACATGAACTCCTTAAACCGCTGGCGCAGCTTTCCCTTGTTCCTCCCCAGCCTTTTCGCAAGCCCGGTCCAAGACGGAATCGTCAGGTCGTCCAACGTGTACGGCGCGAATTTTTTCGATTTTGTTGTCGTGCTATTCCGGAGCGAACGGGGCAAGTGGCGCTTTGGAATAGGCCAGTCGAATTTCCGCCCCATTGCGGTCTCATTCTCCGACTCGGGTGCATCGTCCGGAGGCGGGTGCAGAGTGCTCGCCGGGAGTGTCAGATATTCCAGCTTGAATTTCGGGCGGTGCTCCTCATCGGCCCCGTCGAGGTTCGGCAGATAGTACTGCAATGAATTGCAATGAATCACACGGCGTGATGGTCAAATTCGTGCCTGAAGATGACGCCCGAATCTGATCATACCTGTGCATAGCCAAGAGGCGTCCACAATGTGTTCCTCCGAGAGGGTGACCTGGGGCTCGAGTGCCACGGTTGCGTAAGTTTGCATCGCCAAGTGTTCTCGTACGCTTCGTCGGCACAAAGCGGGCCTGCGACATCCTTCATGGATCGCGGTGTCCGCCCTGGTTGCTCGTCCTCGCCGAGATGCCCAGGCTCGTAGGGCTCTCCCGTGGTGTTGTAGGTGAATATGCGGAAAGAAGGCAGGTACGTCGGGACCACCGGCGGGGCGACGTTAACGACACCATAGTTGTCATGGTCGAGGTTCTCGTATTTGGGAAGGTCAGAGAATTCCTGCATCAGCGTCTTGTACAGTTCCTTCTTCTTCTGCTTGAGGGTCGAGATTCCGTTGTCGAACGTCGATGACATGTTGCGAGGCCGAGAGAGCTGGTTGGCGTCCAGTAGGAAGAACTGAATTGGTCTTAGAATAGAATATCGTCCGGAGGAGGTCGCGCCGCACTTACATGATCCATGTTCATATGCTGCCCTCGGCACCGATTCCAAATGAATGATGGCTAGACAGCGAAACTAGAGATAACTCACACCGTAAAGGTGCCCTAGAATGGTATCTTGGTACCTCAACGAAAGTTCGACATATCGGACGTACTAGTGGAAGGTCAGTATCGCTTTTGATTCGACGAGTCGTCAATGGCATTCCACTAACGCATTCCGGAAAGTAGTTTCGAGGCGACGGAGGGACATGTCCCGTCAACCAAACCTACGGATTTCGTCAATTATGTGGCCAGCCAATCGGACACGGCTGGAAGTCGGACCTGCATCTTCCTGCTTCGGAACGTCTCCAGCTGAACGTCTAACCAATCAAAGTGGAGGTTCCCGGGGTCTTGTGGTTCGGAATGCTCACAGCCTCCCACAGCTGTTCAGTTGCCATGGTAACTAGTCAAAATATGGTGTAGCGGCCTAGAATGCGGGGAAATCGTACCTGCGTTTGAATCATAGAAGTACATCGTGTTCAAGCTGATGACGGCCACAGAGCTGGGAACCACTTCCACAGAGAAGTAGCCCCCACGCTGAAACACCTGATATGCAGGAAAGGGAACGAAGGCCCGCCAGATACTGGCATTCAGCCAAAGTGAGAATGAATTACTTCTGTCGAGTCAGCTGGATAGACATACGAAGAGAATTCGGATGTTATGCCGTTTGGACCTGTGCATCCTTGCACTTCGTGAGTGTTTTATGAAACTATGCAGTGTACGCACCTGGCATCATGATGTTCTGGACACTGCATTTAGCCACACGATCGGAAGTTCGAGATAAGAAGCACCTACATGCGCTGTGTAAACCCCGACCGTCAGTATCGGTCTACAAAGTGAACCAGAGCTACATACGCCAGACGTCATTATTACCTGTGAGAGAACATCGACGAATAGAGTTGCGGTTAATGGAGTGACTTTCTACGGAGAACGCGACGCACCTATGGTGGGCACCACGGGAATACCCTTCCGCGCAAAGACCTCTTCCATCTTCTTCGCCATGGCTCGATTGAGACCGTATATCTCCGACGTCGTCCGGGGGTGTTTACGGTCGTTGTCATGCCTGGCATATAGTGCAAGCGTCCCGTCCGTTGGTCCTGACAGCCCATTCACAATCGTGTCCAGTTCGCGTACCTCGCACTATCGCCAGTCCCTACGCAACCCATGAGTCTCGAAGCACAAGCCGGAGGAAAGCCCAAACGGAGTGAATTACATATCACAAAGTCTATATCATCCGCCCATTCTCGGCCCAGGAAGTCGAGCGTGTGGTTCGTCAAGGAGAGCGGGGCGTCGCAATCACTGCAGCCGGTGAACATCCCTGCCCCATATTTTCCAGTGTGGACTTGCGAACTTGCCTGTAAGACAGGCCGTAGTAACCTGCTGCCCGCTTGCCCTTCTTGGGCTTGCCGCGGTGACAAGCTTTCTTCTCCGATGCACCCACGCGATAGTGTGGGTCGGGGTGCATGTCCGTGATATGCAGGAATCGTCCTTGCAGTTTCCGGCGGGGCTCTAGAACGCGCAGACCACAGTCAGACGACCAACCATGAGACTAGAATACCTCCGCACATACTTGCGTAATCATCCGCATCCCATGGTTGCGCCGCCAGCGGTACCTGGCTGGATATGCTCAGACTCCGGGGTACGAGACAGAGGAGCAGGACGAGCGTGGCCTTGAACTCGAGCATGTTGGTGGAGTGAAAGCAAGTTGGACGACAAAAAGGCGATTATCTCGAGCTCTAGCGGTGTGAAAGACTAGTATGGTATATCTAGACGTAGGAGTACATGGCTGGCAGGGAGAAGCAGACGAAGACGGTTATTCGACGGCGCACGTTCGTCGCCATCTGAGCGCAGGCGCCCATCTCCCGCCAGCGCTCCCGACAAAAGCGGTCACACGTCTTCCCTTCTCTCGATGCGTCTCAGTATCACGGTCACGCGTTTCGCCGGCACGCCCACGCTGTCCATCCTATGAAGTGTTCGCCCTTGCTCCTGCGCTTGCTTCCTCAACCCACCGCATGTGATCCAACGTAATCTATCGCCCAAGCTTCCACCACTTGTGTATGCTGACGTGCGAACAAATCTTATTCTTCGCAGGGAATACGCTTTACTATAGGTACACATATTACACGTACTCGGCGAGTATTTTACTGTTCAACTGCTCTCGACAATGTTGCTGGTGTTACAGGTGCACGACAAATACATAAGACGGACAGGCGACGATGCGGATAACCCAGGAAACAAGGCGACGATCGGCGGCGAGCTCGACCTCTACTTGATCCTGATAGACCGCCCAGAGGCACTGAAATCGTTCATCCTCGATTCGTGGCGTGGACGGTGAAGGTCGAGGAGCGTCGCGGCGTTGTCATTCTCGTTCAATACCTTGCGGATCGACTCCTCGACGAGGTGGCACATCTGGTATAGGCGACGACCGTTAGGACAGCCCCACACTCAGCACAAGAAGTCTGACACTAACCCGACTGTAACCACCACGTTCAAGCTGCGAACGCGATTTCGCGATTGTGTTGTGGATGGCATCATATGCGTACCTCCGCCTGTGATTGAGTCAGATTTGGCGTCGGTGATGTAAGGCGTGCATGTACTCACAAAACGCTCTCGAGGTCACTGCGGTTTTGTGGCACGAGGTAGAGGTCAGCCCCGTTCAAAAACCTCTGGAACGCCTGGTAGGTAGCACAACCAGACGTGAGCGTCTCGTCGAGAGAAGGATGATCCTGATCCCACGAAAACCAGTTTTCACTAGAGAACGGTGGAGCGTGAGGTCGAGACTTTGGTTACACATGCGAACCCGCCACAAAGGAAGGTAACGTACGTGAGATAGGTGTGCGCTTGGGCTTCGGGGGACTGTGGTGCGAGGAAGCGGTCCATGGTGGTCGAGGTTAGAGAAGGAAGTCGGTAGCGAGCAAGAGACACAAGTGGAGGAGGTTGAGCGGATGTGGGGGCGGTAGTGCGGATGCGCAAACACAAGCTGAGGCTTTATGTACGGTTCGGGAGAAGCCTTTATGACAAATACAGCAGCAAGTAAGCTTCCGAGTTTGAGGGATCGTGCCACGGTCTGGCGAGGGTCGATGGGCAGTGCGGGGCAAACGTGAAAGTTCAGCTCCAGGAAGGGAGAGATGAGTCCGAGGAGTCAGTCTCAGCCACTGTGAATATATGCGAGTAGACGCCGACGCGCTCGCACGTTCGTGCCGACTTGGGTTGTCCGCTTGCTCGGCCTGCTTCTCGATCAACTGCGTAACGCTCGGTCGATCTCAGCATTTCCGCTGCATTGGGGCGATTTCCCGGCGCATCGTTCGTTCAACGCGTCGATCTATGTCTATTCTTCATGTCATGTCATTGGGGGCGATACTTCTGCGACGAGCCAGACATGCATTTTTCGCGGCGAGACGCCCCCAGATGGTCTTATCTGTGCTGACTGAAAAAGATGATTGGAGATGTAATGTCCGACCGCGAGACCCCGAGCGCTGATTGGCTGGAAAGCTTATCTGAGGCGCCTCGGACAAGCCCAGGGTCGCGGAGTGCCGCCGCGACGCTCGCATCGGGCAACGCCGACGGTGAGGGTCTTCCCAGAATGGGGCGAGGCGCCACTTGGCGTACAGGTAGCCGCTGCGACCGAAACTCGTTCCGCGGCTTGGCTCGTCTGCGTTGCTGCTCTTGGGTATCTGCAAATACAAGCTACCGTCCTTGGCAGGTATCGCATTCCTCTCTTACCCACACAACCCCGGTTCTCATCTCCGCCGAGCCCATCTACGCTCGTCTTTGAATCGAAGCTCTCGTCATCGCCACCCTGCAAGACTCGTGTTCTCAGCCATCCGTCGCCGTATCTAGCAATATCCGCAGGCTGCTCTATCACTTGATCAACCTCCGGCGAAATGTCCGGGGAAGACCAAGCTTTGTGGACCCCCACTTCACCCGAAACGTCTGCTACGTTCCGGTTCCTGAACCGTATTAACGCCGAGCACTCCCTAGCACTGTCCAGCTACTACGACCTGTACAAGTGGTCCGTCGAGAACATCGACAAGTTCTGGAGCGCCGTCTGGGACGCAACCGAGGTCGTCGGACACAAGGGCACACACGTAGTCGACACCGCCGCGCAGCCACCGGCCAATCCAGCATGGTTCCAAGAGGCCCGAGTGAACTGGGCTGAGAACATGCTCCAATGCCGCTCTCCGGAGAAGACCGCCCTCGTCCAAGCCAGTATGTTCTCGTTTCCGGTTACGGCTCTACACACGTTCGTCCACAGTGCGGTGCTGAGATGCAACGTTTGACTGCGCCGTCACTGCTCCTGGATCCTGATGACGCTTGTGTCTCTGACCCAGTCGAACCCGAGCTTAACCATCCCCATCCCGAACTCCGACGCGTCAGCTATGCCGAACTGTATGCGGTCGTCGCCGATCTGGTGTCGGCCTTCCTCGCACGCGGCCTCCAACCTGGCGATCGCATAGCGTCATACTCTTCCAACTGCATTGTACGTCTCCGTCTCCGTCTCCGTCCTCGTCCTCCCCATCGTGCGGGAATCCTTCTCCAATTGTAACAGCTTCCGGTGTGCTACGACAGCCCAGATTGCTCAGGAACCGCTTTGTCCGCGCCCCTGAACCATCTCATAATGCTTCGACGCGCGGGCATCCGTGTGGGCCCCGAGCACTTCGAATCATCGCTGATATCCGCTGTTTCCCGTAGGAGAATGTGGCTGCCTGCCTGGCTTGCGCCGCAATCGGTATGTCCCACCAATCCCGCTGCCAACCGGTGGTGCTCACTGCATACGCTGTGACGCTGTGCAGGATGCATTTGGGTCAGCGCCGCGGCCGACTTCGGACCTGAAGGTGTCTTCGAGAGGTCCGTGGTGGTCCTGATCGCATGTGGTCGTGCTCACGGATAGACCAGGTTCGAACAAGTGCAGCCCCGCCTGATCATCTCGGTGGACGCTGTCGTGTACGTCCCAATGCACGAAAAGCCATCGCACGTTGGTTGACCGCTCCCGACAGCTACAACGCGAAGGTGCACCCGCATCTTCCGAAGCTCAGGGCGCTATTGGTCGATCTCGCGGAGAGATCTTCCCTGCATCCCGAGGTCGTTGTCGTCCGCCATCCGTTCGACGTCACCAGTCGTGGAGACTGGGATGCCGGCTGGAAGGATTGGAATGAATTGGTCGCCGTGGGTCGAGATAAGAAGCTTGGGCGGGATGCCGATGGCGAGATTCTATGGAAACGGCTTGATTTCAATTGGCCGCTGTGGATTCTGTTTAGTTCCGGGACCACAGGTGCGTAGCGGTTACGTGCTCTGAGTCCAGGGCCCGCTTCGAGCAGCCCGGTCTCCGATTGTTCACATTCATCCTTGTCCACGTGAAGGAAGACCGAAGTAAGGTTAACGCTACACCGATAAGGATGGACGCTTGCTGACTGATTTGAATCGCTGCATAGACCGATCGTCCACCGTGCTGGCGGAATGCTTATTCAAGCCAAGAAGGAGTTCGTCATTTGCGCGGATTTGCAACCTCGTGATGTGTTCTTCTACTACACGACGACGTTAGCGAGGGCATTGATTGCATGTGGACACCTCGGCTGACTTACTCTACGTTCTAGGGGATGGATGATGTGGAACTTCCTCATAGCCGGGTTGAGTGTGGGCTGCACGCTCGTGCTCTATGACGGAAGTCCACTATATGACCCGGCGCATCTTTGGCACCTCGTGGACGAGCTGGGCATAACGATCTTCGGAACCAGTGCGAAGTACATCGATCAGCTGGCGGTATGTCTATTATAGGATTCTCTGAGACTCACACCCCAAACCCTAAAGCATGCTCTATTGGACCTTACGCCCTGCTGATCTCATTTCACGCCGCAGAAAGTCTACAAACCTGCTGGACGCCACAACTTGACGACTTTGCGGCATATATACTCCACGGGCTCTCCGCTCGCGCCACACTTGTTCGACTTCGTCTACGAGCACATTAGCAGGAATGTTCTGCTGGGCTCGATAACCGGTACGTCCGCAGTTGAATTGTGGCACGCCCTCTTCGTAGATTGCAATTGATCGATTGGTCCGTTCTGTTGTTCCGTAGGTGGGACGGACATATGCTCGCTCTTCGCGGGAATGTGCAGTGCGCTGCCGGTGTTCCGAGGGGAGATCCAATGCAGACTTCTAGGAATGGCTATCGAAGCCTTCACCCCTACAGGCACCGTGGCGGGCCCAGACGAAGGGGGCGAGCTCATCTGCCTCAAACCGTTCCCTTGTATGCCGGCCGGATTCTGGCCGCTCCCAGGGTACGGTACCCTAGAAGCCGTCGAGTCAGCGGCGAAGAGATACCAGGACGCGTACTTCTCCGAGTTCAAGAACGTTTGGTGTGAGTTGTCTTGGCGCAATCCTCGAAGGCGCATCCTTGCAGTTGACTGACGTGGCCATCGGGGTCGCGCACCGTGCCTTGCGTGCCTTTCGCCCATGATGCTTAGTCCACGGCGACCACATCGTTATCACGCGCTCGCGGGCAGGCAATGGCGGTGGCCTCGTAATGCTGGGGCGTAGCGACGGCGTCTTGTACGTATCCGGATATGCTCGCTTCTATCCGTCTGCGCGCTCAGCTCACACCGTACCGCGCCCATCAGGAATCCGGGGGGCGTCCGTTTTGGGTCAGCTGAGATATACGACGTGATAGAGCACTGCTTCTCGCCCGCCGCAACACATGCGGGCCACACCATTGTCGACTGCCTCGTCGTCGGCCAGAGCATCGCGAGCGGGACGGACGAGCGCGTCATTCTGTTCGTCAAGTTGCTTGAGGGACAAGTCTTGACTGCAGAGCTCGAGAACAGGATCAAGTCAGAGGTGCGGGCGAGGCGAAGCGCGCGGCACGTTCCAGCACGGGTGAGCACAATAAGGTTTCTTCTCTCCTTCGCAGTTCCTCCCGCGTCTCGCTGGACCCTCAGCCGCGGGCTTCGCGAAGCGCGCGAGGGCGAAGCGCTGCAACGCTGTTGGCTCATGTTGCGGTCTTCTTGACGGGTGTGCAGATCATCCAGGTCGAGGACATTCCATACACGGTGAACATGAAGCGCGTGGAGGTGCCTGTGAAAAAGGTAACGTGTCTCCGTATCCCTCTTTCCCCGGTCGCGGGTGATCCGACCACGGTCTGCCTTCGGGCACTGTTGAGCTGCAACGGAGAGAGAACGTGGATGCTGAGCAGATATCGAGCAGATCATCAACGGTGCCCCGGTGAGCAGCGTCAATCCGGCCACCCTGCGGAATCCCGAATGTCTTGCTGCGTACGAGAAAATTGGGGAGTCGCTGCGGGCGGAAGCATAAGTGATGGTGCGAGAGTTTTCGCGGAGATGAGCGAACATAATGACAGTGGAGGAACGGAACACGGAAGTCATATGTCGGCTTGCGAATGTTGCCGTGGAAGATACAGTCAGACGAGTCAATGTATAAGTAGCATGCTTATCCGGATAAGAGGCGGGTAAACGGAGGAGGAGAGGGCGGCTTACGAATAGGCTCCGGGGGTTGGACGAGGTTTGACTGAGGTGGCCGGGCCGATGGATCTGGACCTGAGATCGTGCGGTGATGGGATAGCCGGATGGGATGGGCACCTTAGATGCAACTGCCCGATTTTGACTTTGGAGTTGCTGCCTCGTGTCGTCGGGCTCCCATCAGCACCATGCCTTTGCACCTTCGCTTTGGGGACCAACTCGCACACAAACAATGGAAAATTTGGCCGCCTTAAGCAGCGGGGCTCTCACTCCCGTGCCTTTCTCCGAGCCTCCTCCTGGTCGCTTTCCCTCGTCTCCCGACCACACCAGGCTCCTGCTCGTTCGCTAGACCGCTTTCTGCGCTTCCTGCAGCGGAACCGGTCCTTTCGACGGGCACGACTCGCACGGACACGACAGGATATCGGCCACGATCACGAAACGAGTTTAGAGCACGGTCCGACACACGGCCACGTTTTCTCGCTTTGCTACGCTTGCACCGATTGATTCTGCAGAGGTCACGCAGCGCCGCCATCCCGAGGCCTCGTTTTCATTCATAGCCTCATTTCGCACTTCATTCGGCTCGCTTGCCCCTTTGCGCCTATCGCCGCTTCACCTCTGTTGTCGCTTTTGGTCGAGCCTCCCTGCAGCATCGCGTGATGTCTCCTTCAAATACCAGGGCGCAGAGCAGGCCGAGGGCCCAGTCCCGCTCACGTTCCAACAACAACACTTCTTCAACCAAGCGACCTCTCTTTGCTTCTCTCTTTTGTCTGCCCCGCATGCCCCCCGTGTTCAATATCGTCCGGGTGTGCGTGTATGGTAAGTGCAGCGCAGTGTCTACCGCAGTGTCATGCGCATCGCTAACGGTCTGTGGCCTTCGGTAGTGGCGGTCCTGGTATGGACGATCGTGTGCTTGGCCATTGCGGCGCACTTCCAGAGCATCCTCCAGTCTTCGGACCTTAGTGAGTACCCTCCCGTCCCTCCTCTGTTGCGGCAAGAATACTGATGCTTTCTCAGCTCGTTTCGTGCCGTTCGCCATCTTCGTCTCCTGCACAACTATGGTTATCATCATCGCTCTGTACGTATATCTTTCGAACAGGACAGATGGATGGATGGGTACTCATGGCGGACATAAGGCTGGCCTTTGGGTTGTGGAAGGAAAGGAACCCTATATCCACCAGGGTTGAGCTCGGATGTCTTCTTCTGGCTGGAACTCTCTGGCTAGGTGCGTGTTTCATCTTCCCATGGATATTCTTACACTCTTTTCATTGTGATATCCATCTACAGCGCTGGGGGCATTCGTCGCTAACTCCGACTCGGAGATGGCTGACGTGGAATGCTTTTCCTCGTCTGACGCCAACGCTGAGCCCATCGACATCCCTGGGTGTGAGTACTCGATCTTTTCACCGACCGGATTTTGGCATCTGATCTGTCCCTGTTTCAGTCAACTCTGAGACCTATCACGCTCAGTACCATGTTCTCGAGGCCTTTTCCTTCTTCAACATGATTCTCAGTAAGTTGCCCCTCGCCCTATCAAATTGCCTTCATGCACTGACAGACCATCGCGAAGTTTTCGCATTCCTTGTACTATTATTGGTGCTCGCCGTGCGGCAACACCGCGCGGGCTCGAAGCACGTTTGGGTTCTTCCTGTGACGATGATCTCCTGGTTCGGTCGGACCGGTAAACCTGTGGGCAAGCTTCCCGCGCCAGTTACCCACCGCTCGCGCTCGCAGTCTCGGCGTCCGACGATGACCGAGAAGGAGAAGCCCAAAGCGCGCTCCCAATCGCGCCCGGCTGATGTCCGACGGAACGAGTCCCAGCGCGCTCTCCTGCGTGACGACTCTTACAGGACGAACGACTCTCGCCGCCCGCTGAACCGCGACGACTCGCAGCGGACGAACGACTCCCGCCGTCCGCTGAACCGAGGCGACTCGGGGCGGACGACGGACTCTCGCACGCCGCTGAACCGCGACGACTCGTGGCGGACGGCGGATTCCCGCGGCCGCCCGGATCTCCGGCGGGACGACACGCGTCGGACGAACGACTCGTCGAGACGGCCCGATGTGCGTCGGGAGGACTCGAGACGCACGAACCCGGGCGAGTCGCGGCGGCTGGCGACACGAGGCGCGTCGCCGACGCGGAACGAGGTGCCGACGTACGTGTACTGGATGCCGCACAAGTCGCCCGAGGAGGCGCATACGCGGGAGACACGAGCGCCTGCCCCCGCCCGCGACAGCAAGTTCTTCGGCCTGTCATCCCGGCGGTGACGGGCCCCGAGGCGTCGTTGCGGGGCGGGTATGATTATTATGCACGACATTGTCATCACCATCATACATAGACACGACGGCTCTATCTGCTGTCGCATTGGGCCGGATTATTTGTGATGTATTATTTTGCTTAGGGTAGCACGTCGCTCCTTTGTGTGTACCATTAGAAGTAGCCTGGGTGTATCAAAGGGTGTATTGAAGTGTAAAAGTCAGCGTGTGCGCGTGCGAGGTGCCAAGGCTGCAAGTACGTTGAGCCTTGTGGTGGAGTCGGGCGATGAGGGCACGAGGCGGGGTGCTGATGGCGCTCCCGTCAAACGCGAACACGCGCTCGGTCATGTGACGTGAGACATTGAACTTTGGAGAGACGCGCCGAGTCCCGAGTCGCGGCTACCGAGGCCAGGGCAGGGCAGGGCGTGTTGATCTTGTACGGCAGACGTCATTCCACGTTCCAACGTTCCTCCCCGAGCCTCCCCTCTGCCCGGGCTGCGACCCCCTGCGTTCGCTCTAACGACCCGCCCCATATCTCTCCCGCCTTTACGTCTTACCGCGATACCTGAAACCCTGACGAACGCTATATTCTCTTGGTTCAGCTCTCGAGGTAAACATCGTTTCACCTCCTCTTCGCATCTACCGACGAGTTTGACCTCCCCTGCCTCCAGGATGACCCAGCTCTTCAGATCCATGCGCCTCTACGGCAACAGTGAGTGTTATCGACTGTGCCTCGCCATGCTCCTCGTGAAGCCTGATCGCGACCTCCGCCCACGCCAGTTGTTCTCCTGCTCCTCAGCGCCACCGTTCTCGGTATCACAGCATACTGGGCAAGCATCTTCTTGCCTAACGTCCGCCGTGCGTGCCTTGTATCATCGTCGTTCTCCACCTGGCGGTTCATGTGACTGTTGTACAGACGACTACTCCATTTTTGCCATAATCGTCCCAGCCTTGACCATACTACTACTACTGATTGGGTGCGTAGCTGCGCTTTGTTTTCTCTCCACTTGCTCATGTTGTGTCCACAAGATTACAATGGTCCACCCCGAGAACGGAGGCGTTCTTCCTGTTTATTCTTGGAGTGCTTTGGCTCGGTGAGTCCTCCCGCTCCGTGATCACCCAGCGTCACAGCTAAGATATCGCTTTGCAGCCATGGCAGCATGGACCACGTGAGACTGTCCGCTATTTCGCTAATACGAACTGACTCTCACCGTTGTTTGTTCATAGTGACATCATTGGCAACACTCAGTGTGACTCCCTCACGAGCCAGACTATCCCGACGAACTCCGGGACGCGTGAGTATGCCCTCGCTGAGAATGATTGACCTTGCTGACACATTTGCAGTCTCGGAGAGAAGCTGGTGCTACGAGATGCGCGTCGTACAGGCCTTCTCGTGGATGATCTTCTGCCTCTGTTCGTCTTCCATACGGGGGCTTGGCTTGCCGTTCGATGCACAACTAACTGCCGACCCGGCTGCTTTCTTCTAGATGTAATTTTCCTCTGGATCCTAATCTCACTCACCACGCGCGCCAAGGCGCTCGGCCGTCCGTTCGCCTGGGCAGAGCCGATCATCGAGCTCCCCTGGTTCGGACAGTGGCCGGGCTTCCCCGAAGGCCAGTACCCGATGAACGGCATGTACCAGCAACCGTACGCGTACCCCGCGGGCGCGCCCATGTACGCAGGCAGCGGGCAGCCGCAGATGACTCCCGGGTATGTGATCCAGCAGCACCCTGGCCACTCTGTAGTAATCCAGCCCGGGGTCGGGGGGCAGCCTCCGACTATAACTCAGATCCCCGGCTCGGTGAGCTCGGTGTGAAGAAGTCGCGCCCCCCGGCCCAAGGCTGTCGCTGCGCCAACGTGCGGCGTGCAACGTCGAGACGTGCGGTGCTTCAATGTGCACATGAACATGCTACGTGGAGGACTGCCTGGTAGTCCCGGTTTACGGTTACCCCCGTTTGCGCGCTTTTACCCCTGCTTTCCTGTGATATCTGGTTGCTTGATATCCGGTGTACGTTGACGAGACGAGATGACGATGGTTCACGAAGCCTATGCCGTGATGCAGACGAACAAAAAACTACGAACACCCTAGACGAGCTATCCCCAGTGCTTCTACTACGTACTATCTGTATTTGTTGTAGATAACCTTGTAGTCAAATGTAACGGACGAATTCGTGAACATTAGCGTGGATCACTCGTGTTGTCCGCATATGGACGGCTGAGCACGTACTCTATCTCCGAAGAGAGATCCAGTGCAAGGGACATGTTGCTTCTACGTGGTTCTCTCATATCGCCTCTAGCCATACACTCAGCTGCAAGAGGGCTTATGTCTACGTCCAAGCCGTCCCCGCCACCGCGCGTGCACGTTGTCCCTTGCACAACGTGATTGCTCGTGCGGCCACCATAATGCTGGCCTCGTGTCGGGCACGCTCTCGGGCTTCCGCGCCCGTTCCAGGCGACGAACGCGTGTATGCAATGGAGATGGGGTATGTACAGGATCAGTGCCCGTGAGCTCGTGATGGCTCGAGACGACACCGGCCGCCTCTCTGACAATCGCAATCACCTGCAGTCCCTTTCCCTACGTTACATCGGCCGCCTTCCCATCGACACCCTCGCTGGCGTGGTCCATCGTTACGCTTTGGATTCAGGATCATCAGCAAGCCCTGCTCGCCCGTCCGAACCGTCCGAGATGCCCCTGTTTGAAGGCCGTACTGGGAGGTCGGTGCTGTACGGTACGTACGTCATTGGCAGGACTACGCGGGCATAGCGCAGGGAGATGACGAGCGATCCGTGCGCAACGTTCGACTCATCGCATCTCGCGGGCGATGCGTGCACGCAGCCGGGAGCGCCGCGGCGGTAGCGCACCTGGTCATGATGCTCGTGCCGAATTCTGTCCGTGAGTGCCCGTTCGTTCTGTTCCGTAGCTCGTGCAGCTCTCGTTTGACTCCCAGACGTTTGGGTATGGCAGAAACGTACAGCTTGATGCAGACGGCGGTGGCTATCCTCGCTATTGCGTCCCTGGCGGTGATGTGAGTACGTGGAGATGCTGACGGGGCAAAGGTGCTCACCGCGAGTAACAGGGTGGTGACGCACCATAGGAGAGATGGCGCTCTGCTCACGCATACCCAAGAGGAGATGGTGCTCATCGCGGCCTTTGGGCTCATGTGGTTCGGTGCGAAGTCATGCCCTTCTGAGGCAAGTGAGGTATTGACGGGAATCCTTGCAGCTGTCCTGCTGGGATGGCGTGCCTTCCAGCAACGCGGCATCGACCCAGGTACGGCGGCCAACACCGACCTCGCCAGCGCGACGGGCCGCTCAGCTAACAAGTACAACGAAGGCTTCACACCCGAGCGGAGGCCGTACCCGTGTAGGAGCGACTCTGTGTATTGCGTCGTCGAGGAATGGACGTACTGGTGATGTTTAGGGGTGCATCTCTCGTATTTCCGGCTGCTCTTGTGGTCTCATGCTATAATCCGCCCACGAGGCCCGCGTTGAGCGCGATGATGTATTTTATACTGGAGTCTCGGTGTTTTAGGAAAGCTTTTTTCAGAAGCCTCACGTTGCGGAACCTGCTAGAGCGCAGCTACGTGCGGTTCCGTACGCCAGCGTCGGCACCAGTGGCACGTATCTATTGCACACTATTCTCGTCAGTGGCACTCTGCATGCACCTCCTTCCGTTCGTGGGCAGCGCTGCTCAGGATCATGCAATGTGGGGGATCAATACCCGCAGAAGGGCATTGAGCACATCGTGGCCTAGGGCAGCAACGGAGTAAGGGTCTAGGCTGGCACCGCGTCGTTGGTATTAGTAGCGATATCGATGAGCGCGATTATTAGCCAGAGGTTAAGATTGGGCACCCTAGACGATGGACGGAGCGCGAACTTGGTCTCGCCCCAAGCTCATGTTGGGTGCTCGAGGATCAAGGACCGTATCCGCGAACGCATTGTGCGATACAACGTCATGGTAGACGATTCGTTTTCGCGGGAGGACTAGCAGCCGTACATGAGGCTTGGTGCAACTGGCGAGATGTTGGCAGGAGGTTATAGAGGAGATACAGACGAGAAAGGGGCGTGTTGTGGCGGGCTCGGGTAGATACCGGCACAGCGGTCGCCTGGCGCGGGGTCACAATGCATCCTTCACCGCTTAACCTCCCCTCAACATCGACTCTTCCGTCCGCCCCGTCTCTGGCAGTCTCCCTTCTCCATAGCGCATACGTCCTCATAGTCTGTCGACTCAACACACTCCTGACGCTCACAGCACTTGGCACCATCCCGCTCCTCAGGCCAGACGCTAGGCATCATGATAAGTATCCGTTCCGGCATCGCAAGGAGTCCGCGATTGACATGAGCTCGGACCTATACAGTTCGCCCAGCAAGCGTCGTATTGAGACAGATGTTATAAAGCTGTATGTATTTCATTCCGCGAGGAATAGCCCGATTGCCTGCCGTGGCGGGAGAGATTCTGAACGCTGTTCGGGATGCATAGGCTCATGTCGGACTACGAAGTGAACCTCGTGAACGACAGTATGCAAGAGTTCTACGTCCGGTTTTATGGTCCTGCGGAGAGTGCGTATGTTGTTCATCACCAATAGTTCTGTCTAAACTAACACCTTCCTACTCATCCCCCTGAACTCCCTCTCCCTCCTCGCAACTTCTTGTGGCATCCTCGGGTTGCTAATATCGGACTGCTGCGACAGCGCCTTTCGCCGGCGGTGTGTGGAAGATCCATGTCGAGCTTCCTGACCAATACCCCTTCAAGTCGCCTAGTATCGGGTTCATGAACAAGATCTTCCACCCGAATATCGACGAGCTGTACGCTCCCTTCCGGAAAGTTGCCACATGTGACGCTTACACGTTTGGCGTACTACAGGAGCGGCTCCGTTTGTCTCGACGTGATAAATCAGACATGGTCACCCATGTTCGGTGGGTCGTCTGCCCTATGTCATACTATTATTGAGCGCGCGCTCACGCGTCTGAATTCTCTCCCTCCACAGACATGATCAACATCTTTGAGGTCTTTCTGCCGCAGCTCCTGCGGTATCCCAATCCTAACGATCCTCTCAATGGCGAGGCTGCTGCGCTGCTTATGCGCCATCCAAAGGAGTACGACGCGAAGGTTAAGGAGTACGTCCAGCGTTTCGCCACCAAGGAGGCCGCCGACGCTGCGTTCGACAAGGACGATGAGGACGGCGAGGACGAGGAGATGAGCGACATTGGCAGCATCTCCGATGACGAGGCTATGGAGTCATGAGCCCCGCCTGTCCTGCTCGCTTCACGCTGACCTCACAATCCCTTGTTCCTTTCTCATCTCTGGTTCTCGGATCCATTCCTGCATTCCCCTCTCTTCTCTACCTAACTTAATACGTGCCATTGCTGGTACGCTCTGTGCCTGTTATTGATGTACCAACACCCCCCCTCCATCGCATCCGCGTCCGTAGGCTTCACTCAATCACTTGGAATTCGGCTGTATCTCTGTATATCATTGATATCCCCTCCGTCTGTCTCCCTCGCCTTCTCCGTCGCCGTTCGAATCCTCTTCCTCCGCGTCGTACCCTTCTCTTAGCCGTCCGGACACTTCGTGCTGAGTACGTGTTGCGTTAGCTCCAGGGGACGTAAATTGTCCAGCAACTGAAACACGATCGTTATGAGCGAGACAACGCTGTGCACCGAGCGGTTCACGGAATGAGTATCGTGGTGGATGTGTGGGACGGGAGTGAGCAGTCATGGTGACGTTGGATCTCCATAAGGACAATGGTTCGGTTATGGCACGGGCGTGGACTGTGAGGGCTCCGACGTCGTCGGGATGGTCTGGACGAGGTCATGGACCTTCTTTTGCACATCCGTGGCAGTCTAAGTCAGGCGAGCGTCAGACGTTTGGTCATGAACGCGTTTACCAACGCAGCATGCACGGACCTTCATGAGGTTGTCGATGTGGGTCTTAACGCTCTCCATTGTGGCGAGCTTCGCTCTGCTTTCCTTTAGAAGCGCCTCTTTCTCCTTGATGAGTTCCTTGCGTCTCTGATCGAGCCTGAGGAAGCGATTAGGCTGAGTACTGTCTGAGGCACGATGAACACCACTGTGGCACACCTCTGCCGCTCGGAGAGCTCGAAGCTGAGGCGATTGAGCATGAGCTGGTGCTCGTCAGTGAGTACATCGTCCGTACGCGCTGCTTCTGGTGCGAGCTGTATGAATTCCTCCAGGGAGTGGACGGGGATGTCCTGATAAACGGAGCTACAGGAGCATTACCGTTAGTCTTCGTTCACATGCGCAACGCGAGCAGACTTACGCAAACTGCCGGCACTTCTCGATCTCGCGTTCTAGATGGCGCTTCTCGTAGAGGAGGTTCTGAAGTCCCAGGTACGTGTGGTCCATCTCCTGGCGCGAGTCCGCGGTGGCTTGCTTGTGGGCGCGCGTCGCATGGTTGGCGGCCCTATTTAAGGCTTTGAGTCGCGCGAAGAGCGCGCCGGCACGGATGGTGACGAGCGAGGGGTCATCGTTGAGAGAAGCAGAAGATACGAGCTCGCGCAGAGCATCGAGCTCGTTCTCGGGGGACGGGGGAAGGACGTGGAGAGAGTCGTCGTGTGTGGGAGACATAGTGGTCATGTGCAGGGAGGATGAGAGCGGAGTGGCTGCAGAGGCCGGTCGGGGGGCGTGGGACCAGCCGGCGGCCAATGGGAGCGGGAGGAAGCGCCGGGCCGGAGAGATTACGAGTGGGATCAAGATTTACATCATCGGGCAGCGATGGGATGCTCTTTCAGCAACCTCCTCCCGCTGCCACTGGCTTCCTCCAGACGGCATAAGTCCCACCAAAGGTGCTCCCCTCGCCCCCCCCCCCCCACGTCTCTCTCTCATACTGACCGTCTGTCCCCTGCCGTCCGTCCAGTCAATCCCTCAAAGAAACAATGGCTACTACAGGTCGTCCCCGTGCCATGTCTGGCACCATCCCCTCCATGGAGACCGCCCACGATCAGCTCAAGGACAACACAGTCATCGTTGGTGCGTCCCCCCACCCGTCGCCCTCATGACTGTTGTCACCTTACCACTCGTGTGCAGTCCTCGGTGCTTCCGGAGACCTCGCGAAGAAGAAAGTGCGAGCCTATCTCTGAATCTGCCCGACGATCCTCCGCTTATGCTGCTCCTTGCTGCTTCCCCAGACATATCCCGCGCTCTTCGGCCTTTATCGCATGGGCTTCCTGCCCCGGGATGTCAAAATCGTCGGCTACGCGCGCACCAAGATGGACGATGCCGAATACCACAAGCGCATCACGTCCTATCTCAAGGTCGCCGATGATGACGCGGACGGCAAGGCCAAGATCGAGGAGTTCAAGAAGTTCACGTTCTACGTGTCTGGCGGCTACGAGGACGGGCCCTCGTTCGAGAACCTGAATAAGTTCCTTGAGGAGATCGAGTCCAAGTACCAGAGCAAGGAGCGCAACCGTCTCTTCTACCTCGCTCTTCCTCCCAGTGTCTTCATCCCCGTTGCCCAGCACATTCGTGAGCAGGCCTACTCGAAGGACGGCATAAACCGTATCATTGTCGAAAAGCCCTTCGGCAAGGACCTCGAGTCGTGCCGTGTCCTTCTCAGCTCTCTCAAGCAGCACTGGACGGAAGACGAGACGTTCCGTATCGATCACTACCTCGGCAAGGAAATGGTCAAGAACATCCTTGTCCTCCGTTTCGCCAACGTCGCATTGAACGCGGCCTGGGACAAGAACTCGATCAGCAATGTCCAGATCACGTTCAAGGAGCCGTTCGGTACTGAGGGCCGTGGTGGATACTTCGACGAGTTTGGTATCATTCGCGATATCCTGCAGAACCGTGAGTTCCGCGTTCCCATCATGACTCACCGTCGACGCGTCTGCGTGCCGTGACCGTTACTCAGCTCGGAGAGCGAAACGCTTACCCAATGCTATTACAAGACTTGCTGCAGGTGCTCAGTATCATCACTATGGAGCGCCCCGTTTCGTTCTCGGCCGAGGACATCCGTGACGAAAAGGCGAGTACTGAACATGCGTAGCAGCTTGCGTGTGCTTTCTAATGGTCCCGAAATTCGGCAGGTCAAGGTGCTCCGTGCGATTCCACCAATTGAGCGCAGCGACACGCTCCTCGGACAATACGTTGCGGCTAATGGAAAGCCCGGTTATCTCGATGACGACACAGTCCCGCACAACTCCGTCTGCCCAACGTACGCTGCCACTACTCTCTGGATTCACAACCCCCGGTGGGAAGGTGTCCCCTTCATTCTCAAGGCTGGTAAAGGTACGCGTCATCATCTCACGTGCTCTATTCACGGATGCTTACTATGATACGCCGCCGTACCGGGAATCAGCCCTTAACGAGGCGAAGGTTGAGGTCCGCATACAATTCAAGGACGTCACGCAGGGCATCTTCAAGGACATCTCGCGCAACGAGCTCGTCCTCCGTATTCAGCCCTCCGAGGCGGTTTACCTCAAGCTCAACACCAAGACGCCTGGCCTGAACACCCGTGCGATCCCGACGGAGATGGACCTCACGTACAAGCGCCGCTTCACCGACATCAAGATCCCTGAAGCGTACGAGGCTCTCATCCTCGACGCGCTCCGCGGCGATCACTCGAACTTCGTTCGTGATGATGAGCTTGACGTCGCATGGAAGGTACGCTGACAACACTCTTTTGACTTTCCTCGTCTGCGCAATCACTCATCGTAGCGATCGCGAACGTCATAGATCTTCACACCGATTCTCCACTGGATCGACGGCAAGAACGGTCCTGCGCCCAAGCCCGTTCCTTACCCGTATGGCTCCCGTGGTCCCAAGGAGCTAGAATCGTTCATCGCGAAGTACGGGTATAAACGGACTGTTGCCGACTAGTAAGTATTCTCATGCCTCGCAGTGTGCCATCGCTGACAATGGGCTCTCCAGCACCTGGCCAACAATGAACGTCTCGAACCTCTAAGCTGTCGTCGCTGGCTTGTACGAGTAGCGTAGTCTTAAGCAACCTCTGTTGTATCGGGATATCGGACGTAGACGTGGTATGCACAGGCTCGGGGTCGCTGGTGTGAAAGGATGCACGCATGTAATGTTCGGCCTCGCGACCTCTGGTCTCTCGAGATGTAGACGAATGAACCGCGATTAGGTGTTGTGCTGGAACGTATGACGTTCTATAAAGGCGGTGCACTCCTGCGCTTGGTTTACTCAGAAGACGTTTAGTTGGGCGAGCAGCTCAAAACTCTACTAAGCCACGATGACCAAGTGTAATTACGCGGGACGCGTTTACGGTACACGGTTGCATGAACTGGTCACTGGGTCGCGTTCCACTGGTCCCACGTGCGTGGCCCTATTACTGACTACCATGCTTGACAAACTTCACCAGGGAACCGCTTATACTGACCTCGTTTCTGATCGACGTATTCACAGACACACTGGGAGAGACTATTGTCGGCAGAAAGTCGAAGGCCTAGTGGGCTAACAACGCATGGTTTGTCTGTCTACGTCATGTCAAGGCAAAGCAGTAAGTACGATAACGGGTTCCGAAACGTCGCGCTGCCTACTGATGTCCTTTGAGCCCCTATAGACTCTCAACCTGTATACGCACCTTCTGATGGACTCAGTCGCGTGGCTCCGCGGTCTGGCTTCGTTGGCCTTGTCCGAGTTTGTGTTGTCTGGTGTGGTGACGGTGGAGAGCACTCAGGACGCTGATATCTGTACTCACCGCGACTGCGGCGATAATATCCCCTTTGCTCCCCTACTTGTCGTCGCCAGCGGCCAGGCTCGACCTTCGCAGCAATCACCGCTGTGTGCCCCAAAGGCAGAAAAGGCTCACGTTCCCAAGCCTCTGATGCTCTGCGAGATACAGTCTCTGAGCAGCTGGGGAACAAACTGCAGGTGCTTGCAGGCTCGTCACATTCTCAACTACCGATCGCACCGTCACTTCTACATGACAATTCAGCGTTCTTGATCCGCTGAGGCTGACCGACACGCCGTTATTCGGTCAGCCTCCAACCAGGGCGTATATAAAGAGTTTGAATACACATTTAAACCTCACCTCCTCTCTATACAGCTTGTCCACATCCCGCTCGCTTGTCTGCCTGGTAAGTACCCTCAGCCGCTCCTCAGCACTGAGCTGTCGCTCATACCCTCTACCGATACCGCAGATCCTCCCCTCCCCGACCTCGATAGGCGGTCGTGCCGGACCCCGTCAAGAGGCGTGGACACCGTGGCCCCTCCCCAGTTCTTCGTTGCCCGCTGGTCGGGGAGGTCGCGCCGGTCGCACCCGACGACCCTGGGCGAGGGCACCCGGTGTGATTCGCTCGGGCTTCGTGCACGTCAAGGAGCAGGTAAGACTTCCGTTCCCGAGGGAGGGACTTCGGTCCTGGCGCAGACCTTTCCGTGGTCCTCGGGATAAGTACCCTCTCGTCAGAGAGGGAAAACCAACATGCGCTTTTACAAGGTGTGTTCGTGTGGCCCTGCACTCTGGCAGGGCTCGTCGACGGCTTCAGAGCCGTTTGTCGACATGTATATCATGGTGCTATCGCTTTGATACATTCAAATGTCCATGCTCTTCATCTCGCCAGCCTCCAGAGCAGCAGTTTGGACAAGAGCAGGGGCGGGGACGCGGTCACGAAGTTACTCTTCCCCAATCTTTCGACCCATCATCGACCCATGACTTCCCGCTGTCATTCCGCGTACCAGGCGTCACTGAGCCACGCATGCTATGATCACAGACGCGTCAGCCCTCTATCATAGTTGCTCATAAGCTGGAAGTAAGATTTCTATGAGCGATACTCGCCACTGATACCCTGGCTGGCGACCGAACGATCGAAGAATCACTACGATACGTCATTGGTCTGTCGACGAGCTGACCTACTGGCTGGTATGCGAAGTGCGTTGAGGTGGCTGACTTCGGGCTGACCTAGGTCGAACTACAACGCCGGGGGGTATAAGACCACGCTCGCGAGAGCGGCTTCTCTTCAAGGTCTCGGGTAGGCATGTAGCTCTTGGTAGTGATGTACGGTTTGGGGTAGTTCCACGTAGCTTTTGGTAGTGTTGTAGGACGTGGTGTAGGTATCATGTAGCTCTTGGTACTAGCGATGTAGGGCTCGGCGTAGATTGCATGTAGGTTCGGTAGTTGTGTAGGGTTCGGCGTAGGTCGCATGTAGGTTTGATGATGATGTAGGGCTCGCTGTATTTTTGTGTAGCGCTTGGCAGTCATGTATCCCTGAGGGACTTTGGTCCTGCCACGGAAATCGATCACTGGACCGCGTCTAGGGTTCCCACGGGGGCCCTTCGCATACCCCTCACGGCAGGCAAAGCGCGATGGTCCAGGTGAGGAAATCTATGCTAAATATACGTGCCATGCAACGTGCCCATAAGATTTCCCAAATCACAAAGAGGGATACAAAGGCCCACTGGAAATGCTAGGGTCAGGTTGCGTTGCCCATATATGCCACACAAATTTCCCTGCTTGGAGCCTGGCGCTTTGCCCGCCGTGCCTGTTCCTCTTCCAAATCCCGCAATTCTGCCTCTCCATCGTACAGCGCCGGGCATTGTACCATAACGTTGGTAACGACGATAGCGACGCGGGGCGCTTGTATTGGGGTAGCCAAGGCTAAGCAAAAACGTGGCCGAGACAACACGGCAGCAAAGCACAGAGGGAAAATGATGTACATGATATTACTATGTATATCCCAATACAGTCCATTCATTGCGATTAACACCGAAAACAGGCAATGGACTCGGAGCACGAGGGACGATCTTGATGGAGAAGGATGGGATGGGAGGTTGAAGGAGACGGATGCATGTGGATGGTGGGCATGAAGATCCAAGACCGTGAGTGTGTGGAAGTGACGGCTAGTAGGGAGTCCCGGGCAACCTAGCATGGCGCCCAAATACAACAGTACGAAAGCGGAGTGGAAATCGAGAGAATGAAGAGAGAAAAATGCAGGTGACGAGAAAAGTATAGATGACAGCGAAAGCACACACCGGCCCTATTACCACTAGCACTACGCGCATTGAACCCAACGGCCGGGACGGGAGTTGACAGCAGACCCACAATTCGCAGAAGGCGGCTGGACGTCGAGCGGTCCATCCATTCCACAGGTTTTACAGAAGTCCCCCACGCTCCGACGCGCCGTGTGAGGCCCCGCCCGCGCTGGAGCCAGGACGTTGGGCGACAGACTGGCCGAGGTATATGGCGGCGAGCAGGGCGGCGTACGCGAACAGCATCGCCCACACGCGCACCGCCCGAGGCAGCATCAGGAAATCACGCACCCGCCAGAGAACCACCTGCAAAGCAGACGCAGACGCATAAGCACGTGTGCTTGAGACGAGATATGGGGAGATAGGCGACGGGTGAGGACACACTCGTGCATGAGCGCAGAATCGGACATGGGAGAGCGCGGGGAGGGGTGGCTCACCATTGGCTGTTGAGGTGCTCGATCCAATGCACGACGAGCCGAAGCCGGAGGCGTGGAGAACGGATGGGCAGGAGCTTCGCTTTTTCGTGCTCGTCGATCGGGAGAAGCTGCGTCGACAAACCAAGTCGGTGTCCGTTAGCACAAGAACGACGTTTGATGCGCGCCCTGGCCTGCGGAGGACGTACCAGTGCCATCCAGAAGCTGAAGCTGGCGGGGTCGCTGGGCATTGGGACATAGTTATTATGCAGATGTTGCACGACCCACGGGGTACCCCGCCGTGTCTGGTCGATGAACGCATGACACTTGGCCATGAGTTCGGCGTTCGTCGGCGGGCGCAGGGCAGCAGGTGCCTTCCCGTTCGGCTGTCGCTCGCCCGCGGGAGACGGAGTGGGGGTCGCATCTTCTGGACGAGCAGCAGCGCGATGGTCGGCAGCAATCCTGGGTGGGTGCGAAGATGGGGGAGCGATCGCGCCTGCGCCCACGTCCAAGGCTACTTCCGAGGAAGCTACTGGCAATTCCGACTCCGCCTGCATGACGTCACCGATTTCGACCCTCGAGGGCGCTTCTTCTGCCTGGTCACCCGCGCGCTCAACCACGCGGCTGTCAGCTGACTGCAAGTCTTCCTGACCGCGAGAGCCAGAATACGCGACGGGGCCGCCTTCTGCGGCGATGGCTTCGCTGTCGCCATTCATACTGCGGACTTCCTCATCGGGCGGGGCGAATGCGCTATCATCTAGTTCGTCCTCGTAGTCTTCGATGCGCTCTACACGAGCGACCGTGTAGCCGTCACGCATGCCGCGCTCCATGATGCGGAAACGCCAGGTGCCCCACGTCTCGACCACGCTCCGGCCGTCGGGGAGCATCTGCACGTTCCTGATCTGGAGCATGATGCCGTAGTCGTTCCCAGTGCTCACACTGCCGTTAGCGGACGTCGAGGGGGCAGCGCGGGGGGGTGGGATCATCCCGAAGCAGGGGTTCGGATTCTCGAGACATCGTCGGAGCATGAGCCGATATCTGCAAGTGGTTCAGTAAACGGGTGCGAGCGGCGATGATGGTGAGGGCGCCCACCTCGGCTCGAAGAAATGCAAGATGGTTGGCATGCCCGGGAAGCCGAGCTGGCAGACAAACACGGGAGTGTCGAGGCGCGCATCGCGTTCCTCGACCTCGACAGCCTGCCCGCGCTCAGCGTAGGCTTCTGGGAATGCTCTAAGAACTACCCAACAAAAATCAATAATGGACAAACGTCTCTTAGCTCGTAAGACCACTTACTGATGGCCAGGATGACCTTATTACAGGGGTGTTGTTGGAAGTAATCGTAGCCCGGGAGTTTCTGCCGGCAGAGGGGACACGTCTGGTTGTGGTCGAGCGAACGGAACAGGCAGCGCGTACAGAACGTCTGGGATGAGAAAGCGGTTAGATCCCGATCAGAATAGCCCGAAGTGTTTCTAGGAAGACCCGCTGTGCAGGACCACGACTCCGCCTTTGACAGGTCGAGTGTCCAGCGACAGAAGGACGGGAAGGACGGGACGAGTCAAAATGACTGGCGTGCGCGAGCACCTCACACGGGAGAACAACCAAAAGATATACTTTGCGCCATCCTTGCAATCGCTCGAGCACGACCGATCTTACGCCGCTAGGATCGATCGGAAACAAGGGCGATTTATTGTCAAGTCGCCCACGAGCAGCCTCTTTGTGCTCACACTCCTATTCCCAAGGAGCCACCGGTGCCAAGCTTTCCGGAGGCGGGTGAGCAGGAACAAGACGATCTACGCGACTCGCACCAACTAGCGGCGACCCACGCCCAAGGCGGGGGAGGGGGATACAGGGGTGGGAGCCACTCCGCGGATGCAAGTGTAGCCTCAGCGCGCGTGGAAGCGCACGATCGACGGTCGGTACCGCAACACCCGCGATGCATCGACGTGCGGTAACGCGACGCCGCTCGCGCGTAAGTGCTGAAGACTCATACGCTCGTGCGTGCTCTGCGCGTCGGGCGCCGCGACGTTAGGTCAAGAAGCTTACCGTAGTCATGCCTAATTTCCGACGCGACCGTGCTCCGACGGAACATGTGGGCGTCGCAGGGCATGCCGAAGTGTAATGGGAAGGCAGAAAGAATCGAATAGACGAATCGACTTACGTGTTGACACGGCGTCGTTATGGGCTGCCAGAATAACCCAAAACATATCTCGCACGTGAGCTCTGAGAGGAGCTCCTTCTCAAGCTGCGTATGTCGGTCGTGGTCGTTGCGATGGGGCTGCGCCTGAGACCGGGAGGGGCCAGCAGCACGCCGACAGAGTCGTCGGCGTCGTTTGCGAGGATGTAGCCGGGGGCTCGCCTCTGGGGGCGAGCGGGAACGGCTTGACCCGGTGCGCGGCTGGTTGGTGCCTCTTGTTGTGGACGGGGTACCCGGGAAAGAGGGCGGTTGTGGGGATAAGGGAAGATACTCGAGGTCCGAGTCCGAGTCGTACTCGCGTTCCGAGTCTGTGCGGTCTTCATAGTCGTCCGAGAAATGTGGCGGAGGAGAGTCTGGCTGGAGGTCATCCCGAGAAGCACGGAGGACAAGCTCAAGCAGCTTGTTGGTCGTGACGTCAATCGGCGGTGTGCGCGAGAAGGTTGCCGGGTAGCGGGGTGAGGAAGGGCAGCACGTCGGGAGAGGGCAGTGCGGGAGGGCGGGGGGGATGTCGACCTCCTTGGATGTGGAGGGCTTGTTGTGAGGGGGGAAGTGGGACGCGCAGAAAGTATGGCCGCAGTGGAGGGTCAGAGGGACATGGAGGAGGGAAGGAGGAGGGCAGAGCGGGCACTGGAGAAGCGGAAGGAGATTGTGGGAAGACATGCGGGCATGTGGGACGTTTGGGACGGAGGGGAGGGAGGATGTAGGAGCAGCATTGGGCGGGCTTGCCGGGGCGCGGACGATAGATGTATGTGGGTTGCGGTGATGGGCTTGGGATCGTGCATGGGCCTGGGGAGGAGAGCGATCCGTAGGGCCGAGTGTGGGAGACGGTCGACGGCGTGGGCGATGCGCAGCCGCGGCCACAGGCGACTCTCTCCCGTGTGCGCGATTCCTGCCCCGCCCTGCGGCCTCATGCCCCTCCTCCCTCCGATCCTTTCCCGTCCCCCGCCCTTCCTCGGAAGGTGCCCTGCCGTCTGCGTCGCTGCACGCCCCGCACTCTCCGCGGGCATCGGCGCGCATAGTCTGTCCGGGCTTAGGCTGTGGGGGGTCTGTCATTCGGGCGTAGAGGACGACATGGGCGCAGAACACATATGAGGGGAGATGACGAGGGAGAGAGAGGGTTACCAGCATTCATAGCATCACGCATATGTCGCCGATCGTCGTTCCTCAATTGACACCCGTCCCACGTGTCCCTTCTCTCGATCGCCCGCTGGATCTCGCCTGATCCTTCCTCCGTCCTTGGCGCGCGCCACCTGCGACTCCTCACTCCTCCGTACATACTCGTCACAGTAGCCAGTCTCAGCTAGCAGCGGTACTTGCTGGCCAGTAGCTTCCATACGCCAACCATAGCAACTGTCGTATTGACTGCAAGCAGTCACGCTCTGCGGCTGCCGCGGCGCCTGTCCTCTACCGTAACCGTCCTCTGTCAAGCTTCCCGCGCTGTACATACAAGTCGCTACTCTTCCTCGCTCCGGCGTTCAGCACACCCTAATTATCGCCCAGATCAGGACGCGTTTCCCCCTATCTCCCATCCAAGCTGCTTGCCCGCCCAGAACGGAACAACATGTGTCGGCCCTGCCCCGTATCCCTGGCTCGCGACGACGTGGTTCGACGCTCGTCGGAGCACGACCCGCACGGCGCCTTCCCCGACGGGCCGCTCGTAGAACGCCCGCCCGTGCCCGCTCACGAACCCCTCCAGCTTGTCCAACGCTCCGAACGACTCCAGCAAGTGCGCGACCAACGGCAGCAGGATGGGCGAAGTGTACACGCCCGCGGCGCACGCCGACGTGGGCGACGCCGCCGCCTTGCTCTCGTACGGGTGCGGCGCAGAATCGGATCCGAGGAAGAATCGGGGATGCCCTGCGGCGACCAAGCGGTCAGAAAACGTCAGCGGTGCATTGAGCGACGACGGCGTCGTCTCCCGGGCCCCGCCTGAGAGCCTGAGAGCACGAGAGCACGAGCGCACCGACCTTCCTTAACCACCTCCTGCAGCGCCGCGCGGTCGTCCGGGTACTTCGCGACGGGCTTGCAGAAGTGCCACGCCTGGCCGGCCCAGTCGTCCACCGTGAGCGACAGGTGGTGGGCGGTGATCGAGCACGCGACCGTGGGCCCGAGGCTCTTGACGCACTCGACCGCGGCGCGCGTCGTCGCGTGCTCGAGCACGATGCGCAGCCTCGGGAACCGGGCGTGCAGCTTCCGCAAGTGGGGGAGGAACGCAGGCTCGGCGTTGAGCACGCAGGTGTTCGTCGCCGCCGAGGACGGCACTTCGCCGTGCAGATTGAGCACCATGCCGGCCTCTTCCATGGCGGCGAAGACGGGGTGGTAGGCTTCGTACGATTCGATGCCGCCCTCGGAGTTAGTGGTCACCCCGCGTGGGTACGACTTGACGCCTGGGACGGCGTTGAGACGACTCGCGGCAGATGGGAGGCGAGGGGCGGCCTGAAGGCGTACCGACAATACCGGCCTGCGCCGCCTTGTGTATTTCCTCCGGGGTGAGCTCCGGGGAGAGGTAGAGGGTCATGAGGTACTCGACGGACGGATCGATCGCCTGGAGCTCATCTCGATAGCGCAACGCCTGCTCAGTAGTCGTGACTGGCGGCTTCAGGTTGGGCTAGCAGACATGGCGGAGATGAGATGAGATTTAGGGAGGAGGTAGAGTGCCAGAGGGAGACGTGCCATGACATAGGCGAGGGAAAATCCGCCTTGGCGGACATGCTTTGTCACCACTTGAGCAAGATCCCCTTGGCGTAGGTGTACATGAAAATCTGCGGGCGAGGGCACGGAGATGGTGTCTATGGGCGTCGACATGGCCAAAGTTGCCCAAAGTTCAAGCCTCTACAGCTGCTTTACTAGATTACCTCAATCTAAGCGCCCCAAGAGATGAAAGGGTGCTATGTAGGCGCGCACCTGAATGCGGTCATGTGACGTGAAGGGAGGACGCGTTGGCGCCGGGAAGGGCAGTGTTTGGTTTGCATGGCAGTTGAACCGTCCCTTCTCTCCTCAATCACACATTCCGAACGCCCGCTCCCACAACAAGGGCCCTCCCCCACCTCCACTCCTACGCCTCTCTCCTCCCCCTCCTATACACCATGGCCGCTGCTGGCTCCATCACTGTTGCCGGTAAGCCTCCCTTTCTTCTGCCGCCACCAATCTGGAGGCGAAAAAGTTGGCATATGTGGGAACCGCATTATTCACCCTATGTGTCTACCTTACAGTTCGCGTTCGGCCTCCGACCCCATCCGAGGCCGCACGTCTCCCCCAGCAAGTATACGACGCATGCATCCGTGGCGACGGTGCCCTCTCCACGCCGGGGCGCGTGGCCAACACATCAACGCTCCGCGACATTGTTCAAATCGTCGATGACCGCGTCCTCACCTTCGACCCGATGGAGAAGGACCAGACCCGCGCATTCGTCGAGCGGGGGTTCCTTCCACCAGGCACGAAGCGGTACAAGGACAGGAGGTTCATATTCGACCGCGTCTTCAGACATGACGCGACACAGGCGGAGGTGTACGGGGCGACCGCGCGTCCGCTGCTCAAGACCCTGTTGGATGGGTACAACACCACAATCTTTGCTTACGGCGTACGCCCCTCTTCCCTTTAGTGAGCCGCCGGATGGGAGCTGATGGTCGCGTTACCTGTGCAGGCTACCGGCTGTGGCAAGACGCACACAATAAGCGGCACAGACTCCGACCCAGGAATCATCTATCTCACAATGGCGGACCTCTTCCAGGAGATCGAGGACCGCAAAGAAGACTACATCGTCGACGTCATGGTCACCTTCCTAGAAATCTACAACGAGGAGATCCGCGACCTCCTCGCCGAGCCCGGCAACCCCGCCCCGCGCGGTGGTCTGCAAATACGAGAAGACAAGAGCGTCAAGGTCGTCGGTCTCACCGAGCTCCGTCCTATGAACGCAGACGAGGTGAAGCAGATCGTTCTCCTTGGGAACTCGCGCCGCACGCAGAGTCCAACACACGCAAACGAGACGAGTTCGCGTTCGCATGCCGTCCTCCAAGTACACGTGACCCAAGCCCCACGGACTGCTGCATTGACCGAGCAGAAGACGATGGCGACGCTTTCTATCATCGACCTGGCGGGCAGCGAGCGCGCGGCCGCGACGACGAACATGGGCCAGCGCATGGTAGAAGGCGCGAACATCAACAAGTCGCTTCTCGCCCTCGGCAACTGCATCAACGCCCTCTGCGAGAGCGGGGGCGCCATCCGCCACGTGCCCTACCGGAACAGCAAGCTCACGCGGCTGCTCAAGTTTTCGCTTGGGGGCAACTGCAAGACGGTGATGATCGTCTGCGTCGCGCCGACGAGCGCGCACTTCGACGACACGCACAACACGCTTATCTACGCTGAGCGTGCGACGAAGATAAAGACCAAGGTCATCACGCGCAACGTCGTCAACGTCGACCGCCATGTCGGCCAGTACGTCGAGGCGATCAACCGCCTCAACCTCGAGGTCGCCGAGCTCAAGGAGAAGCTTGCGGGTAGGCGCGACCAGGAGCGCGAGGCGGAGAAGCGCAAGCGTCGCGAGGCGCTGCTTGAAGTCGAGCGGGCCAAGAGCGACCTGAAGCTCAAAGCGGAGCAGATGCAGCCCAGCATCGCGGACGGCGCGAACTGCGCGGGCAAGCTCGCCGTTGCCGAGGCGAAGCTCAAGGTTATCCGCGCGCGTCTCGCAGAGCTGGACGCGCAGGCCGCGGACTCGTCCACCCCACTCTCTTCCGACCTCGAGACGGAGCGGGTGTTGCTGCAGGCTCTGGCTGGCCCCGAGGAGCAGATCCTCAGGGCGGAGAGCGCGCTCAACGTCCGCGTGCAGCGCGCGAGCAACTCCGGGGCGCTCTTCGACGCCACCCTGCGAGCTGTCCAGGAGCGCCGCTCGTCAGACAAGCTGGACGAGGTTTCTGTGGAGAACGTGAAGCTGGACGCTCGCTGGCGCAAGGCAGATATGGAGCGTGTCAAGGCGGAGGCGCAGACACAGGCCCTCCGAGAAGCGGTCACCGCGCAGACGGAGGCGCTTGTGAGCCTCGTTGGGCTCGTCGGACGCTGCACGGTCATGCTTGGGGAGGCGGGGAGAGCGCTTACCGCTGCGACGGGGGAGGGCCGCGAAGGGCTCGAGTCGACGGCGAAGTCGCTCAGCGTCTCGCTGAAGAGCGTCGCGGAGGGCAACGACGCGGCGTTCAAGTCGCTCCTTGGGCACTCGATCGCTTCCTATACCGTCGCCCCTGTCCAGGAAAGCGCGTCCGCGCTCAGCAGCTTCAAAGGATTCGCGAGCCTTGGCCATGGACGCGTCGTGTCTGGTCCAATCGTGTCACAGCAATCGAAGACGAAGGTGTCACGGCGGTCTTCCTCGTATGGCTCCAGCTCTCCTCTCCGCAAATCGGTCAAGAGTCCGCGGAGATCGCTTCGTTCGAGCCTTGCGGCATCATCGGCGCCGTATAGGCGCGTATCGGACAAGGACAAGGGGAAGAAGAAGGGCGTCCAGTGGCGAGACTACGCGGGCCAGGGCGACCTTGACGACGGCGGCGAGGGATCCGCTTCTGGTTCGGGACCCGTGGTCGTCTCCGTCACCCCCGCCGATGCCGGCTCAGCATCGTTCTCGATCCCGGCGGAGACATCGCAGCGTAACGTGTCCATCGGGGGCTCCGAGAGCGAATGGGAGGACGAGAAAACGGACACGAGCATGGAATTCACCCTCTTCTCCAAACCCTCGACGTCCTCCGCCGGCGCGTCGTCGTCTTCCGCCAGCAGCTCCACGCGCGGCGCTCTCGGGAAGCGACCAAGGGCAAGCCGTCTCGATCCTGGTTTCCTCAAGTCACGGTCACGCGCCTCGGCACTGGGCAGCCTCGTCGAGGACGACGAGTCTGCAGCGCTGGGCTCGCCGCAGCGCAACGCTCCGCTCATGGACCGCAACATGAACCGCGCCCCTTCTCCCTCAGACGAGTCGAGCAGCTCGTCGACGGCCGTAGGCAAGGCGCGCGAGCGGCACCACAACAGCCCCGCCAAGCGCGGGCCGTCGACCCCCAAGGCTGCCAGCAAGAGTGGCCACAGTCGCCGGCGGTCGAACATCGGGCCCATGCGCGTCGAGCGGCCCCGGCGGCGGTCGAGCCTGATCCCCCAGCTGTCGCCCCAGGCCCGCGCCTCGCTGGGCGGCGGGGGCTCATCCTCCGTCCTCGGCAAGGGTCCCAGGCGGGTGCCGCTGGGCGAGCGATCGCCGGCGAAGCGGCCGAAGAGGATGTCGTTGCTGGCGGTGTCCTCTGCGCGCATCGCGTCTAGCCGGCTGAAGGCCGCGGACCCGAACGCGAGCATGGACGTCAGCTTCCGCAGCGGGAGCGCTGCTGGCGGCTCGAGGCCGACTTGGCGGTGAATGCTTGCTCGTATCCCTACGCGGTAGGGTTCCTTGGCTCTGAGATGGACAAGCATGCTTGTCGTAAGGCTATAGACTGTTGCGAGATGTTTTGTGTCTTGGAGGCAGGGACCCGAGATGACGCAGTTAGTTTTCAATAGTGAAGTTGTGCATGTATAACGACGCGACACGATCATCTATTCGCTTTCTGTTTTCTTGTTTGCTATGTTATCCTCTCACTTCCGAAAATGTTTTACTACATACCATATCTCCTTCCACACGCATGCCTGCCTTTCCGCTCGCGCTACGTTTTCGTCTAGAGCATCTTTGTAAAGCACATACCCCTCTCTCATGTTGTTTTCTATTACACTATGCACATCTCTACTGCCGCTATTCATGGACTTTTCATCTCAGGTCGCGTGTGCAGTGTGAGTAACACTCAGAGAGGAATACTTCTACCGGCATTCCATGGTAGTGTTGTCCGACCTGTCGGGGCAACGGCGTGATTACTTGGCTATGATTTAGGACCACTATTCCGAAATGAGGTAGGATGGAATAAATTATGCAAGACAACCGAACACCCAAGTACTAGAATGCGCGTTTGACCTCGAAAAACGACTGTGGAAAATTGAGCACTTTCAACTGATGCAAATACGCTAGTGATATAGAATCTCACTTTGAGGTACCACACCTGCCACGCTACAACAGAGAACAGAACGATTGCCTGGAGGATAGACCACCACTTGACACGAGCGTTCGTTGACTCAGCGGTGTTCCTATGTGTCCGCTCGCGAACGACAATGTACTCTTGTTCATCCTTGACGGCGGTAAGGCCGTGTGACAGGGCACGGATTTCACGCTCGATGGGGGACACAATGTCTATCTTGCCATGAGGACACTGCATGTCATACACGCATCAACCAGGGCTCACCTTCGTCATCGACATAAATGACCCCGTGTACGTTGAAGCTGCAACCATAGAATGTTGAGAGCGCGTGCGCTCCACCTATAAAAGTGACACGTACCTGACCATCTTGTCCACCACTGTGGACATTTGGTTGGAGAAACAGTACTCATAGCGACCATCCTTCTTGGCAGTAATCTGAACAGTGCCCTGAGATTCCTTTATGTGCTTGCCGAGCGCAATATTGTCTGGGTCCGCGAGCTGGTAGTATGACGATTCAGGCCGAGTCCGTATGGCTGGGGTAGGGATGGACGTACCCAGAAGTCAATGTCAAGGTGACCTCCACCTCCTACTTGGTACGTCACTGTCATCTGTACACACGTGTTAGCAGAATAGTCAGCTACGCGAGAGCACAATCTTGGGCGTACTTTGTCGTTCACATGGAGGTCCTCAAAGAAACATTCCTTCTTGGAAGCCGGCACCTCAATCAAGTGCCCTGACACCAGGAGAGGGGCGACGAGAAGAAGCGCAAGCCACATTATTGAGAAAGAAGGGGTATAGGGTCGTAGCATGGTCATCGGCTGTAGAGTGTACTTGCCTGCCTTCCGGACGACCTTCCTTTGCTTGGTGCACAGCTGTACAGACAGGGTCACGTGGGGAGCTCTGGGGACCCGAGCCACCTTTGATTAGGATCTCGGGGTCCCCGCCGGCGATCTGGAGAAGGGTTAGATGCTCGAGGCCCTTCCTCTCTACTGCACTTTTTCAGATCGCTCTCTCATCTTCATCACTCGCTCTCTCTTTCACGACCAATATCAACGATACCATGTCCGAGCCTACCGACGCCCTCGCGCCCCGGGTGAGTCTGATCTGCCTGAACAATGTGGTCAGGCGACTCGCTCGGTGCAATCGATGCACAAGAGATCGCGCCACTTCTACTTGCAAAGGACTGGTCCTAACAGCCCTTGGATTCGGCAGGACGAGGAGCACGACCCTCATTTTGAGCCCGTGATCAAGCTCACCGAGCAGGTCGAGACCAAGACCCACGAGGAGGATGAAGAGGTTCTCTTCAAAATGTGCGTCTCGATCTCCAAAACTACTAGGATCGCTTGTATTGACGCTCGGGACCGCGCCATAGGCGGGCGAAGCTCTTCCGGTTCGCGACTGAGGCCTCAGAGTGGAAGGAGCGTGGTACGGGCGACGTCCGTCTGCTTCAACACAAGGAGACGAAGAAAATTCGTCTCGTGATGAGACGCGATAAGACCCTCAAGGTCTGCGCGAACCACCTCAGTGAGCACGCCATTAATCCCGACTCGCCCATTTTTGGCGAACTCACATGGGCCTTGCAGTCTCCTCCGACATGCGCCTCCAGCCTAACATTGGTTCGGACCGGAGTTGGGTCTGGAAAGTAGCTGCTGACTACTCTGAGGAACCCCCCACTTCTGAGACTCTCGCTATCCGTTTCGCGAATGCTGAGAGTGAGTGTACTGCGTTACCTGCGCCTGGGATGCCAGCTTACATGGATTCCAGACGCAGCGCAATTCAAGGAGGAGTTCGAGAAGGCGCAAAAGCACAACGTGGAGCTCACCGGTGGTGCCTCAGAAGAGAAGAAGACCGAGGAGACACCTGCTGCTGCTGAGGAGGAGAAGAAGGAGGAGGAAGAGAATGAGGCCGTCGCCGAGGAGAAGAAAGAGGAGGCTGAAGAGAAGAAGGACGAGTAAATGCATCCCCCTGTCAATATATCCCCACCTACCCTTGACGGTATCGGCATTCATCTGTGGCATCCATTCACCTATCACCAGTTTCGACGAGAGAAGAGAATCATGTGTATCCTTTGGTAGAAGTGCTGTCGGGGCGTGTATCCAGTATGGTGTATCTGCTCATGTGTCCCCACTTTCGCATAATGATCCTACATGTGTAGCGTGCTTCTCCATCCCATTCTTTCCGCCCCATACAATACATCATGGTTTACAGTACCTACTACAACAAGACTGAGTAGCTATCGACGGTCCACACTGTCGATTGTCCGGTGTTGCAACTATCAGAGTCATGGAGGATTCTCATTGTATCTCTCTTCTTCCGCCAACCAAGCATCGTGGAACGTCAAAGCTTCTGTCTGCCCCGCTCCCCAGTACATAGGTGGGCTTTGTCCAAGGACAGTCGCCTCGTTGATGAGAACATGACTGATCCACTGTGATTCTTTGCGTCAAAATCTGTGGCACGCGGGGAATGACATGACAACATACCGAACCGCTGAACCAAAGGAGACGACGAATTGGTCAGCAACGACGACTGAGGGTGTTGAAAATGCAAGACTCACGGAGCTTCATACATAGGGTCTAGAAGCAGGGACTCCTGTATAATACCAAGATGAGGAACTGAAACATGACTTGAATCCGATGAGAGTACTGACCATGATGCCCCTCAGGCCTCGTGCACCGCCACCTCTCGCCGCCGCCATCTTGCAAATCTGGTCGATAGCGGCGCGGGTAAACCGAATTTCAATACCTGAATAGCCAAACAAGGCGGTATATTGCGAGATGAGCGAGCCTTTGACTTCGGTCAGCACGCGGCGCAGATCAGACGGAGTTAATGGCGAGAGCGTCGTGATAGAGGGCATCCTTGATATGAATTCGGGAATGAATCTAGCGGTAAGGGGCCAAATGAGACATCGAAGAGCGGCAGTCGCGGGCTTCGCGCTTACCCATATTTGACAAGATCTACGAAGAACGGATCCTGAAGAGTTAGAAGACGCAGCGAATCCAATCTTCAAGGGGCTTCCGTACCGGCTGGCTCGACTTTGCCCAAAATGTTACCATTGGTGTTGCTATTGGGGGTGAAGAACGGCAAACTTGCAGGGGAAGACTCTTCAGGCGACGAGAGATTAGCAGTAAACCCTATCGACTGTAACACACGGTAGCTGTCAGAGATATCGGACCGGAAGCGTGATTCAGTGGATCAGCTAACCCCTTTGGCTATCCGTCGTTTGATGATATTCTCGAGGCCGACAAATGCACCGCTCATGATAAAGAGGACGTTTGAGGTATCGACAGCATACGACTCCGGCCATTCTATTGGCGGTTCGCTATGTTGGCCAACCAGAGCACGGTATGGATGACTTCAGAGACGTACGAACGGGCGCAGGCATCGCTTGGCCGCGACTTGATCGTGTGCTGCCTGAAGGTGGCGGCATCGAGGGGCCTTTCGCGGGAACATTCACGATCGAGCCTTCCATCATGCGAAGAAGGGCTTGCTGGACGCCCTCGCCGCCTACGTCCCGAGTTGATTCCGGACCAGTTGACTTGCGAGCGATCTTATCTACTTCGTCGATATAGATGATACCAATGCTGTAGAATGGTAAGTATAGGCTAGGCTTACAACATTCCGGGACGTACTTCGCTTTGTAAGGGTCCCAGTTTGCCGCTTGTAGCTGCAAGCGCGTTGTGGGAACATCGCTCTCCACGAGCAAGAGCACTGCTCACCAAGCGCTGTACACACACTTCGACATCGTCTCCTACGTCTGATTCGGTCTCAGTACATTGGAACTTGAGGTGTAGTCATAATCGATAGATGTTCCACTTACATCCTGCCTAAATTGCTTATCAATAGATGTGCAGTCCAGATAGCTTCAAGTGCCATACCTGGGTGAAAGTAGTTGCATCGCTAACGGAGAATGGTACGTCCAGTACATGTGCAAGGGTTTTCGCCAGCAGCGTCTTCCCTGTCAGGCGTAAACTATATCGGCTCCGTCAAGCCATGTTGAGAGGGAGTGGTCCTACCAGAACCGGTCGGACCGCTTGTGGAGAGAAGCAAGAATCTGAGATTCTATTCAGAGCCATCTAAGAACTGGCTCACATCACAAGCACGTTGCTCTTCTCAAAGAGAGGCAGCATAGGGGCGCTGAAACTAGTTGTTTCTGGACTACGATCTGTCCAAGGATGCAGATTGAACTCAACGCCAGCTGGAGGTGCTACTGAAGGCACAGTCAAGACGTACTAGGAGATGTTCGCGTTTGGCTGTTTAGGTAGTTTGGCATAGCCATATGCGGTGGCTCATCATAGTACATGGCCTTCATGTTAGCATGCACACGGTTATAATGATTGAAGACACTTCAAGCAGAAGAAATGAGTTAGAGGGCAACTCTGATCGCGTGGCCTGAAGGTACATACGCCACGGAAAGGACCTTCTTCGCATTCTCCTGGCCAACCACATACTGGTTCAGATAGTTCACTAGCTTTTGCATAAGTAAGTATTTGCGTAATTGTGTACCCGCGATGGATGTACCTCTCTTGGAGTAGCTAAGCCCGATTGTCGGTACATTTCGCTCGGACTGTCATCTGCAGGAGCGTATCGAGCTTGCGTACGAAGTGATTGGACAGGGTTGAAGGAAGTGAGATGACGCCCTGAGCGAGGAGAGCGACATATTCTGTTGGACCAGCCCTCGAGCATGGTCTAAGCGTTGGAAGGAGGATAAGACGTCCAGGTTCCGGAACTGCCGCCGTCGACCTCGCTCAGCTCAGTACCTCCGACCTTCCCGGACTGTGCCGGGCCGTGTGCTGGTGATGGCGTTTAGGGATGTCTTCGAGCGCCCTCAGCGACTTGCAGCGCTTGCCACTGCTCCGACTCGAGTTTCTGTCGTCTACACTCTCGCCTGTTCGTCTTCTTACTTTGCACCATGCCCAGGGACCGCTCACGTTCCGTTTCGCCCGATTCAAAAGACAGAAGTAGACGCCATGATAGATCAAGGTCTCCCCGGGACAGGTCGCGCGACCGCGATCCACGCAAGGAGTCGCGCAGGTATGACGACGAAGACGACTACGACCGGCGCCGTAGGGACCATCGCCGGAGTGAAAGCAGGGACAGATCGAGAGAAAAGGACAGAGATCATAAGTCGCGTCGCAGGAGGGACCGGAGCGAAAGTGAGGAGCGGGATAAAAAGAAGTACGGTCACCTTCACGTCATGCATCAAGGGGAGTTCTAACCACCCTGCTAGGCGCAAGCGCGAAAAGTCTGAAGAGCGCAAGGCTCGCAAGGCGGAGAAGAAGCGCGCGAGGGAGGAGGAAGAGGCTCGGCGGGTCGCAGAGCTCAGTGTGTATAGCGCAACGGACAATCCCTTCCACGACGTCAATTTGGACCAGCAGTTTCGCTGGCACAAGAAGAATGAGAAGGAAAGGAAGCAGGGCTTGACATTGGCCGAGGCCCAGAGGAGGGATGCCATTCGACGACAAGAGGCGAGGGAGGAGCTGGAGAGGCTAAACAAGCGGCGGGCTGAGAGGGAGGCGGAACAGAGGTTACGCGAGGAGGAGGAAGTGAGAATGGCTCGGTTGGCGGAGTCAGCGCAGATGGCAGACTGGCTGTCGAAGGAAGAGGACTTCGAGTTGGAGCAGGAACGGAACCGAGCGGTGATTCGTATAAAGGAGAAACGGGCGAAGGCCGTCGACTTCCTCGCTCTCAACCTACGTTACGTGAATCCCAGCAGTGGCGAAGAAGATGATCTGACCAAGGAGGGATTGGAGATCGACCTGGACGAGCCATATAACATCGTCGATGTGCGTTCCTCGAGCTGCCTGCCTGCATCACGTTGCTGAACTTCGACATGTTGACCTTTCTGCAGAGCCTCACGCCACAGCAAGTGGAGGAATTACATGACGACATTGAGAGATACCTCAGGTTGGAGCAGTCAGAAACGAACATCGAGTTCTGGACGGTGTGTGTGCTTTCTCTGTCTTGTAGACTGTATCCCCCTCATTCCTTCACAGAACATGATGGTCGTGACCAAAGACGCTCTAGATCGCATTAAGCAGACACAGAGAATGGGCGCGACGGCTGCAGCCGCTGTTGAGGCCGACATTACTGCTTTGTTGCAAGGGAAATCCTACGAACATCTTGTCCAGCTACAGAGGCAAATACAGGCGAAGCTCACAAGCGGCGAACCGATCGACACGGATTATTGGGAGAGCTTGCTGAAGAAGTTGCTCGTCTTCAAGGCAAAGGTGCGTATGGCTGGGTGGTATAACCAAATGACTCCGTGATTGACCGTCTCTTCAGGCCAAGTTACGTACCTTGCACGAAGTCGTCGTCCGCAACCGCCTCGAGCAGCTCCGGAAGCATCAACGAGACGAAGCTCTCCAAGCGCAGGAGGAGCTGTTAGCAGGTGTCGCGAAGTCGGCTCAGCGAGGAGAAGCTCGCGTTGTGCCTGCAGACGTTGCTGCACAGCAAGACGCTGCCGAGGAAGTCGAGCCATACGACCGCTCCATGACCCCGCCCCTCATAGACATTCGCAAGTTGCACCACGAAGAGCGTCAAATCGATATCCTCACGACGAAAGAGGACTTGCGTTATCTTGTGAGCCAGCATATGCCATGTGGTTATAGACACAACTCTAAATTGCAGCGTAGTTGCAACAACGGCGCAGTGTCGCAGGTACAAGATTCATCGCGAAGACCGTCCAAGCCGCTCCCGAGCAAGAAAGCGTCGAGGCTCCTAGCAACGCGGATCTCGCCGAAGCGTTATACCGCGCCGAGGCCGAGCGCGAGTTGGACGAGGAGGAAGAGCTCTTCAATGTGGAAGAAAGCATAGCTCGACCAACATCGTACAACTGGGAGGATAAGTATCGCCCGAGGAAACCGAGGTACTTCAATCGCGTGCACACTGGTTACGAGTGGAACAAGTACAACCAAACGCACTATGAGTATGTAATTTCCAAGTCTTCTCCATGGATCAATCTAACAATGCCGATCGTCAGTACCGATAATCCGCCACCGAAGGTCGTGCAAGGCTATAAGGTATGTCGCTCATGAATCACCCAGAAAATACGCAACTGATACTCGTGTAGTTCAACATTTTCTACCCCGATCTCATCGACAAGTCCAAGGCTCCTACATATAAGATTATCAAGGAGCCGGGCAACGACGAGACCGTGCTTTTGCACTTCAGTGCTGGGCCTCCCTATGAAGACATTGCGTTCCGCATCGTGAACAGAGAATGGGAGTTCTCTCACAAGCGGTGGGTACCGGTTTTTAATCATCATGATCAGTCTCCCCTATCAAACTCATACTCTATGCAGTGGGTTCCGAAGCAGCTTTGACCGCGGATGCCTGTCACTCTGGTTCAACTTCCGTCGAAACGTACGTAGCCACTTCACTGGAAGGCTTGCAAGGCTTGCAGCGCTTACAGCTCTGACCGACATGTTAACAGTTTTATCGCAAGTAGTTCTCATACGAGTTTGCTTGCTGCACAGGACTTCTGTATATTAGCTTGAAATATTGTGATGTATACGCCGTGTAATTTACATGACCTGCTCTGTTACTTTGTTTCGATGGACCTGAAAGGCTAGAGGCGCAATTGCTATTAGAGGTATGCATGTGAATAGCCGAGAATGTATAGCAAACGTTGACTCGATCCCCAATCAAGAGATAACGAGATTATCTTTCCGATGTTGCGCAGGCGCTTTCTTGAGACCGCGCACTCAAAACCGCTTTCCTCTCTCGTCCATCTTCTATATCTACTTCTGGCTGACTGACGATGCCAACTGTATCCTGCGACAAGGAAGAGCTATGGAAGCGGTTGGGACGGGCGTACTGTAAGTAATCGTGTTGTATTAGATGAATTGAACTAAAGCTCGGCGAACAAAGCTGCAGAAGAGTTCGATCACCTGCTTTTTGAGTTCGGCTTGGAACTTGATGAGGACGTACGTATCTGAATGTCGAAGATGCACCTTGAGCACCCACACGTCCACGAACAGACGACGGAGGAGGTGGAGGCCGCGATCAAGAAGGGACTCCCCGCCGAGCGTCCGGTGCGTACCATTTGCTCGGTCCTGACTGGAAACACTTAGCAATTGTTGGCTCTGTAGCAACTAAAAATCGAGATTCCTGCAAACAGGTGTGTACCGCTCGAAATAGGACTGGTAGTAGGCCCTGAAGAGTCGGCTGGACAGATATGACCTTCTCTGCATAGAAGGCATCGCACGGGCACTCCGCATCTTCCTTGGCCTAGACAAGCCCCCAAAGTACAAGCTCGCGTACCCTCCTGGCGGAGAGGCTGACCTGATCACTACTACTGTAACTCAGGATGTGAGTGCACAACGGCGACCCTTGGCGTGTGGTATTGAACAAGGCATCTGGCAAGTAGACTCAGCGAATCCGTCCTTTCTTCGCGTGCGCTGTCCTGCGTAACGTCAAGTTCACCGAACGGTCATACGAGTCCTTCATAGACTTGCAGGACAAGCTGCATCAGAATCTTTGCAGAAGACGGCAGTTCGTTGCCATCGGTACGCACGACCTCGACACCATTCAAGCACCCTTCCGGTATGAGGCACGACCGCCGAAGGACATCAAGTTCATACCGCTATCCAAAGACAGAGCATACACTGCGGAAGAGTTGATGACAGTGTACGAGGTGCGTGTCTTCGATTATCGCTTGTGACCATAAGTCTGAGTCTTCTCCAGTCAGAGAAGCACTTGGCACGCTACCTACCCATCATTCGCGACTCACCTGTATACCCCATCATCTACGACCAGCAAGATCGCGTTCTATCCATGCCTCCAATCATCAACTCGGAGCACAGTAAAATAACTCTCAACACACGGAATATCTTCATCGATATCACGGCTACTGACGAGACGAAGCTCGGCATCGTGGCAAACATCATCTCAACAATGTTCTCAGAATACTGCGCAGAGCCTTACACGTACGTGACTCGAGCACCACGAAGGTCGAGGACTAGGCTTACCTAGGCTACAGGATTGAGCCGTGCAAGGTTGTATATCCTGATGGAAGTGTTCGCATTACGCCCGACTTGCAGTACAGGGCAACTTCGGCACACGCATCCTACGTGAACTCATGTACCGGCCTTACGCTGACAGCAGAGGAGGTCGCCAAGCTTCTCGAACGCATGACCCTCACAGCATCCCTCTCTCCCAATGATCCGGATGAAGTGATCGTGCAAGTCCCACCCACTCGACCGGATATCTTGCACGAGTGCGATCTCATGGAAGATGCCGCCATCGCGTATGGGTTCAATAAGCTTCCCGACACCTTCCCGGCAACGAGCACCGTCGCGCAACCGCTGGCGATCAGCAAGCTCAGCGACATCGTACGTTTGGAATGGGCCTTCGCCGGCTGGATTGAGGCCCTGCCGCTCATCCTAGTATGTCGCACCTTTCTCGCAATCTCATCTCGAGACCTGACCGTTCGCTCGATCAGTGCTCACACGAGGAGAACTTTGAGTGGATGAACCGGAAAGATGACGGCAAGACCGCGGTTCGGATCGCCAACCCCAAGACGCTCGAGTTCCAGGTCGTGCGCACATCCCTCCTACAGGGCCTCCTCAAGACGATCCGTGAGAACCGCTCGCACCCGCTGCCCATTCGCGTGTTCGAGACGTCGGACGTCGTGTTCAAGGACCCGTCCTACGAACGCCAGGCGCGCAACGTCCGCCACGCCGCGGCCGTGTGGTGCAACAAGACCGCCGGATTCGAGATCGTCCATGGGCTGCTCGACCGCATCATGCTCATGCTCGAGGTCCCGCTCATCTCGAGAGACGACACAAAGGCGAAGACGGGGTACTATATCAAGGAACGCGAAGGTGCGTGCCGCCTAATCCCCGCTACGAACATCACGATATCTAGATGGATGTCGGGGGTCGAGCGATGATTCCATAAATATGAGCCAACCAATACTGAAGTTGACGTGGATCTGTTCATCTGTCAGACCCTACATTCTTCCCCGGGCGCGCTGCGACGATCTACTACCGGCCCCCGAAGGACGCGTCTGGGCTCACTGTCCTGAAGCGCACGCTCAAGGCTGCGCTCAACCGCCCAGACGACCTCGAGATCGGCGTGCTCGGGATCCTGCACCCCACCGTGCTGGAGAAGTTCGAGATCACGTACCCCTGTTCCGCGCTCGAGTTCAACCTGGAGCCGTTCAAGAAGGAGCTACAGACGCCGTTCGCGTAGAAGCGTATTGTTCGTAGATGAGGAGAAGTTGAAACAAATGTATTCGTGATATACAGCAGCGTTATTTCACTAGAAAATCGCGGCTTGTACTAGCGTATTGCGGACTGGCGAGGTGTCCGAGCGGTCGCTGCCCCAGTGTGTTAAATATGTGTTAAAGATCTGATACAAAAATGGTACACGAAAGACAGGGATCCAAGCAGCTCCCCGTCAATTTGGTTTGGATCGTGCGATAGATGCTAGGGTGTAGCACGAGAGGGCGAACGGGATCCGAGACAGGTCCATGATCAATTCCAGATTAGCACTCCCCGACGGCCGACCCGACGGACGCACCCAGGGAGCAAAGCGTATACAAGACATCATGCGATCCGTCCAGAACAACTTCTTGCGAGATACCATACCCCAGTCGACGCGCATGCATCTACAGACAAATTCCTCCCCGTCCCCCTCATCTCCCTCATAGCAGTCCTGCCGACCGCAGGTCCTGGTGCAACCGCGCCTCGTCCGCGTACGCGCGCGCGATGCGCTCGTTGCGCACGGGGTCGGACTCGTCCAGCGGGAGGATGTACGTGTTGCGCGGGGGCACGGCCTCCTCGTCCTCCTCCTCGCCCTCGCCCTCGTGGTACGCCGCGCCCGGGAAGCCGAGGCCCTGGCGGATGAGCGAGCCGTCGGCGAGGCCCTGCAGCCCGAAGACGCGCTCGATGGAGTGGATGATCGCGGCAGAGCGGGCGCGTTCTTCGGGGGTCGCTTGGGCGGGCGCGTCGTCCTGCGAGGAGAGGATGCCGCGCTCCCACCGCTTAACGCGCCAGAAACCGAGGAGGGAGGTCAGGAGTATAAACCAGCCTGTGCGCGGGGTCAACATCAACGGTCAGCGTCTGCGGGGGTTGCAAGCGTCAGGGGGCTATTGCACACGCACCGACTGTCATCAGGAGGAACGAGAGCCACTCCGACGTTGCGTCCCCGTTGAGGAAGGCGCCGTCGGTCGTCGTCGACGGGGTCGCAGGCGCGGTTGCGTTCAGAGCGAGGTTCTTGTAGTACGCCTCCGCCTCCGCCGCCGTGCCGAACGTCGGGCGCGGCTCCTCGGTCGACTGCCAACCGGCCCACACGTCCCCATCCCCGCCCCCGATGTCGTCCCGCCCGCGCATGGCGAAGCCGTACTGGATGAGCGTGATGCCGAGGCCGGCGCGGGACCCGAGCTTCGCGGCGTGGGTGGTGTGCAGGAGGTACGTGAGGAGGAAGCCGACGAACTGGAAGGAGATGGAGACGAGCATGTTCCAGAGGAACGAGAAAAGGCTGCCCGTCGGCAGCGAGTCGATGATGACGTCCCCCGGGGTGTTCGCGGCCGACGGCGCGTGGATCGTCGTCTCCCAATACGGCGGGACGGCGTCCGCCTGCGCCTGCGCGTACGTCGGCGGGACCTCCTTCTGCACCTCTTCGGGGACAAGGAGGACATTGTCGCCTGCGAAACAACGTCATCTCAGTAACTCAGTCGTCCAAAGACGGCCGTTACGCACCCTCCTGTATGCGCCGCTGCCGAGTGGGCTTCGCAGTCACGTTCGCGAACACGCCGTCGTTGGCGGTGCCGCCGCCGACGGGCCCGTGGGGCCTGTCGGAGGACCCCAGGCCGAGCCGCTCGACGTAGTGCGTCGGGAGCACCGACGCCGCCGTCCTCCTGAGCCAGTTCCCCCTCCCCGGCCCCGAGCCCGCGTCCGTGCGCACCTCGCTAAACGACGGGACGAGCCCGTTGGAGTTGCCAAACTCGTTCGGGAGCGCCCGCGGGGTGGGACCGGGCGGTGAGCCAGGCGGGGGGCGGATGTAGTCGAAGTCGGTGTTCTCAAAATTGTATGTCGCAGGTGCCGGGGCGGGGGGTGTGCCCGAGTGATTCACAGCGTCGTAGTTGTGCGACGGGGGCTCGGCATTGGGGAGGGACTGGTATCCGTTGCGGGAGGTCGGTGGGGTACGGTGGTCGTCTTCGTCATCCGAGTCGTCGAAAGCGGCCTCCATCTCGTCGATCACATCTGGGTCTGTATGCGGGGTTGGCAGGGGAGCATAGCGTGCAGACATAGAGATAGAATGAGTGGAAGGAGCGGACGAAGTGAGAGTGTTCGTCGCAGTAAGGCAGGCGTTGTCGGAGCGAGTTGCGTTAGCGTTGCGGAAGCAGACGCCCAGATAAGGTACGTACCCATCACCAGCCAATCTCATCGCATTCCATATTTGGTGCTGTATACGTTGTGGCATAACCATCCCGCAGCACGCTCCCATTGGCTCGGTCCGCGTACACAGCTCTGCGAGCAACTTGCCTCTCTTGACACTGTTCCTCCTTGTCCTCACGCTTCTCGTAGCGATATCCATCCATCCAGGCCATTCCAGGCCACCGCTTTCTCCTTACTCATCTGATCCAGATTGATATCACTAGTCATATATGGCACGGCGCTGGGACTACGCAGTACATGCAACAGTATGGGATCACGGCCACCGACGACGCTATCTACTCCGACCAAAGCATATTTAGCAGCCATGAGAAGGGATGTTGTTGGGCTCGACACCATAACACGACGTCCATAAATCAGTAATATCACAGCTCCGCCACTTGGCGGAACGGCCGGAGGTGCCAATGAGACATCCTCTCGGGGGCGAGGAATGCATCGCCCGCTCGCGTCACAAGAGACCGAGACGGGCGACATGCAAGAGCCTAGTGGGGCATACGGGTAGCTGCTACGGAGTTTTCGTCAGCGCCGATGTGGAGCGACGCGGGCGGCGCAGCGTACGTACCAGAAGGCTAGCGCATGTGGAGGTCTGCACGGTTCGCGTTGCGAACCAGCCGCTGCACGCGTTGGCAGCTCTCCATTCGCGCGTCCATGAGCTCCGAGAACATCTCGAGAAGCCGCGCACCGGGCTCGGTTGGTGGTGCGCGCACTGGGCGGCGCTTGCGCGCGTGGAGGCTGACGCCGTCGAGCTTCAGACGCATGGTGTTCTTCCGCCGCATCCAACGCGTCGCGTCCGAGCGACTGAGGGACGGTGGCGGGGCATCGGGCTCCGACTTGATGACCGAGACGGCGGTGTCGGAGGATGTAGTGGATGCGGGTGATAGTAAACCTTGCGATGCACAAGGGGAGGGCGTGTTGGAATGGTCGGATGGAGGGGCGTCGATGCCCTTGGTGATAGCGAGCTCGAGGGCTGCGCGGGTGTGGTGGACCCAGTAGCGTTCCTGCTGGTAGAAGGCCTCGAGGGACTCCAATAGGGACACGGCAGGGTGGGGGCCGTCGGGAGAGGTAGGGGACTGAGGCGGAGTGGGGAGGGCGTTGTCGGGGGAGGGGGAACGGTACTTCATGACGATTGCAGAGGGGGGGGGCGAGTATACGAAGGGGATGTTGGTAAGGGGGGGTGTGAACATTCGTCGCCGGTTGGCTGTCGCGCATTTTATGAGCGGAGGGCGAGTCTCGACTGTCTCGAGAACGACCGCAAAGGAGCTTAGGTAGATGTCCAGACCAATAGCGTTCCAGGCCTGCCCCTCCTAGCCAATGGCAGCCCGCGTTCCCATTGGCCAATCACTGGCTGATCCCAGGCCCGACTCGCCTGCCATCACCTCCACTCGTTCCCTGCCAATCGTCTCGTCCTATCGTAGCAAGAACAGAGCGCCAGGGAGCTGCGAAGGCGAGGAGCGCGACAGGGTGAGGTCGAGGAGGCGGAGAGGACCCCGGGCGGTTGCGCATGTCAGGAACGACGACCCGCAACACGCGACCAGAGGCGAAGCACACGGCCGACAATGGAAACAGATGACGACAGACACTAACCCGCGATTGGTTGGCTGCTCGCTCGTCCATGGCCAGCCGGCTATTCCGGCGCTTCCCTCGGCTAGATCTCGTCGCGCCAATGGGATCCCTCCCACCCGGCCACATCAGCGCCTGTTCACCGCATGAGATGCTCCATCCTGATTCGCTCCTTGCCCTCCAGCCATGTTCTCCCGACTCCTTCCTCTCCTCCTCCTCGCCGTCCCTCCCGCATTCGCCTCTGCGTCCCCGCAGCTCCGTCTTCTCCACAGGGTCTTCCACCCGTCTCTCCCCGCCGCCCCCTTTTCCGAGCGCGCCACTCTCCACCTTCTAGGCTCTGGACCTGCAGCCCAAACTAGCCTCGTACCCTCCGAGACCTTTGCCGATGATTTACTCGAGTACGCCTCTGCGGTCGAGGGTCTCAACGGTGCCCTCTACCAGGTCGCACTAGAACACCCCGGCGACGCAGACCAGACGCAATGGGCCACGTCCTCTTTTCCTGCTGTAGGTCCATCCTTGACCCGCCTGCGTACCTAGCGTTCGCCACAGTCTCCCTACCTGCGGGCCACCGCGCTCTGGGCGGACCGCCGTCCCCACGGCTACGCCACCTAATGCCCAGTTCGTCCCAGCTCGAGCCTGTCCTATGCGATCCAGCCCGCCTCGACTCTATCGCTCGCTGTCACTTAAGCTTACGAAAGCGCCCCTTCCTCTAGTGTCACCTGCCGTCAAGCACGTCCGAGTCCTTCACGGTCCACCTCGACCAGCACGGCACCCCGCTCAGCCTCGACTACTTCCTCGCGCCCATCCCGCACAACGGCGCGTGCCCGAAGCCCAAAAGCCGCAAGGCGAGCGCGAGTGCCGGATCGAGCCCCGCCCAGTTCAGGCCGATCGCCAACACGACCGTCGCGTTCCGGTTTCCGACGTTCCCACCGCTGTGCGTGCTCGTTCAGTTTTGTATACTATAGCGTGCCCCTCCCCTCGCGCCTTCCCATCCTGCAGGCTGCAGCCGTCCTCGCGCTCTTCGCGCGGACCCTGTTGTTGGTACCGCTTCTCCCTTGTTTCCCCGCGCGTCCCGAAATGTGATTCATTGCGGGCGATACTGATCTTCGTGTTTCCCCTCCACGCGGCTGCAATGATACTCAATGCAGTCCGGCTCTCCGCGTTCCGCCACCCGTGACGGCCGAAGGAAAGCCCGTCGAGGCCGTGCGGGAGAAGTCGTTCATCGAGAAGTACTGGATGTACATGGTAATTGCGCTCATCGCCATGAGTGAGTGCTTCGCCCTCCCCAATCCCGCAATACGCGAGCGCAGCTGCTGACGGTCTCCTTCCCGCAGCATTCGCCCCGGCGCCAGCAGAAGAGGGGGAGGGCCAAGGACAGGGTTCGGGCGGCCGCAAGTAGCGCGCTCGCCCACGTATTCTTCGCGTGAATCGATTGGTCTTCTTGCCGCGGCGCGAGTGCACTGGACTTCTCTAGGCGTATCTGCCGACGGTGCTGCCATCTTGTCCCGATCGTCTTTGTATCCAGGGTTGGTAAGGGGATGGCTGTCAGATGAGCCACCGTTCGACCAGCCTGGTCACCGCTAGACCGGGCGATGTGCGGGGCTCCGCAATCATTCACAGCTTCTGGTGTATCGAAATGCGCCCTCCGGGGTTATGTCGAACTGCGGTCTTCTAATGGGTTTCGTAGCCGGCATTTGTCTTCCTGTGCGTTTGTCTCACATATCTGACTGTGCGCGCGGTATATGTTCTTTCTTGAACGCTCTCTGAGCCCTGGTTGGAAACGCACTCGATAACGTATCCCATCGTGATCTGCTACCGCCGGTGCTAGAGCGCACTAGCTAGGTCGACGATGGAGCCCAACACAAGCCCTTCGACGCTCGAGCAGCAGCTGTGGAGCGATCCTGCCCGCTAATTGGTCAGAGGCGGAATCCTCCCAGGCGCCGTCTTCGCTCGATGCCGCCCCGCGCAGCCAATGGCAGCGCGGGGCAGGCCGTAATGCTGACGCAGGCGCAGAAGTCTGGAAGGGGCGAGCTCGTCGTTCGCGGCCGCAGCGCTGCCGTCTCCTGCCTTCGGGGAGCCAATCGCGAGGGCCAGCGCATCCCCCCGAAGGCGTACGTGTCGGCCGAATGCCGCGGTCGCCGGGGAGCAGGATGACTGTTGCATGTATCAGATGCCAGGTTCCTCGATTGGTGCACGGCAGAGAGGTGCGCCTCGAGGCTCCCAGGCGTCCGGGTGCCCGTGGCCTTCGTTTCGCCGGGATCTCTCGCTGAGAGGAAGAACACATTTGAAGGCGACAGACATACCTTCGGCCGAACGAGTTTGTGCGTCATCTGTCCACGTCAATCTCCGGTCGAGCGTTCAGTTGGACGGCACATACATACATCCAGCCAGCCAATGGCGTGGGGCCAGTTCTCCCCGGCAATGCCCGACTCTCCCTAACGGATGCAGAAACCCGAGTCGGTGCTTGTGGGTACAAGGCCTTTCGCAGCCTTTCGCTAGCGGTGCATCCGTCGGGTTGCATACGTACTCGTCACGGCACGGTACGGTAAGTTTCGTTTTGATGATAAGTCTTTCCCTCTTTCACTGCATGGCGTGCGAGGCCGTGCCTCATGAAAGACCTTGGATACATGTAGTATCTACTGAGGTAATTGATATGTTGCTGTACATGGGAGGGCGCGTGGCCCTTGTGATGATGGGTCTTCACACGACCGGGATCCCACGAGCGCGAGAATTCACTGAACCTGAGGCGGGTGAAAGGGGGTCGAGAGGTTTGACACCTCCCTGGCCCGATAGCCCCGAGGTTTGCAAACCTCGTTGTAGTCTCTACGGCGCAACGACACGTTATTGCTTCATGATCGTTATCTTTAACTCGCAGATGGACGGCAATGCCAAGACCGTGTTCTCCGTGCACCGTTCCAGCGGAGGCGGCTGAAGTCGCAGTATCCTTGACCCAAGGGCCTAGAGAAGCCGAGGCCAAGTTGCAACCACTATGGTTACATATGCTTCGCTCGTCTACTCCGCTTCAAGGACTATAGTGGAAGTCCTTGAACTCAAGACCATACGTTCCTTGCGGTGCCCCTGGCAGCTCCTTGTACCCCAGCCTCTCATAGAAACGCCTTGCCGCCTCGTTCCTGGGGTCGATCCCCAGCCAAAGCCTCTCCAGCCCATGCTTCTCCCGCAGATACTCCGCCGCCCGCCCGATCAGCCTTCGCCCCCACCCCTGCCTCTGGTACTCGGGCAGGATGTCGATGTGCATGTGCGCGGGCGAGTAGTCGACCTGCGCCTGGGCGGCGCGGGGCGGGTTGTGGAGGACGTTGAGGAACCGGACGTCGGCCTCCGTCGCGCCCTCGTTGGCCTCCGGCGGGTACGCGTACTTCGCGCGGACGCGGGGCCACCACTCGTCCCGCGCGTGCCGCTCGTACGCGCGCGTGTCGTACGAGCCGAGGATGTACCCCACGACGGCGTCGTCCTTGGCAGGATCGACCATGACGAAGCCCCAGGTCGTGGGGAGGCTGACGTAGGGATCGGCGTAGACGGTGCCGATGAGCTCGCCATACTTGTGCAGGTGCTCTGCGGAGTTCCCGGCGTCGCCGGTGAGCAGACAGATGCGGTTGAGGGCGGATTGGTCTGCGGGGCGGGCTTCGCGAACGTAAACCTCGCCGCGAATCTGGGGCTCGGCCATGTCTCTAGGTGAGTCTGGGTGAGCGGTGTTACCTCATGACATCACGGGTTCACGAAGGAAGAGGACTTGCATTGAGAAGCGATGTCGTCGATGTATGGCTATCAAGCGAGTAAGTTACCGTTGAGTGCGCTTATCGGATGCCGCGTCCACTTGGGCTTTATACCCGCTGGCGATCGTACTTCAGTAAGTCTTACGCCTCTGGGCTTCGCAGGTGCCTGAAGTGACTACGCACGCACTGCTGGTGAAATGCGGGAACGAAGGTCAGACGGACGCTCGACGAATGAACTTCAGCTGAGGCTGCACGACTACTGGAGTATCCTCGGCGATAATCAAGCCAGCCAATCAGAGAGGCGCCATGACTCGATGTGGCACTCAACGCCCGCAGTAGCACAGCTTTCTGTACCTGCTTGCAGACTGCCATCTTCAGAATCCTGTTTATTACTGGGCCCACTAACTCCGAAGAGAAGCGTAGACTGCTGCAGGTTTGTGATAGAAGGTGCTAGCCTCCGTCGATATGTTTGTGCATTCAATCTGGTCTCATCGAAACGCTGTCCCGATTCGAACCGAACAATTTGGAGGTGGCTGACCGGCAGTGATCCTTCCCGGCGACTCACGAAAATAAGCAATGACAAGCATAACACGCTCGCGCCTTTGCCGTCTCCCTCAGCAAGCTCGTCATGCCCCACACCGACCATCCACCACGCCGTTCGTCCATGGCGCCTCGCCGCCGCTCTCTTAGCGAATCGGAGTCCCGGCGTAGCTCGCGCGTCCGCTTCGATGACGAGGACGAACTAACACAGGCATTTCGCGAGGCTGAGGACATGTTGGAAAACCTGCCAGCTGAACCTGCCGCACCTGCCATCGCGTCTCCTCAGCCGGCTCGCCCTTCGCAGGCTCGACCAGAGTGGCATTCTGTGGACTATCAGAACTCTCCTAACCCCGGACGCGGGCTTGGGATTGTTCGAGAAGAATCCGACGTCTCTCCTTTGTCGCCTGCGAGGGCCTTCCACAAGTCATCAAACCCTAGAGGCTCGGGGTACCACCCAGGCAACAGTCCCGTCAAGCGGCCGTCGCTCAGTACGGGAGATAGCTCCCGGCGATATTCATCATTCTCATCTTACCAACATCCCTACGATATTCCACCTCCCCGTAAAGCTTATAAGCCGTCGGCCCCTCGCCGTATCCCTTCCGTGACCGACTCCGTCTATAGTACTCAGGATCCTGACGAGAGCCAGGACGCGCGGACCATGGTAGAGCCCGAGGAAGAGGAGGGGGAAGAGGAATGCGATCTAGGCGACCGAGAGGACCGGCATCGAGGCTATCTCTCGAATCTCATCGACCTGTATCAGTACCAAGAAGCTGAGTCCGCGACAACTGCGAGAAATACAGCTCCCGGTAGCCTCAATCGACGCACACGCCTCAACAGGCTCCACTCCGGAGACTCCGCTTTCAGTCATGACTCCCTCGGCTTCGACATGCGTCGTATGGATTCTTTCGCCTCCAACAATTCCCAGGTTCTCGATCCCGATGACCCGACGGTAACTGGAGAACGCAGGAACCAGCTGGACGACCCCGAGGATATCGAGAGAGCGTGCTTGAAGCAGATGAACTACAAGGCTCGGCGGAAGTACCAACAGCGGATTAGAATCGAATTCAACATCACATGTGAGTTGCTTCCGGCTGTCTTCCATACGTCGCTGACTGGCCTCCAGCGGTCCTCAATCGCCAGAAGTTCCTCATGCGGCTTGCGAAGGCGTTGATGACGTTCGGAGCACCCTCTCATCGTATCGAGTCTCAACTGCTTTCTGCGTCGCGTATCCTCGAAGTCGACGCAGAGTTCATTCATATCCCCGGGGTCATCATCTGCTCGTTCGGTGACCTAGAAACGAAGACGTCCGAGATGCATTTCATCAAGTGCGGCGGCCGTCTCTCCCTCGGTAGCCTGCATGAGGTTCACCAAATTTACCGAGAAGTGGTGCACGACGAAATCAGTGCTCGCAGGGCGACGGAGAAACTCGATGCGTTGTTAAAAGCCAAGCCGCTATACGGACGACCCCTTCGGATCACCTTAGCGTTCTGCCTGTCCCTCCTCATCTGCCCGCTTGCCTTCGGTGGATCGTTCGTGGACATGTGGATTGCCGGACTCTGCGCCGGCGGTCTGTGCCTCATGCAACTCACCGTGGCGGCAAAAAGCCAGCTGTACGCTAACGTCTTCGAGTGAGTGCAGTCACCGTGTGCCTCATGGGCTAAGTAGCTGATATATCGCAGGATCTCAGTCACGATAGTCGTATCTTTCGCCGCCCGGGGTCTCAGTAGCATCCGTAGTCAGGTCTTCTGCTACACTGCCATATCGTCGGCTAGTATCATAGGAATTCTTCCAGGCTATTTGATTCGTGAGTCACCTCTGCGTACTTCCGCATCCTATACCACGAAGTAATCGTGAACAAATGACAGTGAGCAGCTCTCTCGAGCTCGCGTCTAAGAACATCGTTTGTGGAAGCGTGAAGATGGTCTATGCCCTGATTTACACACTCTTCTTGGTAGGCTCACCAGCTCTTTCTCATCTGTGCCGTTAGCGCTGACCTGCACACAGGGGTTCGGCTTACAGATTGGCTCAGACATTTACCTTCTTTTCGACCGAAGCGCAAGGCACGAACTCGCTGCTCTTGCTGCCCGTATGATGACTACAGCTTCGATTACTGGCACTTTCGTATCCGATAACGGTACCTTCGCCAACATCAACCACGGTGAGCCCCTCACGGGTACCTTCAGCTTCACGTCCGAGGCACCATTCCACCGGGAGCATATAGTCGATGGGTGCTATCGTCCGCCGAGCTTTCCATGGTACCTCCAGAAATTCCCCTGGTGGACGCAGTTCATCATCGTGCCCATCTTCTCCGTGCTGTCCTCGTTGGCCAATCTGCAGCCTCTGTGGACCGTGGAGCTCGTAGTCATGGTCGTCATCTCTTGCGTGTCCTATGCAGCGAACAAGATCGCGAATCACTTCATCTTCAACCGCTCTGACGTTGTCTCTGCGATTGGCGCGTTCGCGGTCGGCCTCCTCGGGAATCTCTACTCGCGAAAGATGGGTGGGACGGCATTCACATCCATGGTCACTGGCGTACTGTTCCTGGTGCCTGTAAGTACCCACCGTATTATAATACAGTTATCCTGTTCGGAGCTGACGTAGTGACAAAGTCTGGCCTATCGCAAGCGGGGGGTATCACCGCCCAAGGGAACGGCATTGACATCGGAGGCGCAATGATTGCGGTCACTATCGGTATCACAGTTGGGCTCTTCATGAGTCAGGCACTTGTCTACATGTTTGGCTCTCGAAAGAACGCTGCCATCTTCTCGTTCTAGCCTCTACGATCACCCCACCGCCATCCGGACCTCCGCCCTAATTGATCGCCCGTCTAGTTTTGTAGCTACGGACACGCCCTGCGCACCTGTAGCCATACCTCATTCACGCTTCCTGACAAGCCCGGACTACGTTCGTCGTTACCATCGTTACAAGATATACACTTTTATTCGTATCTCGCTCCGAAGATGTGTACAGATATTGATACTGCTTCTTCCGCCTACCCACCATCAGAAGCTGACAGCAGGTGACCTTTCGACGCTTTCCAGTGAGACCTTGTGGCCAACCAGTGTCCGGATGTTGTTGATCCCATAGCTGCGCGCACCAAGCAGAAGTTCAGAAACGGATTCGCATCTCGCATAGATGGGAGAACTTGCACATACCGAATCATCGTGGGCCGCTCCAGAGAGATACCCCAGCCGTGGACGTGCACGTCCTTGGGGAAACCCATTGGCTCCAGCATCTCTGGCCGGAACATGCCGGAATTGCCAATCTCGACCCACTTCTTCAGCTGCGGGTGGAAGGCGAAGATCTCCAGGGACGGCTGCGAGGGGGCACGTAGTAGCCAGGGGTCAGAACAACGTACGGCAGAGACAGCATTGACCGAGATCACCGACTTCTGTGTACGGATTGTACGCAGGCTTGAAGCGCAGGTTCTCGATGCCCATCTTCTTGAAGAAGACGCGCATGAAGCCTACAGTGCCATGTCAAGACCATGACAACGGCATCAAGCCGACAGTCGCGACAAGAAATGAACATGCAGAGACATACCGATGAGGTCCGCGAGAGTCAGCCCCCTATCAGCGACAACACCCTCGACCTGGTGGAACTCGGCCAAGTGCGTCGCGTCCATCGTCTCGTTCCGGAATACTCTGTCGATGGAGAAGAGTTTCGCGGGCCGGAACCCGTCGGGACCTGCCTTACCCGCGCCGGGGACGGTCGGGGTCACATGCGCACCCTCCTTCTGCACCGCAGCTTCCGCAGACGCATCGGCACCCTCGCCGCGGCACGCTGCTGCGAGCTTCCAGAGTATCGCCGCAGAAGAGGCCGTGGTGTGTGTGCGGAGAAGGAGCTTGCGCGACTCCTCATGTGACCAGGGCGCGCGATAGCCGGTCGAGCCGTACCCGCCGTGCTCGTGCACTCGTGAGACGCGCTCGTAGTATTCCTTTGGTGGGGGGAGGGAGACGGCGGGATCGGAGAGGTAGAAGGTGTCTTGTACCTCGCGGGCGGGGTGTTGTTGGGGGACGAAGAGGGCATCGAAGCACCAGAAGCCGGACTCGACGAAGGAGGATGTGGGCATCTCTGCAAAACTAGTGAGAGGTGTGAGGAACATTATACGATGTGGGCAAGACAGGCAGTTACCGTACCCCATTTCGAAGAAAATATTGCGGATCTCCTCCCTGACCTTGAGCAGTGGGTGGAGGGCACCGCCGTTTGGTGGGATACCCGCAGCCTCAAAGTTGTACTTCTTGTACGTCGAGGTCTTCCAAGAACCACTACAAAAAGGCAATTGAAGAGCGGTATAAAGTGACGGTGAAGATCACCTACGAGGTGAGCATCTCCACGGTGAGATCAGTTTCCGGCTTCGCCGTTGATGTACTGAATTTGGTGCCCTTGTGTACGGTGAACCATTGACCTTTTCTGTGGAAATAACGTTCAGCATGCACAACAGACCGGGGATGTCAATGAGGGTCATACCTTTGCACGATGAGCTTCCGTTTCCGCAGTTCCGCGAGAGCCTTCTCGCCTGCTTTCAACGTTCCTGTGGAATCTACTTCCCGCAGCTGAAGTTGAGTAGTGTCCACAATCTCTGGCACCTAAGTGGGTACTCAGCATGCATATATCAGGACGCGTGTCAGGGGATCGACGAACCAGCTTGACAAGGCCATCTCCCTCCTTCCCGATCCACTTGTTCTTGAAAGCTTGTCCTTGCCCAATCTTCGCGGTCTCCGCGCCCACTTTGTTCTGAAGTTCTTTGATAGGGATCGGTTGACCCTCTCCCTTGACTGGACACGCGTTCCACACTCGTGCTTCGTGCGACCCCTGCAGAGCGATTTGTGCACCCTCTTGGGTCAGGACATGGGACACAGTTTCTTGGGTGGTATACGTGATCATCTGAAAGGACATGGGTATGTGTACACAATTCAATAGAAAAGGTATGTACATCACGACTTGACAAGGAGTTCAGGGCACCCAGGATGATGATTTGGGAGTCATGAGTGGCGGCAGGTTCTTTGTAGCCGGGCAGGACGAGAGTACGGGTATCTTGGATGACACCCTCCTTGTCGAGGGTGTCGAGAATAAGCTGCTGAATTGCTTCCGCCATCGCAGTCGAATCGTACCAAGCCCAAGGAATGTAGGGGGATAACAGAATGCCGAGCGAAGGCAGGGATAGCTGAGGAGTGTTTTCGAGATCAGAGATGGGATGTGCAACTTGAAGTAAATCTCGATGCACTTGACTCGAGAGGCGCCCATACACGATCGCGTCTCGTTGCACGTGAATGATGCTCGTCCCCGTCTTTGACCCCGGTGTACACGCCCTTAGCCATGCACATCTTGCTCCATGTCCTCCACACTGCCCCACAACGTCGAAAACTCCTGGCAGGATGCGTGGAATAGTGCTCAAGACACCATTGCCCGAATACGCGATGATGTGGCTTCCTCGTCATCCCCCAGTCCCCGAATTACACGTGTGGGGAAGGTCGACGCAGAATTGCTCGATGCGGAGCTCGTTCAGGTGCTCAAGGAGCCGCTGACGAAGGCACTCAGCTTGGTCGACGTAAGTGTTGTCGTGTGCTCGATGTATGCTTGTCCTTACATTGTGCCTTCAGTCTGCTTTCAAAGCCAAGTTCGATCCCGAACTTACGCTGTTCATCCACTTAGTCCTCTACAAGCTATCTGTATGGGACCATGGCGCAAGCTATGGGGCGAAACTGCAGGGACTCAAGTATGCACCGCTACGGGCCCTTACATGTGCGTCCTCGTTCAGTTCACACGGTACTGGTGTTGAACGGTCCTGATAGCTTCCGGGATACCTCGGACCACACTGGCACTGCATAGCTTCATATCAATCTTCGTCCCGTACTTCCACACTCGACTCCGCGCACATGCACTATCCAACGCATGGCCCGACGCGCCTTCTTCTGACCGGCGACGTAGAATATGGGAGTTGCTGACCCGCTTCGAGACCTTACATGGTCTTCTTGCTCTGCTAAACTTCATCGTATTCTTGAAGAATGGACGGTATGTTCATGTTGTGATTCTGCTTCCGTCGCTTTCGTGACAGAGTCCGTTCTCAGTTTTCGGACGCTAGCGGATCGAATATTTGGTCTGCGTCTAGTACCCGCCCGCCGACAGTTCCAACGCGAAGTGTCGTACGAATTCATGAATCGCCAGATGGTTTGGCACGCGTTTACCGTAAGTCACCCTCTGGCCGTCTCTTCTCAGGCTACCCCATTGCAACGTAGGAGTTCCTCCTCTTCCTATTGCCCCTCATCAACACACGAGCCATCCGACGACAAGTGTCATCATTAGCATCTCGAGTGACCCTAGTCTCCCTGCTCCCTGCCCCCGTACGTACACTCGTTGGCGCATCCGCCTCCCCTGAGGCACAATCTGAGAAGCGGACACGCCGGGGCAAGTACTGGTCTCTCCCATCCGACCACTGTGCCATCTGCGCAGACAACGCATCTACAAACCTCAACTTCTCCGACCCGGCAAACGCGCTTACGTCTCTCAGCGTGGTCTCCCCATATACCACAGCCGGGCCATCCCCACCTGACACGGACGATCCCGACTACGTTCCACAGTTCCCGATTCATTCGGCCTACGTGACGTCGTGCGGGCATGTCTACTGCTACTACTGCTTGACAGAGCGCATGATGCGCACTGCAGACGAGCGGTCGGGTGTCGGCCCCAATGGCATGCTCTGGGAGTGTCCCCGCTGCACGGAAGCAGTATTCGCGGCGGATAGACTCGAGGCAGAGGCAGAAGGGCCGGAGTACGAGAGTGGGGTAGATGACGATGACGACGACGCGATGAGCGGCACGATGAGCTTCGACTCGGGCTTGGACACGGAGTTCACGGACATGAGCGGGAGCGTCGGGAGCTTTGCAGATAGCGAAGAGTCTGGCATGTATAGTGATTGACACAATGATGCTCGTCATTCAGGTTTCTACTACATTGCGCGGTCACGACGACGTATTCACACCTCGAAGGTCTAGCAATCTTAAGCAGATGCAGGCAAAAATCCTGAAGCACGCCACGCTGCAATCCACCGCTTAATATCCGCCTCCCCAAGCTCCGGCATGCTCGCAAGCGTCTCCGACGCGCCCACCGCCTTCTTCGTATCCAGCTGATAGAGCCCAAGTGGTGTCTTCGTATTCGCTGATGCAGAAGAGCGGAAGAAATCCAGCAGACGCAACGCAGGGTGCTCTCGCGCCGCTTCAGCGTTGCGCTCGGCGGCCGCCTCGAGCGCAGCGAGCCACTCCACGTATGGCACGAGGGTCGCTTGAAGCTCTTGCGCAATAGGCGTGATGAGGGACCTCCAGGGTATGGGTCGAGGATGGACGAGGTGCAAGATCGGCTCGGGCGAGGAGCGCATCTCGACGAAGGCCCGTGCTGCGGGGTAGCTGAGGAAGAACGACGCTTCCTGAAAACAGCCATGTCAACTTAGTTTGCAGCACGGAGAAGCGGCCTGACGCAGACTCGGCTGAGCTTGACCGCTAATGTGACTTACCCCTTCGACGTTAGGCAGGTGCGACGTGAGACTAGCTGACTTGACGAGGGCGGGGAACCACTCGCGCTCGTTCCAGTGGCCGGTCTTGTCCCCGCTGATCTGCCCCAGACGCACAACCACGATTGGTACACCGGCGCGCTGTGCGACGTTGTAGAGGACTTGTTCCGCAATCCACTTGGATTCACCGTAGCCAGAGCCTAGCGGAGAGGAGGGATCGAGTGATACCTCGGGTATAGGTGGGGGAATGTTGCAAGCTAAGAACACACACGTTAGACGGTGATGCGAAGATTGTTACCAAAATGCCCACATGCGAAGACACCGATGGAACTAGTGAACTGGATTCTGGGCGGAGAGCTGTGCGGCGAGCTCAAGGAGAGTTCGACAAGGTTCCGTACAGCCTTCAGATCGGGCTCGAACGACGACAAGGCAAGGTTGAAGTTGACGGTCCAGGCTGCGGATCGTCATTAGCACAAGCCTCAGCAGCCCAACCGTATGAACCCGCACCGTTGTGTAGAATGTGGGTGACTGAGTCTCGAATCTGACATTCGTCATAAGTATAGGGTTTCTTCGTCTCAGAATGAAAGCGAGATAAGGCACCTCGTCCAGTAGCTGAGGTTCGATCCCGAATCCTGGCACGTCCAAAGCTGCCTCGATCATCCTAAACTTCGGAGTGGTCAGAAGCGACTCGTCCAGAGCCCTCTCTTTGAAGCGGGTCAATTGTCTCTCCATCGCTTGCGACCCTGGCCTGTTGAACGCATATACCCTCTCCACACGCTCGTCACGCAGCAGATGCTCAAGGACGTCGCATCCGAAACCTCCCGTGGTGCCCGTGATCAGGACGACGTCCTTGTCGCTTTGACGAGCCCGGAGCTGTGCAGGACGGGGAGGTAGGTTTGACGAGTACTTCTCGGCGATAAGGACGAGGTCATGGGCGGTGGTGGCAGTCGGGGCGACTCCCTTGTTGTGAAGGATATGAAGGACAGCCTCAGTCAACGCTGAGATGGTAGGCGCTTGGTAGACGATGCTCATCGGGAGCAGCTTGGCCGAAGTAGGAGACGTCTCGCGCACTGCGCGCAGGAGGGTATTGCGGATCCAAGTAGCTTGTAAACTAGTATCCGCCAGTCATTTGCGTCAGTAAAATGGTCTGTTGCGCATGATAAAATGAATCTACCTATCGCAGCCGTGTCTGAAGAAATCGGCATCATCGGGGATCGACTTCTTGAGCACCCTCTCGACGACGGTCCGTAAGAACGTGCGCGTACTGTCGTTGTTCCACGCAGCAGGCGCTCCGACGTCGCTCTGTGCGCTCTCCTCAACGACCTTATACAGGGCCGCGATCTCTTCCTGGTAGTCCTTCAGGATCCACGTCCTCCGCGGGTAACCCTTGATGTTGTACGAAAACGGTTTCCCAGGAGACGTGACGATTATCATCTGTTATTCGTGAACATACTGGCCCGATACGCTTCCCCCTCCCGACTTACTTCCTTGAACAACCGCGAGTGTTGAGGGGCGAACTCGTTAGCCCTTTCGATCGACTTCCTGCAGAGATCATCAATAGAGGATGGCGGCGTTAGAGGCAAGACCCACCATATCTTATTCCTAAAGTCTACGAGTTTGCCTAAGTCTTGCGGATCGAACCTATACTCGGGGGTCGGCTCAATGAGCAGCCCGTTCTGGAACTTGCCCTGTCCAAACATGATGCACCCTTGGACATGGGGGTCCTCGCTGATGATACTCTCTACATGTGCAAAGCTTAGTTGGTTCTCTCAGCCACGACGATATATAAACAAGACTTACCTAACGGGCCAGGGTTTGTCTGTGATCCACGAATGCAATTGTCATGTCAGTTCCTGCTTGCTCAGTGCTTGCCAAATCATGCGTACCTTCTCACCATTCGACAGAATGATCTGGTCGTCCAACCGTCCATAGTACCTGTAAAAGTTCGGACGTGTCGGGTGTCGCTCGAGTATGTCGTTAGTTGCGTATGCATCTTTCCCGTCGAACTTGGTGTTCACGATAGGCAGGGGGATTTCCGGATCGGACTACGACCAGGACTTGTGTGAGCCATGGGAGCAGGTCGATACGACGATGAGGTGCAGCATAGTAACTCACAATGACGATGAGTTCATAGCGGCCTTCACCAGCGTCAACCAGCCTCTGGTCATGCATCGGGTTGAGCTGGAAATAAGCCCAGTCCATTCCGGGGTTGGCTGACGGCCAGGGCGAAGGTAAGCACACGTGTCGGCACCACCAGTCAGAAAGGCAGAGAGGGCTAACCAGTGAAGAACTTGGCTATCGCGCCGATTTCCGTGCTGAATGGTATAGGTTATAATTCGGACATTGGTACATCTTGTTCCGCGGTCGGGATCTTACCTGCCATAGAGCGAGTACAAATTGATTCCCTGCGAAGCCAGCATGTCGCCGACTCCTTGGTCCAGCGGGGCACCGCCGAATATCTGAGGGACGCAAGTAGTCATGATTACATGGAAGCGCGGCCATGTGGGCAGCGAATACGTACGAGACCCTTCATGGTCTTCATATGCTCGACTTTGGCCGGCTCGCGCGCCCACATCTATGACGCTCTGCATGAGGGAAACCCCTTGCTCCCGTTCTGCGATAAAAGCGTACCTCGATCATGGCGGGAGCGGTCATGATGTATTCTGACGATGTCTTTACGATGCCGTCGAAAACGTTCTCCGGCGTTGGAAAGGTAGGTGGTGACGCCGGTGGAAACACGCCCAGTAGCATACCGTTATTTGCCTACGCCTCATGTTAGCACCACCATTCGATAAAGAAGCAAATGCTTCGATATGTCTTACCGCCAAGCAATACATCATGACCCCGATAGCATGGAACATCGGCGTACCGTGAATGCTCAGCGAGACTTGGGAAAGATCTACTTCACCGTACCCTAGCAGACTCGTGTTCAGGGTCAAGCTGGATAGACTTCATGATAGGTACTCACAAGGTGAGCTAGACCAAGACATCATCTTCTTATGCGTCCACCGGACAGGCTTAGGGTGGTTAGTAGAACCTGCCGAGAGGCAGGTAGGGATTGAGCTGGATCGGCACGACGTAACCGATCGTTCAGGCAAAACTCACCAGAAGAGTGCAAAATCATACAAAGGCCATTGATGTCAAGGGTCGCCGGCAGATCCTCCGTACTGAGACCGTCCACCGACGCATCCGCCGGGAACAGCTGCTCGAATGTCGGCACATCATGTAAGGTGACTCCGTTGAGCTCCGCCAGTGCTTTCTTCGCCAAATCTTGGACTAGGGCATCCGAAGACAAGAGAAGGTGCCGACACTCGGTTTTACGCAGCATGTCGGCGACAGCGGCGGGGACGTTGCGAGGCGAAATCAGGAACATGGTGTATCCGGCGCGCATGATACCCAGTTGGATGATGCTATAGGTGATTGTGTCTGGACCAGAGCATGACTATATGCATTCAAGAACGAGTATGATACGCTTCACCTATGTTCGCAATCACGGCGACGATCTGCGGCGTAGCGATACGAGCTTGAACATAACGAGCCGCGCGTCGGATAGCCTTGATAACTTGAGCGTAGGTGAGCGTATTGACCTCGTTTCCGTCGTGGAATCGATAGAGTGGGTAATCAGGATTCTCCCTTGCATGCCACTCGTATAGCTCTGGCATAGACAGCTCCCCCGATATTACGAGTTCTCGGGGGGAACGGAAGGCGGGAACGGCAGTCATGATGAAAACGGGTTGTAGGTTGAGGTCGTCCAAAGCCTAGCGGCAGTTCTCCACGAATTTATAAGCCTAAATCGAGCATATTGGGGGACAGTGTCACACGGTTGGCACATGAGAGGCCCATGACGGGTCGCAGCAGCCTTCGAGGGTTTCGCGCGATGTTCTCCGAATACATCACGAAGAGAATGTTCGACGACGAACTTAGGCGACTTCGAGCACGCGCCCAATCGCAGCGGGAAGCCTGATTTCCGTGAGGCGTCTGGATATGACTGCATTGAGTAAGTGCGGCTTAAGAGAAATACGTTTACGATGAAGGCTGTATTTGTCTCATAGCAGGTTCTACATGACTCAAGTCTGGCTGATTTGGGCTGCAGCACACTTGCGCTCGAGGGAGGGAAACCACGCGGTGTCCTGCGGTACACAGAACTCGTTTGCTGGCGCGCGCTGTATGGGATGGAGGAGCCATGATTGGGTTCGAGTGTGGATGCAATGGAAGATGGTGGGAAGGAGAGAACAGACGAGAGGCGGCATGGATGGCGCTTGCACCGGCATCCGAGCGCCCATAACGGGAAGGAGAAGCCACAAACGCGTCTAGCCGAGGTCACGCGTTCCGCGACCGACTGGCGCGTCCGACTCGGAGTCCTCGACGCGTCCCTAGCCTCCAGCCTCCATCTCCTTTGCGTCGTCTGCTTGTCCGAACATGCCTGCAATCGACGACTTTCTGACAAAACAGATCTACATAGACAAGAATCTCGTGGGTTATGGCTTGCATTTCCTCGGAGGGACCGCGCTGACCACAGCGCGACTTGCAAGGTGACGTTTCGATCGCTCAGTCGCCAGTTCGGTCTCCATGTCAATGCCGCAAAGAAGTAAGCCAGACGCGTATATCTAAGCTGGGATGCGCTCATGCTTTGTTTCCACCTCACAGCGAGCTAGCTAGGTTCCACAGCAGCTCTGTTACTACAGAAACGCGCTCCTTCGCCACATATCTCGTCTCCGGCGAACTCTTCTCACAACCTCGTACGAGCCCTAATGGCGCCACACAGTCAACTGAAGAAAGTATGGATGTGGATGCAGACCTGGCTGATACCGTAGGTGAGGGAGAGGAAGGTGAAGAGGAAGTGCCCACAACCACTATGACGCTTGTCGGCGAGAAGGACCTCGAAGGTGCGTTGCGCTAAGACTATTCGCTGCAAAGCCCTCCTATATACGTCCCATCAGGCGCAAAGTCCAAGTACGCGCGTATATACTCCGTACACGTATACTGTTTGAGCCCCTCGCCTCTCACGGTACGTCCGTCCGTCCGTCCGTCCGTCCGTCCAGTCACCTCCCATTTTCTTGCGGCTCAAGCTCCGCCAGGATGCCGGCCTTATCTGCGACCCGTCAGCGGTTGTATATAAAGCAGACGCAGTAGATGCCCCCACTTCTTCTATTGCCCTTGGTCGTATCGTAGGACCTGATGTTCGCGTAAGATGCTCCTTCCTATTCTCCTCACGGCGGTCGTTACAACATACTACACAGATCGGCAAAGTCCCTCCTCCCGTCGCATCCTCGTCCAAAGCTCCTGAGCCTATCAGTCGCAAACCAACTCTGAAAGCGAAGACTGAAGATACCAAGTCCCCAGACCAAGACAAAGGCAAGGGTAACACGATCAAGCCTAAGGCGTCTGGTAAGCTGGACTGGAGCAAGGCAAAGAAGTCGTCCGAGGCTGTCAAGAAAGAGAAAGACGTCAAAGTGAAGAAGGAAGAGTCGCCCGTACGCCTGGTAAAGGCGGAGACCCCCTTCAAATCTGAGAGCGAGTCTCCACAAGACGGTAGCAAGGTATGGATGTCGCCGTGCACGCCGTGTCATTTTGAGATGCAGACGTGGTGATGCTGTGCCACAGCGCGGCGTGAAGCGGAAAGCTGCACTCCCAACAGCGTCCGACACAGAAGAGAAGCCGAAGGTGAAGGAGGAGAAATCCAAAGTCACCCCGGCGCACGATCTCAAGCTGAGGAGGAATCGCATCTTGTCCGATGACGAAGATGAGGACTACGCCCATCCGCTCAAGCTGCAGGCTAAGAGGAAGTCCAAGGTCCCAGCCGCTATTGACGCGTTCGAATCCGATGCCGAGCGGAGCCTGCGCGCGATGATGGACATGGACGATGGTGAGTACACATATCACTCGCCACCGCCCCCTTGCTCCCCCTCTCCTCCGCATACAAATAGCATGACCGGGAAGCTATGCTCACTACCCCTCATGAAGACGACGTGGAATTGGCCTCCAAGAGCCGCCCCAGACCAAACCCCAAGCTCATACCCACGGTCCCAAGCGACGAGGACATCGAGATGGCTGCCTCAGAGCCGGAGCCCGTTCCCCCCTCGGAACCGGAGCGGGACGACGAGGACATGGAGATGGAACTGGAAGAAGACATACCGAAGCCAAAGCCCCAGCCAAAGAAGAAGGCGGCAAAGAAGGCGTGGCCCGTCGGGCGCAACGGCCTGAAGAAAAAGCGGATAGTGCGGTCGCGCGTCACTACGGATGCGAAGGGGTACATGGGTGCGTTTTCGTCTCGGTATGGGTGTGGAATGGGGGCAAACGGGTGCTGATGAGCGCCTCCACCGTCAACTGTGCCGTTAACAGTCACGGAGAATTACTCAGAGTACGAGTCTGTGGATGAAGAGGAGGCGGCGGCGGAAGAGGCGAAGAAGGTGCCGAAGGGGAAGAAGGCGTCTGCCACTAAGCCCAAGAAGGGCGACGCCGAGGAGAGGGCAAGCGCGCCGAAGCCCAAGCCCGTCGCGCGTTCGGACAGCGTCAAGAAGCGGGCGGGGGGAAGACCCAGCGCGCAGGGCAGCTTGAAGGACTTCTTTGGGAAGCCAAAGAGTTGAATTCCGGAGAAGGGGTCAGGCCTCATTGCAGTGGTTGTTCATATAAGTTCCATCAGACACTCGTTAGTACGTCGCGCGAGGGTTTGGTTATGCTTGTACTATGTGGTACGTTCCTATCCTCTAGTCTCCCATTCCTCGTCGGATTCAACAGTGTTGCGGATGATATGCAGTGGTCTACGCGCAGGTTTCCTTGTCATCACATAAGTGGCGCAGATATACCAGGCAGCGTCTCTCCGAGTGCCGCACACAGCGAGTACTCCTACATACATGGGAATATGCCACTGCAGGGGACGGTACACAAAATATTCCCCGAATTTTACTACGGTGCACGCCAAACGGACGTTTAGCCATGAGATAGAAAAGATCGACGGATGTCAGCTTGTTCATCAGGGAGCTGCAAGTGAATCAGAAGGCTGGGCTCGGCCACGCTTTTTCTCGCCGGCGTGGGCCCGCTCGCTGCTTGCAGTGCCGATGAGCTGGAGCTAACCATGACGCTCAACCAGATCGTTGTCTGGCGCGGGACACTCTGTTGGACTTACTGCAACTCGAAAGAGACGCTTGACTTTGGCGTCAGGTCAGAAGTGATTGAGAAACAGACACGCTAGAGGCGTGCAAGTATGTGATGTTATCAAGTGGACTAGTGTAAGCATTGGTAGAGTACGATGGGAAAGCAACAGAGGGACCGCGAGCGAGACAGCTTGAGTAGCATTGCGAGACGACAACCAGAGGCAAAACATAACAGAGAAGCTCTTTCGCGACGGAGCTCAGTACTCAAAACCTTATGGCCGGTTTCCGGTGATTGCGTCGTAGATCTGCTTCAGCAGTGTAGGCTCAGCGTTGGTAAGGTAGCGCGACTGCAGCTCGGCTCCACCACCACACGCCGCCTCGGCCTCGCGCAATTTGGTGGCGATGTACCCCGTGAGTTGGGTCGTGCGCACAGGGTCGTTGTCGAAGACCTGAAACTGACGTTAAAGCACTGCTTCATGAGCAATATTCACAGGGTTAGAACACGTACGGCCCTCCGACGTTCATGCTCCAGTGTTCCCTCCACCTCGGTATACACCTCGTCAAACGGACGATCCCAATACAGCGTGAGCGACGAGCTGCTGAAAACAGTCAGGCACTTCCACAATGGACGACCACACAGCACGCACTCGTTGCCCGTATTGCTCTGCGCCTCCTTGATCTCCCCGAACACGTCGATCCAGAGGTTGCAGATCTCGGTCGACAGCCTGTCGAGCACCTCCGGTCGGCCCGTCGACACGAGGTTCGCGATGCCCATCGCCGTCAGCTTTCGCAGGCGCGGCTCGGACATGTTGTCGAACTGTGGTCAGGACGACTCCGATGAGAGCAAGGTCAAGATCGCTAGGGAGGGTCGCAGACATACCCGCGTCCACCATTGGTTGAGGATCGGCTCCCAGATCTGCGACACCGGCTGGTTGAGCGCTTCGGCGGTGGCGGAGACGAGGTTGAGGAACAGCTGCCTGTCCGCGACTGCTATGCGAGCGAGGAGGTACACGTATTCAGTCAGGATAATTGTGGGGAGCTATTCGCATGCGACGTCAGCATATCGTCCCAGAACAATCACCCTGGAAAGCCTGCCTTGTCCTCTTCCAAGCCCTTCCAGACGGTGAGGAACAATCCAGAGCTGTGCATGGCCTCCCCCCACAGCGCCGGAGGCGCGACCTGCGTGAGCAAACAGAGGGCTGACGTCATATGCTTGATGTTCGTGGAGATAGCTCCCTCAGTGATCGCTGCGTTGAATGCGCGAAGCAGATCGACCGCTGCCACCTGGTTTCATCGACTCAGCCAAAGGGACGTCAGCGGAACGTGCAAGGAAGCGGACTCGCCTGGAGGATACGGGGGGCGTCAAGCAAGAAGTATGACTCAAGGATGTGCACGACCGTGCCCAGAAGCTCGAAGTTGCTCGAGAGCTGCTGAATGATGAGGGGGACGAGCTCGACGAGACCAGGGGAGCCCTCAATGGTGTTAGTGTTCCTGAGGGCGCTTTGCCAGAGCGCGAACGCGTCCTGGTCGAGTTGGATAGACGCCTACAGGGAGACTTCGAGGTCAGGCCGCCATGCGACCACGTGCATTCGGTGCAGGCGCACTCACAGGCGGGATGAAACATTCGCGGACAAGAGGTACGACCAACGCGCTCAGCGAGTTGGCATTTTCTTTCGCTGACTGGTCAGGGTGAGCATCACCATACCTCCCGTGAGGACACGCAGACGTACCTCGACAAGCTTCTGGACCGTGCCCAACAAACAAGCCTTGAACAACCAGTCTTCCTCCGCAGCAGTCCCTACACAACGAATCAGCACACGACCAGCCAACCGACGGAGAAAGAACCTACAAAGCTGAGGTATTGGCTCCGCAACCATCCTAATCAGAGGGACAATCTGACACGGCCGACTCAGTGACTGCTCGAAGGATAGAGGCCGATCTTACATACACGAGATTCTGCACGCTCAATGACCGTGTTCAAACTGTCGTTGATCCTTCGCTTAGCCTCCAGCGAGTCCGCCTCAGCGGTGAGCTGGACCAGGGACGTGACGACTTGAGGCAAGAAGGGCGCGAACGTGTTTGCGTCGAAGTTCAAGCTCTGCAATCACCCAGGCATTCAGCTGGAAACACCTTGAAAACGCGTCAGAAAGAAACCCACATCGACACATTCACGGATGGCTATCGCCGCCGTCAGGCGGACCACCGCGTCGGACCCCGGACCCTGGTCTCGGAGCAGGTGGACCAGGACTTGCCAAAGGATGGGGTTGTTCGCCGTCAGACATTCGTCCGCGACCAGCTTGCCGAGGAGCCATGCGATTCGCCTCTTCACAATGGGGTAGCTGGTATCACCCAGTCAATCTCAACTACGACCAGTGAGTGCACTCTTCCATACCTCGGATGGGTCTCTTGGGCCTCGGCCATAAGAGAGCTCTCGAGCCAGTCCTTGAAGGGGATGGCTCCCTTCAGGCGAATGGCACAGCGCCCAACTGCACAGTACAGGGCCTCTTTCTGGATGATCGCAGGGAGGTCTATCGCTCGCTGACCTGCGTGGGTGTCAGCAGCCTGATCCATTACCCGAGGCGAGGAAGGCTGATACGCACCGACGAGGTTGTTGAATGTGGTTTGGATCAGCGGCTGGACGTACTGAGGATATTGGCTCGCCAGCGTCATGAGGACGCGCTCCCCACAAGGCTGAAAAAACAACTCCGGTGAGCTTCGGATGAACGTCTCAAGACTCGGAAGGGTATACCCGAAGTTCGTACTCCCACTGGTCGTTCTCTTTCTCCTCCGTGTTGACCCACTCCTCCGGATCAGCCATCCACTCTTCGAGGTCAGTCGGGTTCAGCGGGATGAACCGCGTCACCAAAATTTTCACCGCGTCCTCCACGAATTCCTTCGTGAGCACTAAATGATATATCAATATAGAATGGACAAGTGAAACATTGACAACTCCGTGAGACTTACCTCTGTCGTTCGTCGACCCGTCCTTCTTGACAGGCGCCCACTGCGCCAAGCTGTCGCGGAAGAGCGCCATGCCCTGCACGAGGAAGCGCACAGGGAACACGGCGAGAGCCGAGTCTGTGCACAACGGTCAGTCACCCACTCTACCAGCAATCTCGTCCACAAAAACATGCGCGGCAGGGCGTACCTGCGATCTGCTCCGACGGACCAGCCGTCGCCTGCACGACCTTGCTCCAGTAGTACAGCACCAGGTCTCCGCACACTGGCAGCGTGACGAAGTGCGCCGGGTTGTCGCGCTGCATGCGCCTGAACAGCTTCCCGAACACGCGCACGTGGCGCGTGAGCAGGTCGAGCGCGCGCTGCGACACGGCGTCCGCGGGCGGCCCCGCGCCCAGGGCGGAGACCAGCCCGATGCGCATCTCCGAGAGCGCCTGCAGCTGGACGGCCGCGTTCTGGAAGAAGTCCTGCACCCAGGGCGCGAACTCCTGGTAGTCGCGGCAGCAGGTGTAGCGGTGGTACGCCCAGAAAGCGAGCTTGACGAGGCATTTGAAGGTCAGGTGCGTGAGGAGGAGGTCTTCGGCCGTGCGCAATTGGCTGAGCGAGGCGGGGGCGATGGAGGATAGCGAGGATGAGATTCGCGCGTAGTGGGCTTGGAGGGGTAGTCGCAGATCCTCTACGAGCTGTAGAGATATGTAGGAAGAGTCATGCTAAGGGGAACCAGCTGCGTACCTTGCCCATGGTCTTGACGCCCGTCAACATCTTGAATCCCGCATACTCCTTCAGCACGGCGTTGAGGACTTGGAGCGAGCGGCGCAACACCAGGGTCGCGTTTGGGTCGCCGTTAGTGTATCGAGCGTCTACGGAGGAGTTGATCGCGCCTCCGAGATGCGACATGAGGTTCCCCCTGGCGAACACGATGAATACCGCGATATAGCAGGGATGTAGCAACTGACGTACCAAGCGACGGGATAGTCCATCCGCGCGATCTTCGCGACAACGAGCGCGTTACACTCTGCAATCTACGGGGCAGCGGAACAGTCGTATCCGGAATGCAGACAGTGAGAATACCGCCCAATCACTCACAATGTCATCGGTCTCGTCCAAGAAGGAGAGGGTGCGTGCCCGGATGCGATCCTTGATCTCGGGAGGGAAGTTTCTGATGAATGACGTAGGTCTCTGTGTATGCATGAATGAAGACGGGATACTCACTTGCGCGACCTCCAGTGACCTGAAGTCGCGTTCTTAAACTGGATCATGGCCTGTTGGCGGACCTGGAGAGGGACGGTTTTCTGAGCGGCGATTTCGTGCAGGATATCATAAGCTCCTGGTCGCTCTAGGAGATCCTTCAATCTATGTGTCGAAACCTGCACTTCACTTGGGTTCTGGGATGCGGCGCCGCACACGACATTGTATAGCTCCTCGGGGGAGACGGGCTGTGGCTGAGCTTGGCTCGGGGGAGCCATAGTGAGATGCCAGTGATCCGCAAGGACAACACACGTGGGGTTGAAGTGAGATTAGGACAGTGCAGGCTTAAGTACAGGGAGGAGAGATGGACAAAGGTCGGGACACGATGGGAGAAAGCAACGACGAAGGCTCGCAGCGACCCTGCAGGGCAGCGCGAGGCGTTGCCCGGGCGGGCGCTCAGGCTCCAGAGTCGCGGCCAAATAACGCGTCCACAACGCCACGCGTCTATCCCCGCGACGCGTTCTGTTTGCTTCCGAGCTTGGCCACAGTCCCGCTCTCCACCAGCCTCCTCACTGCAACGCGCCACGTCGCATGCAAATGCGCTGTGCGCCCGCCCTCTCTCGTCTTGTCCGTGTCAGCCCCAGAATACACACGGTTTACGTTGGCCTCTGTCCGCAGCCCGCTTCTCCTTTCACGATACTTCCCGACGCGAACCACAGCCACATGACACGGGCCATTCCTCTACCCTCTTTCTCGCGTAGCCAGAGCTGGGCCTCGCAAGCCAGAACCGATACCACCGAGGAATACGTAGAGGACTCTGAGCCAGAGCGCCAGGAACGAAGGCTGAAGGCAAAAACACGTCGGGTGCAGGTTCAGAGGAGGAAGACCCCTCCGGCCGCGGTCGTGCAACCCGCGGAAGACGTCATCGAGCTCACGGACAGCAGCCCTTCTCGTCCGAACACTTCTGTACCCCAACGGATCAAAGCCAAGCCCATAGTAATCATAGATGTGTCTGGTCCGTGTCCGTCCCCACCATGCCCATTCGAGAAGACTTAAGAAATAGTTCGCGCTTGCAGATAGCAGCGACTCGTCTGCGTATACACCACGGTCGCGCGGGAGCGATCACGCCCATGTTGTCGTAGGTGGTATCAACGCCAAGATTAGCGGGGGTATGTTCTGCCGCAGAGAGAAAAGAAGAGGCCACACTGAGGGGAGTTACAGACAGCACCTTCGACGAGTCCCTTCCCTCTATAGGGAAGCTCATTGGCCTACCTGAAGGAAAGCATCGGAACCGCGTAAAAGATTCAGATCCAGGCGACGTTCGCGAAGGGAGCAACCCAGCACGATCTTCGCCTCCGTCTCCAGCGCCCCGCGCGCCCCTATCCTTCGCCTCTGACGAAGGAAGCGACAGCGACGAAGGACAACTCAAGCTCAAGCGCTTCGCCTACGCCGCTCCCGCTCCCAACCCACCAAGACGTACCGCCTCAAAAACACCATCCCCGGCGACACAAGAGTCCCAGACTCCCGAAGCGACGTCTTCCGCCGTGCCCCCGGCGAAAGCGAAGCGCCTCCCCAGCCATCGTTTCGCCGACGAGTTCACGGATTTCCGGCTATCGCGCCTCCTGAGGTGCGTGTCTTGCGACCTCGCCTGGACCGCGCGCAAGACCGTCAAGGAGAAGATGAAGCACATCCAGTCCTGCGCGAAGAAGAACAGGCTCACGGACGAGACGGTCCGCGTTCTCCTGCGGGCCGAGCTGGCCAAGCTGCAGCCCGTCGCGTCTTCGTCGAAGAGGAATTCTCCTGTCGAGCCCACCGTGCCGTCCGCACCAGAGACGTTGTTGGCAGAGACGGTGAGGGAGCAGAAGAAGAAGCGGGCCGGTCCGCGGCGGCAGGTCGAGCCCACAGTCAAAAGCGTTGCTGAGACTCGAGAGGACATCCTGAACAAGGCCCGTCTTCTGCTCCAGAATGCCCCCAATCGTGTCCCGCCCGCCGGCAGAGTCGTTCGGCAGATCGCGCAGAGTTCTGCTGCGCCAGTTGACCCGGAACCTGCTATGCCCCCTCCTACGCAGGCGTTCGCGAGAAGCAGCGTCGCTGCGCGCCATGATCTCCCGGACATACAGCCTGCAGACACTACACGCGCGTTTGGAGCCAGCCGGCTCGGTGTCGCTCGCGTCCAGCAGAGCATCATCAGCGCAGGGGCCGCTATTGCGGCGGAGTCGGACGTGTCGCCTCTTACTCAGGTCTTCAGCAGGAGCGCGTTGGGATCCGCCATGGCCGCAGTCGACCCCGCGGACGATATGCCTCCGGCCACCCAGGTATTCGCCCCGAGCAAGCTGAGACACGCAAGCGGGGTGGCTCGCGAAGTCCTTCACGCTCACGGTACGTCCTCTTCGAAATGTCTCAGTGCGATCACTTCGCTCACCTCTACGCAGACGACCCGATGGATGAACCCATCTCCCTGCACGATACCTCCGAGGACGACTTGGACCTGGGCAAGTCCTCCCCTCCCCGGCCTGTAAGTGCCCCTCCCGCGATTGTCCTGTGAATGAGACTGATAACAACCAGACCGTGATCGAAATCATCTCCTCCCCCAGCTCAAGCGCAAACCATCTTCCACCTTTACCGACGGAGGCGAATCTCGCCCCCGCCCCCGTCCCTGCCCCCACAGTCTCGAGCCACCTCGCGCGTTCCCCATCTCCCTTGCACCCACTGTCACTGTTCGCAGAACAGAGCCAGGAGCCCGCTGGTGACGATGTCCCGGAGCCGTATGCGCCTGCGCACGGCGACGACGCGGGCGACTTGTATGTACAGGACGATTATGATCATCAATGGAACGGCTGGTACGAGGACCAGGACGCGTGGGAAGAGCACGGGGACGCGTTCCTACATTACGACCCTGAGCGCGACGGCGCAGGGCCGTCTCGCACGAAGACGCAGGCGGCGGAAACGCAGGCGCCGCCGCGCGAACGGAGGTTGCTAGCGATACCGGAGGACGACGTGCCTGGTGCGGGACCGTCCAGGGTCGGCCGGGAGCCGGGCCCTGCTATTGCCCCTGCTACGAAGCCCCCATCGAAGAAGCGTGGGCGGCCGAAGGCGAACACGGATGAGAGCGACGCGGAAGTAAGCAAAGAAGGCAAGGAAATATCCCAAGAGGAGCTGAACGCGAAGCTCAAAGAGGCCATCCTGAAGGACGAGGCGCTCCATCTGCGCGTCTTGCGATACGAGGTACGTGCACCTGAGGCTCTTTGGGTACGTCTTCGGGCCTTGGGCTGGACGCGGCGTGATTCTCGTGCAGCCGATCCATTTCGACGTGTTCATGCAGCTTGCCGCGGGCGTCGGCGTCACGGACAGGAAGACGAAGCTGAGGGGGAAGGTGCGCGCGTTCCTCGACGAGAAGGTGTGTTTGAGCGAACCCTCCTCCCTTGGTTGTCTGATGGACTGACACGGGCACAGGCCATCCACTTCTACGGCGCTGACCCAAGCAAGAACAGGACGAAACGCGCACGGCACTCTTAGCATCATTGCCTTACTCTCACATAACCAGACTGGCTTGACTCTATACATTATTTGTAATTAAGCGGGCCTGTTGAAGGCTACATACACTACTACCACGATCTATCTAGTACGCGAAATGTATCTCAATATGTAACCAAAAGCAATGCCTACGACAACGGACACGCGAACGAACGGATGGATGCTGGAGGTGACCCCCAACTAACCTCTTTCACGAGCAGGGAATCAAAGGGCCACGTCGGACAAGCCGGCGACCTCGATGACCCCACCTACGAGATGCAAGCTGCCAGCGACTAGGACGTCGACAGGCTTGTCGCCCGAGACGTTGAGCTTCCGGACGACATTGACTGCGTGTTCGATGGAGGGCAGGACGTGCACGTTGTCCTTCGGGAACGAGGGGACGAGGGAAGACCATGTGTCCGCGAGCTCGTGCTGGGTTTTCAGGTAGAGCTTGTCGTCGGTGCTGAGGGCCACCGTGGTGATGTCTAGGCAACAGCGGCAACGGTCAGTGTTCATTCTTCTAACAAGACGCAAACGAGGCGCTTTGGCATTGGACGTACCGCCCTTGAAGGTGCCGTCTGCGTAGGTGACGTTCGCGCAGAAGACGACCTGGTTGAAGAGCGCGTCCGCCGCCTCGGTGAGCCCGTGCTTCTGCAGCTGCTCCGCGGCGCGGGCGAGCATAGCACCTAGGAACGCTTTCCCGGAGCGGCCGCTCGTGCAGTTGAAGATCAGCACCCGGGAGCGATCACCTCTAGTTTGATGGCGATTAGCCCTGGACTCTGCGCTGCGACGGCTGAGATCGACTCACAAGTGCTCTGGGTCCCTAAGTGCGATGTCTGGGCTGACGTACCACCGCATGCAGCAATCGAGGCTCTCCAGTGTGTGCGCCCCGTCGAGGAACCAAGTCGTCTTTTCGCTCTTAGGGTCGACAACGGTCTGACAGCGGCCAGGCCACTTGGTCGCCTCCAATCCCCGCACGAATGGTTCGGGCAATCCCTCATCGAAGTCCTGCAATGCTTGTGCGGACAGGAATCTCTTGGCGAGCGCCACGGCGAGTTTAGCATTCTGGTACTGGTGACTTCCGGACAAGCCTGCAGAAACATCAGGCAGGGTGCTCGATCACAGATCAACCCTGAAGTGCTTACCGAGCTTGACATCCGGGAGCCCCGGTGGGCGTTGGACAATTTCAAACTCGGAGACCTGCCAATCGCTCTTTCTGTCTGTGAACATCATGGGTCGAGTGGTGACAGACCGACCTTCACGATGTCGGCTTGCTCTTTTAGTACCGCAGCGGCTTCCTCCGGCTGTTCGACGGTCAGCGCTGGAACGCCTTCCTGATGATCACGCATATCGTCAACCCGTGCCAGACATGGGTCCGAGCGTGGCTCACCTTGAAGATACCGGCCTTTTGCCACGCGATGTCCTTCAGAGTGTTGCCCAGCACGTTGACATGGTCAATGCCGAGCGCAGTGATTCCGGTCACGATTGGCTTAGGAACGATGTTCGTGCTGTCATGTCTTCCACCAACGCCAACTTCGAGGATTGTGGCGTCAACCTGTGGCGGGGCGTCCTGAGCAAGAATACTGCCAATGGATGATGACCTTCATACTTTGAGCTCCAGGAAGATATGATAGGCCAACAACGTCATGAAACGGAAGTATCCTGGCATTATGGATGTCTGTGGGTTGGCCGTCTACAGGGCCCTTTCAGCAAAGCTGTGATCGCATCTGATTCGCGTCAAATCTACCTTGGTGTTCCGCTGGAGCCGATCCCATACCTCAAAGAAGGACCTGACAAAGGTTTCCTCGTCCACTGGAGAACCGTTTATCCGAATTCGCTCACGCACGGAGACCAGGTGAGGGGAGGTGTAGAGACCTTCGTTCCGCGTTAGGTAGGAAATAACCTAAACAAACGCCTTCACGCACCGACTTTCCACTCCGGACGAGTAGCACGGAGGACAGAGTCAGTAAACGCGGATGTAGAACCTTTGCCCTTGGTTCCCGTGATATGTATTACGTTCAGCTTGTTCAAGTCGGACGGCTACAATGGACCATCACGATGAGGCCCATCAGGGGAGGATGGAAATACGACTTGCGCTGTACCCTATTCTACCCAAGTACTCAATCATCTCCGGGATGGCGAACTCGCTCAGCCGTCCACCGGAGGCGCGGACGGCCTCCAAGGTGGCGGCATTGGACTGGAGGGAGTTGAGGTGATCGACCGCGTCGCGGTATGTTCTGGTCGACATGGTGCGGCGGAGGAAGGCAGGAAGTAGACGTATATATACAGGAAGATGGCGATAGGATAAGGAGAAGAGCGGGGACATCAGGGACGCATGGTTATCTGGCCGGCGCTGGCCCGCAGTGGCAGCTGAGTGAGTCGATTCTGCTCAAGACGGCGCAGAAGCAGGTCAGAGCGCACTGCCAGTGAGTCACGGGCCCGTGTCGCGCAAAAATCCCCGCGTAGCCGCCCGCCACATACTTGCAGGCGAATGGAGTCCACAGCTTGCGCTGTCTCTCTCCACTGTCATATCTGTCTGGCCACATTTTTCTATTCCTTCATCCCCTTTCTGCTTTCCTCGATATGCTGCGCAACGCTTGCGCACCTCTGACCGCCGTCACACGTCGACTATCCTCACCACTTACCCGCGCTGTATCCACGGCTTCGGTGTCGCGAGAGCCATCTTCGTCAGTACAGCGCACTCTTCCAACGAGCCACCCCCGTCAAACTCCAAAGTTATGGAAAGGAAAGGGGAAAGAAAAGTCGGATGAGGGCGACGAAGGCTCGGGAAGACCCAAGCGTCTCCTCAAGCCGTACGATCTTACCCTGAGGTTGACCAACATGTGTGAGGAGGGAAAGCTAGACGAGGCTATCGACACTCTCAAAAGCATGCCTCTCGATGCACAGAACACCTCAACTTGGAACACCATGATCAGCCACGCTGGACGCGCAGGTCGATACCAGCTAGCCTACCAGCTGTACATCGAGGTGTGTTCTCTTTCGCTCCCCAGCATCCCCAGCCACTCTGAGGGTGAGGCCACAGATGAAACGTCGCGGCTTCAAGCCCGCTCTGCGTACATATACGACCCTCATGTCTGTCTTCACCAAAGTCCCGTCCTGGGAGGACCGCTCGAAACTCATCCAGAACGTCCACAAGACGTACGAAAATTACCTCGCGTACATCGAGCTCGTCAAAGGCCACAACCCCAAGAGCCCTGAGTACAGCGTCGCGCCCATAAACGCATACCTCTCCATCCTCGGCCGCGTAGGCGAGCACCAGCGCATGTTCGACGTCTACAACGCGCTCGACGAGTCCGGCCCCTTCTCCCCGACCAGCGTCACCTACACAGTTGTCCTGCGCGCCCTAGGGCTACATAGCACGGCTGCACGGGGCGACACCGAGCAGGGGCGCGCGATCCGGGAGCGCCACGCGTCCGACGCGCGCCTCATCTGGCGACAGCTCACGAAACGCATCGAGGACGGCGCTCCCATCGCCGTCGACGCCTTCCTCATCAGCGCCCTCATCCGGGTGCTCGCACTTGGCAGGCCTGCGGACCAGATCGCGGCGTTCGACGTCCTCCGCGAGCACGTCGGGCTCGCGAAGCCCGGCGAGACCGCCCCAGCCCCCACCGTCGAAATGTCGGCCCCACTGCTCGCGGACGTGCTCTCGCTCTGCAACGCCGCCAAGAAGCACCGGCTGACCGTGCACTTCGCGCAGCAGCTCATGGACAAGAACCCGTCCCTGCTCGACCGCGGGCACATGGACCACATCCTCGCAGCGTACGGCGCGCTCGCTGCGACGGGCTCGACGACCGAGGCCGCCCGCGCGCTGCAGACGCTCGAGTGGATGGTCGAGCAGGAGATGTCGAGCAAGGACGGCCACAAGATCCGCCCCGGGCTCTCGACCTACACGTTCGTGCTCGTCGCGTGCTGGCGCGCGAAGGACTGGGAGAGCACGATGCGCACGTTCGAGCTTATGACCGGCTACCGCGCGAAGGACTTCGCGGACGGGGCGGCGGACGCCCCGCAGCAGGTCGTCCGCGCGTCGGGGCGGAACGTCCTTCCCGATGCTGCTGGGGCGTCGTGCATCGCCCGCGTAGCCCTCGCCACCGGGGACGAGGCGGTTATGCGCCAGTGCCTGCGCATCGTGCACCGGCTGAACCTCACGCGGTACCTGTCCCTGGCCGGCGGAGAGGCGGAGGCGGAGCCGGCTCGGGGAGTGCCAGCGTCCAGGAAGGACGCGACGTACTACGCGCACAAGATGGCGTCCGCGCTCGTCGAGGCCGTCGATGTCCTCGTACCGAGGAGGACGGACGACAGCCCGCGGCTGGGGCACGAAGAGAGGAACTTCGTGGCGATCCGCTCGGCGGCGCGGGGCTTCCTGATCGCCCATCGGCACCAGCGACCGAATGCGAACGACACCCCTCTTCTGGAGGAAGAGTTGCTCGGGAGCGAGCAGGGCCTATCCGCCATGGACGAGGCGGTAGAGTGGGAGCGGATAGCCAGAGAGCAAAAGTCGAACAGTAGATCCTTCTAATTGCTTACATCCCGACCTAATGCCGTCTCATGGAATACATGCCGCTCGCTGTGCCTGCATGAGACCTGGGGCTGCTGAAGCACCATCCACACAAACACAGTCGACGAGCGCGAACGGCCAGTTTTGACTATGTACAGCGGGTGCACAGCGCACACGGGGCGAGAAAGAGAGCACATAACAAGAAATATATCTGGCAGCCACCAGTCCGTTCCAAGAAGCGTGCGGGAGAGCCACACCACGCTGCAATATACTACTGACAAGGAGGGTCCATTCGTCGTCAACAGAGCAACACAACATGATACGCGTAGGAGGGACAGGGACAGGGCGCGAGTACGGTGTAGATGATGAAGCAGCACAGAGGAGAGAATACGTCGAGCATACCGATATACGTGTACGTGCGTGCATGAGCGGCATGACATCCCACCCCCCGCCCCTGCCACCACTGCCACTTCACCCCCAACAGCCCGCAAACCACAAACAGCAAGAGCAAGAACGCTCAGACAAAACTCCATGTGCAGCCCGTGCACGCCTCACGCGACGGACTTTGGCCTGTCCCCCGCCCGGATGGTGCTGTCCCCAAAGCCCGGCTTCGAGAACGCCGGGGAGGGCGGCACGAACGTGTCCTCCGTCAGCGCCATCGACACGGGCTGGTACGCCCCGAGCCCTCCAGGCCCGGGCCCGGGCGTGTCCTCGATGTACGACGACGCGCGGTGGAGCGGCATGGGCGTCGCGCGCCCCGGGGTCCGACGCGCTCGCGCCGCGCGGCTGCTGCGGCGGCGGAGCAGGTACACGACGCCCGCGGCGACGAGGACGAGGACGACGAGTGCGTTGAGGGCCATGATCGCGAGGAGGGCGGGGAGGTACGCCTGGAGCTTGTTGAGCGTGTCCGCGAGCTTGTCCGAGACGTCGACGGTCGTCGAGCCGCCTGCGGCGGCGGCGCCCGTCGCGGAGACGCTTTGGGCGCGGTAGCTGATGTTGGTCGAGGCGGAGCCGCCGCGGTCCGCGTGGAACTCCTTGGAGGCGGTGTTGGGGTCGACGAGGGAGAGGAGCTGCATGTAGGGGTTGCCCATGTTGCCCGAGCTGTCGTAGTCGCCGAAGTCGTAGACGGTGTACAGGGACCGCATGACGTTGTCGCCGATGAGCCAGTCGCTAGATTCACGCAGGAGTGAGCTTGGCGGATGCCACAAGGCTACTGCTGCACCGCAAATACGTACAACTGGCCAGCTCCGACGGAGACCGCCTGCGGGATGAAAGACCCGACGCACAGGGTGCTGTCGCTGAGGCTTTTGGGCGTCACATCCAGAGGGTGAATTGGGTACACAGAGGAGCTGCAGCAGGCCGCCATTGAGCACACCTCCGGGATCTCGTCATCGTTCGTTCCTTGAATTCACTTACCCGAACTGAAGAGCAATGTCGACCTCCGCGTCGCAAGGGACGACCCACTGACCGAGAGCCGAGTTGTAGGACGCGCCCTGAACGTTGCCGTAGATCGCATCGCACACTTCCTTCGTTGCGTACCTAAGCGAGACGACGCGGGATTAGCACACTGTGCGCGAATCTCGTATAAATGCAGCAGATCTCGACTGACGTGTATGACGTGCCACTGTCGAGCATTACGACCGCCTTGCCTGACGGAGCGCCGGCTACACTGGTGTTCAGAGGGATCACGGTGTTGTTGTTGGCGAGGACGATGGCATCGAGCAGCACTGTCCAGCGGGTGGGGTCGGACGCGGGGAAGGTGGAAATCTTCGGGCTGTTCGCGACGTCCTTGTAGTCATCATCATACTCGCCTGATGAGAAGCACATTAGAACCCAACAGCGACGACTATGTCGCGAATCGCACCTATTGTGAAGGACCCCTCGACATCACCACCAGACTCCGTCGTCCTCTGGAGGGCGAAGGCGATGAAGTTGGGCTCTTTCGGGTTGTCTGCGAAGAGGTTAGAGAGGAGGGCCTTGCCATCTGACTGGCCAGCATTTGTGAGCGCGTTGTCGACGCTTGAGAGCTTGCTGAAACCCAGTCCGACGATGCCGTCGACACCGTACGAAAGGATGGGGTTGCTGGCTTCAGACGCATCAATGAAGGCTTGTTTGGGCACGTTGATGCTAGACCGAATATAATCAGGACGGGAGTGGGTGTGCGAGTCTGCCCATGCTCGCTCACCCAGCGAATTCAACGGCAGTGTAAGAAATGTGGCCGTATGTTGAGCCTATGCCGTACTACAGGGACGTCGTGAGAGGTCTTGCGACGGAGATTACGGCGGCGACACTCACGGTTACATTAAGCGTCAAGGCCTAGGCAGCAAAACGGTAAGCCAGGTATCCAAAGTGATCTTAGCTGGAACATACCGTCTGATTAGCGTTGGGTAGTGGAGAGGAGGCTCCCTTAACCCAGAGGTCGGAGGAGCCGGTATCAAGTTGCAAAGGGTATTCTGAGCGACTACCATAAGGACGTACGGAGGTAGAGCCCAAAACTGTCAAACGTACCTGTTCCTCCTACGGTGACCTGTACCGGGACGATGAGGAGGTACTCGATGGGGGGATGGCGGTAGAACTCACGTTAGCAATATACAACAGATCATGGAACGAGCTGTCGCAGACAGCTCAGTTGGGATCCCTGGTATTCGGGGACAATAAATCATACCTTAGGTCGGCATCGTCTCCGTTGCCGGAAGAGGTCGACGAAGCGGCAGCAAGGACAGGTCGGCGAAAGGAAGTCTTGCCAGAACGCTTCTGGGGAGAATGGTTCGGCCGTTTGCGCTGTGTGAAGGAGATCTTGGCTGCTTCAGACAGAGTAGCGGAGAGAAAGAGACCGAGGGCGAGGGAGGATGAGAGCCTCATCGTGGAGGCAGCCGAGGCGAGGATGGAGCCGAAGGAGTGACTGGAAGGGAATGTGGGGATGGAGAGCGAGTGGGAGGGAGTAGGACAGCACGAGTCTGCGAGGACTGTGCGTGCCCGGGAGACGAGAGGAAGGAGAAAGTCGGTCAGAGAGGCGACCTGGGCGAGGTCGATAGCAACATTGATCTTCTCCGCGTTCCTTGTCCTCCCACTCGACTTCTGCACCCAGACCCGGCGTTCGGCGCTTGCTCCCTCACGTGGCACAGTCCGTATCCCTCATAGACTTGCACCTTGGCCACAGATCCGCCTACATATGTCTCGCCTTGCAGCTGTGTTCCGCATTGCGATTGACAGCTGCAGAACGACTCCGTCGCTCGTTGACAGCGACTTTCTCAGTCGCCAGCCGCACAGCGCCCCCCAGTTTCCCATGGGTAGCAGGCACTCTATCCGCCTCTGATTGTCACTGCGCCTGCCGCCCCTTCGATGATTTGCCAATCTACACAATGCCATGCGCGCGCTCCCCTCGACTGTCGGAGCATCATACGGCGCAGATCTGAACAGCAGGTTGCACAAGCTCTCCGTGCATGAAGCTGGGACTGAAGTCAAGCGTGATAAGTAGCGTCCGGAGGTTGAGTGCCAATCCGGATTACGCGAATATCTCGATCTCTGATTGATGTTGACCTGACCCCGAGGCAGTGGAACGCTTTTCCTCGGGCTCCTTGGCGACGAGCGCTTCTCCCCGAGTCTAAAAGCGCGCAAGCATCTGTCGAAGGCGCAGCTGGCAGTCACAGATACACAAGCTACTTCTGCCGTCCTCGACTGGTGCAGAACGCTTGCCTTCGACTTGCCTGGCGTCATGGTCGTGCAAACCACTGTATATGGACTTGCTTGTCGCCACCTGTGACCCAATCGCACGCGAAGTACTTTTAGACGGACAACTTGGCTTGTCAGCTATCGAACTGTAGCACGCATACTACAGTACACTACCTCATAATGCATAGGATCGGTACCCTCATTTCCGTATGCATCATGGGACATTATGCGTTATAAGACAACCTACCGAGCGTGAAGCGCCCGTTTGGTACCCATCCGGGGCCTCTGTGGCGATATGCATCATTAGATATGACCTCATGCATTATGAGGTAGTCTGCTGTATGCCTTCAGTGGCTTGAAACCGCATACCATGCACCGCTCTGCAGTTGTGTCGGATTAGCGGACGCCCGTAATGCCGCCTAGCAGGGGTCTCGACGTGCGCGTCGGGGGGCGGGTCAACGTACACGATCACAGGACTGCTTTCTCGTGACTTCCCAGGCGGCTTTCCCCACATCCGTCCCCGGCAACACACGCTCGGCTTGGTGCCCTATAAATGCAGGAGCCCCTCGCCTTCCCCGCCCCTTCCGCTGCTTCACAGCTGCTCGCCGTCGCTGTCATCGTCCGACTCTGCTAGCACATCATGTCCACCGCCGCGGCCTCCAGGAACGCCATCCGGCGGCTCATCAATGTGGCTCAACACACCGCCTGCCCCTGCCATGGCTGCCGGTCTGGGGGTGCGCACAACCCCATACACGCCCTGCAGCAGATGAGAAAGTACGCGACTCCCGTGGAGAGTCTCCCTGTCGAGAAGGAGTATGCGTTCGAGGTCCGTCTAGAGCATTGCGTCGTGGGCCTGTATGAAAAGCCCTGCGGGAGCTGAGCAATGTGCGGCAGGTTGCTGCGGCCCATCTCCGCTTTGGTGAGGGTGTCACTCGCGAGGTCGGCATGGACTTCAAGAACATGAAGGCGCGCAAGGTTGGCATGTTCGTCTGAGAGTGTACGTGAGGTGGGTGTTGACCGGACGTGTCTAGGTCGCGGTCTTCACCGACCCCAATGTTGCGAAGCTCCCGCCTGCGAAGATGGTAAGTAACACGCTTGAGGTTCCAATACACACCCGTCTCATTGAGATGCGCTTCAGGCCATTGCATCATTGGAAGCACAACAGGACCTGCCGTTCGAGGTGTACGATCGTGTTGTCGCGGAGCCCACGGAGGCAAGCTGGCGGGACGCCATTGCTTGGGCCAGAAAGCATGACTGCAGCCACTTTCTCGCGTGAGTGCACCAAAATGAGACGATGCGTGCGGTTCTAAAGTTTGAGCAGCGTCGGAGGTGGAAGTGTGATGGACACCGCTAAAGCTGCCAACTTGTACGTATGTTTCCGCATTCGGTGTCTACCTGGAGTTCATTTCTTGGACCGTGGCAGGTTCACTGTGTACAAGGATGCTGATCTCTTCGACTTCATCAACGCGCCTGTAGGCAAGGGACTGCCCGTCACGGAAAAGCTGCATCCCCTCATCGCAAGTCTGTGCCGTCATACTGTGTGTTTTGCAGTAGCCCGTGGCTGACGAATTCGCAGTCCCCACCACTGCCGGCACGGGTTCCGAGACCACGGGCACGGCCATCCTGGACATCACCTCAATGGCCTTCAAGACAGGTATCGCGAACCGCGCCTTGAAGCCTATACTCGGCATCGTCGACACACTCAACACTAGGACATGCTCTAGGGGTTCGTCGCGTCTCTGCACAACATGCACTCGGAAGCTGACTGTATGCCCGCCAGAGCTGCACATAAGCGCAGGCCTTGACGTCCTGTTCCACAGCTTGGAGAGCTACACTGCTATCCCGTGAGTTGTCCGAGCCCCGTACGCGTCTTCGGTGACCGACGAGAAGCAGCTACAACGAACGCACGCCTCGTCCGAGTAACCCCATCTATCGCCCTGCGTACCAGGGCAGCAACCCCGTGGCAGACATCTTCTCGATGTGGGCTCTCCACACGACCGTTAAGCACCTGCCGCGGATCGCGAAGAACCCTGACGACCACGAGTCGCTCGCGCAGATGATGTATGTCTCTCCCCGCCGGTTTGCCGCTTGCGAGCCTTGCTGAGCTTGGATTCCGCGGATAGGCTGGCCGCTTCCTTTGCTGGCATCGGCTTTGGCAACGCCGGCGTGCACCTGTGCCATGGCATCAGCTACCCTGTGAGTCCCATCTGTGCGGCGCCTCATCTAGTGTCTCGAGCTGACACGGATACACGTTTCAGATCTCCGGTTTGAACAAGAAGGGCCCCAAGTACAAGTATGCGGGCTACAACGTCGACCACCCCATCATCCCCCACGGCGTCACGTAAGTCACATCTTTTCACCTGTTTACAGGTTCCAGCGCGCTGACAACCCCTCTTTTCCTGAACAGCGTCGCGCTCCCTGCCCCGGCGGTCTTCCTGTTCACCGCACCCTCCTCGCCCGACCGCCACCGCGAGGCCCTCGCGGTCTTCCAGGGCGTCAGCGCGACCGACCCCTCCATCACCGCCATCCCGGACAACGCTATCGGGGCGCACCTCTTCGAGGCCATCGCGCGCTTCCTCGACGGGCTCGGGGTGCCTCGCGGGCTCAAGGCTGTCGGGTACACCAAGGCCGACATCCCGGCGCTCGTGGACGGGACGATCCCGCAGAGGCGCGTGCTGGACCTCGCGCCGGGCATTGGGGACATCGTGGGTGAGGACGGGAGGGAGCACTTGACGAAGATCATCGAGAACTCGTTTGAGTACTGAGTGGGAGCGACGGCCCTGTCCATGATATTGTATACTAGTCATCTACCTATGGAATGCGCGTGTAGCGCGATGCATCAAGTGCCTCATTCATGTTGAAGTTCGTGGATCCGTGGTAAGGGGGTCCAGCGGTCGTCCAAGCAAGCTCATTAATGGCAGGATGTCGCTGGAGCAGAGATCGGAGATCGAGATCTGCGCAAGATCTACCGCAGGCGCGTCGGGTCGGGCATGCTTGCGAGATTTGCGTACATCATCACGGGCAGGCCGACGTTATGACACAGACACGTCGCAGATCGCTCTTCCGCCCATGCATAGACCTGCATAACGGCGAGGTGAAGCAGATCGTCGGCGGCACCCTGAACGAGGACGACCCAAGTCATCTGAAAACCAATTTCGTCGCGACGTTCGTGCCTACTCCTTTGCTCTCCGTGCGTGACTTCTGACGCAAGAAAGACAGACTTCCTGCGGCATACTTTGCAGAGCTGTACAAGACGCATGGCCTCGAAGGCGGGCATGTGATCAAACTTGGCCCGGGGAACGATCAAGCCGCCAAAGATGCCCTCGCTGCTTGGCCAGGTTGGCTCGTCTGCCTGTGCGTTCCCTGGAAGCGCTTCCAGCTAACATGGTTCTGGTTGTGGTAGGCCATCTGCAAGTCGGTGGGGGAATCACCGAGGACAACGCCCACGAGTGGATCGATGCCGGGGCAAGCAAGGTACTCCCTCAGCAGCTCGGTCAGTAGCTCTTGGTGACGTTGATCGAGATGCCTATAGGTCATCGTGACATCCTACTTGTTCCCTGACGCAAAGTTCTCTCTGAAGCGACTGAAGGGTGTGTCGGAGGCGGTAGGGAAAGACCGTCTTGTCGTGGACGTAAGGCGGGTATCCCACTATTCTGCTCATCTTAACGGAGTACTGAAGGGCGGATCGATCAACAGCTGTCGTAGAAGAGGAGACAAGTGGCTTGTGGCCATGAATAAGTGGCAAACGATTACTGACATGGAGGTTGGTAAAGGTAGGATTACGAGGCGGCCGTCAAAATAGAGGGACAGTAGATTGACGGCCTATTTCCAGTTACGCTCGACATGCTATCAGAATATTGCAGGTAGGCACATCAGCATTCCACTCATCGCCAGTTACGCTGAGTTTTGGAATGCAATTCTGGAATGTAGCGAGTTCCTGATACATGCTGCGGACGTGGAAGGCTTGTGCCAGGGGATCGATGAAGAACTAGTCACTAGTAGGCATATTCCATTCCCTGAGATTACCGAATGCTCCTGAACCACGACCAGAACTCGGAGAATGGGTAACGATACCTACTACTTATGCGGGAGGGGCAAAGAGTATCTCCGATCTGGCACTTGTGGACCGTTTGTCTAGTGGAAAGGTCGATCTGACCTACGGGAGGTATGTTCGGCCTTCCTAGGAACGCAGCACAATTGGCTTAGTCCACATTCCAGCTCTCTCGATATATTCGGCGGTTCGCTGGTCAAGTTTGACGACCTGGTGAGATACAACAATGGCTCCCGCGAAGATTGAAAGCGTATCCGATCTACACTCGCATCGACTCGTACAACATGTATCAATACACCGCATTTCTACAACTTTAGGAAGTCAGCTGCCAACTGCATGTATTTCTCTCTCTCCTCCCAATGCGGCGTGTGGCTGGATTGGGCGAAGGTGTACCATTTGACCTTGGGAATGGCCTTGAAAAACGGAAGGACGGTGCTATCCGCGGCCTCATCGTACGCCCCATTGAACAATAAGGTGGGAACTTCTATCTTGCTCGCCTCTCCTATGATGCTCCAATCCTTCAACGAGCCAGTAATGTAGAATTCCGAAGGACCGTTCCTGTGACGTACGTGAGCAAGACTCGGTCTGAAGACATCGTGCAGCTGCGCTCACATCGTGAGATATACGGTATGGTCCTTGTCCATCCACTCGAAGCTCTGGTGGAGCTCAGCGGGCCAGGGCTGGAGCCGGCATAGATGTTGCTTGTAGAATTCCATCATGGCGTCCTGATACTCCTTGTGGTCGGTCGTCCCGGCTTTCTCGTGTTTTATGAGGGCATCCTAAGGAACGGAGGGTGGTTGTCAAGCAAAGATAACCACTCATCGAAGATGCCTGCCTACCCGGACTTGCGGGTCCAATTTGGGTATCAACTCCTCGTTCGCCGCCTTCACGAACAGCCGCATATCCGCAGGACTGTCCGCAATGATGAGACGCTGGAGACCTTTGGGCTGCCGAGTGGCGTGGCGGGCAGCGAGCATCCCACCCCAAGATTGCCCGAGTAAGGAGTAATTATCCTGTATACCGAGGTGACGGAGGAGGTTGTCGAGCTCGTCCAGGAAGAGCTGCTCCGTCCAGAACGATCCGGCATCGCCGGACTTCTCTGGGAGGTGAGTCGAGTCTCCATTGCCCAGTTGGTCGTAGAACACGACAGGAATAGAGTACTTGACGAAGAGATCGGCGATAGATAGGATGTAGTGGTGAGTGGATCCCGGTCCGCCGTGGAGGGCAACGACGGGAGTTGTACCGGATTTGAGGTCTCCATAAACCTTGTACGAGGTCTGGCAAGGCTTCCCTGCTCCCGCATCAAATTCAACCGTACCGGTCAGAGTAGGAGTAGCCATGAGATCAAGCTATGGGGACAGGGCTAGCGGGGGGACGAGAATAATGGGGTGTTAAGAGAATCGCCTGAGTAGCAGACGATAGGCATGAGAACCTTCGATCTCGAGATGATCACCTGTTATAGCGTCTTACGGTTGAGACGCTTGCAGCGCATCGCGTGGGCTTCTGGATGAGTTATGCCGGATGCCGATGGTTGAAAGAACACACTGTCATCCAGGTTTATGGCAAAGCTGGCGGAAGAGCCCTCCGCAGTCGTTACTGTACTTCACATGGTCGTTACGTGTCTGACCACAATGTGTCTCGGTTGACGCACAAATACCTCAAATGAGACAATTGCGGACACACTCCTGTGGTTCACATGCAATACAGAAGACATGCAGCATGTGTACGTACCTGCATGTGACATGTGAAGTACTACAGTAAGTCACAGAGCCGCGAGGCGCCCTCTCCTAAGGGATAGCTTACATAATCAGACGTGGCCTAACCGGACGGCGGACGGTGTCGCTCAGCTCGCAACAACCATGGTCTCCCTTCAGCGGACTATCCGCTCTATCCGCCGCGTTGGACTTCGGGAATGGTGGAGGCAGATGCAGTACATTGGTGATGCGAAGTCTGGCCGATTTGTGGGCAAGGACCAGTGCGTAACACACCATTCTGAGGAGGCCCATACAACGCTGATCGCGCAATTGTGTGTAGGTTCGGAAACCGTTACTATGAGAATCTGAATCCTGAAGAGGAGGTCCCAGGTGAGCGCTTCGCGTGATGAAGAAGAGGTGTTGTTCGTACTGAACTACGCCAGGCCGTCACCGCTGGGTCGATTATGCTCAGGTATGTCATCAAACAATATGCATTCGACACCCGCGACCAATGTCCCTGTATATAGCATGACTACAATGCTACGCAAGTTCCCGCAGAGTGGCACTCGTGGATTCACCACATCCGCAAGGACGCCCCAACCGAGGACAGAGTCATGCAGAATTTGTCCCCTCCGTGGAAGGCGGTATGTCTGACCTGCATTCCACTTCACGTACTGCTCATCGCGGTCTGCTTCAGCCTTGGGTCGAGAATTTGACCGGAACTCGTGGTGCTTACCGGGCATACAACACTGTCCGACCTAAGTACGAGGCTTGGGAGCCCAAGTCAACCCCGCGAGGAGGCCCGTCCGCGTAGAGCAGGTTCTCGCGAAATTTATTGGCGACGCGTGTACATCATTCTGTCTATGCATGCCCACCGCCCATTATATCATCAACTACATACTCAGCGATTGCGAGGGACGACGTCAGCCCTGGGCTCTCGACCCCGAGCAAGCTGATCAACTGCCCATCGCCCTGCCCGTTTGCGTAGTCTCGACGAAAAACAAAGTCCTGGAAACCTGCTCCCGGGCCTACGATCTTAGGCCTGATGCCGCAGTAGTCTGGCTGGAACCCTTCGAACTCCACGCCTGGCAGGTACTCCTTGACGGCATTGTACATAAGTTCCAGGCGGGAATCGTCGGGCACGAGGTGCCATTGCCAGAAGTCCGCATCATCGTCGGTTTCGGGAGGAGCGAGCCAGTCAATGTCGGGCCCGAATCGGACCTTTCCCTGCAAGTCCAAAGTGAGGTGGGTTCCTAGGGAGGCGAACGCGTGTGCATCTTTGCCGACATGTGGGCACGGGTATATGAGGTGTGAGACGCTGTTGATGCCGGGACCATGGTACGAAGCGTATGAGCCGCGGGCGAAGTACATGGGTATCCGCTCGTCCTCTGGAAGGATTGCATTCAGAATGCGCGGTGCAGTAAGGCCTGCGGAATTGATAACGGTCCGGGCAAGGAGCGCATCCCCATTTGCAGCATCGCCGGTCACTAGCTGCACAACCCAGCCGGGCGCGTCTCTACTTATGTCGATGCGAACGACCTGCGTGGAATATACGATCTCGCTGCTTTCGGCGTCCAAGATCTCCTTCTCTAGACTCTGCATCAGGGCGTGCGAGTCCACGATGCCTGTCTCGGGGCTCCATAGAGCGGCGACAATGTCCTTGTTCAGATCTGGCTCGAGCTCCCGGGCTTCGTCGCCTCCGATGAGCTTAGTGGGTAGGACTGGCGATTGCGATTGGGTAGGATCTGAGTGCGGCGGCCAAGATAGTTTCTGAGCTTTAGCGTGGAGGCCCTCGATGTATGGCCGTTGTTCCTCGCGAGCAATAACTAGCTTTCCGGTCTTTTTAAAGGGTACGTTGTGTCGCACACAGCGATCATACAGCAGTGTCCTTCCTCTCAGGCATAGATTCGTCTTGAGGGAGCCTGGAGGATAATAGAGTCCTGTTTTCCCGTGTGAGCTATGTGAGCTCAATTGCCAAGAGGGGATGCCAGGATGCCTGTTGGCCCACCTGCGTGGATCACCTCTGAGTTACGAGCGCTGCATATTCTGTGAGTGGACTTGATGGGAGCGACCTTGCGATATGAAATGTTACCTTGTTTCCTCGCCGGGGAGGTTGTGTCTCTCGACGAGGTACGTGCTTTTGTCAGGGAACCTCTGACCAAGTCGTTGTGCGATGGCAAGGCCAACGACACCTAATGTCTATGTCAACACCGGCGAGAGCCGTGAGGCAAGGACTTCGCGTTACCTCCTCCAATGACAAGATGGTCTACAGCATACTCCGGACTCTATTTGAGCCGGAGGTCTCAGTAAGAGAAGGTCGCGAGTGTTACGTGAACATACCTTGAATTTGTATTTGTTGGTACTATTGAGGGCTGCACGAAGGCCCCTTACTTGCATCGTGATAGCGCAGTCACCCCTGAAGCGGGACGTGTCTTTAGGTCGAGGTGCAACTTATGACGAGATCGTCCAGGTCTCAACACAAAGAAATTGGCATGAATGGACAGAGCCGCCCTTGTCTTCCCCGCTGAGTGACATCCTGTTGCATGCATGTGGGAACCGCTCGGCTGCACCAGAGCGTCATGGAGAGATTAGATCAGATTCAACCTCTAGTCGTCGATCGCTGTAATCTAGTCTTAAAGTTTGCGACATGACATAAGATTGACCGCCCGCACAACCTGCTACTATGTCACAGCGTTACGAAGCACGTGAGTAAGGCGTCAAACTAGTTAACGCGATGAGTTAAGTCGACAAGTCCCACATGTATGTATGCTGCTAGTATACATCTGATTGGTTCCAATGCTTACCTTGTACAGGGGAACCGAAAGTGAGTGCAGCCGGCCTTGATATCTCGGCAACAACTTGACTGAATGACTGATATGTTTGCAGGACCTGTTCTCTCCGCCTGTCAAGGGTTTCGATCAGACTTCCTGGATGCCTGGGGCAATGGACCTATTTTTCATTCTGTTAGGAAGCTTGTGCACATCACCCAGTTGGGTAAACACACCTCTGATGTCGCCAGCGGCACATTCTCCTTGTTTTTCGCTACTCGGCTCCGTCTGGCCCGCAGTGAAAGTTGTTCCCTTGGTTTCTTCTGTGCATGCGCCCCTAGACTTTGTGACTGAGTTACTCTAGTGTAGCTTTC